ACATCCTGACAAAGTTGGCGAATCCGATAAATCCCCTAACCTCTGTGGCGTTTGTTGGTGTCGGCCACGTCCTGACAGCTTCCAGTTTCTCGGGTTCGATCTTGACCCATCCTGGGGAGATTTCGTAACCCAGAAACACTGTCTTCTTGACATGAAACTCGCTCTTGTCCTTGTTGACTGACAACTTGTGTTTGTGCAGTGCATCCAGCACCTGCTGCACATGTTTCTTGTGTTCTTCGAGTGTCTTGGAGTAGATGAGAATGTCATCCAAGTAACAGACTGCAAACTTATCGAGGCAATGTCGAATTGCGTGGTCGATAGCGGCTTGAAACGTCGCTGGTGCGTTGGTCAACCCGAACGGCATGACGAGGTACTCGTAGTGCCCGTAGGGTGTCCGAAAAGCCGTTTTCCATTCGTCTCCCTTCTTGATGCGGATGTGGGCGTACGCTGTCGGAAGGTCGAGTCGTGTGAAGTGTTGTGCCCCTGACAGCTGATCTCGGAGCCTCGAGATCAGTGGCAGTGGGTAGCGGTTCTTCACCGTCTCGTTGTTCAACTGTCGGTAGTCCACACACATCCTGAGCTTCCCATCCTTCTTTGGAACGAAGAGGACCGGATAGCCCGCCGGAGATGTCGATGGTCTGATGTGTCCTATCTCGAGGTTCTTTTCGAGATAGCTCCTCAACTCTGCATCTTGCTTCTCGTTGGTGTGGTACACCTTGAAAAATTTCAACTGGGCTCCTTCCTTGAGTCTGATCTCGTGATCCCAAGGTCCGTGGTCTGGTAGCCCTGCAAGATGTTTTGCCGTGAACGCCGGGTGTCCCTTGTAATCGTCTGGGATCTGTCCCGTTTTCGCGTTCTTCGCCGTACCTTCGTAGTACGCGAACTTGCTGTTCCCAGGTTCGATGCTTGCTGCTTCGAGTTCCCTGACTTCTTCTGCTGCCAGCTCGATGCTTGCCGCTTCGAGCTGGTTGACCCATTGTTCATGTTTGAGCATTCCGTGCTCGTCGACTGAGACGACGGCGATGGTTCGTTCCTCCCGTGCCTGCTTCTTTCGTCGTGTGCCGCTTCTTCCGGACTCCAGAGTGCGTGGTTCTGCACTGGCTGCTTCCTGCGGTGGGCCCGTAGAGGGGGTTCGTTCTGACCCGCTGCTCTCCCGTGGCTCCTGTTCTGCGCGTTCTCCCATCAAGCTGGTCGGATGCTCCCGCTGTTCCCGCGGTCGCAGATGGCCATCTCCCTTCCAACTGATGTCTGGGTCGTAATTCTCATGCCATGGGCGTCCGAGAATCATGTCTTTCTCTGGTCCCATGTTCACGATATCGAATACCACTTGGGTGGTTTTTCCTTCCACCTCGATGTCGAGTGGTTCTGTTTCTCGTCGTACCCATTGCGTGTCGAATGGTCCTTTGACGACGTGTGGTTGCTTCTTGATCCTCCATGGGATCCTGAGTTGATTCACAAATGCGGGCGAGATGAGATCCATCTGCGCTCCACCGTCCACTAACGCGAGGGCTTCGAATTTCCCCCATCGCGCTGTGATCCAGAGCCTGTTGTCTGGGTTGGTGCTTCGTACAGCAGCTACTTCGTGTTCGTCTGCTGGGAGGTCGTTGTAAGGCTTTTGCTTGCGCCAGTTCTTCCTGTACTGCGCAGCCTGTCTCCGTTGTTGTGGAGTTAGAGATTTCCGGGCCCCCCGAAGGGCCCTGAGCCGTTTCCCAAGCTCTCGTGGTGTTTCAAGGCGTCCCTGTCCGCACCTTGGCTTGCGGCGTCAATCGTCTGGTGTTCTTGGAGCCATTGGGCCACCCACGCCTCGGCTGGGCGCCTCTCGTTCCTTCGGGACGCTCTTGTCCTCTGGTGTGGCTTCCTCTGGGATTGTTGCTCCATATATCCCCAGATTTTCTCGTCGGCGTGTGATAGGCAGTCTGCGCTTCGGCATTCGTCGACTCCTACGCCTGTTAGACAGCGTCGAGGCCAGGCCGCCTTGGGCTTAACCCTTAGCCTGCCCTCATGAGTGCGTTGTGTGTCCCACAACATGCTTGCGGGAGCGTCGCCGCTGTCGTATACCCATCTGATGGGTAGGGGTTGCATCCCCTTTTCTTCCCTCATGGGCCAGAAACTGTTGCGAAATTTGTCTTGGAAATGGTACCGACATTCGTGCGCGATGCACTGAAACCAGGGCAGGTAGATGTGGTTCTCTTTTCGTGGGTCCACCCGCTCGTGGTCTTCTGATAACAACTGGAATCCCTCCGTGTTGTTCTCGCCCCGGAAACCCCACCATTCGAGGTCGGAGGTTTGTCGCCCGGCGCGCACGATGTGCTGATGTCGAGTCCAGTATTCTTCCCAGCTCTGCTGTTTTCTTCCTTTCGCCGCATTCTGTTCCTGTGCGTAGTCGAAAAGTTGCTCGGGGTATCGCACTCCGTTCTCGCATTCTTCCGCCTCCTTGGTGGGTCCATCCCACGGTGTGTGATGCGGAAGTGCCTGGCGGATGTCGTCCTGCAAGGCCTGTGCTTCCCTTAGTGTCTTTTCGACGTGATCCCCGGCCCTGTTGTTGGCCTCGGTGATCTCTTGGACTCGTCCTCTGGCGAAGTCGAGTTCCGCGCAAAGTCGTCCGTACTGGTCGTTTCTTTCTTGGAGAAGCTGCTCGAGTTCTTCTTTCTCTCTCGACAACTCCTCGATCCTTTGCCGTTGGCTTAGGACCCTCTGTTGCAGGAAAGTGAGGTTCGGGCTGACTCCTCCTTCACCCTCATGGGTTCGCCATTGCCCGTCCTCTTGCTGAACCAGGGTGATGCCCCAGTCCTCAGCGACTTGTCGGATGTGCCGCGGGGGAGCCAGTTCTCCCTCGTCATCCGTTTCGATGAAAGCATGGTGGGCGGTGTCGTTTCCCTCCTGGTGGACGCTGCTCATCAGGTCTCCTTGATCCGAGTCGGTGAGTTCATCGTCCTGCTCGATGACTCGGTCAATGTCGATTTCGAGGTCGTCCTGCGTGTAGCTGGCGGCTGCGACCTCCAGAAATCGGGTTCTTCTTCCGACCGTGTCTTGGTCGATGGTGGCGGCTTCCTTCCCTGGAACCGGTCTCCACTCTTTCTTGCTGCGGCAGTCACGTTTGAAGTGACCCTTCCTCCCGCAGTTGTAACAGGTGATGCCTGATTTGTCCTTGGCACCATCCCTCCTTCCTGCCCATTGTGCTTGGGCAGCGCTGACGTCCATGGGTCCCGAGTGCGTACCGTATGACGTGCTCTGGTGCTGGCGTTTCTTTTTGTCGTTGGGCTTGTGGTAGCCTGCGGATCGCTGAATCTCGCTGCCCTTCTTCTGTTGTTTGCGGGCGAACTGTCGGTCGTCAATCTTGACAGCCATGGCGATGTACTCGTCGAGTGTGTCGGGTCGGCTCTCCTTGTAGAGCTCGTCCTTGACCTCCTCCTTCAGCCCTCCGTAGAACAGGTGCATCAGCCCCTCGTCGTCTATCTCTGCCTTCATGGAGTCTTGTCGGAAAATCGTGGCGTAGGCGGTGGCTGACCTAGTCTGCTTCAGCCGTCCTAGCCGTTCCTGGGCGTGCAACTTCTCGTCCTTGTCACCGAACACCTTCTGAATCTCACTCTCGAACTCGGAGTAGTTCTCGAAGACCTTTTTGGTGAAGGGTTTGTGGATTGCTCCGCCGAGGAAATCACTCAGTGTTCCCGTGAACCACTTGAGTGCCTTGTCCTTGAGTCGGGTGGCGGCGTATCTGGTCTTGGACTCCTCGGTGGCGAACTGGTGCGAGTTGTGGTCGAGGTAGTTCCGCATCGCCGTGATCCAACCTGGCAAGGCTTCCTGGTCGCCCCCGTACTTCTCGGGTTGCTCCAATTTGACCTTCGTCTTGGCCGGGTCCTTGGTGTGGACCTCGGTCGCCGCAAGTCGGGCTGCCAATGCCGCGTTGCTGGCCTTGGTCTTCGCAAGCTCTTCTTCAGTTTCATCGAGTCGTTCGGTGACTCTCTGAAGCGCGGCCGTGATCTGGCCCGGCGTCGGTTGAGTTGCCATGTCGTTTTACCTTCGAGCCTGAACTGTAACAGATCAAAGGGAGTTAGCAACGTGTGACGAACCTGTCTCTGGACCCGTCCTGTTAGGGTTCAGTATCGGTCGAAGGTATCCTCTCAAGGGTGCTTAGGTTCGGTGCAGCCAAAGGGTGCACAACAAAGACTTGTCTCAACAGTAGGCTCTCGAGCTTGTAGCGAACTGTAGTTGTGATTGCTAACTGGAGAACTCCCAGAGCTCTCCAGAACGAGTGACTATATACTATCTAATTCCTGAGCTCTAGACAGCTCTCGAGAGCCCTCTAGAGCTCGCCGCTCTTGATAGCTCTCGAGAGCCCATGAGAGCAGCTCCTGACTGGCCGCCCCCTTTCCTGGCTCCCGGGTGTTCCATAGAGCACCCTGTGATTGGTTCGTTAAACGACTGGCTCGGGGCGTCCCGCGCCTCGGGGGTCCCACTTGTGGGCATATTCGTGACAATCAGCATCTTCTTCAGTAATTCTCCAAAGAGTTCAGTTTCTAGTTCTTCAGTCAGAGACCCCTGACACTTAAGGTATTGGTCTATATTATAAACTTTCAATTTTTTTACTATATTAACGGGTCCTACCGGATGTTATTTCAATTTTGTTATATTTATAATAGTAGTGGTTGGGGCTTTATACGTTGTTGAAATCTGGTGTTTTTCAGGGTTATGTATGGTGCGGAGAAGGCGAAAAGTAGGGGGGGGCGCCAAGTAGGGGTCCCGACTTATTGTAGCCTTTAGCCTTTTGGCTACCATCTGAATACCTTAATGTTTCGTAGGTTTGGACTAAGTGAATGAGCAATTACCTCGCTTTCGATCTCACAATCTTTGTACCGAAGATCTCTTTCTTTGAGAACACTATCGATTAGGTCTGCTCTTCCTTCCTACAGCAGTTCCTTCCTCCGAACCTTCCCATCGCCATTCACACTGGGTAGCTTCTGTTTGTTTTCAAACCAGGAGTTTATCATTGATCCAAGAGCAGGTTTCAAGCCTGACGCAAACCTCTTTCCGTAAGATACACTTTGAATTTCCCAACAGTGACCGATTTCCCACACTTCTCCCGGTCGCTCTACCCATTCCTTCATTTCGCACACCGTCGTTATTCTCGCGCAACAGCGACACGGAAGTCTGAAAAGCTTCTCAGTTACGCAGCGGCTTCCACGTGTCGCTCATAATTTCTACACGGATCTACAGGTTGTACAAGATGTCGTCTACTCTAGACTCTAGCTCGACACCAATGGAGGATACACAGAAGGACACGCCAGTTGACAGCGGCGAGTCACGGATCGCCGATACGGAAAATGTGAAAGTGCAAGACGCCAAACCCAAGGAAGCCAAGAAGAAATCGAAGAAACGAAGCACTGCGGCGAAAAAACGCGGGACTGGATTCGAGGGTAAGTTCCATAACGGACCATGAGCCAGTTGATGGTTTTACTCCAGTCGCTGACATATTCCAGAGTTCTACTGCGACCCGCCCATGACGCCAGCCGAGCACAGCGAAGAGAAAGACATCATCTACCCGCCGCATCGCCCTTTCGTTGACCGCATCGAGGAATGCGTTCAGCGGTTCCGTGCCCGCCGCCGCATGAGTCCGGAGCGCGAAGTGCTATTTTCCAGATACCTCGTCCTCGGCGGTATCGATGCCACCATCAGACAATTTCAAGGCACCCGGAATATTGGCGATGATGTTCTCGCGGACTCGAGCAAGAGCGCTGTCCGAGAGATGACGGCCGACGACGTGATTCAGCGGGGAGCAGATGGAAACCGCAGCGTTCGGTTTTATAACCCGAACTACCCCGACCATTGGGACGTCGACTTCACTGGCGTCGCCGCGGGGTTTGTGTAAGTCCTACGCCGAGCACTTTGTGTCTGTTCGATGCCGACTATTGCTGACATGCCTAGATCTGAGCATCTCCCTCAGTTGGTAGGCGCTAAGACCGACCAGTTCCTCATGGGTGTTGATGTGGTCCTCAACTTTCTCAAGTACGTTGATCGTCATGACGTATGTCCCGAATATCGCGACGACGTTCGGAGAGCGCAGAAGGTTTGCATGAAGGCCCTCGAAGAGTTGCCAGCTACGACGAATCTGCTACGGTGGCTTCCGGGTCATTTCAACACCGCTCTCACGGTGTTGTATATCAAGCCAGAAGACGACGACTCCTCGAACTTCAGCGTCTCCTTAGACCAGCCGCTGCCTGATATCAAGTTCGCCAGAGCCAGCTTAGCCGCTACCCTGTCATGTTTGATGGGACCCGACCGTTTCCCAACCAATGCCGAGTGGTTTGTCACCGACAAGGACGAGCTAACCTTCGAGGTTCTCGAAATTGACCTCCCGAACAACGCCACTCGTGCAAAGTACAAGACCCTCAATCAACATCTCGTCAACTACCCCGATATCCATCCATGCGGCACCATCACCGCTCGCGCAGTCGTCATCCGCAACGGTTGGGACACCACGGGGGCCACCATCCCGCCCGACACGGGCAAGAAGTGCCAGTTCGTGTTGGAGGAGGGTGCCCTCCGCCTCCTGACGGTGGACATGAAGCTGACCATGGGCGTCTGCACGCTGAATGTCGGCCTCAAGTTCATCCACTACATCAAGGGGATCCTGCCGAGCTTTTACCTCTTTTTGCCGCAGGAGCTGATGTTCCAGTACAAGGAGCCGGTCCCGAACGACCGTCCTTCGAGGAGCGTCCATGACCCTGAAGATGACGGGGATGTCGTGGCTGGGAACCCGGCGGGCGACCTCGATGACTGAAAGACTGGGTGGTGGTTGGCAATTTTGGAGTTTTGGGGCGGTAGCCATGGGGTGGTAGGTGATATGATAGGCGCGGCTGGAGATTCCCTAGAGCTAGAGAGCTGGAGAAACGGGGTGCATTTGTGCTTCGCACGTATCATAAAGTTCCCTAACTTGCTTAATATCCTCAGCAGGCAGATATGTGGGGGTAACTGCACTTATAGGGTGCCATCGAGGTGACAACGCTGACATGATCCTTATCCTGACAATAACGAGCTAAAATATTCGTCAACACAGAGTGGGATGTCCCGCCCATCCATTCAACCAACATCCGAAAACACGGTATCCTACCCGCCAACCCAACGCCCATTAATTCCCACGCGCAAACAGCAAACACACATTCCCATCCAGCCGGAAGCATACACATCACCACGTGGCAGCGAAAGTCCACTGACCCCGGAGAAAAAGCCCATTTACCCCTCGCACCGTACTCCTCCCTACCCGCAACGGCTCCGCACCCCCGATCTAGTCATGGTTCTGCACCTTGTGATCCCCAGCCACAACCTGCGCGTAGCTCGGCGGCGGCGCGCCGCCGTCGCTCGGCCCGGCCTCCGCCGTCGTGCCCTGTTCCTGCGGCTGGTGCTGCTGCTGGTGGTGAGGTGCGGGAGCGCCCGTGGAGTGGTTGTTGTTGGTGTTGCTTGTGCCGTAGTTCATGTGGCCCTGGGGCTTGGGCGGCTGCGCTTGGGCGCCCTGCTGCGGCTGGTAGCCCTGCGGCGGCTGGCCGCCGTGCCCGCCGTTTCCGTTGACGAAGACGTAGATGCGCCCGTGCTCGGCGTCCTGCGGGACGCTCTCGTACTCGTAGTCGTATGGCGGCTCGGGGTACTTGGCGATGATGTACCAGGCGTGGAGGAGGCCGGGGATCTGCGGTGAGGGGATGGGGTGTTAGTGGTGACGGTGGTGGGGGAAGGTATTAGTCGGAGGAGGAGGGCAGAGAACGTACGTAACCGAGCATGAGGAGGAGGATGTTGATGATGGAGTCGGCGGAACACAGACCGCGCTTGACCCAGACTGTTTCGGATCACTTATTAGCTTGTGGTTCTTGACAGGCACTGAACGAACACCTATTCATAAGGCTGATGATGCATGTCGTGTGCTCCAGGCTGCGGGGTGCGGGGTGACGAACCAGGCAACGGCGGGAAGAGAACGGCTAGCAGCCCGAGGAAGATATCGTTGGAGCACATCGCGATTTGGGATCACTGTGAGTGGAAAACGACCGACCGAGAGAGAGTCGTGATTGTTGACGTGCAGGTGGAAGAGCGCAGGTTGGAATTGGCTGATGGGTGTTCTTGAGGTCGTGGAGCAATGATGCAAGAACGGGTCCTTGGAGTCACGCTCATCATTAGATTGGGTGGCGGTGCCAGGGGCTTGCCTCGAGCTTGCGTAATGTGGAAAGCGCCTTTCCCTTCTGGTTCTGGCGCCTTGGCAAGGCCTGGGCGTGTCCCGCTTTATCCTTCGGGTTAGGGTTAGACAAGGCGATACGCGGAAGGCGGTCGGAAGAACGGCGGCAGAATTTGTTGACCGCGCTCGCTGTTGCTGCACTTCAGCGTGGATGATGCTCGGGCCTCGCGCATGCAGCTGCAATTCGGTCTGGATGCTCGGTCGCCTGCCATCAAAAAAGCTGCCTACCTAATGATCAACTGGCCCTTTGGCCGCTTTCTTTCCAACCTTTTCGTTTGCATTCGTTAACCACTTTACCAACATCATGGATGATCTCGAATCTCTCGAACTGCTTTCCTTGGTGTCGAAAGTCACCTCGGAACTGCAGAACCATCTCGGCATCAATGAGAAGACACTTGCCGAGTTCGTCATCGCCCAACGCCTCGAATCCCCATCCTTCCGAGAGTTCAAGGCGAAACTCGCCGCGGCTGGCGCCGAGTTCCCCCCGAGTTTAATCGAGAGTATCGACCGCCTCGTCCAGGCAATGCACCCGAAATTCAAGGGGAAACAGAATGGGTCGGAATACGATGTCGATGAAAAGCCGGCGCGCTCGGCGGAGCAACAAACCAAAATGTTCAAAGGCCTCGCCATTCCCGACAAGGATGTGGAAGTTATCGATGATACACTGGCGTTGTTAGAGAGCTTGGAGCCGAAGAGAGCCGACAACGAACGACCACGAAAACGCAGTCGCACCCCAGACGACCACCGGGGCGATTTGAGGCGGAAACGTAAGGACAGATACCGGTCTAGGTCCAGGTCCAGATCAAAATCGCCGCCACGGGGTCGACGAAGAAAACGGCCGCTACGAGGATGAGGACGACTTCCGACGACCACCTCACCAAGAGCTGGACCAGTCACCGCAGATGAACAAGATCTATGATGGCCATGTCACAGGCATCAAGGACTTTGGTGCCTTTGTCAACCTTCATGGCGTGATGGGGAAAATGGATGGATTGGTCCACATATCGGCATTCGGGCAACGAGTGGACCACCCGTCGGACGTTGTTTCCAGAGGGCAGGATGTCAAGGTCAAGGTTGTCAAGATCGAGGGTAACAGGATAGGACTTTCGATGAAGGACGTTGATCAACAGACGGGCATGGACCTCGCCCCAGAAATGAGGTTGGGTTCTGGCGCCAACATGGAGGTTTTGGGTGGTCGCGGCAGAGCACCCGTCGACGTGGACAACGGAGCAAATGGTTCATTCCAGGCATCTGCGGTGGCCAGAAGCCAGAAGAAGAGGATGACTTCCCCGGAGAGGTGGGAAATACGGCAAATGATTGCCGCTGGAATTGTCAAGGCCTCGGACTACCCCAATTTGGAGGAGGATTACAACGCAACGCTCAGGGGGGATGGGCAGTTGGAGTTGGAGGAGGATATCGATATCGAGATCCGAGACGAAGAGCCCCCGTTCTTGGCTGGGCAGACGAAGCAGTCACTCGAGTTGTCACCCATTCGGGTAGTCAAGGCGCCAGACGGGTCGCTCAACCGTGCCGCCATGGCTGGAGCCAACCTGGCGAAGGAGAGAAAGGAATTGCGGCAACAAGAAAACGAGTCCCAGGAAGAGAAGACGAAGGTCGACTTATCGTCACAATGGCAGGACCCGATGGCCAACCCCGATACTCGGCAATTTGCTAGTGACCTTAGGAAACGGCCGCAGGCGACACAGTCGGCCTCGGACGCCGTACCGGAGTGGAGGAAGACCATTGCCAAGGACCAGGCTCTTGGGAAACGAACAAGCATGACAATCAAGGAACAGCGAGAGTCCCTGCCCGTCTATGCCTTCAGACAACAACTTATTCAAGCCGTCAGGGAGAACCAGATCATGATCGTGGTCGGCGAAACTGGCTCCGGCAAGACAACGCAGCTGACCCAATACCTTGCGGAAGCCGGGTTCACGAACAATGGCATGATCGGGTGCACGCAGCCTCGTCGTGTGGCTGCCGTCTCGGTTGCTAAGCGTGTTTCGGAAGAGGTTGGGTGCCAGCTCGGCCAGGAGGTTGGTTATACCATCAGATTCGAAGACGTCACCAGTCCGGCAACCAAAATCAAGTACATGACGGATGGAATGTAAGTGGTACCCCTTCTGGCGTTACCCGTCCCACTCCTAACTCGGCACAGGTTGCAACGTGAAATCCTCATGGATCCTGACCTCAAGAGGTACTCGGTCATTATGCTGGACGAAGCCCACGAACGGACAATCGCGACAGATGTCCTCTTCGCACTCCTGAAGAAGACGATCAAGAAACGAGACGACCTCAAAATCATCGTAACGAGTGCTACGTTGGATGCCGACAAGTTCAGCGAGTATTTCAACTCCTGTCCCATCTTCACCATCCCCGGACGAACCTTTCCGGTTGAAATCCTCTACTCGCGCGAACCGTAAGTCCAGCCCTCCTGCTTCCCCTGCTATTGGCGTACCGGCGACTGACTAACATCCGCAGGGAATCGGATTACCTCGATGCTGCGTTGACCACAGTGATGCAGATCCATCTAAGTGAGCCGATGGGCGACATTCTACTGTTTTTGACCGGGCAGGAAGAAATCGACACTGCCTGCGAGATCTTGTACGAGAGAATGAAGGCGCTTGGGGCAGGTGTCCCAGAGCTCATTATTCTCCCGGTTTATTCGGCACTTCCGAGTGAGATGCAGAGCAAGATATTCGAACCCGCGCCGCCCGGCAGCCGCAAAGTCGTCATCGCAACCAACATTGCCGAGACGTCGATTACCATCGATTTCATCTATTACGTTATCGACCCCGGCTTCGTGAAGCAGAATGCGTACGACCCGAAACTGGGGATGGACTCCCTGGTAGTTACCCCTGTTTCCCAGGCTCAGGCGAACCAGCGAGCGGGCAGAGCCGGACGGACAGGCCCGGGCAAGTGCTTCCGCTTGTACACGGAGGCCGCATACCAATCAGAAATGCTCCCGACAACCATTCCCGAGATCCAGCGGCAGAACCTGTCTACAACGATCCTCATGTTGAAGGCAATGGGCATCAACGACCTGCTCCGCTTCGACTTTATGGATGTAAGCCACTTCGGCCCCCAGATTACCTTCCTTTCTTGTTACTAACTATATCTTAGCCACCGCCCGTCAACACTATGCTTACGGCACTCGAAGAATTATATGCGTTAGGGGCCTTGGATGACGAAGGGCTACTAACTCGCCAGGGGAGAAAGATGGCCGATTTCCCCATGGAGCCGACGCTATCCAAGGTTCTGATTGCTTCTGTCGAGAAGGGCTGCTCAGACGAGATGGTGACCATCGTTTCCATGCTTAACCTCCTCCAAGTCTTTTACCGACCCAAGGAAAAGCAAAGCCAAGCGGACCAGAAAAAGGCAAAGTTCCACGACCCCTCGGGCGACCATCTCACGCTCCTGAACGTCTACACCTCGTGGAAGAACAATGGCTTCGCCAACGCATGGTGCTTTGAGAACTTTATCCAAGCTCGCTCGATGCGCCGCGCCAAAGATGTTCGCGATCAGATCGTCAAGATCATGGAACGCCACCGACACCCTATCATCAGCTGCGGACGTGACACCGATAAAATTCGGCGGTCGCTCTGCTCGGGCTTCTTCCGGAACACGGCCCGCAAGGACCCGCAAGAGGGTTACAAGACACTCATCGAGGGCACCCCGGTCTACCTGCACCCGAGCTCGGCGCTGTTTGGTAAGCAGGCCGAGTGGGTGGTTTACCATACCCTCGTGCTCACGACGCGCGAGTACATGCACTTCACGACCACCATCGAGCCGAAGTGGCTGTCGGATGAGGCGCCCACCTTCTTCAAGATCGCGCCGACGGATCGGTTGAGTAAGAGGAAGCAGGCCGAGAGGATCCAGCCGTTGTATAACAAGTATGCCACCGAGGACGACTGGCGGCTGAGCGCCCAGCGTAGGGCGGGGCGGTCTGGCGGCGGTGGTGGGACATGGGGCTGAACGGCCCTGGGTTGTGTCGATTGGTATATCTTGAGCGAGCGGGTAGCTTGTATATTCTGTTAGCGAAGTGGATGGGCTTGGGAGGAAAACAATAGATTTGTGATACCCTTTCTTCGAGCGGGTTTCAAGGTGGTTGTTGGTGCAAGGAGGCGAGACACCCACTCTCATTGGGCTGGGTGGCTGGGTTAAGCGCTGGTCACCCGCCAAGCTTCGCGAACCAACACGAACAGTGCCAAAGATGTTGAACCCCCCGGACCTCGACCAGACGGAATGAATTAACCTAGGTATTCTTTTTAAAACGCAGCCTCGCCCACCACTCGCTTTTGTATTTGGCTCCCCCCTCTTCCCCCCGCGTTACAAGAAAGTGACGATCCGCCCCCCTTCCCGGCCCCGAACGCTGTGTCTCACTCTTCTCAATATAAATGATGGACCCCAACCGCGAGGAAGTCCAGCAAACCCTCTCGCTCATTGGGGAGCTGGACCTACCACATCCGTCTGGGTCCTTGCTCTCGTTCTTCGTCACCGAGGCTCTCCACCCCGTGCTGGCCGCGGACTATGTGAACGACAGACTGTCGGCGGGCGAAGCTCGCTCTCTGGTGGCTGATTGGATCTACATTGTTGAATCCGGTGAGCATCTCTTGCCCTCGGACCACCGCCTCTTCTTTGGTTAACGCATTCCAGTAACCAAAGATGGTCGCCTCCGGCCACCACCTGACGCCAAAACGCAGCAGGAGGTTAGGAGACGGGATGGGAACAGGTGTTGCATCTCGGGCAAGGCCGGTACTTTTTGGGATCCTTTACTCGTTATGCCTGTTCTTCCCATCCCGTATGGCTGGGATGCAGACAAGGTGCGTTGATGGTTTTGATTACTGCGCCGCACTAGAGATTTGCTAACCACCCATGCCACAGCCTCGTATCTTTGATATGCTCGGGGCGTTCTTTACTCCGCCGTATCGGGACTGGTGGCTCGCACAGGTTGAGGATCCCGAACGACTGCCGCATTGCGTCGGTCACTGGCTAGTTCGAAAGTCTGCTGCCCAAGCGTTTGCACGGGGTATTGTTGTGTTGAACCGACGGCTACCATCCATGATTGAGGTGAGAGGGGACGCCATAGGGCCTGGCCGTATTTTCTTGACCCCCGCAGCTGACTTTTGACAAAGTACGAAGTTGTGCCAATTGTCATCGGACCTGAGGAGCCATTTGAGGTTGAGGGCCCCTACGCGCTCCTGGGTGACCACTCGCGCTCGGGCATCTTGCCAGTAGATCCGCACTTTATTGGCACCCAAGCTCGACTGGCAAGGAGCATTCGATATGTCGAACTTGCTAGAAGCATTGCGCCTCAGATCTTTCTCTCTCACCGGCCCGCCTCTCCTACCAGGAGCGCCAGCGAGCTTTCGAAGCGACCTTTCCTAGAAAGGGCCCCGTCGTCACCAACCCGATGTCTCAACTCCTTAGTCCACTTTTCGGTTCGAGCTTTCTTCACATGCTGGCGGGTCCTACCCAGACGAACCCGGGCTACTGCCTACAACATGTTACGAAAGCTCGGGGATTTGATCTACGGCGCCGAGGACCCCACATTCTACGTCCGGCGACTGCCTTTCGGGCTCTACCTCAAGTACCGGGGCGAAGCCGACATGGCGCGCAACGAATTCAACGCACTACAGCGAATCCATCGCGAAACCACCATCCCCGCCCCAACCCCGCTGGACATCATCCCCTCCGGGGCCGACAGCTCCTACCTGCTCATGACGCGGGTACCCGGCGCGCCGCTCTGGCGGTGCGAATCACTCTTCTCGGACCGCGACTGCGCCGAAATCGTGATCCAGCTGCAAGACTACGTGGCCCAGCTGCGCGGCCTGCCCAAGAAGACGACGGCCAACCCGGCGGACATGGCCGCCATCTGCAACACGCTGGGCGAGGCGTGCCGGGACCACCGCATCCGCGACGCCGCGCCCGTCGGGCCGTTCCCGGACGAGGCGGCCTTCAGCCAGTGCGTGCGCTTCTCGGACGAGCCGAGCCGCCGCGGGCATGCGGTAGTGTTTACGCATGCGGATCTGAATCCGAGGAATATTCTGGTGGGGAGGTTTAGGCGGTGGGATGGGAGCACGGGGTGGCGGGTGACGGGTGTGGTGGACTGGGAGACGGCGGGGTACTATCTGGAGTATTGGGACTATACTAAGGCGCTGTTTGAGGGGTTTCGGTGGACGCTGAGGTATGTGAGGATGGTGTATAGGGTGTTTGTGGAGTTTGGAGACTATTCGAGGGAGTTGGATGTTGAGAGGAGGAGCTGGGAGTCGGGGAATGGTGTGTAGAGAGTTGTATAGTTACGTAGGTAGTAAGGTCATTGCGTTTGCTGAGTATGAGTCCTGTACGCGGAAGGGCTTTTAGGCGCCGAGTGTGACACCACCACGAGCCAACCCCACCACGAGCCAACCCGGGGACACGGGTGCGAAAATCCGAATTTCATTGTTTCTATTGGGCAATAACGAGACACAAGGCAGGTGGGTTGGGCGGTTGCCTTGTTGCCCTGGGCTGGGAGCGACCAACAAAGGACTTGGCAAGGCATACACACCACCTCGAGCAGGAGGAAGTCACCAAAGCCCCCAGACTTTAAATTTAAAACCTTAAACCAACAACAACCTACTGCCGCCCCTCCCCAGAACAGAACAGCAAAAACCCCTCTCCCAGCAACCCATCCCACCATGGAAACAACCCATCCCACCATGGAAACCCCCCAGCCCACCCTCCCCCCCGCGATCCGCGACTTCCCAACCATCACCATCTCCCCCACCGCCCCCGCCACGCACACCCACACCGTCATCTTCCTGCACGGCCGCGGCGACAACACCAAATCCTTCACGCGCGCCCTGCACAACTGGTACTCCTCACTTGGCACCACCCTCTTCGCCGAGTTCCCCACCATCCGCTGGGTCTTCCCCCAAGCGCCCCTGCGCACGGTGGCCAGCACGGCCGACCAGTTCCGGCCGCACGTGTGCCCGCAGTGGTTCGACGTGTGGACGCCGCGCGATTTCGCCGAGCGCGAGGAGGTGCAGCTCGAAGGCCTGCGCGAGACGGTGCCCGCCGTGCGCGCCCTGCTCGCCCGCGAGGCGGGCATGTTGGGGGGCCGGTGGGATCGGGTCGTGTTGGCGGGGATTAGTATGGGTGCGGCTTCGGGCGTGCATACGCTGTTGAATTTGGAGGTGCCCGCGGCCGGGGGTGGGCGGTTGGCGGCGTTTATGGGCTTTTGTGCGCGCTGTCCGTTTGCGGGGAGGGATTTGGCTGGTATGCGCGAGGTGCTTGCTGTGGGCGGGGCGCCGCCTGCTGCGGACAATGCTGTGCTGCGGGCTACGCCGATTTTGTTGGAGCATAGTGCGGGTGATCCGTTGGTGTTGATTGAGAGGGGGAGGGGGTTGCGGGATACGCTGCGGGGGTTTGGGGCGCAGGTCGAGTGGAAGGAGTATGAGGGGGGTGCGCACTGGTTTCACGAGCCTGAGGGGCTCGACGATGTCATCGAGTTTCTGAGGAAGGTCGTTCTTGTGCCTGGGAAGGTGGATGGGGCGGGTCAAGGTGGTCCGGCCGTGGCGCCGGCCGAGCCTGAGGCGATGGACTTGTCTTGAAGATGGGGATGGAAGCGCGAAGCAGGTTGGTGCGCAAAGGGTGCTTTAGAGAACCAGAAGGACGCAAGGAAGTAGAAGATCAGTCATCGTTTTGTCTTCTTTTCCTTCAATCTCTTATAGTAGTAGAATAGTGCCTAGGTAGTCATGAAAAAAGAGGGCTGAAAACGAAGCTCAACTTTACTGGGATGGTATCATCGTCATATGACAAGTTATTCCCTCGCAAAATAGATACAGCTTGGCAAAGGACCTAAAGAGACAGCTTTAGGCACCCGGAATTCATCGTGGAGTAGAGGCTAAAGATATCTAACTGCCATGTTCTCCTCAGACAACAAACAACAACCCGTCCCTCCTTTCTGGCCCGGCCCTTCACGAACGCAAAGATGCTAATTCAATGGCATAAGCTTCGGCGGCAGCACGGCGTTTCCCACAGAACCAAAACCACTCCGGTTTGGTGATGAAGTATGCAACTAATAGGGCCGAGAGGATCACCACAACGCTGATGGGTGCTAGAGATAGTGTGAAATGTATCAGTCATCTGATCTGGTCCACTACTAGTTAAGTTCCAAGGCCAGTCCAAGCCTACCTCCATATCGCCACAGCTCTTGACTGCTTGGGTTCTTGTCGTCGCCGGTTATATCTGAGATATTTTGGCCAAAGTATGAGGTAAAGAAGGATAGGGGCAGCTACACGATAGAGTGTAAGTGCGGGCACCAGGAAATCTCAACATGCTACGATATAACAGAGAGAGCTCAAGACTTACAAAGATAATTGTGACGATGGTAAACAGCATGACAACGCGCCCTTGCTGGCTTGTTGACCGGGCTTCAGCCAGTGCCGCCGCTTTTTGTTTGAGATCGAGCAGGTCCATCAGCTAATAATGCCCCCTTCTGTATTAGTTTCCCTCCGTTTGTTATTGGATATGCGCGGAGAGGGCCACATGCCATTTTATGCGAGTATTCGGCGTCTTTCCTCATGACGCCCAGTTCTGCGAGAAGCAAGTCCAGCGTTTCGTCAGCCGAGATGATGGTTTTGCTTGCCGCGCCCTTGATACCTTGGGCAATGGTCCGGATCACCTCTGCCTCTATTCTGGTTCCCCCATGGTTCATGTTTACCACCTGATGACCTTCTCCCGTACAGGTGAAGGTGTTGTGGCGGAAGACGATGCCTCCGCGGTTCGTTGGTGAATCATCTGCCGGATCGAGCCTCCCGAGCGCCGTAGCCAGCGACTTGATGACCTCGCGCTGTGTCTCGGCAAGATGGCGAATCATGTTGAGCTCGTCAATGATGTCTGCAAAGTCTAGGACGAGTCGAAGCTCGCGTCGATCGTCTAGTGCCGTTGAGTCTGACGAGTCTCCCGCCGAGTGGTTCTGACTGTATTCCTCAAAATAGCTTGTTTGAGATGCCGTCTTGGTACCAATGGCCCACCTGTACGTCTCGACCAGATCTGTAAATCGCTTGTTATCTTGGCGGAAGATAAACGAAGCTGCCTCTTTGACTAGCAGTGCATAAAGGTCCCACGCTGACTCGCACAGCGTCCAACTCTCCAAGACGCTTTCATAGAGAGCGGTAAAGCCTACGTGCTTGTACTGAAGGTCGCCGGATGGGAAGAACGACAAGACGGTTTCTATCGCGTTGCAATTAGTGCTGCTCTTCGTATGTAGATACCTGGTCGTAAACGGGGCTTACTCTCATCCAGCACCCAACACCATAGTTGGTCAACCATGATAAGGCGGCTGCTGCTCGCGGCCCTTTGTCTGCCACCCGGCTCCACCCCAGTCCCGGTCCATTTAGAGATGGTCTGATCGCTGTCCCTGGTGCTCGTATTCCACAGTGAGGAATAGTAGAATTGGTCCAGCGTTCTCCGAGGATGAAGCGGTTTCGGACTGTCAATATATTCATAAGCCAGCACCCGTTCCATATGCAACCGTTTTACATGCGACCTTTGGGTCCCGTACTGCGTCGTGTACGTGTAATTTAGGTCGTAGTGCTCAGCAACCGAATCCCAGTTCAAATAAGGGAGCTAATTAGTCGAGATAGCGCGTTTGAGACTTAGCATACGCATCAAGGGTTTCTGCATTCATAAACTCGGGGTACACTTACGTACAATGACAGTACAGGCTGCTGTCTAGGATACTTGGCTCCGAGGAGTTGGCTCGCTGGGGCAAGTTCTTGGTCAGGCTTGTCCTCCTGCTGGGATTCCCGACGCGGATTCGATTCTGAAGACGTCCCAGGCGCTTGTAGGCCCGATGCATCGTCCGCCGTCTCGGTTGTTCCGGGGACGCGGACGTTGCGTGGCTGTACCGGGCCGTCCTCGACGGCAGTGCAAGATGGTTCCATGTGACGGGCGTGAAGCGGTGTGATGATAATATCGGAGAGGGCAGGCCGCCGCTTTAGGGCCCAGGACTTCTCGTCAAGTCCGGAAAAGTTGGGGTACCATGCTTTCATGCAGCTCTGTAGTGATTTCGATGTGTTATTCCTAGGTACCGTAGGCAAGTAGACAGTCTCGAACCACAGCCATGGGCGGCTTTCTCACCTCAACCCACTGCATGTTATTGGCGGGTACATGCAACCAGCGCAATGAATGTGATTCAGGGTATGGTAGTTTTGTCCCGGCAAAGTTATTGATTGGGTAGACATCGATATATTGAAGTCCATCGACCAGCGTGTGGACGATGATGGGGAAATCTCTTGGGTACTCTGGGGCGTTAATATCGCCCTCCAAGTGAGACCTGATAGGGGTTGCCGCCATTGTTGTGCTGGGTCGTAGGGAGAGTGGCTACGAGAAGGCCAGTTAGGTGCGCCCCCGCTAGAGACTGGTAAACTCACAAAAGGGTCATGGTCATGGCGAAACATGTCACGGGTTCAAGCGTATCGATGCCAGAGGTTTCTCAAACGTGGCTGTGTGTGATAGGCTTCCACTTGCACCCCCGCCCGGGCCTCAAGATACCGATCTCATACTCGTCTCTGATAGGTATTAACGCAAGCTGAAATGCAAGCCACAACAACTGACACAGCATTTGATTTATTGGAGGCGTCGTTTAGTAGCGAGTATCGCCATCAGACCATTGCCTGCACTATAAGATACTAGATGGTCTATCACAACAGAGCCCCAACTCAACCCCTATTCGGCGCCACTCCATGCCTCAATTCCTCGTTATTTCAAAGCTTGATGGTGCATAAGGAGCCCCCGGCCGCCTCTCAGCCACTGTGATCTGGGAAGTTCCCTCCTTGGTGCCCATGGCGCCCTGGATCTGAATCTCAATCTTCTCGCCGGGTGCCAGTGCCGCGCCCGTCTGGCCAGCCTTGTCCCTGGCGCGGACGAAGAAGTCGGTCGCCTTCGTGCTGGTGCCGTTGGGCTTCTGCAGCGCAACATCACAAGCCGCCGGGCCGCCGGATAGGGTCGGACAGTTCCACGTTCCGCTTCCCGCCTTCGTACCTTCGCCCCCGCCGGTAAAGTCGATGTTGGTGAAGAGGTTGGTGTCGTCGGAGCCCCCGAGAAAGCTCAGCGAGACGCCGTCGATGGTGTCGGTGGACAGAGCCATGCCGGCCTCGGTCGGTGCCGCGTCCGAGAATTGGATCTTGGCGGCCGTGTCGTTCTTCAAGTTGAGGGTAAAGGACTAGGGTGCGTTCTTGGTTCCCGAGGTTGATGACACGGACGCCGTGAGCAGGGGCGCCGGCGGGTCGTCAATCTTGGACAGCCAGCCGTCGGCGGCGCGCATTTGGTCGACAAACGTCTCGCCCGGCGTCTTTTGGTGCGCCGAGCCGTCGACGATAGTGCTCAAGGGGTCCCTGTTAAATAGGGGCCATAGTCTTCGGTGGCTCTGATACCTATCTGGTCGCTCGTGTCCATGATGAGTCGCCGGTTTCAGCCAAGATTGACGTCCACCTCATCCAACTCTAAACGATCCCAAACGTCGGCCGACACCCTTCCTATCCCCTTCCGGTACGCAACTTGGTCCTGCCAGCGAACCCAGAGAACATTATAGAAGTCGTAGGCATCCTCGATTCGATCTGCCGAGGGGTGTTCGTCGAGCTCCCACTCCAGCAGGTAGCCTTCGGCGTATTTCCAGTCGCGAACCCTTGTCTTTGATATCGCGATGAGCTCACACCGGGTCTCGTCGCCATGGGAAAAGGTTTCTTCCAACGCGTCACCGTCCACTTCGTCGTCAGACAATACCCCAGCCCATGTTCCCTTGTCGTCACGGAGGACGTACGTGTGGTAGATAGGACACTCAAGCCACGGATGTCGTTCCAGTCGTTCAGCTCTCGTGAGCCACAATCTCTTGGCCGTGAAGGCTAAAATCGCGCCGTACATGGTCTCTGGTTGTGGATTGCTTTCCTTTTCCTGAGCCAGCACGGGAAAGGGGAGCGAAAATGTTTTGTTCGCGAAAGTCGGGTGGGAGAAAGAGTAATCGGTTTGTTCTGCGCCGGGCTGTCTCGTTAAGGACCACCCAGATATTAGCGAGGATGAATTCTCATGTACAGCTGAAAAGACGTATTCGCCAGGCACTAGGTGCCCATCCGGCCGCAGCAGGGTTTTGCGCCAGCGAACGAGCGGGTCAGTCAGCCTCGGATCCGGGAGGAGCAGACCGCCGGCGTAGAAGTGAGAACCAAAGCACATCCACATGTCCAGAAACAGAGCACCCTTGACGCTCACCCACGACCAGCTAGGCAAGCGGATAGCTTTGCCCTCGCGCCGCCGCAGCGGACGTGGGTTCCGCCTATCACCCTCCCAGAGCAGGCACACGTCAAAGAACATCTCGGGCAACCCAAAGTGGAAGCCGGGGCGAAAGGACTGACTCAGGACCGCTGCAGCGCCGGCGAACGCGGCGAGGACGTCATCGTCAAAGGTCAAGTCCCGCTTGGCATACTCGAGGACAAGGCGGCCGAACTGCTTCATGTCGGGCCAGTCCGGGACGTCCGAGATGAAGCCGGGCGTCTCGTGGGCGGTCCCTTTCGCACCGTGCTCGCAGGCCACCCACTCTTCGCTCCGAAAGCTGCGACAAACCCAACTGACGGTCCCGTTGCACACGAGCAGGCGGCGCGAGAAAAAGGCCTCCTGGAATGTCCAGGCGCGCGTGGACCACGGAGTCCCCTCGCATATGCTCCTGGTGCTGTGACCCATCATGTCCTCGGTTTGAAGGACAGCACCGGGAAACGTCATGTGGCGGCAAATAATATCCCGAGGAGGTGGAGGAGGATCCACGCTGGGGCCGCCGTTCTTGTCACGGCAGACACCCGGTATGCCAAAGTCGCCGTGGGGGCCCTCGCTGGCAACGATGGTGAAATAGGCTCGGTAATAGATGGAGGCCATGGCGTTGATGAACATGGTCTTTTCTGCACCGCCGTCCTGGACGGTGCAGAAGCAATCCGTCCAGAAGAATCGGATCCCCAACCGGGAGGCCAAGCTCATGGCGTCCGCGATGGTACGGGTCAGCCGGGTACCGCTAGTTCTGGCAAATGTCTGCGGCGATAGAGCCCCCGGTTGTTGGAGCTGCGCGAGATTCTTGGTTGTTGTCGTGGGAATCTCTACCCGCCCCCAAACATAGCTCAGAGCGACGTAGCACGGCGGGCCATCCGCTGAAGAGCCATCCCCACCCCCATCCAGGTAGACCCGCACCAGGCATTCCTGCTCGAGGTCGATCAGGTAAAGGAATGGAAGGTTGCTTTGTGTCATCGGCGACGCCCCATCGGTATGGGTTATCGCATTGCTATGGAGGCGGTCGCAGGTCTCGATCCACGAGCTGATCAGCCCCGTGTCGATACGGTTCGCATCCATGAACCTTGCATATTTCATTCTAGCTACATATAGCCGCTGTGTGGCGTCGGCAGGTTCTATTTGCCACAGCATCGGGCCACGGCTGGTGCTGGGCTCCTGGCGATGCGGGTAGAGGTCGCAGAAGAAGCTCCTCCCATCGAATCGCAGCCGTGCGTCCAGGCCAGGGAGGTCGGGCTCTGCAACCTCTTTAACTCCGACGAGGGCAGCTACGATGGATTGGCAGCCTGCACAATCTCGCTTTGTCCTGATGCGCTCGAGGTTCCCCAGCAATACGGATGAGTGTGCTAACAGTTCCACCATGCCTCGCAAACGGATGATTTCGATACTCTCTTGGATGAGGCTTCCGACTTGGTGACATTTCTTACAATATCGTACCGTCACATCCATTATCGCAGGCCGAGACGCCGTACAGAGCCCACACAGATCGACTCCGGACACAACATAGCCCATGATATGTAACGTCGTTGGATCTGTCTGGATATTCAAGTCATGTTAGAATATACGAACCTAGGTAAGGTAGGTACGTTAGGTACGTTCCCATTTAGGCCTCGACGGATCGAGCCTGATCTTTTTACCGTAGGGAGATGCGTGGTGTCACACTGAGCAAAAGGACATCCTTGCCCTGCAAAGGCTAGGGGCACCCTGTACACTGCGATACGTGGCGTTTTGATTGAGTGGGCAGAGCAACATTCTACCGAGGTATGTACTCACGGCAAAAATGGAAGCAAGTGGGGAGACAATTCCATTTACTAAAAAAAGGGGTCCCGACATTTGGTGAAGTCGATCTAAACACAGGCTTTGCAACAAGAGTTTCTTTTAACATCATCGGTTGCAACTGCCGCGACCTTTACATTCCACTAGCTGGAGGTTCGGTGAAGAAAGAAACAATGGCATAAGCCCGTGTCTTTGAACAAGTAATACACAGAAAGTTGCAAATGTTTCGGACAGACATATTGTGAAAGCAACTGCTGACATCTCGACCGCAAATCAGGAAGAGGCAGCCCAAAGCGGCGCAGGAGGTCACAGATGAGGAGTTCCTAAGTAGCGTGTGATTGGCACACCAAGCAGTGACCTACCTAGGTAGGTAAGGCGGACTGACGAGGCAAGGCTCTCTGCAGCGAGAGGCAACCCTCGTCCCAGCCCCTCATTCCAGTCTCTGACAATCCCCTGGAATCCAAATCGGACCGTCGGAGCTGAGCCGCCATCTGGGTTTGGCACCTGCGAAAAACAACATTGCCCAACTACCGCCGCTACCTACTGTTGTCAACATGTCAGGGTCTCGTTCAGACGGGTCAGATGCGTCATGCAACATCTGCGGCCACCTCCGTCGCGAACCCCCTTCCGGGAGATTACATATCGCCAGGGCAACCTATCCTACGTTTGCAGACAGAGCGACACGTGGGTGCATATTGTGTGCCCTGATCTGCAACACCGCCGTCACTCATTCCGGCGCTTGGAGTTCTGTCGCTAAAGAAAAGGTGCACATCGATGTTTCCGCGATGAATAAAAAGCTTGCGGTCGTGGGACACGAGCTTTTCAGTGCTTGTCCCCCCGACCAGATTATGAGGGTTGGGAACTCTCGGCATCTATTCTATACAGCTCTGTACTCCCCATTAGGTACGAGGATGAGAAGCCACCATGATTTCGCTCCGACTTAACGGCTAACCCGTCGCTTGCCCGAAGAATCACCCTCCCCTGTCGAGGTTATACCGACATTCGCACACATTGATGCAGACCCACTGTCAGATGTTTCACGGGAGATGGTACGTGGCTGGCTGGAGTCGTGTGACAAGCATCAGGACTGCCGTGCCAGCAGCATCAAGATGCCCCCAAAGAGGCTTGTCGACGTCGGTGGCGGGGACGATGCTGCGGTAAGAATCACTTCCGCTACCGAGGACCATCGCTACCTGGCTCTCAGCCACTGCTGGGGCCGCGGGAAGAAGCCCCTCAGCACCACAAAGGCCAACGAGGCGTCCATGAGGGTATCGATACCGTGGGGAGCACTGCCGCAATCATTTCGCGACGCGATCCGGGTCACGAGGTGGCTGGGCGCTCGTTACATCTGGATCGACTCGCTGTGCATCGTCCAGGATGACGAGCAGGACTGGCAAGAGGAGTCGGCAAAGATGGCGGGCATATTCAGCGGATGCGATCTCGCCATCGCAGCTACCCGGGCCGCCGACTGCGATGAGGGATTTCTGCAGCACCGGAAAGAGGGCCAATTGGTCATGTCCGGGACACACCAGGGGACCCCGCTGGTGGTGTTTGCAAGGGACCGCACTGCTCACAGGGGACTTATGGGCACGGTACCGGATCCCTTCCATGAACTCCCGCTTTTCCAACGAGGATGGTGCTTCCAGGAGCGTCTCATGGCTCCCCGGACTCTCCACTTCGCAGATGATGAGTTGTTTTTCCAGTGTCGGACCGAGAATCGGTGTGAATGCTCGGGACGCGGCGCGTGGCCGTCTTCGGTGCGGTACTTCTCTGCCTATTATGACGCGGCTGTGTCCTGGGAGAGCCGCCAGATCCGTGCAAGTGAAGGGGAACAACAGCGACTCCTTGAACCAGGCTCCGATAGCGATGGCAAATCGGACACGGCCGGAAGCCTTTCTGGAAACAATACGACCGCCTTTGTCCGAAGGCTGTACGGCATGTCTGCCGAGGTAACCGTGGACGGAGAAGTAACCATCAGCTTTGGTGAGCTATGGGGCGATGTCGTGTCCGAGTACGCCTCCCTCGATCTCACCTTTCAACAAGACGTGCTGCCAGCACTATCCGGAATCGCCAACCTCATGCTGGCATACAATCCCGGTCGCTACTTTGCCGGCCTCTGGGAGCTTGACATCCATTACCTTCTTGGCTGGAGCTCTATCCCAAGCGAAGCCCGGTGTTATCGACCGCAAAACGCCACTGCGCCATCCTTCTCGTGGGCGTCTCGCTTCGGGCCAGTCGCCTTCCCGTATCAATGTATCATGACTCGCGTCTGCACGGTTCTCGATATCAAATGTGACGTTAAGGGGGCAGATCCGTACGGGCAGGTCCAAGGTGGGTATATTGTCTTGCAGGGAAAGCTCCTATCAGGCACCGTCGAAACGCGTCCTGATGGATTTGGACTTTTCCGAGCTTACGTCACGGTCTGGGATGCTAGAGGGGAGAAGCACTCGGGATTGATAGTATTCGATACCGAAGAAGATGAGGACGACGTTGGACCGGGCACGAAGCGCAAGGTCTATTGCTTCGACTTGTTCCGCAAAAGAGAGTGGGAAGAGACTGACGAGGATGACAGTGACCATTGTGGACATAGTATTGTTTTAAAGGAGAGTGGTGAAGCCGGGTCGTTCAGGCGTGTTGGGCCGGCAGAATGTTTCCCGACTGCAGCGTTTGACAGTGTACCGGATGTGATAGCTACAATTCTATGATGGGCCGGCTGTTTTGGTTCTCTCTATCCGCAAACTGCAGGAGGACGGGGAAGGTCTCTAGCGCACGTAGGAAAGCCCCGTGCCTATCATATCCGAACTGTCTCGAGCGACAGCTACAAAGTTCCTAATTCAGCATCGTGGTTCGAAGTCGCGCTGTGTTGGTCAGGGGAACATACTGTCGAGACTGGTGAAGTCGGGCATGATGAACCGCCGCGACTCAAACTCGCTGAGGGTACTGGCCCCGAGGCCCACGTTCTCTCCATTCCACGGCAACTGGGCGATAAACTCGAGAGATCTCTCGGTCAGACTTTTGAAATGCTTGCTCTGCTCCTGGTTTGTAATCGCCACAATGCCCTCCCACGCGCCTCGGACTCCATGAGGATCCTGGTACGTCTCGACAAAGCCAAGGACAAGCTCCACTGCTGGTGAAATATCCTTGATCCAGTGTGTCTGAGCCTCCTTGAAAGCCACGTGGTTCCCCGTCCGAAAGCATGCCAGCAGGGCGTCGATCATCAGTCCCTGCTCTTCGTTGGCAACATGTAACTGGGCTAGCTCAAGCTCCTTCGTGACCTTTCTGAGGCTTTCCGAGTAGTCACCAGTACGAATGTTGATGGTCGGGTTACCCGGCAAGCGCAGTCGGGCTGGCGATTTGAGCACGGGGAGCCATCCTCGATCTACCGAGGCAATGAGCAATGTGTATGAGACCTCGTCCGTCGATTTCGGATCTCGTGTCTTCTGAAGACGAGTATTCTCAGGAAGAATATCATTTGCCTCGAGGAATTCCTGGACTGCTTGGACCTCCTCTCTGGAGATGGGAAGGTTCTCAGGATAAAATCCGGAAGCGCAATTCTTGTCTGCGGAGTATCCATAGCGATGCGGATCGATGGAGTACATGCCATCAACGGCAACTGCAAAGAGCGTCCTGGTCGTCGCCGACGTGGAAGCAATCTTCTCGAAGGTACTTCGGTCCAGGCGGGGGATAAACTTGGTGTCTCCGTTGGACTGGCAAATGGCAGTCAGCACTAAGACTAAGTGCGTCAACGCCGTCCATGTCACCGGGGGGCTTACCCTGTAGTTTCCCACGTTTGACAGGAACATGGCTGCATATTCAAGGAATTGCATCATGTCATTCTCGCCAACTCCTGCATCAGAAGCCAACTGGCTCCAGTCTCCGTGTGATCGGCGATAAAGCTCCATGATAAGGTCGAATATGGACTCGGCCTCTTTCGAAGTCTGCTGTAGGATGATTCGAGTCCCATGGAATGCTGCGCGGCTCACAAAATGAGCGTATAGTTGTTCCTCGTTCGACAACTGCAGAAACGCCTCGCGAACGGGGATTCCGCAAATAGGGGCTCCCGAGTCCGCCCAAAACTTCTGGTGCTGAAGAATACTACCCATGCTGGAATTTGGCGACAACCCAGACATCGACTTCAAGTGGAACAAGTTGACGCTTGGGGGTGTTGTCCCTTTTTGGTAGTGTTGGAGAGAGTCTGTTTGTTGATGAAGACCCAGACGTTTTTATGCGTTGGGGTGTGGCTATCAGGTCACGGCCATGGGTGTCTAGGTAGGTACCTACTTTACACAGTATCAAGTGAATGCCGATGTTAGCCCGTGAAGAGTGTACTTCTCCGTACTGTACTTTCCATCGTACCTAGGTAATTAGAACACACAATCTGGAAGCGGAACCACTGAGCACTTTCCCTCTTACCACAGGGCCCGTCGCTCACTCACATCGGTCGAAAGAAAACGCCGGGCCTTTTAATTCATGGAGGCCGCCGCTATCACCAGTCCAATTGGCGGGTAGTGTGTTTCTGGGGTGAGTCTATCTTCATCGCGAACCCGTGAGACCACACCGCGTTCGAAGACCCAAAGACTTGGCTTGATTCTCCCAGGGATTAAAGCATTGAGCCTGCGTGGCGAGAGTCCTGCTAAGCCAGTACTTTTGGCGTCCCATTTCCGTCCCCGTTCGCATGCGTGAAAAAACATCTTAAAAGCGTGTGCAATCACATGGCCAGTGAAACCCGGTCGCCAATTGCATCTTGTCTCGGTATTAGCGACCATCGGTAGGGCTCGGGAGACCGCGCGATAGTGTTGGAATCGATTCCGGCAGCCAACGTCAATTAGGGAACATGGGTGCCCGCAACGAGCCGTCTCAAGTCTCGTGCCTTTTGGGGTCAACTCCGGAAGTTCTCGATGCCAAGCCTGAGTCGTGTCACAGGCAGTGAAATCACATTCGGAAGAGCGACGGTCACGACAGTATGTACTTTCGTTGATCACGAGAAAGGACGCCCCGAGAGGTCAAGCCGAGGCAGTGGGTGTCCGTAGTTCGGCATGAGGATTGGCGACGCCAAACTACCTACCGAGTAACCTAACAAAAGCAAGGAAATACAGCGCGGTACGGAGGTAAATACGACGTACACGGTAGACGCAAGGTGAGACATGCACACATGGGAACTCTCCGAGACTTTCAGGAGGCACGGCAGGTGGTACAGATGTGTAGTTGTTGCAATGCTGAAATGATGGGGCAGATGGGGCGGATAGAGCGCCATTTCAGAGTTCGGCTCTTGGTCGTCTCCGGATTCCCGGTAAATGCCTCCCGAGGTGTGTCGGTGAAGCGGGCAATCACGTGAAGAGGCCTTGCGGTTAAATCGAGGTTGAAATGACGTCGGGATAGGCGGTCAGGTGGCTGCTTTCGGCTGAAATGCCCTGGAAAGGGCGCACTGCGCCCCCCTGTGGCCCGGCCGGCCTTGGCACCGCAGCCGAGCCACAAAATAACAGTGGCAAACTGAAACGACAACTTGGGCCGGCCGGGTCGAGCCTGGCCACCGGGCTCAAGGGATTCGTATCAAAAGTTTCTCTTGCTATGTTTAGAACAGGTAACTAAGTAAGGCCGGCCCCGGCGGTGAGCTCCATGGAGGGCCGGGCCGCGGCTGAAAGATTGACATGAAGTTTCTGAACGTGGCATTCGTGTTGTTGAGTTCAGACGGCGGTGACCTGCAAAGGGTTTCAGACGCGTGCAGAAGCAACTCGGGAATCGAGGGATTTGTTGAACTCTGAACCAGGGGTTCGGTGCAGGACTGCAGGTACCCTCGTACCGAGGTACCGTGTACTCAGTGTGCCGGGTGCGAGGTGTGTTTGGCAGCTGGCGGTGTGCTTTTGTGCGCATCAGCGCCCTTACGCAAGTTGGCATCTTGGCCAACCAGCGACGGCCGATAACATCCATGGCACACCGATCTGGGCCGTGGCGATCGCGGTAGTGGGGTGTCGGGGGCCATCGGAGGGGCCGGCGGGCCGGAAAACGTCGCTAAGAATAAAGTGACAAAACTCGAAAACCCCTCATTGGGCTGCAAATGTCTCGCCCATCGCGGGCCGCATTTGAACACATTCCTGGAGAGGCGCGATTGGCGACGGGGGCAAGGGATGAATTGGGCACGTCGCGTGTTTAGGCCGTCTGTTCGGGGCCGGCAGGAGACCCGGCAAGGTCTAGTGGAAGCAACAAAGGCCTCGATGTTTGGGAATGGGCCCCACGGCCCCGCCACCCCCCCATGCGGGGCCCCTCCGAGCCGTCGCCGATAAAATTCCCTCGGTCCCTGCATTGAAATGTGACTCTTTCGCAACTGCCCAGATCCTCTGTCGTCAATTATTGATTTCCTTGATTTTTGTTGCTTGCATTCAAAAACAAACAAGATCATATTTCGCGGCCTTGCCCATCCCCTTCTATACCAGATATCCTAGTTTCCCAAAACAACAACAGTAACACCGCAATCATGGTACAGTCTCTCCAATTTCTACTTGCGGCCGCCCCACTTGTTAACAACTTCTCTGCGCAGGCGACATCAGAAACATCAATTTCCCGATCAGAGATCGTAAGCACCAACATGGCCCAAGGACTGAAGCTCCGAAAATAGTACTGACGTGCCATGGCGCTTAGGTCAATAACTACACCAACCTCGACCAAAAGGGCATCGTCATCGCAGAATACGTCTGGATCGATGCCGAGGGCAACAACCGCTCCAAGACTCGCGTACGCGACCCCCAAATCCGCTTAGACCCCGAAGTATATCACACCGGTAGCTGACTCGGCTTGCAGACCCTCGAGCCTCGTGACGATGGCAAGCAGTGGGACGTCGACACATTACCCATCTGGAACTTCGACGGGAGTTCCACCGCCCAGGCTCCTGGCGAGAACTCCGATGTCTACCTCCGGCCCTGTGCCGTCTACCCCGACCCCTTCAGGAAGGGAAACAACATCCTGTACGTTTTCGACATCTAGACAAACTCAGGGGTACATTGAGAGGGGTGCGCTAACACGGTCACTAGTGTCCTGACAGAATGCTGGAACCATGACGGGACCCCTAACAAGTACAACTTCCGCCATGAGTGCGCCAAGCTCATGCAGGCACATGCCGAGACAGTACCTTGGTTTGGCCTGGAGCAGGAGTACACTCTGCTCGACCTGAACGACAAGCCGTACGGCTGGCCCCAAAACGTATGTCGCTGCCCGCTCCGAAACTCGGAGGGTCAATGATTGAAAGACTAACCCTCCTTTTCACAGGGTTTCCCCGCTCCCCAGGGCCCATATTACTGCGGCGTCGGTGCCGGCCGGGTCGTGCAGCGCGATATCGTTGAGAGCCATCTCCGTGCCTGCATCTACGCCGGCGTCAAGATCTCGGGCACCAATGCCGAGGTCAGCAAGTCACAATGGGAGTTCCAGGTCGGCCCTTGCGTCGGCATCAGCAGTAAGTTACATTGCATATCGCATCCTCTCGAATGGTGCACTAATTTGCTGCTTAGTGGGTGACGATCTCTGGATTGCCCGCTACATTCTTGCCCGCGTCGCTGAGGACTTCGGCGTCAAGGTTTCGCTGCACCCCAAGTTGATTCCTGGCGACTGGAACGGTGCCGGCATGCACAGCAACTTCTCGACCAAGGAGATGCGCGAAGATGGTGGCATGAAGGCCATCGAGGCTGCCATCAAGAAGCTGGAGGCCCGCCATCTGGAGCACATTGCCGTCTACGGCGAGGACAACGAGAAGCGGCTCACTGGCCGTCACGAGACCGGTGCCATTGACTCGTTTACCTAGTATGTCAACCCCCATCCCCTGTCTAAACTAAGCGAGACGTTGACTAACCAAACTCCAGTGGCGTTGCCAACCGTGGCGCATCCATCCGCATTCCTCGGGAAGTCGCTGCCAAGGGCTGCGGTTACTTCGAGGACCGCAGGCCCGCGAGTAACGCCGACCCCTACCGTGTCACCGGTATCCTCATGGAGACGTATGTATCAACACAATCCCTGCTACCGTGCTCTAGCTAACCGCCTCGTAGGATTTATGGAGCCGTCTAAGGATCGGTTGGTGTTAGTTTGGATTCGTCGCTTTGAGAGCATCTTAGTGGCGTAGCCCCGGGGGGCCACGCTGAGTTTTATGGAGGACACTCCGACGGTTTTTACACATTGGTTACATCTTGGGGCCCTATTCCTTGTTTAGATCTGCCCACGAGGCTAGTCAAAAGGGATTAGGATATTTAGAGGCATGCTGCCTGCCTGCCTGCCTTGCCAGCTTTATATGAAGGCTAATGCACGGCTCGGAACGGCGCGAGCATTTGGGTTATGACGCTGCGTGTTAACATAGAGCATTATCGTAGGGCGCCAAGGGGCTTTGGGAAAGGGTACACCGTACAGGGTATAATATCAATAGACGGGATGAAGCGGCAAGGCTATCATCCATCGCCTTTCGGCATTCATCAACCTCCCGATCTTGTCGGGACTCGCCGCGCAAATATTGAGACGCTTGCTCCGCCAATACCACTTGCATGATATGTGGTTACTGGAGAGCTCAGAAAGCATTGAATCTGTGAAACGCACTTACTTTTTGCTCGTCGCCCATCATAGACCGCTCGAGCAGACCTTGTTCACGTTAGCCAAAACGGCGGGGGCCAACACAGGGTTGTTTCACGACGGGGCTTGGGGAGACTTTATCGACTCTCTTTACGAGGTGGGCTCCTCGCCTTGTCAGACTATCGTCTCCCCCGAGTCCGGACTAGAGGGCCCAACAAATACAGAATTCCAACCCTCAGGTGCCTGCTTCCCTCTTCCGCGCTCGGACACGCAAGTCTATCATCCATTTAATCAACATCATACCTAATTTAGGGCACCTTAAGTGAACCTGGTGTTCTGTTCCCCAAGACGGCAACGCCAGTGGGAACTAATGACGTACATACATGTTCATCCGGCAGAGGAGCTCCTGGAGGAACCGTCCCCGCAGTTGGACGAGCGGGCATGCCTTACCCATCTCCCCGTTAGCGGTTACCTCCCGGTTGCTTAACCATGGTGGAGCTAAGGTGACATTAATGACGTTGGTGTTCCTGTTTTATGCACGACGTCTGGCTCCATCACGACTTCCTTCTTGGCACGAAGGAAGGCTCGGCTGTAGTTGCCGAGGGCGGGCGTACTTCGTACTGTGCTTTGATCGAACTAGTGCAGCCCGGTGTATTTGGGTTGCAAATTAATTAACGGTTTGTTAAACTAAAGTCACCAAGGAACCTAACCGTAGACCACTCACTAGCCGCCACCCTATGGCTCAATAACTGGAAGAGTGCCTGTGATATCCGGCGGCGGTTTGTTGTTAGTAACCCGAGCGAAATAGCCTCGTTGTTAGTAAAGTTGCACTTGAAGGATGGTGACGGTTGTCTTGCCGCATGAACCATAGGTAATCAATCGCTTTAATCCTGGAGGCTTGCAGATGCTGGAGCAGGTCGTTCGGTACATACCTTTAATCTGTATTCGTAGGTATGACTTTAATCCCCGTCTCTTCGTATTCGAAATGGCTTCCAACGCCCCAATCCCACCAAAGATGTTGCTTCTACGAATAAATGCTACAGAAATAACTCCCTCCCGTTATTCAGAATTTGGGCGTTGCTGAGGCTGCCCTGCGAGCTTGCGCCCCAATGCATTTGAAATGCCTTACCACTTTACCTTAGGTAGGTAGCTTAGCGAGCTTTTTCAGGCACCGGTTAGGCGCACCGGCAAGGACGGCCCAGTCAAAGTCCTTGCCAAGCGAAAAGAAATGAGGCATTGAATCCTCCGCGGGTGTAACTATCGAATGTCGGAAAGGGAGCCAGTTTTGTGGTATTTATTCATTACCTCCTTCTTTCAAACCCAATCCATGGGTCGTAAAATCCACAATCTTTTGTCGGTACCTAATTTTTTGTTTTGTTTGGTCTTCTTTTTTTGTCAGGATCGTCACAATGCGGACAACTGTCCTTCCATTCCTGCTCGCCGGCGCTGGCTCGGCGTTGGCCGCGCTGGAAGTCGATTTCGAGTCAACGAGTAAGCCAGATTGGACGGTTGGAACGGTCAGACGGAGAGATCCAAGTAAGAACTAACTTGACTCCCAGGCTCAATTAAGGCTGCCGCCAAAGATGTGGCATTTGACCTCATGTCCTACTACAAGGGCAACCAGAGCGGCGAAATCCCGGGGCTCTTCCCCATGCCCGACGGCAAGTACGACTGGTGGGCCAACGCGCTTGTGTGGTCGACCATGATCGACTACTGGCGCTACACGGGCGATGACACATACAACAACGTAACAATAGAGGGCCTGATGTTCCAGCGCGGTCCGAGTCTCGAACAACCCTTCCTCCCGGCGAACTACAGCGTATTCACTTTGAACGAGCACCAGGCTTTATGGGGCATAGCCGCCATGCAGGCCGCCGAGGCTGGCTTCCCTAGCACACCCGATGGCGCGCCGAGCTGGATCGAGCTGGCGAAGGCCGTGTTTGATAGTCAAGCCGCGCGCTACTCGGCCGAGGAGGCGTGCGGCGGTGGTCTGCGCATGTCCATATCGACCCAATCCGCCCTGTGGAATAGCAAGGACACCGCATCCACGGCCATCTTCCTCAACCTAGGTGCGCGCCTATATCGGTTCACCGGCAACGAGACCTACGGCGAGTGGGTCGAGCGGGGCTGGAACTGGCTCACTGCCATCGGGCTTGTTGACCAACAGATGAACGTCTGGGACGTGTCCCATGATGGCGCGGGCTCGAAGTGGAACTGTTCCGAGTCCACTATCATTAAGCTCCGACTCTCCAATCCCGCAAGCCTGCTCCTCCAGGCGGCCGCCTACATGACCACCCAGGTAAGCAAGAAGCCAACGACACAACCCAGCACACACATCCTCACCCCCCTCCCCCCTGACCTCCAACTCCCAACATAACACAACCACACAACACAACACAACATAACTAACCAACCCCCCCCCCACCTTCCCAAACCCAGACCCCCAAATCCGTCGACACCGCCAACTGGCAAGCCCGCCTGCACGCCCTCACCGGCAGCACGCTCACCCACTTCTTCCCCACCACCAACACCAGCAGCCCCAACACCCTCGTCGAGCCCTACTGCGAAAGGTACCCCGAATCAGTCTGCCACGGCCGGCCCGAGCACTTCTACAAGGGCATGGCCATGCGCTACGTCACGGGCGCCGCCGCGCTGGTGCCCGACTTCCGGGGGCCGGAGCACGCCGTCGCGCGCGCCCTGCGCGCGACCGCCGAGGGGGCCGCCGGGGCGTGTAATGGCGGCGGGGGCCCGGGGGGCCAGGAGGGGCGTGAGTGTGGTTTTCGCTGGACGGGCGGGGAGGCGGCCCGCGAGGACCGTACTAAGGGGGGCGTGGTGAGGGAGTTGAATGCGCTGGCGGCGGTTATGGCGCCGTTGGTGGATGGTGCGGCGGAGTTGTTGCGTGATGGGGAGGGTGGGGATGGTGGTGAGGATGGTGGGGAGGATGGGAATGGCGGTGGTGGGGGTCAGGGAGGTGAGGGAGGTGACGGGGGTGATGGTAATGGGGATGGCACGGAGGGAGGGGATGGGAACGGAGAGAATGCTGGCGCCTCGACCAAGGCTACCATGGGGTTGGTGCTGGCTGGGTTGGCTGCTGCGCTGCTTTAGGGAAGATGGCCAAATATACCTACCCAAGCATATACGGTGTCGTGTTTCGCATTTAGGGGTGGGGGGGGTGGAACCGGGCAAGGGAGTCCGGTCCAAAACTGCTCTTAATGATGCCGATTCCCTCTTTCTTTATCAGTGCGTTCCTTGCGATACCTGCATGCTATCTTCAGCGAACAACTGCTGCAGGCGTGGGAACCGTTCTTCGAGTTTGTCACACGCCGCCCGCCTGCGAGACCAAAGCCGCGCTTCAGAATGTTGCAGGGTGTGCGCCGTGACACGAGAGCCGGCTGCCGATGCGAAAGAAGCAGCCATGAGTGGTCCTGTGACGGCGATGGCAGCGCCTCCCGTCACGGCGGTCAATACGCACGCGCCCGCGAACACACCCATGCCCCCCGCCCGGTTCCTTTCCCACGCCTTATTCCTCCGGTCCGTCACCTCCGTTTTCCTCAACATGTTCCGGCGCCGCATTATGTCGCAACACACGGATTCCTCGCCCTCGCCAACCAGGAGATGCCCGAGGGCGAGTGCAAAGTCGGCGTCGTTCCACCAGATGTTGCGATACTCGCCCCAGATGTTGTCCAGCTGTATGTAAACTGCCATGCTGTCAGTCCGACATTCAAGGATGCTAGAAATACAACTGCAGTAGCCGTGGAGTGCTTGGGCCGATGGCAAACTCACAAGAGTTACAAATCTCGGTGGGTTCCTGGTCTCCAGCCACGACTCCTAGAACCTGGAGGGCATTGATTTGGCTAATGCGGTCGGGACTCCACGTAGACGCTCTCGAGCCAGGAGGACTCCCGATGTTATCACCACAGTGGTCCCAGAACGGTTGTCCCGTCAACTTCTCCTTCAATGTCGTTGTGGTGCATCTCCAGTTCTCCTCGGCGACGAGGCAGACTGCGAAATGTCGCCTAAATGCCAAAGATGCTAGCAGGGATGGAATGGAATTTGTACTCGTTGAGGCCCAGGGGATCGGTTCCGGCTCTTCGGATGTCGTGTTGCACAGGCGGTCGCTGACCGGTCCGTAGGTGTGGATGGGAGGTGTCGTTACGAGAATGGCGAGGTAGTTTTGGCGACAGGGCGTAGGCCGAGTTGAAGAGTCAGCCCCTGGGGCCGTTCCGTTTGAGCCATCATACGCTCGAGTACCTGGGCCGGGTCAGAGGAGATCATCATGGCAAAGGGAGGGAGTGGGAGCAACGTTACCGCCTCTTGCCCAGCTGAAAAAGGCCAAGGCCAAACTGATATACTTTGGTTGAACCCAGTTTGCCCAGCCCATCCAGGTACTGGGAACTTGGTCCAGTGCCAGATTCGCAATCTCATGCAGGCCCCGACCGGCGGTGAAAGCGGTAGCGACTCTTTCGGCCCATGTATTCCTTCTCCAAAAGTCGTGCCCGTGCCATGCTGCCAAAGTAAGGGCTCCCCAGAAGAGAAAGCCGCGGAGCAGCAAGAGACGCTCTGGAGTGAAGATTAAGAATCCAGCAACCACGGCAAAAAGAATGGTAAATTCAATTTGTGTCAGAGGCATTTCTCTGTTTTTGTAGGCAACCGCCTAACATAAATTATGAGAGCGTATACGGCGAACGGGAGTAAACCGGAGAAGTACAGGGGGGGGATCTTCAAGCCTACACTCTTTATGGGCGTGATGCGCCTCACCGCCAAACCCAGTCACGAAAGTAAACAGAAACTAACACGTCATGCATGAGCGCGGGGAGAATGGGCTCCGTTTACTAAGACAGCCCTGGCCCTTTGGGCACCGAGACTCGTTGAGAGAAGTGAGGCTCCAATCATCAGCCACGTGGTCCCACACAACTTCCTCGAGTCACCACTCACCCTCTGGCCAAAAAAAGCCGAACTCAAAAAGGAAAGCAAGAAATCAAGCAAAAAGAACAAAATAAAAGTAGGCGAGAAGAATAAATCGAATAACAGAAAGAGGGTAAAAGAAAAAGTGAATGGGGCAAATAAAGTTTCTTTAGGCTTTAGAATGGCTTTCGTTCTGTTCTTACAGTCGGGTCTCGGGGCTTCCATTATCGATATCTGCCCTTGGAGTTCATGGAGTTCATGCCGCCTGCAGGCAGGCATGTTAAACAACAGGCCGTGTTCAAGTTTAACCTGGCTCCATAACCGTGTCCTCGAATGGGCGCCGGGACTGGATGTGAGTCTGACCTCAAATGATAACATTGTGAATGCAACCTATTAACTACCTACCTAGGTAAGGTACTCACGCTCCAGCTCCCTAGTTTTTATCCGCCTATTTACCTCTATGGTTCGCTTAATACAGTGGCAAGTCCGGGGAATCGGTGGTCCTGAGTACCCAAGGTTAGGTAGGTACCTAGACATGGATATCAACGAGCAACATGAAACTGCCGAACACTTACGCCCTCGCCCTGGTTGCCCCCCCATCAACTGGCTGACCGCCGAGTTTCATGACACCATCGGAAAAGGGTCTGATACACAATTTGGCACAGTCTGGTACAGTCGATCGCAGTTGGAAAATGGCAACTGGGGACGTGGGTTTGCATCTAATTATTGCCTGCGTTGACCAAGGCCATATCACCAGAGAGGGCGCGCTGACCTATACGTTGCCTTACGAGCAGTAACGGTGGACCGCTGTTGGATTCCCACGTCTTTTCACTGGCGCCTGCAGGTACACGGTGGCCAAGGTATGTATGTGGCGTTCCTGACGCACCTGGGTGAGATGCAGACGGAACGGAGAACAGCCGTTAGGGAATTCTGCCCTGGAAGTTGTCTTTAAGCCGGAATGGAGTTTATCCCTACAAGCCCCGACCGGGCACACCAACAGATTAACCAGCCAGACGATGTTAGTTAGTGGCCAGGGGGCCGCAATATCCGCAACCCTATTTTAGTCGAGGAATGATCTGCCGATCCCCGAACACACGGCTCTTCGTTCATTGATCGGTGCGAAGGGTTGGATTAGAATAAGTGGCCCCGTTCGCCGCTGCGGCTTCCAACCTATCGGTGATTCTAGAAGCGCCAGTGTTTAATTAACTACCTCCGAGGTCTGTAAATTAAGAGGGGAACAGGACTTACGGTCACGCATTCTTAACTACATATGCCCGCCGGCCCCATCCACCTTGGCCGAAGCTTATCGTAGACCCTCTAAAGTCTCCGGTCCGTTACAATAATAATATCATCACGATGCTCGGCGCCTCTGTTCTCTTCCTCGCCCTTGCCGCGGTCGGCCTCTCCCAGGAGATCCCTGAAGGCTACCGCACCGTGTACATCACGTCGAATGTAGACCCCAAGTTTGTCATCGTCGCGAAAGAGCGGACCGCCGGCAGCACCACCATCGTGTATGCCCCCTACCCTGGAAAGCGGAAAGAGAGTAATGGTCCCTAACCAAAGTGTTCGGCCCGATACAGCAAGACGCGCAATGACACGCCGGAGCAGCAGTGGTACCTCCAGGACGGCGCGACCAAGATTCAGCTGGCTGGTACCACGCTCTGCATGGACGGAGGCGCTGAGGGTAAGTCTGTGCGGGCAAAGGAGTGGTGGGACGACAAAACCTCACCCTTCATACAATGAGAGAGGGAAAAAGAACTAACACTCTGGTGCCCCAACACAGCCAACTGGAAGGACATGGGCAACATCTACGTCAACGAGTGCGCCGAAACCGAATCCCAGAATTGGTTTGTCATGGACGACGGCCGCATCGCGCTGGAGCCCTCAGATCAGAGTACGTCTTTCCATATCATCATTGGGTTACCCCTGGGCACTTTAGCACAACCGTCAACCGTCGCCCGCGAAGCAATATACAAGCTGACAGCAAAACAGAGCAGTGCGTCGACTTGGTCTACATGAGGGCGGTGGAGAACAATGCCGTCGGGCTGTACAGCTGCGCTGGATTGGGAAACATCGGGGCGGCCGACAAGGGGATCAACTGGCCGTTGGTCGATGCCACAGCTTGAATGGAGCATGCGGTATTACGAGGTGCAAAAGTCTGACCTTTAAGTTACCTCGGCTCGGGAGGTTGGTTGAGGGTGTGTGTGTGTTGCTATGTACCAGCATCGCAACTAAAGAAGTGATAAAGGCAACACCATCAATTTTGTTACCTCGTCCTCCAGCATACCTACCCGGCTTGCAATTTATATCCTCTAATCCCTCCACTCCCTTACATTAAGGTCCGTCGCCCTCTCCGCCACAGCATACGCCGTCGCCATAAGATGCGACCCCAGCACCAGCGGCAGGACACTTATAGACAGCTTGCGGCTTAAAACCTACGATAGGGATGTGTTGCCCACCGATGCACCTCCCCTAGCCCCCCGTCCTCCTCTTCTGTTCCCGTGTTCATTTCCCCTGCCCGATGTACCTCCCCTACCCCCACGACTCCCACCTCCCCTACCCCCACGATTCCCACCTCCCCTACCCCCCCTACCCGCACCTCCTCTACCCGCGGGCGCGCCTCCTCTAACCGCCGGTGCACCTCCATTGCCCACCGGCGCACCCCCTGCCCGAGCAGCACCCTCAGCCGCCGGCCACGGCAGCTCTGCCTCCATCGCCCTCATGGCCTCCCCCAACAACTCATACCTCGACACGCCCGCCAACACCTTATGCCAATCCGCCTTATCCAAGCCGGGGATATTCGCGGCCAGCAGCTCCCCCACCGTGACCCTGCCGTGCTCCCTCGCCTGGTCCTCGAACCCAAACGCCTCGGCCGCCCTCCAATACTCCGCCGGCGCCGTCACACCCCGCGACACACCCACCCGCCACACCCACGGCGGCGGCGGCGCCGTCTCCCCCCCCACCAAGTCAACCCGACAAAACACCACCACCCCATAGTCCACTGGCACCGCCCCCCCGACCCTGCCCGTCCCCGCCGCCGCCCCGACAATCTCCTCCTCCCTCGCGAGGAAGTTCTCCACCGACGCCACCAGCAGGGTACCCACCCCGCGCGCAGCCAGGCGCGCACGGTACTCGCCGTCCCCCCCCAGCTTGCGCACGGCGGCGACGACGCGGCGGAAGGCGCCGCGCGGGCCGGCGCCGTCGTACGGCTGCTCGCCGACGCCCGAGTCGGCGGGGACCTCGGTGTGGCCGGCTATGGTGACGCCGGCGGGCTTGGTCCGCCGCAGGTGGCCGACGAGCAGATCGACCTTGCCCTTGTTGGCGGTGGGGATGACGACCTGGACGATGGCCCGGTTGGGGGCCGGGTATGATCTGGTTCCGTCGCGTGGCGGGGCTGGGGGGGGGATGGTGGGGAGGGTCTGGGGGTTGGGCTTGTGACGGTTGCTCAGCTTCGCGGCGGACGGGGCGGGGAGGATGGAGGTGTTGTTTTGGAGGAGCTCGAGGTTGGTTGGGAGGTTCGGGTTGAATAGGGGATCCGTTGATTTGGCGGGCGCTGGTGTTGCGGATGGTGCTGCTGCGCCCGGGGCGGGTGCCGCGGGTCGCTGGGTGTTGCTAGTGGACGGCATGATGTTGTTGTGTATTGAGCTCGTCGCTGTTGAAGTCCGGTGCTGATTGTGCTGGAAGTAGAGAGTTTCGAATGTGGAAGGCACTCTCGGTTTGTGGAAATATGGCACGTTGAAGTGACAAATCATTAAGAATGTGCATGGCGCCGGAATGAGTCTAAATACATCTCAACGACGAGGAAAAAGAAGTTACCTAGGTACCTAACCAACGGTGTTGCCAACACGGTGTTGGTCGCCACTCGCCAGCCATTGGCCGTCGAAGGCACAGCTGGCCGGTGTTGGCCGTGGCAGAGAAGTATGGCCGGGGACTGGGTGAGGCTGTTCAAGTGAGATTGATGAAAAACTGAAACTCGCCTCCGGGCGGCCCCCACACTTGTTGGCTCATGGTATTTGAACGTAGAAGGCATTTGGACAGCGATATGGTTAATGTATAGGAAAAAATAGGGCTAGGAATATAAAGTTATCTTATACTCTACGCATTCTACAGTATAATTTAACCAATACACAGTTTAAGGTTAGGGGCTACCTATCCGGGTACTTTGCCTCATCTCACCACCGGGTATACCTTACCGCCCCCAACTTACCCTAGCTCGTGTCGTACAATGGACTTCCTTGCTTATTTAAGTATCCCTCGCTTATCCGGCCCGCTGAAAGCGGCCGGAGCCTGGCCCATAAGACTACCGAATACTTCCTATTCTGGCGGGAATATCGCGTTCTCGCGTGTATAGCTCTGGCTCGCGCGCCAAAGGGGGTAAGCTAGGGCAAGCTCCGGGTGACCTTAACACCTGCACTGCCTCACTAACAGCAGATTGTCTCCAGACTTTCCCTAATATGCCCGACCCGCCCGTCCCAGGTCCAGAAACGGGTTGCGGACGAGCCCAAACCAACACGAATCCTATTCTAGTTCGAGGTCAACCCCCAACACAAATCTACCCATTCCGCCTGACTCCCGACCCACGCGGCGGACGGGCGTGGCATTGGTCAATCCCCTGCAAAGCTCGACACAATGTCCCACGGAACCAGCGATGCTTTCTATTACGCGCGGGAGGTCGAAATCTAGCGTTTCCTCGCCACCTTTCTCAAGATCGAGGACGACGTAATGGTCATCAGTCAGGTGTTACAAAGTTGGTATCACACAATGGCCCCTCCGTTTAGCAAGATGGTGGCTTAATAGATAGGTACCTAGGTTTCCCCGCAGTCTATACCGACGTTTAATTCTTGCTTTATTACGCGAGGAACTTGTGCACACGGCTGGTTATGGATCACATGTCGTGCCAGTAAGTCCTTCGAGTCACGATGGCCATTCCCATTCAGAAATCGGTTAAATCCTTCCGGAGCAGAGATGTATCTGGAAGTGTGGTGATCGGAACCTCCGTCGTTCTAGCTACCTTATTTAAAGTCACACCTTGAAGCTCTGCGTCGAGGTTCAACTCGGCTTGTACCTCGCCCTCAACTGGATAGGTAGCGTTAAGCCGTCAACGATAGTACATAAGAATGAGAACGTCTCGGGTCGCACTCCTCGGTGCATTGTCTGCTTCGGATGTCTTGGGACACAGTGAGTGTGCCTTTGTCGAATATGAACAGAGTGGACTGGCAGCTGATAAATTCCGTCAGATGTGCAAGGAATCCTTCTCGTGAACGGCACCGACACGGCCGAGTGGAAATACGTCCTGTGAGTCACGACGCAGCCGCCCAACCCACGCATCCTCCAGTCCTGATGGTGCTAATACCTCGCAGCGATGTGACCTCAATCTTCTCACTCGACCCCAGCCATTACCCACCCGGTTATCAAGGATACAAACTTGATCCCATCATCGGGGCCGCAAACCCAAACATAACCTGCGGCCGAGCAGCATTCGATTCCGCGCCTCGGACCCAGACAGCTGACGTGCTTGCGGGTTCCGAGATTGGCTTCCGAGTCTCGGCCGACGGCAATGGCAACAGAAACGCTGAATACTCACAATTCCCAAGCTTCTGGCATCCGGGTCCCGCGCAGATTTACCTCTCGCGCGCCCCGAACGACGACCTCCAGAGCTACAGAGGCGATGGTGCCTGGTTCAAGATTGCCTACGCAGGCCCCTTGAACAAACAGAACTGGTCGCTGTGGCCAAGCGTATCCGACGTGCGTTTCCCCGCTCCTTCTTCTGCTGGCTCTGCTGAGCCATCTGGCTCGTGAATCGTGGCGTGCGCTGACGGCAGGGCTCCTTCTGAGATCCAGTTCAACTTTACCGTCCCTAAAACTACGCCGCCTGGTAAATACCTGCTGCGCATTGAGAACTTCATGCCTACGGCGCATACCGGTTACCTTCAATTTTACATCAACTGTGCTTTCATCAACATTATTGGCCCCGGTGGGGGCACCCCGACACAGTTTGTGACGTTCCCTGGCACATATCAAGACGATGACCCAGGTAACGATCCGCCGAGCCCCGTACGGTAAAGGATGTTGCTAACTCCCTGGCTTTCACATGAAGGCTTTCTCGTGCCCCCGAACCAAGACTTGATGGGTGGGCCCGTGAAAGCGGATGGAATGAGGTTGATGGAGTACAACCCCCCCGGTCCGCCTGTGTGGACGGGGTGACCCGGGTGAGTGGTTGTAGCCCTGACAAGCATAAAGGGCAATCAGTTCGGAAGATTCAGGACTCAAACCTAGCGGCAGAAAGGTTTTCAGCTACTGTTGTAATTACTGGAAACAACGGTCGTCATCGGCGCCTCCTGCGCCTATCATCGTCCTCCTCACTCTTCTGCTTGCCTTTCTGCCAGATACACATGCAGGTCATGGCAGCCATGATGCTCCAGAGCTGACCAAGCTCGCCGGTTGCTCCACTGCCCCTGTACTCAAAGTCGCCCATCTTGGACATGGCGCTCTTCACGGTGCCGGCATGTGCCCACACGGCGACCACTTCCTTTTGGTCGCTCGAGTATCCGTCGACCCTCGCGCCCGACTTACCATGACCCCCGCTGCTGTCATCTGACTCGTCTCCCATCCGCAGCAGCTTCCACCCTCCGTACCCCCACCGCGACTGATCCGCGATGCTCCTCACCTCGCTGCCGCGCGAGCGCCGCCACTCAAACCTCTCGACGCGCCGGTGCTGTCCGTCCCCGACCTCCATCGCAAACCAATACCACGGCTGTTTCCACGACGCGGGACAGTGCAGGATCTCGGTGCGTTGTTGTTGTTCGTACGGAGGCAGCGCCGGCAGCGTGATGGCGAAGGACTCGCGCATCGCGCCGGCGCGCTCGGCGTGGGCCAGCGGCGGGTGGTACTGGCTCGGCCCTCCGTGCAGCGTCATGTTGCCGCGCCAGCCGTTGGCGAGGCTGAGCTCGTACGCATGCTGCTCCGAGTTGTAGTCGCGGAGGGAGTACGAGATGTGTGGCCAGCTCCCCGTGATCGAAGCAACCAATCTGCGAGGCAACCCTATCGCTGCTATCTCTGGGGGGGCTACGGGGTTGCCGGTGGCGGCGGGGGGTCTGGACTGTTCCTGGCCCATGTTTGGTGCGAGAAGGACAATAGGAGTACGTGGGCTGGGGATTCTAGGCTGTGCGATGGTGAGCCTTGAAGCTAGGGGGGCCATAAAGAGTATTGTGGCGTGGTCTGCGCTTTTCTGAGAGCGACCTGATGATGGTTAAATAGTCTGATACCTGACAGCGGTTAGGTAGTCATGTTACTCGAGTCCGAGGCTGATCGATAGGCTCGCTCTCAAACGAGGCATTGTTACCAGCGTGCGCCACTCTCAGCCAAACCAATGTCGAATTGTCTGATTGGTTCGTCACCGAAGCATGCCCAAGGCAGGGTAACGTCAGCACAAGTAAGGTGCGTAGCACGAGTCCACATTCGCTAGCTGTGTCTGGAAGTTGAGCATTTTGGTGTGGCTGTCAACCGACCCCCTTCCAGGTTGTCCGTGTTACATCTTATACATGAGACAGTACAGTCGATACTTGGGGAATTTGAACACCCTTACTACTAAGACCCAGCCGCTACGACAAGTTCACAATGCCACCAGTACAACCTCAGCGACAAACACTGAGGAGTAACGGACTTCAGTTCAAACTTATCAGTCACGGGGCCGGGGTGTTAGTGCTCACTTACGGAAAGAAGATAGGAGGGTGGGGTCACTCTATTTCGTGCTTGTTGTCTGTGACCGCGGCCATCTGCCCGGAGGACACGCGCGTAGGCACATCGACATTGAGGTCGTGGGACCTCCTACAACGAAAATTGCATCCTAAGCCATCTTCTCCCTCTTACAACCATCACTTTGGCAATAACTGTAGGCCGTGGGACTTAGATAGTATATGGGTAGGTACCTAGGTAACCAACACCGGCCACCTGGGCGCAGCCGGAATCCATAACGATATGACGGGTTTGACAGAGGTGCATAGCCTGCTTAGATCTGTCCCACCGACGTGGAAAGTTCCAGGAACGCCGCTGCCAACCCAGTATCATTGCTCTTGGCGTGATGCCAGGCTCACAATGCGCCATTTCTGTAAGGAAAGATCTGCCCCTTTGGGAGCCCTTCCATGAGCATCTAATAAGGCATCATGTGGAAAGCATTTTAGCCAGAATTCCCGTCGTGTATATGATACAAGGACTCCATATGCCTCCGCATGTTCGAACACGGAACGGGTATCCAATGGCATGCCCAGCGCTTAATCGTTTTCGATACCACTTCCGGGTTATGCCAGGAACTTACCGGATCGACATCCATTGAGCTTGTTTCCCGGCCGTCTTCCACATTCCGACCCGGTGCATGCAACCCAGGTATGCGGCTGCCTTGGCAAACCCAAGCCGCATTGATAGTCGTGTTCTCGAAGGCCTGCGCTTATACAGTGGTCCCGGATTGGCACCTGTGATCTTGGCAGAACATGGAACGTTCCGTGTTGGATACCTCATGTGGAGGAGGCCCTCTTCCTATGCCTGTCGTCCTCGGAGTAAGCCGGGGTCATCCAGGCAGTCAGTTCTAGCCGAGGGAGATCAACGGATCGACTCGCGCTGCCCGGATGTAGTTCATCACACTGAAGCGCACCCCCCTCTACTCCCGAGCATGATCTCGCTTACTTGGTCACGGGAAGGTTCTCTTCCCCCGGGCCTCCGTCTCACTGACGATCACCGGAAGGAAAGGAAGAGCAATTACGGCTGCAGGTATACCCGGGTTGGCTCACAAGCGGAAGGAAGCACCTCATCCTAGGGCCGCGGGGCCATGGGCGGGAAGACCACCTCCACTCCTGGACGGAGGTGGGAGCATAAAGCCTCTGGTCCCCTTAGTATTCCCCGCTGTACTAGTCAGATGTCAACCTTGTCCTAGTACCAACTTCTTCACCACATATGAATATGAAGCCTACAACAGCACCGAAGCGTGTGCTTCTTCTGACCAATTCGGAGCACGGCCAGGCCAATGTCTTCCTGGCAACCAGTTATGCCCTACTCACGCTCGAGGACGAGGACGTTAAAGTCCACTTTGCTTCGTTTCAGCCAATACAATCCTTCGTCTCGGCCACCTCCGATCATGCCCAACAGGACAAGCCCGGGGCGCGGCCCATCGTATTCCACACCATAGACGGCGTTGATATGGTGTCAGCTTGGACGCGCCCCGAAATCGCCGCAGAGCAGGAAGCCTTGAAGAACCGCAGCATCATCCCACTCGTACACGACATTAGACGGACGTTGATGGTCCTCAAAGTCACCCTTCCCTGGACAGGGCCAGAGTTTGTCCAGATCATGCAGTCCGTTATCAGCATCGTTGACGATGTCCAACCGGACGTCATAGCAGTCGACCCATGTTTCTCCCCAGCCCTCACCGCCCTCCGTCATAGCAAAGCAAAGTTCACAGTACTGTCCCCAAACACCATCAAAGACTTTGCCATCCCCTACCAACCCAACGCCGAAGCCCTCTGGAAATACCCCAGGTAGGCCCCCTTCTTTCCCTTCCTCCCCCCTTCCCACAACCACCTTCATAACCACCCCTACTAGGTAGAGGTAACTAACCCCCCTTTCCCCGCCAACCAGCCTCGGAACCACCCACCCGTACCCCCTCCCCCGCCACACCATCCCCCACAACACCCTCCTCATCCTCCTCGCCCTGGTAATCACCATCCTCGACCCGCACCGCCGCGCCCTCGCCCGCTACCTGGCCGCCCACCACCACCCGGCCACCCGACTCACCACCCTCGCCACCCTCTCGCTCAACCCCTCCGCCGCCCTCAACGGCGGCTCCATCCTCGTCGCGAACCTCCCCCAGCTGGAGTTCCCGCTGCGCTTCCTGCCGCGGCATATCGTGCCGTGCGGGCCGATGCTGAGGCCGGCGCGGGAGGTGGGGGAGGTGGATAAGGATTTGGCGGGGTGGTTGTTGCGTGCGGGTGGGGGGGAGGGACCTGTGGGGGGCGGGGTGGTGTATGTGAATCTGGGGACGCATGTGTTTTATGATGGGGAGAGGGCGGGGGAGATGGCGGGGGCGGTGAAGAGGTTGCTGGAGGGGGTGAAAGAGAAGGGGGGGGAGGGGGTGAGGGTGTTGTGGAAGATTCCGAGAAGGGGGAGGGAGGTGGAGGCGGAACAGGGGAAATGGGGGGGTGAGGGGGTGTTTGGGCCTGGGGGGGTGGTGGAACGGGTGCTGGGGGAGGAGGTGAGGGATGGGGTGGTTAGGATTGTGGATTGGTTGGAGGCGGAGCCGATGGCGGTGTTGGAGACGGGGGTGGTGGTGTGTGCGGTGCATCATGGAGGGGCGAATTCGTTCTTGGAAGCCGTTTGGTAAGTTGGTTGGTTGTGGTCTCCTGTGGTGCGGTTGCTGACAATATCGCAGTGCTGGAGTTCCGCAGGTGGTCCTCCCTGTGTGGATGGACACGTTCGACTTTGCTCGGAGGGCGGAACTGCTCGGCATCGGTCGATGGGGTAACAGGCTCACCCGCAAACTCTGCGAGGAGAAGGAACTCGGGGCCATACTGACCGAGGTCGTCGCCGGGGAGAAGGCGCCGGCCTATGCAGGGAAGGCGAAGGAACTGGCTGCGCTATGCAAGGAGTCAGGGGGCGGAAGAGTGATTGCGGCCCGGCATATCTTGGCTCAGATTGAAGGTGATCAAGTTCAGTCGGCTTCGGAGGGGGAGAAGGAGGGCGATTCGCTGTTAAGCACTTGCGAATGACAACTGCAAGCGGTTCATAAAGGGGATTTAGGTATGATTGCGTTTACGATCTTTTCTGGTTATGGAACTTGAATGACTATTAGATGCCGAAACCAGCGGTGCATCCAACAGTCTTCCCCCGCCCGGGGTGGTATCAGAGATAATAACGCAACCATGACACCTTTCAACCATCGTGTAAAAGTTCTTCTTACCCTCGGGCCAGCTTATTCCGTGACTACCGCCTTGTATCCCCTCGCTGTAAAACACGGCTCACTTCTCTGACTCCTTCTTCTCCCCCTCCCAAAGAACGTCCTCGATCCTATCCTGCCGATCCTTCTGCCACGTCATCTTGGGGCCCCTTTCATGGCTTGGGTCTTCGCCGTATTCTGTGAATGGCCGAGCGGATGCCGCCGGGTCTGAGACGTAGCCTTTAGGTGTTTCTCCGTAGCCGCTAGGTTTAGAGGGTTCACTGTATCCGCTGTACGGCTTCGCGCTGCTATTCTCCGGGGGCCATAGGCCGGAATCTTCGGCTCTCTTGCCTTCTGTTCTAGGCTTGTTGTCTCGGGGTTTGGCATCGAAGTAGTCGGCGTAATATCTAGCATCCCTCTTTATGGCCTTGGCCTTGTCTTGCTTTGGATCCATGGTGGGTGGGTAGCGACTTGTAAGGAAACTTGTAAAGTCGTAGTAAGACGTGGTGTGGTGTTGAATCTAGAGTGTGTCCTGGGCGGTTCGTTGGATCTATTCGAGTAACAGGGACAGGGAATAGCCCCTTTTTATAATCCTGTGCGCCTCAAAGACCGTTCCTTGAAACGACCCAGGTTCTTTTCTTCATCAATGTAAACAAAGCGGAGTTGGCCGTACCACGGGCCGGCGTGGCGTTGGCCTCCTCATCCGGTACCCTTCTCGAGTCGAATAGACGGGTCGGAAGTTACACGTTATACGTGGTTGATTATCGACCATCACACACTGCCCGAGCACAAAGCGTCTGCTGAGAGGGAGACGCCAAGCCCATGCCACGCAACAGCAGCCACCCTTTAAGATGCTTCGATATCCCTAGACCCATGGACACTACTCCTTAGTGCGTCCCAAATCACATACACCCCGCGCCCCCGTGCCGCGACCCTAATCTACTTCTGCACGACCTGCGGTTTCGGTGGGTCTCTCGTCCCCGGATCAACCACGTTCTTCTTTGGTTCACCAGACATCATCCTTGCGCGCTCGGCCGAGCCGTAATCCCGACTATACTGCCTCGGTTCCTCAACAGGTGGCTTGACAGGCTCGTAGTCAGACATTTGGGAGGACGGTTGGTGGCGGTGCTTGACTTGGGCCAGCCCTTAGCTACTGTCCTCTTCTCAGGAGACACTTGATCATGGTGGGATCCGCCGTCACTTACCTCAAAAGATGAACGTTCACCTGGTATCCTGAGTTTCGTAGCTCTTTTGTGTTATTCAGCTCGCCTCCCTTGATGGTTGCTGCCGCTGACCAAGGCTCGTGTGGCCGATGTGCCTCTGCTGGGGTATACTGGGCGAAGTTGTAGGGGCAGGGACCTCGACATGTTCGAGCTACGGCACGGCAGAGAAAGACCCAACTGCAAGCCAAAGGGCCACGATTATAACACAGGCCAAGAACCGGTGAAGGGAACACGCAGTTGAACTGTGGGTCTCGTCAAGTGAAACACCACGTGGAATTCGCGACGGTCGTCTTACATGATACATTTGTTCGTTTCCTGTCAGCAACCCGCGCCACGACCCACTGGTGACCAATGACAACAGCTGACATGTATTAACTCCTCTCGTTTCTTTTGCTACTAGAAATGTTCGAAGTTCATGATTTTTTATCCCCGTGTAAAGGTGATTAGTATGTTGAGAGTTTGTTGCTCATACCCAAATTTGGGAATTCAGTGGGATGGCGGTGGATTTGGCCGAAGAGATTTCCCGGTTCAGTATTTTGTTGCCGGAGTGGGAAGGAATGAGTAACCCCGCCACCAAAGGGAGGTGCCTCGGTATGTACCTAATTAGGGAGTTACCACTTGTATCCGTTATTCTTCTCGTACCTGCCTGCACTTTAAACTCGGAAAGTTTACATCTCGGTTTCTTTCCTGTTCATTCATACTAATAACTTTAAGAAAGATGCCAAAGACGAGGCCACCTCACTGACCTCACCGCCACTCCGATCTCGACTGCGCCGACCATCCCGCCAATCGGGCCGCTACAAGAACGTTCTTGGTGAGACCCAAGGGCAAGGTCTTTGGCGCGTCGTCACAAACAGAAAGGAAGATGGAATGACGCGGTGCAATGCCGCAGCGGCAGCGACCGAGTGCGATCCTGCGGTGCACCCATCACCACTCGGTACCTGACCACACCAACCTGCAGACCGCACCCTACATCCTCCACTTGCGCTGTCACAAAACATTGTTCTCAAGACTCTGGACATGAGTGGGCGGCGTGCCTCGACCCTGGAGTGCCGATATTTGGAGCGTACCGTTCTAGGGATCACATACAAAACCCAACGGCAAGCCCGGCACCTGGGTTACGGGAAGGATCTTCCAGTGCACCATACCACAAGCCTTCGGAGTCCGACCTCCCCGACTATCTTTGCTCGTCGTCAGACCAGTTTCGCGGTTGCCAAGATGATGAGTGACACCTTTCTGAACCCTGTTCGGGCCAGTCACACCAAACAGAACGGTTTCTCGGAACTCTGAGGGGCGAGGAACAATTTAGCTCTCGGAAACCAGCCGAGTCCGTGAGATGTCCCGTTGCCGCAGGGCTGCCGAGTGTGCCGCTGCTACCCAGCGATGCACGTCGGATCACAGGTTGCATATTATGCTTGCAACTCCATATTACCCCTTATGAGTTTGCGGGGTTAACTCGGGCAGGGGGGTCAATATAAATAAGTGTCGGGGATCGGCTCTCGCCTTTGAGCAAGAGGCGTGTTCTTGACTGAAGCCGTCATCAAAATGCTTCTCTCCGGTCCCATTACTGTTTCACTCGCCACGCTGGCGAGCGCTCACCCCGGCGCCACCGTCAAACGCCAAGTCTCACAACTCCGTGACAGCTACGACTTTGTCATTGTTGGGGGCGGTACAAGTGGCCTGACTGTGGCTGACCGTCTTACGGAAGCGTTTCCCAACAGTGAGTCGGGATTTTGTCCCAAGTTTCTCAACCCGATTTATTTAGCTCACCTGTCTAGAAACGGTTCTTGTCGTCGAGTATGGTGATATCGAATACGGACCCGGGAACTTTGACCCACCACCAGCCGTCCCCGCAAGCCGGTGGACAGTCACATCGCTGCCAAACCCCGAGGTGAACAACAGGACGGCCGGCGTCGCCGCCGGCCAGGTGGTTGGCGGGAGCAGCGTTATTAACGGTCAGTTCCTCGACCGTGGGTCACGTTTCGATTACGACTCGTGGCAAGAGCTCAATGGCCAGGGATCTGGATCAACCGATATCAACTGGAACTGGGAGAACCTATTCCCGTATTTCAAAAAGGTAAGTTTAAAGAATTCGACATTTGTGCTTCAAAGTCGGCTTTTTTTACCCTCAACGCACTCTTCCGATCCGTCCACAGCATTCGCTCACGCCTTGGCAGAGCGTCACACTCACAGAGCCATCTGCCGAGCTGGCCGAAGAATATGGCTACACCTGGGATGTTTCATCCTACGGGGACTCTACGCCTGTCTATGCCACCTATCCCCCCTTCCAGTGGGCTGACCAGCACATTATGTGGAATGCGTACAAAGAGCTGGGAGTCCAAGAGCCCAAAGAATGTGCGAACGGCGACAAGGAAGGCATCTGCTGGGTCCCTACCACCCAACATCCCGTGACTGCGCTTCGCTCCCATTCCGGACTCGGGCACTACGCTGCTGTTATCGACACCAGGTCTAACTACGACCTTCTCGTGAAGCACCAGGGCGTGAGGGTTGTCTATCCTCACAAGCCAGGAGAAGATTCCGGCGCGCCGATCGTAGAGGTCCGATCGCTGGTTGATGACGTCCTGTTCAATGTGACAGCCAATGCGGAGGTGATCATCTCAGCCGGTGCTTTTCACACACCCACTGTCCTGATGAGAAGCGGCATCGGCCCGGCATCTGTACTTGAGTCGGCCGGTATCCCGCTTGTGCTCGATCTTCCCGGTGTTGGTTCCAACTTCCAGGATCATACCGGGCCGCCTGTGTCATGGAACCGTACGTGCCGAGCCCATCACCGCTGACCTCGCCACCGTGCTTCTACTTACTCAAACAAACATCCAGTAACCAAACCCGGCGACTTCCACCCCGTCCGCAGCGCCATGCAAGATCCCGCCTTCGCCGCCGACGCAGCGGCAGGCTTCAACGAGACCCCCTCACGCGGGCCATACACGCTCGCCCTGGGCAACAGCGCCGTCTACGTATCCCTCCCACACCTCGCCCCGGACAACCACGAAACCATCATCGCCAACATCCGCGCCATCGCCGCCAACGACACCCTCGCGGCATCCTACCTCCCCCCGGACCACCGCACCTCGGCGCCCATGATCGCAGGCTACCAGGCCCAACTATCCGCCCTCGCCGACCTGTTCGCCAACCCCCAGTCCCCCAGCCTCGAATCCCCGTTCGCCGCAGGCGCCTCCGCCGTCGCCTTCCAGCTCCACCCGCTCAGCCGCGGCACGGTGCGTCTGGACCCGGCCGACCACCTCGCCCAGCCCATCCTGGACGCGCGCATCGCCACCAACCCGGTCGACTTGGACCTGCACCTCGCACACGTGCGCTTCCTGCGCCGCGCCGGCGCCACCGAGGCCCTGCAGCGCTACGGCGCCGTCGAGCTGCGTCCCGGCCCCGGGGTCGGTGATGCTGATGACGAGGCGCTGCGCGCCTTTGTGCGCCAGAGCGCGACCCTGTCGTTCATGCACCCGTGCTGCACGGCGGCGATGATGCCCGAGGAGAAAGGGGGGGTGGTGGGGCCGGATTTGAAGGTGCATGGTGCGGGCGGCAGGTTGAGGGTGGTGGATATGAGCGTCATGCCGCTGGTGCCGGGGTCGCATCTTATGGCGACGGCGTATGCGGTGGGGGAGAGGGCGGCGGATTTGATTATTGCGGAGTGGAGTGAGTAGGGGGTGGGCGGAAGGTGGTATGGGGTTGGTTATGCTAGGGGGGGTGGTAGAACGGGGTTAACGCTCCCGCTGTTTATCGGTAGCTTCCCTAGATATGATCTTAGTACTTTGTACCTACCTAGATAGGTAGCAATACACAAACACCACCAGTCCGCATTCCGAGTTGAGGTAACTTACAGGTCAGACTTCTTGGATTCATAATCCCGCACGCTCCACTCAACCTGTGGCATCGACCAACGGCCAGCTCCTCGACCGTGGGTCACGTTTGGAAGACATTTATGCCGGCGCATAGAGCCGGCGGGTCGGATTACAGCAGGCGCAGGGGGTGGGCTTTTCTTCAGCGGTGGCTTGGGGGGGGGTGTACGAGAGTTAAAACATTTCAGTTCTTGATCGTTGCGGTGGTCGGAGTCGAGCTCAAGTTATCTAAGATACCAAGGTATGTAACGACCTAGGTATCCCCCGCTGACCTAGCTACGTGTTCCCTGAGCTGCCCGCCCCAAAACCTCACATGAGACAAATTCCCTACCAGTCCAAGAAGTAAGCAATGCCATCCATCAACGCACTCCCCCCAACCTCCGCATGCTCCTGCCCTGCATACTCCTTCAACACCACATCCCTCATGTTCCCGCTACCCACCAACCGATCATACAACTCATGGCTCAACTTCCCTGGCCCAAAGCTCTGCAGCAAATCCTTCCGCGCCTGAAACTGCGCCTCCGTCTGCGTCCGCCTCCTCACGGGATAATCCTCCGACTCCCCATAGCCCACAAAAACCGCCGGCCTCGTCCCATTCCCACTCCACTGCACCTCCCCTTCCAACCCCATCCCATCCCCGAACCGCTCCGTAACTTCCCCGATCACCGTCCCGTTCCGCAGCGTCAGGGACGGGCTCGCCGCGATCCACGTATCAAACATCTCCGGCCGGACCGTCAGCGCCCACGCGACGAACAGCCCGCCGCTCGAGTGCCCGTAGAGCGCGTCGCGCGGGAACTCGACGCCGGGGAAGACGGCGTCGCGCACCCACGGCCGGAGGTGCGAGCCGACAAAGTCCAGAAAGGCGTCCGCGCCGCCCGCGGAGACGGGCTCGCCGGGCATGGGGGCGCCGAAGTCGATGGCGCGCTGCGTCATGGCGTAGACGCTGTCCGTCAGGGGGTAGCCGACGCCGACGACGAGCGCGTCCGGCTGGGAGGGGTCGACGGGCCAGCGGCGCTTGAGGAAGTCGGCGGCGGTGGCGGCGAAGGCGTTGCCGTCGAGCACGTAGACCGCGTTGGCGGTGCGGTTGGTGATGGCGGTGGTGGGGAGGGAGCGAGGGCCCCATGCGAAGGGGTAGGAGAGGGAGATTTGATAGGTGAGGTTGGGAGAGGCGGAGGAGGTGGCGTTGTAGAAGGCCGTGTTGGGGAAGAGGGCTGGTGGGAGGGGCGGGAGGGGGTTGAATGTCCATGTGGCTGAGGCCATGGCGATGGACTTACTGGAATGGTTTGGGTGTAAAGGTGAGGAGGGTGTTGGTTTGGTTTGGGAACGACGCGTCCGGGTTGTTAATGGCGTAGGAGTCGTGATAAAGAAGAGGTTGGGGATATGGATATCCTTCATTTAGCTACACGGGCGGAGAAGAGCAAGATAAGTACCTTGCTCCTGCTTACGAGCAGTACTCCTCACCCACCTGTTGTATTTCCTGGTTCCAGTGCGGGGTACCCCGGGATCAATATGCAGCTTACCTAGGGAGGTACGCGTGGACGGCTTCCCCAAGGCCCGGCCATCAAGTAGGGCGGGTTGGATAGGTAAGGTATCTAAGCTATAGGTTACATGTGGCTAAGGCGCTCTAGCTAACCAGTTCAACCTACTACCCTCCTCAATATACCGCTGGTCTTCCACCAGCATACTACACTCTCTTACGGAAACAAAAGATTCATAGAAAAAAGGGGAAAGGATAAACTTGGAACGATATAAAAAGAGGAAAGCGTAGGAGGAAAGATAACTACTATTATAGTACTACGTTACAGTTTCCTTCATATATAGTAGCAGATGGACCGGTATACCTATGGGGGTATCGATAGAAAATAATAATAATAATCCTGCAAGGATCCCCGCGCGCGAGCGGCTCGGGACCACCCAGTCAGTGGTTTGGCTATGTAGATACCTATGGAACGAATCTCTCCTGGACCCAATGGATTACACCGCCGAGGCCGGTTGCATTGCCCCCATCAAATAATTATGCGATGAGCTCGTCCTTGAGCACCCACCCACCCTTTCCCCCCAAAAGTAGCATCAGTCTCGGGCAGAACCTCTTTTAACACTGCATCCTCATTGCCTACGATGTTGGATGAACCACATGATTCAATGAGTTTATTGCTGTCCCATCAGCCGTGTTCCTGTGTGACTATCTCACCCCGTAGTATTGCCCGGAATTCCGCCCTTGAGAAAGCCAGAAGGTAGGTGAGGCACAGAAGACTCGAAAGAAAGCAGGCCCGGGTAGAGTCGAGAATTTCGTACCAGTTGCCCCTTGCCTTCGTTTATGGGGTTGAGTTAAAGGAGCTAAAGTATCATTACGGGCGGAGATGTTGGTCATGTAGGATTAGATCATTAAATGTACTGCAACTTAGCCTCATTGAAAGGCTACCTACCTACACCCGAAGGTACCTAAATCTGTTTAGGAAAGTAAATGTGACAGGTCCTCAAAAGACAACCCACGACACCCTCTCAACCCTGGACCCTCCCGCCTTTCAGTCTCTGGGGGCTGTCCCATCAAGCGACAGGGCCAAAGGCTTCGATTGAACCAATCGGTGGCTGTTCCTTTCACTTTCAGTGGTGCTATCATCATCTCCCTCAAACAGGGCGTGAAAGTCCGGCAGGAGAGACTGATACATCTTTGCCAGTTCAATCGCCCGGTCATAGGCAGGTGCCTTGCCTGCAATCTTCTCTTGGGTTGGTGCAGCGCTACCCCGAACCAAGCTGCCATCGCGCTTGACGGCCTGGAACTGAGCAACGGCTGCGAGGTGACGCTGTCTCTGCGCTCCGTTGAATCCACCATCACACTTCTTAGGGCTCCAGTAGCTCGAATTTCTCATTGAGGTGAAGGATTCATATATTGGCAGCGATGGAGGCTCCGGGGCGCGTGTCATCAGATCGTAGGATGGTCCAGGGGGCACTACTGGGACATCCTGAGGGAAGGCATTCTCGTCTCCATTTCCCTCGACCTTTTCCGAGTTAGTCCAGATAAAAAGGCCCCGTCTCTTGACGTCATTGTCTTGCGTATCCTTGGTCAAAGGCTGCGTCCACTTGTCGCGGCAGTATTGAATAAATGAAGAGATGGAAGGCATCTTGGGGTTGTCGGGAGGCTAGGTACCTAAAGAACGATGTTCGAGCCCTCCTTCAACCACGCAAGACGCGGGTCCTTGTGCCTCATAAACCGTGGACCATCCCTCGCTGCACAGACGTGTGACGTATGTCGGACCTCGAGTCGCGTGATACGTAGCGTCATTATCTGAGGGCATGGTCCTCACCGACCGAGTGACGTATTATCACGTATATAACACCTATCTCTAGTTCATGCATCGCAACGTCTATCTCTGATTTATTCGTATCAAATGATAGCAGAGTCCTGTAGATAAATCCATGCGTACCTATCCCGTTGGCTCCGAGCGCTTGGTGAAGTGACCAGGTACATGTACCTAGGTATCCATCATGTCTCCCAAAACCATAAAACAACTGTAGTTTGTCGCGTGGGGAACAAACCAGCATTCTGTGCTGACCCGTGCGTAGGTAGCGTGTTTCGTGATCAGGAGCTCCTATAGTAAGGCCAGTCCAATCCATTATCATTCCCACTGGCATGGTTGGAAAATGCGGTATTCACTGGCATTTCTTCGCTCAACACATATCGACTGTTCCCGGATTCTAAAGTCCCGCAGCAGCTGCTTACAATACAAGAAGATTGTTCTCCTTTGTTACGGAGGCTATATTGTCCAGCGAACAATCCTTTCCTTCTTGTCTTTGTCGAAGAGATCTATTGAAAACGACATCACCACTCGCTAGTAGCGTCTCTTTGTCCTAGGACTGGGGTATTATAGCGTTAACCACCCCATCAATGGGGTTGTTACATTCGAGAGAACTCGCAAAACTGATTCAGTTCCAGAACTAGATCCCATATTCCCTACCCAACGCGTCGCGATCACATCGAAAGTTTCGAAGATCGTCCATTTAAGTTAGGTATCTAAGATCCCCAACCCGACAAGATCAACTCAACAAAGCTCTAAAGCAATAAAACACAACGGTGAGTATGCCCGCCGATAGGACCACCCGCTCACAAACAGGGTCTCCTCCAGGCCCCGAGCCTGAAGGCACACGCCACCCGTATACCTGGCGGGAGCGATTCAAGCCCGACTGGCCACAACCGCAGATCCAAAACGTCGTCGCGACCGTCAACATGGAATGCCGGCTCAACCTACCCGTCATCGCGCAGCACGCGCGCAACGTCGAGTACAACCGCAAGAAGTTCCACGCGCTCATCATGCGGATCCGGGACCCGCGCACAACCACGCTCGTCTTCGCATCGGGCAAGATGGTGATCACGGGGGCCAAATCGGAAGCGCTCGCGCAGTTCGCCGCGCGCAAGCACGCGCGCGCCGTGCAGAAGTGCGGCTTCCAGACGCGCTTCCGCGACTTCAAGGTCCAGAACTTCGTCGGCTCCGCCACCTGCGACTTCCTCATCCGCCTCGAGCGCATCGCCTACATGTACAAGGAGTCCGCCATGTACGAGCCCGAGCTGTTCCCGGGCCTGGTCTACACCATGATCCGCCCCAAGCTGAAATGTCTCGTCTTTAGCACGGGTAAGGTCGTCCTAACGGGCGCCAAGGCTGCTGATGATGTCTTCGAGGCCTTTGCGAATCTGTATCCGCTGCTGCTGGAGGCCAAGGTGGCGGGAAGCACCGCGCCGCCGCCGAGGATACGAACTAAGCTCTCGCCGGAGGTGAAGGCGGCGAGGAGAGCGATGAGGGCTGAGGAGCGGCGGCTTGCCAAGGGCCGTCGGAATTCTGAGGTGAGTGAGAGTAGTAGGTGGGTGTAAATAGGTACTTTAGACGGGAGGAGTACATTGAAATGAATATTGGCACAAAGAAGCCATATTTGAGGCCTGATGTATCAACTTTCTTTGTTGTGCTTGTTGCCCTCGAGCCACGCCTTCATGCCAGCCAGGCCGCACAGGCGACCTATGTATGCGCCATAGTACCGTGACCGTCATCAATTTCAAACCCGTTGCTCATTCGTAGCCACACCAGCCTCCGACGACCGCCGTTGGACATTATCCAGCTCCACCTGAAGCACCTTGTCCACGTTCTGCTGCACCTTGTCCTGGACGGCCTTGCCCTCAAACATGAAGCTGAGTTCCTCCAGCGTGCGGTTGTGCGTCTCGGGGAAGAGTAGATACACCGTTGCGATCTCGACCAGGATCCAGACGCAGTAGACGATGTAGTACCTCCAGCCGATGGAGTCCAGCGCGATGGGGTTGACGTAGGTGTTGAAGAAGACGGCGAAGCGAACGGTGAGCTGCTCCACCGCGATACCCTTGGATCGTTGTTGGTAGGGGAATATCTCAACCATGTACGTGTATGCCAGTGCATTCCAGCCGATGTTGTAAAACCTGTGACACTGTTAGCCTGGAGTAACTAGGCGTATGTATGAGAGCAGACTTACGGCGAGTACACAAAGATGAACACCAACACGGGGATGGCTGCGGCGGCCGAGTTCTCGATCGAGGATCTCGCACTCGCAACCGTCCAGACTGTGTACACCACCGCCGTTCCGATCGTGCATATCAGGAACATGGTCCGTCTCGGGAACCGCGGCGCAATCAGCGCAATGGGCACGGCGTTGATGAAGCCCCAGCATGTGTTGCTGAGGATGATCTTTTGCACGGTCCTGTCGTCGGTAATGTTCACAAGCGCCAGGATCTTCTTCATGTAGAAGCTCAGCAGGCCGTTGCCGCTCCACTGGGTGAAGAAGCCGACGATGGCGGCGATCATGAAGCGCCTGCGCATGGGCGGGTCGCGCACTACGTCGGCCCACACGAACCTTGACTCCAGTTCCCTCTCCTGCGCGATGGTCGACTGGATCTGCGCGAACTCGAGCCGCACAAACTCGTCACCGTCCTGGCCCTCGCTGTGGTATTTTTGCAGGATCGCAAATGCCTCGTCTCCGCGGTCCTTCGAGATCAGCCAGCGCGGCGACTCGGGGCACCAGTACATGAAACCGATCTGGAAGAAGCTGGGCACGAGCTGCAGCAGGCTGGGCAGGCGCCACGACCAGGTCGACGTCATCTGGAACGTGCCGTAGGTGGTGCCCGCGGCGATGATGGCGCCGACGAACCACGAGGCGTTGAACAGCGACGTCATGACGGGCCGCTCGTTGGCGTAAGAGAGCTCGCCGATCAGCGACGAGGCGTTGACGATGGCGAAGGGGATGCCGAAGCCGAGCACCCAGCGCGAGGCCAGGAACATGTCCGAGTTGCGCGAGCCTGCTTGCAGGCCGGCGCCCATGCACATGATGAGCGAGGCCAGCAGGATGGTCCTGCGCCGGCCGAGGTACTGGCTGGTCGTCGGGATGAAAGGGATCGCCATCAACGCGCCGAGCGAGTACATGGCGTTGAGGAGACCAAGGCGGTCCGAAGTAGGGTTATCAAAGTCTGTGTCGGTTAGCGTCTAGCTCACCTCGGGAAGGCAACGGGGAACTGACAGTCAACCCATGATTGGACAGCTTGTAAGCTGTTCATCATAGACGAGTCGAAGCCCGACGTCCACTCGACACCTAGGGCCGTGGGGACGAGGATGAAATACAGGAACCGCAGGTTCGGTTTCTTGTACCATAGCTTTGTGTCAGCCTGCGCAATGCGCGTGAGCCGCGGGTCGACGTGCTGTTCTTTCCCGCCGATGATCGCCATTGTGTCGGTTTGCGAGTAGCATCGTGGAACAAGACTTCAAGATTCCGCGAGCGAGTGATCCGGGAGGGCTTTAATAACAACAACAAGTCGTCCATCGCCCATAGTCGCCGCATCCCCCGTAACACCTGCCATATCAAGACCGCATGTCGATCAAATCCCTTTTCTGTGACCTCGACCCTACTGGAGGGAATCTGCTGGAGGATCGAGACCTGTCCGGTGATGGAGCCCGCAGGGAGGACTTCGCACCAGGGTCGAGGCCTGCCGGTCTAGCGAATAAGAGGCGTTGCGTGCACGAGACCCGCCCGATTTCTTCGAGCCTGCAGCTATGCCAAGCTCTCTTTGGGGTTGCTTCCTCCGACGTCTGCGGGGTCTTGACGGACAATGATTGCGGGGAGAACCTGGTTGCCGGGATTTGAAGCAACCTGTGAGCGGCGCCCGGGTGAAAGGCGCCCGAGGGATGCTTTGGGCTGTTCTGGACAGGGGCCAAGACGGCAGCTTCATAAGGATCCAAACATCCTGATATTTATCCCTGCAAACGAACCCGCAGCGGGAAACGGCAGTTCAGCAAGCCACGCGCAAAGGTCGGGAGAGAGGGCGGTTCGGTCAATATCGTTATATTTGTGTTGCATCCGCGGCACGCTGGAGCCGGGAAAGAGGCCGAAGCAGAGCCGCACTTGAGAATGCCGGTCGTTGATCAAAATACCTTGCCCATAAAAACAGTCTATCTCAAAAATACGAAATCATGGGAATCTAAGCGCTCGCTGTGGGTTCCGCAAAGACGAACTCCTCAAGCTCCTTATACGCCTTCTCCAAATCCTGCGCAACATTAGCACTTCGAACGATCCCCACAAACCGATACGGGAGGGACTAACATCGTTCACGATGATCCTGTCATGAATGCCGGGGACCTTGGAGTACTCCAGTTCCACCTTGGCCTGGTTGAGGCGCTTCTGAATGGACTCTTCCTTCTCCGTCCCACGGCCGCGCAGCCGCTGTTCTAGCTCCTCCTCCGATGGCGGAGCGATGAAGACGTAGCGAGCCGGGAAGCCCGAAGCCCGGATCTGCTTCACGCCCTCCACCTCAATGTCCAGAACGACGGTCTTGCCCTTGGCGGTCTGCTCCTCGATCGTGGCTTTCGACGTGCCGTAGAAGTTGTCGCCAAACTGCGCGCTGTTGTAGCGGATGTCAGCAGGCGGAGTCTGACAAGATCTGAGGGGCTGCCATGTCCAGTGCATACTTCTCCAAAAACCCGTTCTTAGCCTTCAGCTCCAGGAACGCCTCCTTTGTCACGTAGTGGTAGTCGACCCCATCGTGTTCGCCGGGTCGGGGCCCGCGTGTAGTGTGCGATACGGAGAGCGTGAAGGTGTCGGGGTGTCTCTATCGAGTCTGTCAGAAACTGCGACAACGGGCGAACAACGGGAGGCGTACTTGGAAAAGCAGTTTGTAGAGGGTGCCCTTGCCGACGCCTGACGGGCCCGAAATAACGACTGGGCGGGGATCGCGAACTGCGCGAGAGTTAGGTTTGTCTTACTGACGACTCCTGCGACGGAGGTAGACGGTGTGCAAAACCACTTACCGGGAGCCATGGCGTGGAAATAGCACGAGCGAAAGACTTTGACGAAAGGAATGAGTGGACGCCGCATCTCTAACGACGACAAGCTTTTGGAAATCTGCGCCCTCCCGCGACGAGTCGAGACGGGGGATGTGGGTCGTGCGGGGTGTTGTGGGACACCTGAATTGCCGGATGAGGCCGAACAAGGGGTGAATTAAATTAAGGGTTAGGGGCGAGGCAGGGGATTTACGGGTGGCTCCTTACCTCTGAGATGAACTCCAGGCTTGTCCTGCCCTTCTCGCTGTGACTCTTCTCGACCGGTCAGTGAATAGGTGTGAACGAAACACACAAGATTTGCCTCAATCTATGATAGAAGTGACTATTCATACGAGACAGCCCAAGCTGCGATCAGCACACAAACCATAACGTTCAAACTTGAACCCCTAACCTCGAGGTCCTCCCTCACCACCCCTCCCCTAACTGCTTGGAAATACTGGTTTACACCGTCACAGCGGAAGTGAAGCATCTAAACACTGCTATCCTGTTGGGGGTAAAAACGAAGATTTGCTTTTGGTGGAATTTCATCTCTACTTTGAATAATAAAACCAGAAAACAAAAAAACAAAAACGAGGGCATGGCTTGTATACAAGTATCTGACTGTGCCATATTGCTTCGTATGCCACAGTAAGGGTGAAGCGAAGCTGCTGTGTTGGCCACAACGCCACCGCATGCAAGATTATGCATGATAATGCGGTCGAAACTGTGGCATCCAATCGCTCCTCTGAGAACTCTGGAGGGAAACCCTAGTAAATGAAACGAAGCGTTCCTTCTTCGCTTCCTCAACGTACATTGTACATCTCAGAGACTCATCATTGAAGCTTCGCTTCAATTAGTTCCGACACTCAACCCATCAACGGACGTCATCCAATTCATTATCACCATAACCCCGACAAAAGAACATTCAATTCCAAGCACAGTATCCAAAAACCGCACCATGACCCCAAACCAGCCATCCGCGAGAAAGTAATCATTAATTCCGTGTGAACAAGCGAGCCCATACACTCCGTCTCAACCAGCCCTTCCAAGCCGAAACGTCGAGCTGGACCTCCTTCGCCTCCCCGGGCTTGGCTTTCTCGCAGCCCTGTCGGCCTCTCTCTGCGATTGCGTCACGAGGTAGTAGTCCCCGACATTTTCGCCGCTCGTTTCGTCCCCGCACTTCAACGTCTCAATCACCTCGATCGACGTCTGCTTCATGATCACGCCAGCCCTGACGTGCAGGCCGCGAGCTGACTCGAGGTCGATATCGCAGGAGGCCGTGCCGCCGGCCCCGTCGCTGCGGGGGTAGATGTTCTCTTCACTGGCGTTCATCGAAAAGTTGGGGATGGGGTTGACGCTCCGGGGGCCCATGCCACGTCGCGGGTTCTTGTCCTCGAGGATAAAACCTCGGCGTTGTCCGTCTCCTCGCTGAGACGCCTTGGAGGAGGAGGGCGACCGGAGACTACCGATGAGCGGACGGAAACAACGGGCGATGAGGGACGAGACGATGGGAAGGTTAGAGGTGACTACTGCGACGAACGTTTCTCGGACGGCCCATGACCCTGCCTTTTGGGCGCCATTCACTGGGTCCTGTCAGGGCACATGGCGTTAGCGATGATTCTGATGTCGAGGCCGTGGTAGGAGCACAAACGGTGATGATGAGAACGCAGCGCAAAATGCCTGCTGCCGTTATGAACACGCCACCAGAGAAGAGGAGAATGACGCCAGCCTTCTTGAGGGGCTTCAGCGACGAAGCCCAGAGCATTGGGATCGGAATGGTCAGAAGGTAGAGATCAGTCACTACATTCAAGACTACCGTAACAAAGATATCAATCCTTGAGATGGCGGGTTGGCAGGAGTCTGTCGTCAGTTAGCCGATGCGAAGACCAGATAAGGGGGAATTCTTACTCCCAGGGTCGGGGTATATTTGCCAGTTCTTTTCGAACGGATGGCAACCGAGGAGGATAGAGAGCACAACAGCAAGCCATGTTGTGCCGATGAGAATAAACCCGGCATATATGCGAGTCTCAAAGCCGAGGCCATCCTGTAACCACCATCAGCCGTCGTTGGAGGTACCGAAAGCTTGAAAAGTCGTACCGTAAGACGAAGGTAAAGGCTACACATGGCTGCCTTGATGACCCAGAGCAAGAGCGTGTACGTGGACCACCCAGCAACTTGCGTCTTGGAGCCATTCACCCTAGACGTCTGTCAGGCTTGGCTTTGGATTCCTGACTGGAACGTTCTCTTACCGCAAGTGGTACTCCTCGCTAGTTGGATCCAACACCCGTCGTTGCTCGTCCGTCATGGCATTGTTGGCAAGCCCTTTCCAGAATGCCCCCACTGAGTAAGCAAGGTATGTCTCGACAGAGTAAGCCACCTGTGTGTCGAGTCAACAGGAGGTCGAATTATTGGGTCCAGGGGTGCCTACCGCGGCCACAATCATGAGGTAGTCGTCCACGCGAAGATTCTTAATCCCAGACGAAGATATCCTAACATGGAAGCGAAGGCCAATCACAAATAAGCCAATTCCAAGTAATGTGAAGGCTTCTTGAACAAAAGAGTCCATGATGACGGTAGCTTAACGCAAGGAAAGTCTCCAGTGAACCTCCACGAGACGACCGAAATCCTCAGAGCTTCCAGGATAGTCCGAGTCAGCGTATAATATGGCACCGAGAAGGGTTCCGGGTTGCTCATCCACTTCGATAACATCACAATCGGCTCGTGGCTGGCAAAGTTGGGCGGGCTTAAGCTTATTATTAGTAAAAGGGAGAACCACAGGCATGTGGCCGTCAGACGCAAACACGAAGTTGTTTCGTTTTGACATCGGCCTGAGTCTGTTCTTGAGGTGGGCGAGCCAAACCTCCCCCCAACCTAGAACTAGTGCGACCTAGAACCGCATCTCATCGATCGGCAGGTAGAGTCACACAAAGTAAAAGAACCCGGCGCACCGTCACCTCGGGTCTCGTGATGCAATTCGGTAGGCCGCTTGATACAGTGCGGTTCCGTGACCTTCCGTCGCGTGGTTGGTGTTGGTGTCTCGCACTGCAGATTCATTGGCGGAAACGGGCAGGTAAGGTAGTAATACAATCGAAGCAACAAGGGGTTGTCGGAACTTGAACCGGGAAGATGCAGTTTTCCTCGAAGCTGGATGTTTGTGCTACACATGCTGCATAATCATAACCTGTGAGTCTGGATTTGCATGGGGTCAACCGCCATTTTGCTTTGCGCGACAAGAGTAAGTAGAAGTTGATCGAGTGAACGAATCATGGAGACGGCATATTGCCAGTCTCCCTTAAGGTTAGCCCCATTGGATATAACCATCAAGGGAAGGAGCGCATGGTTTGTGTTGCCTGTTGCGGGCAGGCAGGCGAGAGGAAGGCGGCAACATTACGGACATTATCTACCAGTTCCGATCCTCACAATTCGTTCCGAACAACCAAAATACAGTTATTTCCATGGCAATCAATGATGCAGTTTGTGTATCATTCCCGAACTCGCCGTTCCCGGAACTCGCTCCGACATCTATCGGAAACCAGTCGTCAGTCGGGCCAGACGGCGGCAGCCACCTGGAAAACAGAAGCGAACAAGTTGGCGCAAAGCACTGTTGGCCGCGTCCCATTCTTGCGCAACAACCGGATGCACATCCTACTCGGTCCGGATTCATGCGCCTCAACGGCGGTTCGAATCGGAGAATTTACTCTGAGAATGGACCATGCCAGTGAATGCCACCAGAGGTGATGGGCTGAATTTAAAACTTGGCAGACACGTCCCGACACCGGAATTAGTGCCTCGATCACTAACAAACCAAACAATCGGCATTGTTTCGGCGCTTCGGGGGGCTGCTGTAGCGCCTATTCGGTGTGTGTCACAACTACAAGACACTTGCCGCATGGACCGCCCAATGACAGTCCGTCCGATCGACAACTTAAGATCAAACCGCAACTTGGGCATGCGATGTTCGTGTCGGACACCCCACTGTCAAAACATGGGGATCCGGAATACAAGGCCTGGCGGCCTCGAGCGCTGTTGCTCCGAGGGTGAAAACGCAGAAAGGGATCCGGTTGCGGTGAACGAGACGAGACGCAGACCATCATGGGTTGGATCCCTTGTTGGTTGGGTTGATGCTGGCCGCCATCATTGGTGACAAACAGCCATCCACCCCGGCCCTTGAGGTTCCTTGTTCTAACTTCTCTCCCCCATCACCCCAGGGTTGCATCGAGTACCGTCGAGAACCGGCTGGCTGGGGAGATCATTCCCCACATGCTTGGCTGACAGGGGGGCAGAGCCAAATTTGCGGCTCCTTTCCTGAACGGGAACCGTGTCCGTCTCGGGCGCCGGAGCACGCGATGTGACCCTCAGCAGAATCAAAGCACAGCACAGCACGGTCCATTTTTTATTTGACCTCTCATCATGACCTCCCTCGACGTCCCGTGAAAAGCGGCCTTGGGGAACTGGGCACCGAGACAAGATACTACCGCACAGTCTCCCCTCTGACCTTCTAGTCATTGCCCGAAAATGGAGACGTTCGATTTTGTCGTCGTCGGAACAGGCAGGTGGTTGCTCTCTTTTGGGTGGATGTAACCTCAATATTAACATGTATTAGGCATCTTTGGCCTTGCCGCCGCAAAGACATTCCATCAGCTGGAACCCAAAAGCACCCTGGCCATTCTGGACTCTGGAACTACCGTCGGGGGCGTCTGGGCCGAAGAACGGCTGTACCCAGGGCTGAAGACCAACAACATGCTGGGGACCTTCGAGTATCCGGATTTTCCAATGCGCACCGACATCTTCGGCGTCAAACCCGGAGAACATATGCCGGGGGAGGCGATGTTGAAGTACCTCACCAAGTATGCTGAAAAGTTCGACATCTTCGACAAGATCCGTTTTCGGTCAGCGGTCACGACCGCCGAGCACCAAGGCACCACCGGAGGGTGGATCTTGACTGTCCAGAATGGTACCGCTCAATACCAAATCTTCGCACGCAAACTGGTCATGGCCGCGGGACTTACTTCAGATCCATTTTTGCCGCACATTGAAGGCCAAGAGAAGTTTGGAGTGCCCCTTTTCCACAGCGGAGACTTCGTCAAGTACGCCGAGACGCTGGATTCTGCCACGACGGTGACGATATTCGGAGGAACAAAGTCAGCTTGGGACATTGTGTACGCTTATGCTTCAAAGGGCGTCAAGGTGAACTGGGTGATACGAGGTGGGTCGTTTCCCCAACCTGTGGTACTTTGTTCCAAACTCACAATGCACATCTGCAGCAAGCGGGCATGGTCCAATTTGGATATCACCTCCCTATGTCACCCCGCTGAAGAAATGGCTCGAGAAACTAGTCCGTCAGTACGACCTTGGCGGCGTTCGGGAGGGCTAGTTCTGACAGGTTGTTGACCGTGCCATACAGACACACGCCTGCTTACATGGTTCAGTCCTTGCATATGGGGTGACGTTGACGGCTACGGTTGGATCCGCCGCTTCTACCATGGGTCCGCCATCGGCCGCGCCATCACGAACGCCTTCTGGTCCATACTGGGCAACGACGTTCTCACCTTGAATAAGTACGACTCGCATCCAGAGACAAAAAAGCTCAAGCCGTGGAGTCATGCGATGTTCACGGCATCCTCCTTCTCCATCTTAAACTACCCAACCAACATTTTCGACCTTGTGCGCGATGGCACTATTAAAGTGCACATCGCCGACCTTACGGGCTTGTCGGAGAGGACTGTGCACCTATCCGACGGTACACAACTTGACACCGACGCGCTCTGCTGTGTCACCGGCTGGAAGCACGTGCCGCCCGTCAAGTTCCTACCTGAGGGCATCGAAAAGGAGTTGGGACTGCCTCGCAAGGCCTCGGAGAACGACCTGTTCAGCCCCAAGAAAGTGCACCTGGCCGACGGCACCATCCTCTCCCGCTTCCCACAGCTGCGTGACCAGCCCGTACAGAACGAACACCTGACGCCGCTCCTCAGCACCGAGGGCCTCACGACCACGGACGCGATCAACCCCTCCACACCCCTCACCCCCTGGACGCTCTACCGCTTCATCGTGCCCCCCTCGGAGCGCCTGCTCCAGACGCGCGACATCGCCTTCGCCGGCATGCTGCTCAACTTCTCCACCACGCTCGTCGCGCACGCCCAGGCCGTCTGGATCGCCGCCTACTTCCGCGACCAGCTGTCCGCGGCCGTCCTCCCGCCGCTGGCGCCGCGCCGCTCCGACAGCGCGCGGCGGAAGGAGGAGGAGCAGGAGGAGGAGGATACCAAGACGATGGCCGAGGTCCGCCGCGAGACGCGCCTGCACGCTCGTTTTGGGCGCTGGCGCTACCCGGCTGGGCATGGCACGCAGTTCCCTGATTTTGTGTTTGACGGGCTGCCGTATGTGGATTTGTTGGTTAATGATCTGGGCTTGAAGGTTCATCGGAAGGGGGGGTGGTTTGCGGAGATGACGGAGCCGTATGGCCCGGAGGATTATCGCGATTTGGTGGCGGAGTTTGTGACGAAGGTGGGGGGGAGGGGTGGTTAGTTGGGAACTTGGGGTTGGCGTTGGGTTGGGGTTGCCCTGTTGGTGGTGGGATTGTATGAGGGGTGGGTTCCAATATGGATGGGTGGGTGGATTGTTTGCTCTGTTGTTGAGAACTCGAGCATGTGCTTGGAGAATTGATGTTTAATGGTCATTTGTTGCGCGTGATTCGGGGTGGGGGGATGCGTGTTCCTCACGGAGGCTTTTTGGACAACTTGGAACTACAAAAATTGAATTTCGGTTGGGCGTCGACCCTCACATAATTCCTGATATTTCACATTTGGCCATCAAACCATACGCCGGAGTTGAGGAGAAGCCCGCACCCCTCGACTCCAAAGAAAAATGGGGAATGGTGGGGCTGATCTGACACCCCCATCCAAAGCTTGATTTGTGGAGATGTGGGTTGCCAAGTCCACGATCTCAACGACATGTGTTGGAGTGTAAGTTGAATGAGCGCAGCGCCAATTCAATAAATGGGCAAGATGCCGCGAAATGTGTTGTTGTTTAGGCATTCGATGAAGACTACGAGATGGCAGTAGTGATGGTGAAAACCAAACGAACAAAATGACGGGGTCGCGAAAACACCATAAAGTTTAGTTGGTGATGTTGCTGCGCGCTTCGTGCCGCGTTGGAGGGGCGGGATTCCCAGGAACGGTGAAATTTCAACACAAGTTGCGGACAGAAAAAGACCAGGGTGTGGTCTCCCTCGACCCTCGAATCCCCAGATCACCGGACAATGCTACGAACGCGGCCTATTCGCCGGAATAGCTGCAAGCAATTGCACATCTACTAGCAAGCACCGTCATAGATCATTATCCACTGAGAGAATTGAGCTGTTTGTTCCTTATAAGGTGGTGTTAATAGTTCCGTCAACATACGAATGAATTGTTACTACTCGGATAGGGCGTGTGTATTGAACATGGAAGGGATGGCATCGCGACATCACGCTTCACCCAAGTAAGGGTCAGGTACATAGCGTCAGGTACACAACGCGTAGGCTACGCAAGAGGGAAAGGAAAGAAAAAAACATAGTTTGACATGTTTGGTCACCCCCGAACCCTCAACCCCCAGAGCTCCCAGACCCTCAAACCCCCGGAACCCTCGCAGTGCCACGGACGTAACTGTCAGGCGTAGTGGACACGAGTGCCCCTACCAAAGGCCAGAAATATTGCTATGGACCACTGCACACCGCGGGAATTGAACTCGCAGTGTTTTGAAGTGGTGGCGGCCCAAATGGGTTGCACCATAAACCACTCGACCAAGCATGCCAACTACCTATTTGTGTTATCATTTATGAACATCGTTCCCCCTTATCAACTGAACCTGCCAAGCTTGCGCTCTGTCGACTCCCGGCCCGTAAAATGGGAGATTCTCCGGTAAATTCTCGTCTCTATTTACCTCCGGGAACGCCACGAGCTCAATAGGTCAGCAATCAGTTCCGTCTTAGCGGGTACCCGAGCGTATATACTCGAAAGGAAAAGTAAAGAAAGTGCTCCTGAGTAACAAAAGCCTGCCCAGGTACATTCGGTGGGGTCGCAGGGGTTACTTCGGTCTCCCTTTTCGTGGCTGCAGTATTATATTAGGCTATCACCTAATTCCCTTTCTTTAATTCAACCGAGTACCTGACCTCTTATCAGTGACCAGCTGTAGATGGAGTACTCGTATACTAGCATAACTAATTCGTTCTATTTGCTATCTTAGGGTTCACGATAGTGAACAATAGGTAGGAATGTACTGAATGAAGTTGTTAATTTCTTACGAAGATTGCCGAACAATAGGCTCCTGCCGTGAACTGAAATAAACGGTTTCCTCTTTCCAATCTTTCTGGACTTCGGCGTTATCGCTTGTTCCTGCCCTTGAAAACTGCTTTCTCAGTTTTTCTCAGTTGAATAAACTCTGCCACCTCTTCTTCTTTTCCCAGCGCGTCAAAATCCTAGCTTTGTCGCTCAAATCTCGTCCCGCCCGCCCGGTTCCGTTTTCTTTTTGCGTCGAAAAAAAGACACATCTAAATCTCACCAGTCCGCTGGTGTCTCAACTGTAAATTCTACCTCGTTTTCGGCCAGCCGCAACGCGTGAATTGCGCGGATTACCTGTTACCCAATTCAGATCTTGACGCTTTGCTTCATTAGGTACAGTAGCAAAGAGAACCTTAATCAAGATGCCCCGCACCCCCCGCGTTCGTGCCTCGAGGCCCGCGGCGGCTCACAAGTCTTGCATGCCGTGGAACGGCATGCAGTGGTACGTTTAATTGTATAAAATGCGAACAATCATGGGCCAGGCTTACCGGGTTATCTTCGATTATGTAGGGGCCAAGGCCGAGTCAATATCACACCCCGCCGCCTCACCGACGTCCGCGTCCTCGGGGCGCTCCGATCACTCGGTGTCTCGATCCGGAAGCGAGACGTCCAGATCGAGCTTACCAACCTGGTGGAGGAGGCTACCGCCTTCGCCCAGCGCATGGTTTGTGTCCCAGATCGGGACATCGAGCGATCGGAGTTCTTGGCCAAATTCCGTGGAGAGAACCGCCTTGGCGAGCTTCTCTCGCCTGCTCAATTTGAGCAACTTTTCACGACGATTGTATTGGCCAGGTACCGGTACCTCGAGGACCGGTACCTGGAGGATTTGGTGAGTTTGAGCCCTGTATTATTTCACCTATCGCAACTTGGATCTCCGATTAAGCAAAAGGACGCTAAGTGGCTCTCTCTTGTGAGACCCTTGCTCCTGGACATACCGCGATCACACTATTTGTACCAATGCATGAGGCGCATCTAACTTACCCACGGCATCCCAACCCTTCCTGACTTCACAATTTCCCACATCTTCAAACGCGCACCGCTAACAGCTCACCCCAGCCGGTGGAGAGCCCGGCCACCCACTGCCACCTCGCCCGCGCTGTCGACGCCTTCGAGGCGACGGCGTGGTTCTGGTCGTCGGTCGAGGCGTTCCTCGAGGACGACCAAGGCCGGGGGGACGATGCCGAAAGCCTCGCCGCCTTCTCGTCGGACTCCGACGAGAACGACCAGGACCGCGCAGCCGCCTCGTTGGCTGTCACCACCATCGCCGCAGCCAACGACCCGGCGTACGTCTCCCTCGCCGCCGGTGTCGACGTGATGGACCTCGACGATGTCGCCGGGGACGTTGGCTCAGAGATGGAGGTGGACGACTAGACTTGTCCGGTAAGGAGGTAGGCATGGGTGGTTGGGGTTTGCCACCCGGAGCTCCTCTTTTCTTTTGTCGTTGTGATTTGGGATTTGGGGTGGGGAGTGGTTTGGGTTGGGTTTCGCCCTCAGGGCTTACTTCGCTTTTGTTTTCTTTTTCTTTTTCCCCCCCTCGCCGAAGCCGGGGTGGGAAGGGGGGCTCTGCTGGCCCCGAATAACATCTCTAACCATCGGGCCAGGACGTCTTGTTGTGTCGGTGATGGAGCCGGGCGGAGCTTGGCGGACACCCCGGGGCCCGGGCCGAACCTCGGAACGGGACGAGGTTGCGACCACGGGGCAGGAAGGCGGCTCTGCCGGTTGCGCCCCAACCCCGCATGACGTGTTCCACCAACCCCTCCCCGAAGTAGAACTCTTCACAACCGCACCTACAACGCAGTCAATCACGCAAATTCTCGTTTCCGAGCCATTAAGAGCAGTGTGTCGCGCTTCACATCATACACAATTACGTCATGGCCTCCTCGCGAGAGAAATGGTCCCTCACCGGCCACCTCCTGGCAACCCATCAACAGCTCTACAAGTCGGCGACTCAACACCCCTTTCTGCTCGCCGGAGCCGAGGGTCGGCTGCCCAAGGACATTCTGAGCCGCTGGCTTGCCAACGACCGGTTGTACATCCACTCATACATTCGTGCGGCGGGCCAACTCCTTGCGTCTATCGACCTTCCGAAACAGGTCCCCGGTTCGCAAGAGGCATTCGAGACTCGACTCGTCGATTGGGTGATTGAAGCTCTGGTCGCCATCCGAAAAGAGGAACGCTTTTTCATTGAAATTGCTGATCGCTACAACTTGGGCATTGAGATCGCCATTCCATTCCCTCCTGTTTCTGCCGCAGCGCAGGATACCCCAGCAAAACCTTTTACAATGCAGGACGACGGTAAACTTCCGGGGTTCGTGCGATTAGAATCCATCTTCTCAGCCGTCGGTGGCGCTCACTCGACCACGCCGGACTCTCCTAGTACAGTGCCCGGGGGATCTCTTGTGCGATCCCTCTTTACCAGCACCGCTGCCACCACAACCCCGCCAACTCTCCTCCCGTGGTTGGAAGGTGCCCTCACGTTTTGGGGCACCGAGCGCTGCTACCTGGACGCCTGGTCTTGGGCCCGCGACAAGGCCGAGGAGCGCCGCTCTTCAGGTGAGCACGCTGGGAAGGAGGATGCCGATGGTGGTGCGCTGCGTAAGGAATTTATTCCCAACTGGAGCAGCCCCGAGTTTTCACGGTTCGTGGAGCAGTTGGGGAAGTTGATTGATGATGCCGTCGCGGGAGTGGTAGAGGGGAAGGAGGGAGAGGAGAAGGAGAAGGTGAAGCAGGCGATTCTTGGGAGGGTGGAGGGGAAATGGAAAACCCTTCTGGAGGCTGAGAAGGATTGTTGGCCCGATGTTTGAATTTCCCTAACCACAGGCCGTCATTTGGCCCCCCTTTGATGAACACGATTCCGAATTAATCTCGTGGCTATTTTTTACCCGTCGCCATTCAGCAGCGGCGCCTCGGACGCTTCGTGATTGGTCGCTTGGGCAAACGTTCGCATGGCTTTCGTGGGGGCCGTTTCTGAGGTGGCACTGCAGCGCCCCCCGGGCAGCAAGCTCAAATTCACCGCGCGTCCTCCTCCACCGCGCCAAATCTTGACGAGATTCGCCGAGACGGCGTTCAATATCCACGCCTCCGGTTGTGGACACCATGGCCGCTTCAGATGAAAGTGCGGCTTCAAAACTCATCGAAGTGCTCGGTAGGATTGACACCACCCTTGGAGCCCTGGACCGCCGTCTACAAGTACTTGAGCAGTCATGGCCGCCGGCTCAAGCGGGTGGCATCGCCCCCCCAGCAGCCGCAAATGCAAATCGCGTCCGCCTAACTAAGCATGAGGGTTTCGTTACTAAACATAAACCTGACCTGGAGGGATCAAGCCAGCTCCAGGAGATCATCGTGGAGGAAAACGACCTCGTTGCGCTGCTGTCGTGCGCTTCGAGCCCCTGTCTTGATCGCCACCAGACCCGACAATCCACCAACAACGCGCACAAAATCTTCACATACCCATTCACGGGGCTCCTTTGGTACCGGGACGTGCTCAAATTTCTCATCCACGAGTCTGAGCGACCCGATAGCGAGCTTCGGCAGCTGTATTCCGACCACGCGGCTACCGAGGTTTTGACGCCTGATTTAAAAAGCGAGACCGCGCAGCTGCTAGCCTGTTGCGATGAGCAGTGTAAGCCACTCGTTCAAGGCAGAGATGAAAACTTAGCTCGTGGTGTCGTTCGCTTCGATGACCTGCCCAGTCTTTTCTCGCCCGGGCTGCTGCTCGTCGGCCCAGGAGGAGAAGGTATCGAACAAGTGGTAGAAGTTTCGTCGTGCGACTTGATAACCGGGCCAGTAATAGCGGAGATCTGTGTGGTGCAAGCTTGGAATTTTAGGTGGGACGGCCAGGGCTTCTCGAGGACGAGCACCCGCTTTGAGCTGAGTCGCTACAGCGGAACGAGGCCGATCAAAGGGTTTCCATACCAGCCCGTCATCGGGTTGGATTCTGAACAGTCCGTCGCCCGGTTAAGAGAGATTGTCGCTAGAAACACGAAACATGTCACCTTCCTTCAGGAGGTGTCCAAAGTCGAGGTTGGGGATTACCCTTTCTGCACCTGGGAGTCAGAGGTTTCGGACGGGTTCAGACATGGTTCAAAGGTAAGATGGCATTTGAGGGGAGTTGCTTTCTGTTTTCCCTAGGACACTGACCAAAGAAAATAGGCTGTTGAAGTTATGCTGGATCCCGCAGCTTTCTCCCTTTACGACGAAGAACGGCCAAAAACAGCAGGGACCTTCGGTTGTTACTGTTCCAGATGCACGAGTTCGATCTCATTTCAAGACGTTCTTCGTAACGCCAGATACCTTTTACTAGCGCCGACGATGGCGGAGGGATTTATGCTTGAATCGAAGAAGTGGACGGCGTTTCCCGTTCGTGACCTCCGTGTTAGGGAGTCCTTCTGGTGGGATGACGAGACCTTGGATACTGTTTGCTTCGACTCGAGCTATGTTGAGCTTTTTAAAGAGAAACTCACGAAACACCTTGCCCAGCGGAAAGAGATTCTTGATGGGACAAACCCGGATCCGATCGAGGTTGACAATGATATCTCGCGCAAGGCCTTTGTCGTTCAATTTCACGGTAAGTACGGCAACCGCAACGCTTGAGAATGAAAGCCCTGACTAATTAAATCACGCGCATAGGCCTCGAGGGCACTGAAACAGCGTTGACAGCGTCGTCATTGGCGAACTATTGTCGTCGACCAGCCCTCTGTATTACCGCCGACGATATGGGTCTGGAGCCGGAAGGCTTTGCAAAGAGATTGTCATTGTACGCCGAACTCGGCTTCCGCTGGGGTGCGGTCCTTATTTTGTCCGTGTTCCCGCTCCTGAATATCAACCCTTTCGCTGACTGGGGTGCCGAGTAGTTTTGAGGCAGACAACATGCTGCAGAGCAGACAGTTGGATGACACAAAACGAAATCCACTCAAAGAAGGTGAGCACGAAGAAATGTTTCAGGCATCGGTACTTGAAATAACTTGTTGACGATCATAGCACTCGCGAGAACCCTCGAACGGTTCGGCGGAGCCATGATACTTTTGACCAGTAACGATCAGACCTGGGACACAGACCTCGTGCGATATATCCGGCAGTTCTTTTTTCTACCCCCGCAGGACGAAGAGATCGAAACAATGTTTTCTTCCCTACTGAACCAGCTGGACCCGGATTCTGTTGAGTCTGGGGATACGATGGTGAGCTGGGTTGTGGCCACTGCCCCAGTGTTGCAGTTGTCAGTTCGTGAAATTCGCGACATTTTTCACCGTGCTGTAGGCCACGCAAACAGAGGTGGTCGGAAATTGGCTTTGAGCGACATCATCAAGGCATACACGACAACTACCGGACGACAGGACGAGTGGGATTTGGTCGACGATATCTCCTTGTACGGAAGCGGCCAGGCCGCAGAAGGTACTACCACGCCGCGGGTTACCGAATTTCTACGCACTACCTTTGGTGCCTGGAGTGAGCTTCCTGATGACGGGCGGCTACCATTTACGTTTCTGGAGTCCTTTTATTCTGGGTTGCCGCTAGATTCCGCGACCAAAGGGGCCAAAATATTGGGCAAAGCCACGGAAGAGCTGCAGAAGGTCGGCCGGATGTGGATCGTGGACTGGGGGTGGCCAAAAGGAACGTGGTGCCCGATACAAGGTTGCGCGTATACACCGAGTGGGCTTTATCGATGGATAGACCCAGAGGTGAAACATCCTCTCGAGGAATGGAATCGAGCGGGGTTTACATTTGGACTGCGGGATGTTGTCGAGGGACAGCAGCACGGTGGTGGCAGTCCTTGGAGAAGGCTTGTGTAAGTCTCCCCGTTCTTGACAACCACGGGTTTAAAAAACACTGACAGCAAATCAGCCTCTTAGAAGGACTCTCGAGCATCCCCTCAGAGGTTTTACAGGACGCCAGCGGGGCTCTAGGGGGACTTGATGATGAGTCTGATCGCGCAGTACCAACCTATTTGCCGTGGATTGGAGCACCCGACGACGATCGACCATCGTCGGCGTCCTTGGATTTCAGCATCGATTCCCTGAATCGCATCGTTGAGGCACACGTTTACGCAAGGACCTTGAAGATGACCCGTGCCGTTCCGGTCATTGCTCAACTGGGACCATTGGATGAGGGCCCTAATGAATCTGAACGCGACTTGGAGTTTCATATCGCATTTTTCCATATGATCACAAGCGTGACTGGGAATATCGGAGACGTGCGAAATACGGTTAAATTATTCGACGCCTCGGGCATGGGTATGGGGAAGGGCTGTTTTACAGTAACTACATCTCCCATCCCCGGCCCGCCGCAACTTTGAGGACCTAGGCTGACATTGACCTTCTTCTATTCCAGATCTTCCCTGTGCCCTCCGCGGAAGACTCTCCACCGGTAGACGACCCCATCCATTGGACACTCATCTGCCTTACACCAGAAGACTTTTGGCCACAAGACATATATGCAAAGTGCGTAGCGCCAACTCTTAGAGCGCAGACAACATACTATGTGGCCGAGGCCCTTAGAACAGTGGTCACCCGCTGGCGCGAGGTCCTTCAGGCTATCGAAAACCTCGTGGACAGTGATAGCGTTCTGCGGCAGCCGGACCAGCTCCAAAACATCCTGTTTGACGACGACGCCTTTTCGACCTCGAAGCGCTATTTCTGGGCCATCAATTTCATCCATGAGGCGGTCAAGCTTTTGGACGACTCGATCCAGCAGTGGGCCAACTTTCGCAAACGGTCGGTGGAGCCGTGGGCCGGCTTGGGGATATCTAACCGAGACCCCTACTGGTACGGACAGTCACAGCGGGTGCTCGACAACGCCGATCGGGATGCGGTGGAGTCGTGCGAGGAGCTGAAGCTGCTGAGGCAAGAGTTTCAGGAGAAGCTGGACCGCATCACCATCATGAGAGACGGCGTAAGTTGCCCACCCCCCAAAACACAACCAGGACACAAGTTGTAGGATGGTACTTGAGCCTTAACCGCCTTGCTGACAACCCCAGCTCTTCAACGCCAGCGCGGTGATGGAATCGCGCGCCTCCACACAGCTTGGTCAAAACGTGAAGCTCCTCACGTTTGTCAGCATCTTCTTCCTTCCCCTCGGTTTCTGCGTGGTACGTATTTGCCCTAACTGTTCTACACACCGCGACTGCGTTGCCGAAATGCTCACTCTTACCCTCTCCCCCCCTTTCCCTGCGCTAGGCAATCTGGAGCATCAACGAATCCTACAGCAAAACCGACCTCGCGATCGTGAGCGTCATCGTGGGCGTGGCGACGTACGCGCTCACGTTCAACCTCAACAACGTCGTCCATGGCCTGCAGAAGGTGTACGCGCCCAAGCGCCGGAAGCTGATCGAGAAGATGGAGCAGGAAAGGGACATGATGTGGCAGTATTTTGGGGACCGCTTTAATATGTTTGAGAGGTCGGACCGCGGGCTCCAGAAGCCGTCCGAGTGGATTATCTTGGCCTACTTCTTTCGGCGGATGTGGCGGGCGGTTCGGGGGAAGAGGGATCTGCGGCCGGAGGAGATGGGGTCGGATTGCAGTCTTTCAGAGTAATGAGAGATGCTGTGGTGATGTTATATACGAGGGAGATGGTCGAAGTTGCATTCTTGTGTTGGGAGAGACAGCAACGAAACAGATATGCAAAAAGAAAAAAAAAAAAAAAAGAAAAAAAACAGTGGGTCGTCTGTAAAGGCGCAACCATAGTGCCTGGTCTGATGATGGATTGCGTGAGCCAAGCTGATGAGAGCATTGGCAAACGGAAGCCTTATTCCGGGCTTCCGGAGGGAGAGGTTTGAGCTTCATATGACGCCTGTGAAAATATTGTGATGTCTAACTGTAAAACAACAAGCCCATATTGAGCACAGCCATTTCGGAAGATCCCAACAACGGATTGTCGGAATTGAAACACGCCCTCATTTTGACGGCCCCAGCACCCCAGGAACCTCGCTTTGGTGCTCTGGGGAACAGTCAAGTTCGGGAACAGTGGGGACAGGGGCGATTGACTAAGCTAGCCCCGCCTGTTGGGGATCCGACATGCTGCTGCCGCGCCGCCAAGAACCCCTGCAACCGACTAGGGGCGACCTCCTGTCGTGTGCTTCAGATCGGCAATTTCGACTTCATTCAACAACATCAGACACCCTTAATGTTGCCTCGTAGAGCAGCTGGCCTGATGAGCGTTACTTCGCTTTCCTTTTTAGCAATTTGCTGATTGTTCTCGTCGTTTTCACCACACTCCTTTGAGATTTTGGCAATAATATTTACATCCCGCATCGGTTTCAGCGTCCTCGTTTCCCGAGACAACCTAACCCACAGCCATCTCGATCCGAACTATTCACGACCAGACTCGTCCTCCCTTCTCCCCACAAGCCGACGGCACCAATTCGCCCACCATGGCGCCAACTCAAGAACAACGGTACGACCACGTGCCGCCAATACCGACCTACGATGAAGCCGTCGCGGGCGGCAGCGCCTGGCACCACGACGTCGCCGACTCCCCGATCGACCAAAACCAACACACAACCGAAGCCGAAGCCGAGGGCCAATCGCTGCTGACCGGCTCCTCCCGACACGCCTTCGAATCCTCCACCCCGAGCCACCGCCAGCAACAACAACCCGCGCAGGGGGGCCGACGACCCCGCGGCTACCGCGCCCCGACCGTCGAGACCGACGACGAGAGCAACCTGTTCAGCTCCGACGCCGACTCGGACTCGGACTCGGACGACGCGCGCGAGGCCGACCAGGTGCGCCGCGAGATGCAGGAGCTGGAGATCGACGACTCGGACGTCCACGGCCGCGGCGGCCGCTCCTCCTGGGGCAAGCGCATCGGCCTGGCCCTGCCCCAGTGGCGGCGGTGGAAATGGAGGTGGCGACTGCCTGCCCTGCGGCGGCCGGGGGCTACCGCCGGTGGGGCTGGGGCTGGTGGGAGTGGAGGGGCTGGTGTGGCGCCGACGCCGGAGGAGGCGCGCGCGTCGTCGTCGGGCTCGTCGTCGTGGTTTGCGCGCGCGCGCATACCGTCGCTGCCCAAGTTTGGGAGTCCGGCCCTGCTGCTGCTGATTGCGCGGACGATGGCGGTGTTTGTGGTGCTGGGCGTTTTGTACTTGGTGTTCTCGAGCGACCTGTTCAACAACATGGCCCGCCGCATGGGCAGCCAGATCTTCGACCCCGAGAGCGTGCGCAGCCATGTGCAGAATACTGTCGACGCGAGGAGGATACGCGACCACCTGAAGCACTTTACGAGCTACGCGCATATTGCCGGGACGGCTGGCGACTTTGCGCTGATGGAGGATACCGAGATGCTGTTCAGGAAATACGGGTTGGAAGATGTCCGGCGGGACGTGTATGAGGTTTACCTGAATTACCCCAAGGCCGGGGGCAGGGCGGTGGAGATTTTGGGAAAGGGGGGCAAGGTGGCTTGGGCAGCGAAATTGGAAGAGGAGGAAGCCGGTGGCAGGAGTACAGGGCGCCAGACTTTTGCGTTCCACGGACACTCGAAATCCGGCGATGTCAAAGGGCGGCTGGTGTACGCCCATTACGGGCTGAGGGAGGACTTCCAGCTGCTCAAGGACCGTGGCGTCAACTTGAACGGGGCAATCGCGCTCGTGAGGCATTACGGGCCGCAAGAGGACGTCGCGTTGAAGGTCATGGCGGCGGAGCAGGCTGGGGCCGTGGGCTGCATTACATACAGCGACCCCGCGGACGACGGCTTCTTGAAGGGTACGACGGCACCCAAGGGCCGGTTCATGCCGGCCGATGGTGTGCAGAGGGGGAGCGTCAGCTTGCTGAGCTGGGTTGTCGGAGACGTTCTGACGCCCGGCTGGGGCAGCAAGGATAACTTACCGCGCATGAAGTTGGATCAAACGAAGGGCCTCGTCAAAATCCCCAGCCTCCCTCTGGCGTGGCGCGATGCGCAGGGCCTACTTCAGCGTCTCAAAGGGTCCGGGGAACGAGTTCCCAAGGAATGGGTCGGTGGGGTCCCCGATGTGGGCGAGTGGTGGACCGGGAACGGCTCATCGCCGATTGTGCGCCTGAAGAACGTGCAAGACGAGGTTGAGAAGCAGCCGATCTGGAACGTGTATGGCAGGATCGCAGGAATCGAGCAGGGCGAGAAGAAGGTCATCATCGGCAACCACCGCGACTCCTGGGCGTTCGGCGCGGCAGACCCCCACTCGGGAACCGCCATCATGTTGGAAATCGCCCGCATCATGGGTGAACTTGTCGCTCACGGCTGGCGCCCGCTACGAACTATTGAATTTGCCTCGTGGGATGCCGAGGAGTACAACTTGATAGGGTCAACAGAGTACGTCGAGCAGAACGACGAGGCGCTGCGCCGAGATGCGCTCGCCTACATCAACCTCGACAAGGCCGTATCTGGCGACACTTTCCACGCCGCCGGGTCACCTGTCTTCCGCAAGCTTCTCCTCCAAATCTTAAATCGCGTTGCCGACCCCCATTTCAACAGTACGCTACGGGAACGCTGGGATCAGCGCAAGGGCGAGATCGAGGGTCTCGGCACCGACTCTGACTACGTCCCTTTCCAGGACATCGTCGGCACCTCATCCCTCGACATCCACTTTGATGGCGGCAAATTCCCCCACCGCTCCAGCTACGAAAACTTCGAGTGGATGGACAATGTCGGCGACCCGGGCTTCATCTACCACGCCCTCCTCGGTCAGGTCCTGGGCCTCCTGGTCCTCGAGCTGTCCAACCGCCCGATCATGCCCTTCGATATGCCCGCGTACGCCAACAACCTGGGTCGCTGGGTCCGAGAGCTCCAATCCTGGGCCAACCTGCGACCCGAGAAGACTCCCTCTTTCGACGCCCTCAATACCGCAGTCAAGTCCGTGGTAAGGTCGGTCCGCGATTTCATCAAGTGGGAGACCAACTGGGAGAGCAGCCTGCTCGCGTCCAGCGGGTGGGAGCCATCGGGGTTGGGGAGCCGGCGGTGCGAGTACAACACCCGCATGGGGAAGTTTGAGACGGATCTCTTGGACCTCGAGGGGGTAAGTCGACCAGCCACACACCCACCCACGCCTGCTCAAGGTGCTAACATACTGGTGAATAGATACCCGGTCGCACGCAGTTCAAACACGTCGTGTTCGGCCCGCAGGCCTGGTCCCGCGACCCCGAAGCCTACTTCCCCGCCATCCGGGACGCCATCATCTCGGGCAACGAGACACTGGCGCAACTAACCGTGGACAAGGTCGCCGAGATTTTGACGCAGGCGAGTGCGAACTTGGCGAAATAAGACCGGTCCACCCACCCACTCGCTCACACTACGGTGTATCTCCTTTTTCTTTTATTCGCAATCATATTTAAACAGCTCCAGGATAGGAGCTTGGGAGGAGGACAAACAAGGAGAGGGGAGGATCTGTTGCCATCTTTTTTTTTCTTGCATCGCATCGGCGCACCGGGTTGCTTTCGTCAAGCTTGCACTTTACCTGCCTGCTTGCCTTTCGGGCCCTCGCCGGCCATCACACATTTCCTTTTTGGGTTGTTGGAAGATGTCGCCTCGTCGCGCTTCGGGTTGTACCTTACCTGCCTGTTGCTGTCTGTGTATGTACAGTTGGGGCCGGGCTAATTTGACAGCGGAATATCAATGTCTCCGAGTATGGAGATCTCTTTTTGTCGGCACCTTGCAGTGCGACAGTCGTCCGATATGCTCTTGGGTGCGTGGCGTTCATGTTCATGCGTGTCATATCCCGCTCCTCGCGGACTGATGACCGAGGTAACCTTCACCGGTTGGAAGTAAGAAGCTAGATATTGGTTTTGGCTCAGACAAAAAAGCTGTCGGGTCAAACTCCAGTAAAACAATGACAAAAGGGAAAGGTGTACATATATACAATAAATGTACATGCAGGAAAGTCCTCCATGCGGTATCGTGGGTAGCGGGAGCTGTCTCTTATCATATCTTCTCTTCTGCCTGCACCCTTCAGCCCGTGAGGGCTAACCTCGAGGCCCACCATCGATCCGTTGCAGACACACCAATTACCACTACGCCAGAAGCCAAACTATTTCGGCGTCAGAACAATGCCCTCGTACTCCTTACTCCGAATCATGTCAAGTGTCTGCATAAAGTGCTTCCTGCTGGCGTCGACAGACGGCGAGTCCTGCTGGTTGCCAGCTAGGTTGGAGTGGATGAGCTCGATGAGGCCGTTGAGATACTTGGTGGTGACCTGCATATCAGGTTAGCAGATGAAACTGAGGATTCTCCGCAGATCGGGTTACCCACCGATTCGTTCTTCTGGTCAAAGTAGTAAACATATCTGTCGAGGATCTCGACGAACAGCTCGATCGAGGTGGCCGTCTCCATGCACGAGTCCGCCACGCGGAGAGCGCGCTGGAGGCACTCGAGGACGCGCTTACCGTCACGGTAGAGCTGGTGTTGTGTGTCAGTATCTTGAGTTACGGCAACGCGAATGGCTAAGAAGGGCTCACCTCTGTCTCCTCCGTCTCTCCGTTCGCGGCGATGGGCGTCGCCCACCACAAGTGGCTGGCTAGGTAAACCGCACGGCACTGGTCTGGTTTGCGCAGCAGCTTGCTTGCGTGCTGGGCGCACTTGGTGATGAGAGTGTCGTAATTCTCCTTGCCGAAGTTTCTTGTCCGGTGGAGTGCACTGGAAATGACGCAGACGGCCTGGAATTGGGCCTTTGAGTCGCTGATGGCCTCCTCATACACCGTGAACGCCTGCGCGAAGAACTCGTAAGCTACCTCTTCGAAGCCGGTCATATCGGCGACCTGGCCGCAAGAGCAGAACAGGCGGAGAGATAGTTCGGCCGCGCCCGAACCATTAACACGGGTGTACAGAGTGGATACGGCGGAATGTAGGAATTTGAGGAGCGCCGAGGATTGTGATGACCAGTTATCGTCATAGTGCTCGCGGGTCTTGAAACGGCGGGCGAGCTTCAGGCCGGCGGTAACGAGCGGCGGTGTTGTGGTGCGAATTCGTTCGTTGCCTTCGCCGTACGCCTTTCTCGTCATTTGCAGGAGACGGAACTGGGTATCGTTGTCGTCGGAATGTACCAGGTGGACAAGGCGAGCAAGCCAACCTTGTTCCTCCATAGTCTCGTCGGTTTCAACGGCGCGCGCCCGGGGCTGCACGACACCAGGATAGCCGGCTGGCGGTTGCGATCCCTCCCTGATCAAAACCTTGAGGACTTCGAGGACATTCTCCAAGTGCGCTGGGGTAGAAATAAAGGTTTGGTTCTTGAGGAGTGTCCTGGCAACACTCCCAGCGACCGCTCTTCGCGTAGGGTAGGTCTGGGATTGGAGCAGGGGGACGTAGGTGGGGAGCGATAAGGCCGTGAAGATGGACAAGTAACGCCGTAGGGGACTCTGGAGGAGCGCCAACAAGCTTTGCTGTGCTGGCTGTGAGTGTAAATCTGCGCTGTTGGCATGCTCTTGGACCTTGCTATGGGCGTAGCCCAGGATCTGATCGACGTAGTCCAACCTCTCAGGATAGATATTGAGCGCCAGGTTCGTCAGCGAGACGGACAGGGCGATGGTATCTTGTATTGGGAGGTGCTGCGCCTGAACGAGGTTCTTCACCTGCCCAAAGAAGACCTCGTATAACGGTACGTTCTCCGGGATTCCCCTCCGCTTCGTGGCCGGCTGTGACTCGTCTCCATTCACTGCTGTCGTTTCAGTGTCTGCTACGGACGGGGTCGCCTCATCCTCTGCTTTCGGCGTGTCTGCAGCCGACCCGGCGTCACCTTCGGGTTTCTCTGCGCTCCCGGGGGCTTCAGCTTCCTGTGTGGGGGTGCTCGAGGCCTGGGTGGCGCTTTCCGCGCCCAGCCTAACCTTCTCGAGAAGGTTCGCCAAAGCCTCCTCTTCCATCTTTTCCCTGTCCTCCTCCGACTCGTTCTGCGATTCGCGCTCGGCATAGTCGGAGAGACGATCCATGAGGCCTATGACGATACCCTTGACGTCCACATGCGGATTTAACCGCGAGACGGCGCCGAGGAACTGGTCGAGTGTGTGGAGGTGGAATTCGTCTGGGAAGACTTGGGTGATGACCTCGAGTAGGTACTCCTGGGCTAAAACGTCGCGGCACTGCACAACCTGCTCCAGTAATGGCGCGAGGATGCCATTCTTGTACGCCTGCAGATCCACCAGCTGGCTGAGCCGCACAACATTGCTCCCCACCAACAACTGAAGCTCTTTCCTTTCCTGTGTCCTTTGATCCCGCTCCCTCGAGTGTCCTTGGTGCTGCAGACGAACCCAGAGCTTGTTCATCTCGACAAAGTTGGTGAGCACAAAATTGATCGAGTCTTGAAGGTTCCCTTCTGGCCCATCGGAGTCGCCGGCCGGGAGACAGTCCCTGGCTTGGCCGGAAAGATAGTAGCGCAAAAAGAGGCCACGAATCGGGTGTTGTACGCCGCGGCTCATATCCATCATGTCCTTCATCAGTTCCTTAACCGGTGCGCCCTCGATGGCCATGTATGCGGTGCCGACGGTGATCATGAGGTAGAGGCGGGGGACAATGTTGCCGGCATACTGGACAAGCTCGTACAAGTCGGCGAGGTGGTTGACGGGGTGGTTCTCGCGCAGGTGAACCGAGAGGTAGCGCAAGGCGTCAAAGACGGCCATGTACAGCTCGTAGTACTGCTTGGGGCCCAGACTGCTTGTTCGGAGTTCGGAGACTAGGGTGGAACTAAAGGATGGTGTCAGCAAGTTCCGGTTTACAACCACCGCGCGATGGCGCGATGGTGCGAATGGTGAAGGGGCTCCTTGGCCCCCGCGCTCAGACAACCCAAAACCAATGTACCTAACAAGGAAATGGAGAGTTAACCATACCAGCATTTAAGCGCATCCATTAGCTTCCCCGGCGTATCCAGACATTTGCGCATCAGCGCCGTCTGTTGGCGCACAGCAATGAGGGCATCCTCGAGGAGCCGGGATTGGTCCTCCGGGGGCGCGGGGGTCGTCATGGTGTTGGTGTTTCTGCCACCTTGGTTTCAATGTCGCCGGCGATGTGCTGAAATAATGAGGGTGAGATGGTAAATCACAGCTCTAAAGGGTCAGGCGCAAAGAAAAGTGCCAGCGTAGGACCAGGAATTGAAGTTGCTGTCTGTCCCTGGAAGCTTTGCGAGGGAATGACGACGCCAGCAGCGGCACAGCTCCGCAATGCAGCAGCAGTTCAGGGACCAGCCAGAAGCCAAGAGTGGCTGGAGCTGCAACAAGGGTCGGATTACATAATTGGCCTCTCAACCTCTGCCCCACCATAGCACGTGAAAAGAACGCGTCGCGCGATGAAGTGAGAAGAAGCTCTTGTGGAACTTGGAAAAGAAACCGATATTGGTTTGCTCCGTTGCTGAAACTTCCCGTCTGAGAGCATTCTGCTGCTGGAATTTTTGTCGCAACTGCACGAGATCCGACCAAATGATCAACGGGATCGAGATGGAACCTGCTTCCCACAATAATCGTAATCTGCAACGATGGAGATCTGTATCCAGCCCTTCTTAAGTAAATTACCCCAAAAGTCACGCGGCGACTGCCGAACGTTATGGGAATTGAATCACACAATACCACACGAGATAGTCAAAATCCCGATCGTCGGGGCAGCGTGTGGCGGCCTGTTGTCGGCCCGCCAGGATATGGCGGGTGACAAATCAAACCTTTGTTCGCGATACCACTTCAGGTTGGCCACCAGCGCCGCTGAGTGAGCAACGGCCATTTTGGGAAAACGAGGTAGGATCTCCGCGAATGCGAACGCACATTCGTGTTTAGATTGTTCTCGATCGCCCAACTTCCATGCAATGCCTCTCAAGAAGCGAGAGGAAAAAGAGCGTCGCGAGGCCCGCCTGACAAATGCAATCAATAGCCGGTCCTCACAGGCTCGGTGAGTTGGCTCGTTTTGTCTAGTTTGATTCCATCAGGGGCAATGACGGAGTGGACGTTCGCCCGAGTAACTCACATGGCATCATGGCATCAAGGGAGGGCAACTCTCCGAGCCCAAAGGGCCAGGTAGAGACATGCCTGCTTCAAAAGTATAAAACTCTCACGCCGCGCTCCCGCTGACAACTGTACCAAATTCCGATCATCATCTTCTCATAAGAGTCTCAGCACTCTCACCCCTTAACAAACCAATCGCACTTTATCAGTCCATCCAATGGCGCCCGCCACTCTCTCCCTTGCCGGCAAGACCGCCATCGTGACCGGGTCTGGCCGCGAGAACGGCATCGGTGCTGCCATCGCCATGGCACTCGCCAGGAACGGCGCCCGCGTGGCCATCAACTATGTCTCGGACGGCTCTGCGCCTCGAGCAGCCAAGGTGGCAGCCAACGTTGAAGCCGTCGGCGCTCAAGTCATTGTCGTCCAGGCCGACGTCTCAACCCCTGAGGGCGCAGCCAAGCTCGTCAAGGACACCCTATCCGGGTTCGAGACGGACAAAATTGACATTTTGAGTGTGTCTCCCCGCCCTCGTATCCCCTTTTTCTCACCAATCCCCCCTATGCTAACATCTTCGGAATCAAAAGTCAACAATGCTGGCGCCGGAACCGGCCAGGGCAAGTTGCTGATCGACCTGACGCCCGAGGAGGTGCAGAAGGCGTTTGCCCTGAACACCTTTAGCACCCTGTATGTCGCCCAGGCCGCGGCGCCGTACATCCCTTCGGGGGGGCGCATCGTCAACATCGGGACGGTCGTCTCGCGAATCAACAACATGCCCGGCGTCGGGGTGTATGGTGCGAGCAAGGCCGCCCAGGAGTACTTGACTGCTGCGCTGGCTGCCGAGGTGAGTCGAGTCGTGATTCAAGCTCGGCTTGAGGTAAAGCTGACAGTCTGGGGTGTGTAGCTCGGTCCTCGTCAAGGGGTTACTGTCAACACCGTTGCCCCTGGTCCCACCAAGACAGATGCGGCAACTTGGTTCCCTGAAGGCGAGCTCAGGGATGAAGTCAACCAAAAGCTGTCCGTTGGGGCTAGGCTGGGTAGAGTCGCCGGAGATCCAGAGGAGGTAGCGGATGCAGTCTTGTTGGTGGTTTCAGATGCCGCAAGGTGGATTACGGGGCAGTATATTGCCGCCAGTGGTGGTATCACGGCCTGATTTCATGTTCAGCTTATAATTCAAATTTGCTGTGAGTGGATTCGGGGGTTGTGAGAGGATAATACTGCGAGTAGGTACTTGTATCCAGACAGTAATTAGGTACCTAATTATCATGCAAATTCCCATTCGCGCCTTCCTTGGATGCAGTCCTGTATTTCACACCCCACGTTATTAATTGTTTTAATACGATTTAGGTAACCTTTTCGTCCAGGGAATGCACGTAATAATTCACTTATTTTTTACACGCACGGTGTGTTCTTTCCAGGCACTTCTGACCTTCCTAAGCCACCGACTGCGGCCACCCGCAAATTCACACAAAGTCCCTACAACTACAAACGGAGGAGTCTACCCATCCCTCTTCTCTTCCCTCTTCTGTTCCTTCTTCTCTTCACATCCCCTAACATCCTCTCCATAATCTGTCAATACCCACAGTGTAACCCGCGAATAGCTCGCAAATATGGCCGCAACGAACACTCCATCAAACGGCGCATCGACCGGCTCAGCGAGTGGCACATCGAGTTCCGCTGCAAACGACGATGCGCAAAGCCCTGAACGCGGCAAGGGGAATCTTCTACAATCCCAAGACCACCGCGGCCTTCTCGACGTCGTTGATCGACTGCGATCGCAAGGGCTCAGCCGATATGTCGATCTGCCCCAGATCATCGTTTGCGGCGACCAGTCGTCGGGCAAGAGCTCTGCCCTCGAAGCCATCTCGGGCATGTCGTTCCCGGCAAAGGACAATCTCTGCACCCGGTTCGCGACTGAGCTCATCCTCCGACGGACCCCGACCACCGGCATCGATATCAGCATCCGTCCAGGATCGGAACGGACCGAGGAAGAGAAGAAAACACTCACGGGATGCAAGTACACTGGCACTCTTGAGGAGCTAGACCTTGGTCAAGTGGTTGAACAGGCCAAGAACCTCATGGGCTTGAACGGGACCAACAAGGTCTTCAGTACCGACATCCTTCGTGTCGAGGTATCAGGCCCATCGCAACCGCATCTCACCATGGTTGACCTTCCCGGTTTGTTCCTCGCCGGCAACAAGGATCAGTCAGAGCAAGACGCAGCGCTCGTCAAGGCCCTTGTACTATCGTACATGAAGAATCCACGTACCATCATCCTTGCCGTGGTTTCGGCAAAGAACGACTTCGCCCTTCAACAAGTCACACGGCACGCCAGGGCTCAGGATCCTGAGGGACTCCGTACCCTCGGCCTGATCACCAAACCGGACACCCTAGACCAAGGGTCCGATAGCGAGCGTTTCTATGTGGAGCTCGCCCAAAATAAGGATGTCCAGTTTCGCCTGGGCTGGCATGCACTGCGCAACAGAAACTTTGCAGAACGCGATGAATCAACAATTGCCCGCGATGCCGCTGAAGCCGAGTTCTTCGCCAAGGGCGTGTGGAGGTGCTTGAAGCCGTCGCAACTTGGTGTTGCCGCTCTTCGTGTGCGCCTAAGCCACGTCTTGCGTGATCAAATCCTCTGGCAGCTCCCTAGCGTTCTCGAGGACGTCAGGGCAGGGATTGCCGAATGCAGGCACACATTGGACAAGCTCGGGACTTCTCGTGGTACCATTGCGGAGCAGCGCCGCTACCTCCTGAAAATCAGCGCGAGATTCTCTGAGCTAGTGAAAGAAGCCGTCGACGGTGTGTACACCGATGCTTTTTTCAAGCCGTCCAAGGACAGGCGCCTCCGCGCCGCAATCCAGAACACATTGTCCGACTTTGCCCGAGACATGCGTCTACATGGCCACGCCACCACGATAACTGACGGGCCCATCGTGCGGCTCAATGGCGAAGATGACCGCAAACCTCGCGCGATATCTCGGGCCTCGTACATATTGCAAGTCAAGGCATTGATGATGGAAAGCCGGGGCCGTGAGCTTCCTGGCACCTACAACCCGCTCATCGTTGCCGAGCTTTTCAGCAACCAGTGCAAACCGTGGCAGGGCATGGTGCGGACTCTTCTTGAACGCGCATTCCAGTCGACCGTCAAGATGATTGAGTGCGCTCTTCATCATGTTGCCGATGGGGAGACGACCGAGTGCCTCCTCCGTGCTATCATCAGCCCGGCGTTGGAAAGCATCAAGAGGGGGTTGAAAAACAAGGCGGATGAGATTCTGGAGCCGCACCTCTCGGGCCATCCTATCACTTACAACCACTACCTCACCGACAACGTGCAGAAGGCGCAGGCTGATCGCAGACGCCACCAGATGGAGAACCGTCTCAAGGCCTTCTTTAGCTCTGATCGGATTCCCACTGGCGTTGCGAACCACAAGTTTGACATGCATTCTCTGCTGAACGACTTGGCCACCAACACGGAGCCCGACATGGATACGTACTCCTGCTCAATGGCAGTGGATACGATGGAGGCATACTACAAGGTGAGATCTCCCCGCCATCTTTCGCGGTTCGTGGACAATCTTGCTAACACAGGCTCGAAACCCCCCAGGTTGCCCTCAAGTCTCTTGTCGATTCAGTCAGCACACTGGCAGTCGAGCGGTGTTTGCTGCAGAAGCTCTCGGCCATCCTCTCGCCAGAGATTGTGTGCGAGCTCACCGATGACGCCGTCCAGCGTATCGCGGCCGAGAGCCCGGAGTCCGTGGCGGAGAGGGTGCAAGCTGCCGAGAAGCTCGCCGTGCTAGAGGACGCCATGTTTGAGCTGAAGCGGCTGGGGATGCATGGTACGCAAGCGGCCAGTGATGATTTTGCTGCTTGATGTGCCGACATGAGTAGCGACATGCAGTTTGTGGAATCACTGAAGGATGGATGTTGGTAGATCAGCTTGTGGTGAATGTAGACTCACAATTCAGTTGACAAGATACATCATACAGATACGAATACCATGATGGCATCATATGCTGATCCCGGCCGAAACAAGAACGCGGCCCCCACGATGGCATGTGGACCAGGGTTCTTCCTTCACTCATTCTTGCCTTGGCTGGCCAATGACTGCACAAGGTCTCATCACGGTTCGTCTCCACTGGGGGAATTGGGCATGCACGGAAGAGATGCAGGAACCTGGCTTGGCCGAGCTAAGCCATTTTCCCTCTTCCAACATCGAGTAAACATATCCACGCCTCGCCCACTGCCACTCGCTCACCAACATTTTTGTTCCCAAACGGTCTTCGTTTATACCGTTTATTCTTATTCTCTCGCTTGAACCTTGGTTTCGGGTGCCATGTTGCTTACTCATGGGTTCTAGACCGTGAACGCCAACAAAACCGTGTACTATACATTAATACTCACTCGGTAGACCCGGAAACGATCGGAAGAGGTACCGATTTTATTGAACAATGCTGTGTTGGTGAAGGGATGATGAACGGACGTGACGGCGATGGCGTCGAGACCAGGGAGGTCGGGAATAGGGGCACCCATGCCCATGAGACGACTCAAATCTATCTCAACAAAGTCCCGACCGCCCCCTCTGTTCCCGCCAGGCATTCCGCAACACCGAAGGCGGCCGAACTCACAACCGTTGCCCGCCAGTGGTACCGTCGGATTGTCGTCGACCTCATACTCCGCCGCAGGTCCCTGCCTCCATCCAAGAACGGGCGGTGTATACCCCTGCGGCCGGACCGCGGGGGGGTGCTCATCGACGAACGGCGGGGGTATCCTTACATTTCCAACTATATCCGGACTTCACGCTACACACTGTACGACTTCCTCCCCAAGCAGCTCTTCTTCCAGTTCACCCGCTTGGCCAACTTTTACTTCCTCTGCGTCGGCATTCCGCAGACCATCCCGGGCGTCAGCACCACAGGCAACTTCACCACCATTCTACCACTATTGTTCTTCGTCCTCCTCACCATCGCCAAGGAGGGCTACGATGATTGGCGGAGACACCGTCTCGACAAGGTTGAAAATGCAAAGTTAGCGACGGTCCTGAGACTGAGGGGTGGAGGGAGCGGTAGAAACAGCAACGGGTGGAAGTCACTGTTCGGCAGCATACCAACAAACGAACTCGGGGACGTCGAGCAGTGTGAAACAGGGGCGCCTTCTCACCCAGGGCTACGATGGCGGACGATCAAGTGGCAGGATCTTCAAGTTGGAGATGTCGTGAAGCTGGCGAGAGACGACGACGTGCCCGCCGACCTTGTGCTCCTGCATGCCGAGGGCGAGGAGGGCTTGGCCTATGTTGAAACCATGGCCCTCGACGGCGAGACAAACTTGAAGAGCAAGCAAGTGTCGGTAATCTTGAAGGGGTGTGATTCCGTCGAGAGTCTCTGCAGCTCTGGGGCTGAGTTTGTCATCGAGGACCCCAATCCGGATCTGTATCGCTTCGACGGCCGGGTGACAGTGGATGGGGAGACGATGCCCCTGACACTGAATGAGGTCGTGTACCGCGGCTGCACCATACGCAATACTGCGAGCGTCATCGGGATGGTCATCAACACCGGGGAGGAGACCAAAATCCGACGGAACGCAAACCGCCATCCGAGTGCCAAAAAGCCTGCTCTCGAGCGTATGGCCAACATGATTGTCATCGCCCTCGTCCTCTACCTCATTGCCCTAGTTGCTGGCCTGTCAGGGGGCTACGCCATCTGGCAACGTACTTACGAGCGAGCTGCTTGGTACCTGAATGATGTTCCGGTTCCCCTCGCGCACATCATCGTGGGCTATGCCATCCAGTTCAACAACGTCATCCCCTTGGCTCTGTACGTGAGCCTGGAGATCGTTAAGATCTGCCAGATGCTGCTGCTAAACTCGGACATCGAAATGTACGACAAGGTGTCCGATACCCCGGCACGATGCAACACCAACACCATCCTCGAAAACCTCGGCCAAGTCGGTTATTTGTTTTCGGACAAGACAGGGACGCTGACGGAGAACATGATGAGGTTCCGCAAGATGAGTGTTGCAGGCACTGCCTGGTTGCACGAGGCGGATCTTGCTAAGGGTTCCGAGTCGCCAGATAGCAAGGAGACGCAGGACGGTGGCTCGGAGAACCTGGATTTGAGCCCCGGGCAAGGAGGTGCCCCCTCAAGCGACGCCAGATTTTCGGAATTTCTATCTCCCCCGATATCCAGTCGTCCCCCCACTAGCCGCCGCTCCTCGTCCCAATGGCGGTCGACCGGCCGACCTGACCATGTACAACCAGATCTCACCACATCGGATCTGTTGGAATACCTTCGGCTACGCCCCAATTCCCTTTTCTCGAGGCGTGCCACCCAATACATTTTAGCAATGGCGCTCTGCCATACCTGCCTACCAGAAACAAAGGACGGAAAAGTCGACTTCCAGGCGGCTTCACCTGATGAGCTTGCCCTCGTAAGAGCAGCTCAAGATCTCGGCTTCTTGGTGATCCAGCGGACCACGCAAGCCGTAACCCTCCGAATTACTACTGGAGACAGCGATACAAACCGCACCTACCAAATCCTTGACGTGCTCGAGTTCAGCAGTAAACGCAAGCGCATGTCGATCATCGTACGCTGCCCAGACGGCAGGATATGGCTCCTGACGAAGGGTGCAGACTCGGCCATTCTCCCACGCCTGAGAATGGCAGACCTGGCAACGCAAAAGGCCAAGGAGCTGCGCGAAAGCATCGACTTTGAACACCAACTGCTGCGAAAGAGCGAGGCTCACGAACCACGCAACAGTTTTGGTGGGCGGCCCAGTCTTACCATCAGACGCAGCCTTGCCCTCGGCCGGCAGGGGATCTTGACCGTTCCCGGAAGCACGTCGCTGGATGTTAGCAGGAGCAAGTCGTTTGAGGTTTCTCATTTGGACCCTCTCGCCCGTCTCCGGTCTCACGCCTCACCCAACGCTCGCACGGCGTCCCTTGATGCTCGCCGGGTCCCGAGCAACATCTCATCTGCCCAAACTGAGGCGGTGCCGAGCAAGTTTGCACATCTCGAAGACCCATCGCTCTCGGATGAGGCCGCCATCTTCACCCGCTGCTTCAGGCAGATTGACGACTTTGCCACTGAAGGACTTCGAACGCTATTGTTTGCTCACCGGTTCCTCGCTGAGCAAGAGTACAACAGCTGGAAGGAATTGTACCGAGACGCAGAGACCAGTTTAGTGGATCGTCAAGACCGAATCGAAGCCGCAGGGGAGATGATAGAGCAGTCTCTTGACCTGATCGGCGCATCCGGCATCGAGGATCAGCTGCAGCCCGGCGTTGCCGAGACGATAGACCGGCTCCGGCGGGCAAACATCAAAATCTGGATGCTTACCGGAGACAAGCGGGAAACGGCTATCAACATCGCCCACTCAGCACGTATCTGCTTGCCCGGGTCTGACATCTTCGTCCTGGATAGCGCCAAAGGCGGGTTAGAAGTCCAGATCCTAACCATCATGGAAGACCTCCAAATCCAAACCGAAACGAATGCTTCCCACACCCCAGGCCACACAGTAATCGTCATCGACGGGCACACCCTCGCCGCCCTCGAAGAACCAGCCTCCGCCGCCGCCAAGACCGCCTTCTACCAGCTCATCCTCACCATCGACTCCGTAATCTGCTGCCGCGCCTCCCCCGCCCAAAAAGCCCTCCTCGTCCGCACCGTCCGCAACGCCTCCACCACCACCAACCCCCCCCTCCTCCACCGCCTCCTCCCCCCCTGGCTCGCCCACCCCCTCAGCACCCTCACCAACCCCACCCCACTAACCCTCGCCATCGGCGACGGCGCCAACGACCTCGCCATGCTCTCAGCCGCGCACGTCGGGATCGGCATCTCGGGCCGCGAGGGCCTGCAGGCCGCGCGCGTGGCCGACTACGCGATCGCGCAGTTCCGCTTCCTCGCGCGCCTGCTGCTGGTGCACGGGCGGTGGAGCTACGCGCGCACGGCGCGCTTCGTGCTGGCCACCTTCTGGAAGGAGATGCTCTTCTACCTGCCGGCGGCGCTGTACCAGGGGCTGGTGGGGTATACGGGGACGAGTTTGTATGAGATGTGGAGTCTGACGGCGCTGAATACGCTGTTTACGAGCCTGTGTGTCATTGTGCCCGGGGTGTGGGAGCAGGATCTGGGCGCGGAGACGGTGTTGGCGGTGCCGGAGCTGTATGTGTTTGGGCAGAGAGGGAGGGGGTTGGCGGTGGGGATGTATTTGTGGTGGATGGCGGCGGCCGCGGCGGAGGGGGTGTTGGTGTGGTTTTTGTGTTGGGTCGTGTATGGCGGGATGGGGCCGGTTAGGGATGGCGGGTTGTTCGCGCTGGGGAATTTGGTGTTTTCGGTGAATATCGTGTGGACTAACTTGAAGCTTTTGTGAGTATTATCCCTCTTATTGTTAGGTGGCGGACGCCAGGATCAGGAACGTGGCTGACTGGTTGGTGCAGGATCCTGGACACCCACTACAAGAACGATATTGTCATTTATTCGTTCATCATCACTGTCGCCGGCTGGTGGGTGTGGCAGGTGTTTCTGGCCGGCGCATATTCCCCCGGCGTGTGGCCATACGCGGTTAAAAACGGCTTCTTCTCGTCTTTCGGCCCGGACCCGGCGTGGTGGGTGGCGCTGTTCGGCGCGCTTGGTGTTCTTACTTGCATGGAGCTGGCTTACAAGTCGGCCAAGCGCAACCTCGTCGTGGCTGGTTTGTGGAAGCTTGGTTGGAAGTGGCTGAAGTGGTCGACGTGGAAGGCAGCTTTCTGGACGTCGCCTGGCGCTGGCGCCGGGGCCGTGTGGTCTGAGGAAGGGACTAAGGGGTGTGTGGAAGAGTGGGATGTGGAACTATGGCAAGTAATGGAGCAGGATCCTGCTATCAGGGATACGCTGCGCAGGATGAGCAAGTTCGAGTACGAAAAGGAAAGGGAGGCGGAAGAGGATGGACTTGACAACGGCATTAATTAGATTGAGGGTTTCCATATTCTGGAAACTTACACATATACTATAGAATAATAACTTTTCAGTGCCTTTAGATACCTCCACGCAGTTTAGCCATCTTGCACGTACTGGTTCGAGGGTTCGAAACTGGGCGCTTTATTTACACCGTTGTGAGAAAACCCCCTTGTTACGTGGAACGGCATGGGCAACCTTATGTTGGAGTAGACCTAAATTAACCCCCACGGAAACCTAACCCACGCGCTGTATGCGGCAACAAGTTCATGCAGAACCACGTATTCGGCTACCGGTCACGAGTGTATGGCAGTTCCCCTCTATATATACCTAGCTAGCCTTGCACACCACTCCTACTGTTTCTTCCCCAACAGCATCATGGCGTTACCCTGGTGCATATCCACCGTTCTATACAACAAGTATCTTACCTGTCCCTTTTACATGCTGTTCGATCTAACAAGTCCAGCCCACCAAAGCCTCCAACCCATCGAGAATGCCCTTCCGTCTCCGCCCCGCGACAGAATCCGACCTCCCCCTCCTCGGCACGATTCACCAATCCGCCATCTCCACTTTCGCTCAGATCCCCGAGCTAGCCGCCGCCGAGTGCAGTCTCCCGCCGCTGCCACTCGCGCTGCTTCAGACCTTTGAGGTCGTGATCGCAGTCGAGGACAGCGCCGACGGCGGCGCCACAGGGGACCCGGAGGCCGCCGCCGAGCGGATCAAAGGGTTCGTCGCCCTCAGGCTGCTAGACGGTGTGGCCTTTATCGCGATGATATGCGTGCGCGCCACGGACCAGAGACAAGGCGTTGGGCGGGAGCTGCTAGCGCATGCGATTGCGCAGTCCGAAACTCGTGGTTTCAGGGCGATTTCCCTCACGACATTTAGAGACGTGCCGTGGAATGGGAAGTGGTACCGGCAGATGGGGTTTGCTGAAATAGCCGACAAAGAGGTGGAAACGGAACTAGGGCCGGAACACATGACTATGCTACGGGGGTCAAGGGATAAGCACGAGCTCGATGGATCGCCTTGGAGATGGGTGGTTATGGCTCGGTGGCTTTGAGATGCAATTCATTGCTTTTGCGACGCCCACAATCTCTCCTTTTCTCGAGTAATGAAGCTGCAGGCTTCATTAACCCAGTCCTGCCATGATACTCTCGATGAAGGATCCCGTCTACGTTGTCCACTAATCTACTATGCTTGGGAAAACACTGTCTTGCGGCGTAGGCAGAGGTACCCAACCAAGCCGGGATTGATCACAGCAATGACCACCTCATGAGACGGCGGAGAATAGCTCCACCGGCGAGTCAGGCGGTCAGTTGACGAGGGACAGGCCGTGGCGGATACACGGCCTCGAATGCGCTCATAAAGGCGAACAGCAAGTCTTCACGACCCCCCTTTGCGATGATAGCAAGGCCGAACGGCCGACCGTTGTGGTCGAGGGTTCCGAGTGGCACCGTGGCAATGGGATATCCTACGTAATAACTCCGTTAGTACGAATGTTCTGCAATATGCTGTCTGATTCTGTGGTATTAATAATGGATCCTACCTGCGGCCGCTGCAATTCTCGGGGCCGGCGAGTCCATCGGGAGCGCAACAAGGTCCAGGTCGTGCTCGCTCAGCGCCTTATCAACGCCTTGGTCGCGGCCGGTGGTGCGGCACACATTTATGGCCTTCTCGAAAGTTTGGCGATCGATTACGTTCTCTAGGGTGTCGATCAGGCGGCCTTGTTCAGGGAAGTCTTGGGTGGATAGTTAGAAACCTGGCACCAGCATATCGACTTGGTTCGCTTACCAGGTGGGAGCTCCTTGTCGCTATTTTCGTTATTGAATTGAATGAGTTCTGGTAGCGTTCTGACTGCGGACGAACTCAGCGAGTTGAAATAGCTCTCCACATTCTCCCGGAAAACGTGTCCTGGTAACTTGGTCAGTTTTCTCTTTCTCGCCAAATGATGACATATAAAAGATTGTACTATACTGATGGCTGTGAGTGTCGCGGGCTGGCCGTCGAGCATAAACTCGGACGCCGCTGGAAGTAAAATTGGATAGGTGACGGTGCCACCATGGCTCTTCAAGCGTTCCATGACTGTTGTGTAGCCAGACCTCTGCTTTGCTGTTAGTATTTTACCGATTGCAACATGCCAGGGTTCGGATGACTTGCGAGCTGCTCTAGTGAGTTGCCGTGTTGGCGTTGGACGTTTTCCGGCCACCTCCAGACCTCCGGGTCCACGAATCCAACGCGGAGTCCAGCAAAGCTCTTCTTGAGGAAGGACAGGTAACCATCGGCCGGTAGCTTTTCTCTCTCCTCCTTGGTAAGGACGAGCTCCGTGAGGTGGGCAAGGTCGATGACCGACTTCGCCATTCCGCCGAGAGCATCGAAGTCTTCAGATACGGCGAAGATGCCCTTGAGCTCAGTGGATCCGATGGTTGGCTTGAGGGCGTAGAGGCCAGCTCTTGCCGATGGCTGTACAAGCGAGCCGTCAACCTCGGTTCCGAGAGCGATGGGGGCGAATCCAGCTGAGACGCCGACCGCAGAGCCCGTGGAGGCTCCACATGGATTCTAAGAAAAGTTACGGTTGGTTAGCACCAAGGTCGCAGCCCCGTAAAATCATGTCGACTGTCCAACATACGTTGTGGCCCATTACGCCATCCTCTCGTTTCACGCCGCCTTCGACGTAGGCAGAGGTGGTCTGCCCACCAACCGCAGACCAGCCGTTGGTTGACCCCATCGCTCTGGTTCGAGTAAGCAGGGGGCGTCGCTTCAAGTAAGCTTGACTAGGAACTCAACTTACTTCCAGCTTGAGAGCTCCTGTACGCGGCGTTAGTAAGTTTCATGTGCAGAATATGAGGTAGGGAGGTTCGTGCATTAAGATTTGTCTTGCCAATGATGATCAAGCCCTTTTCCAACAACTGAGCCGTTTTTTGTCAGCAACCAGTCACATCAACGAGCAAGTTGGAACATAGCACGACAGACCTTGTCCACAACGACGGCGCTGTCATTTGCCTTCGCGTTAAGGAAAGCAAAGTTTCCAAGTGTTGTGGGCATGCCCAGGTCGGAGTGCGTTTTCACAACATCCTGTGTACCAAAACACCAAACAGTGCGTGCGGTCAGCTCTGGTCACAATCGGGCAACATCGGCGCACTTTGGACTCACTAACCTTGAGAAGAATGGGTATTCCATGGAACGGACCGCGAACTCTTCCACGGGCACGCTCGGCATCAAGCATCGCCGCCCTCTCCAACACAATGTCGTCGGGCGCGACGGATATGACAGCTTGGAGGGTGAGGCCTTTCCTGTTGTGGCGATCAATTTGAGCCAATGAAGCCTTCACGAGGTCGACGCTCGTCAGCTTCTCGGTACTGAGAAGGTGTTGGAGCTCAGACGCCGAGAGGCGAACGATGTCCGGGGCGGTGATTGTCGTCATGGTGCCGTGGTTGAAGCGGGCGTGGTCTGGGGTTCCGGAGAAGAAGCGAGTGCGCAACCAGTTTGGCAGGTTCTGCAGCTTGAGAAGGGGCCGTCTAGCTATGATCAGCAAAATAACGATGGCAATGACGCGAAACCAGAGGAGGGGCCGTCTCAACCTCATTTCTTGATGTTGAGGTCGGTCTCGGGGTGGGTCTCCGCAGCAGAGGACCAGGCAGGTTGGCGGATTGCCTGTAGACCGTAGTACCTGTATGGAGCTCGGCAGTTCGTACCTGAGTTTCCCAGGCCCAGATCAACGCTTAGTCATAGAAAGAATTCTTTGTTGCGGTGGCGTTGCCTGGGTAGGTAATTGCTCTTTCCTTCTCTGTCCGGTCCCTTCTCTTTAGGTTTGGGGGGGGGAGGGGAAGCAACAGACGGGAGCGCTAAGTTGTGTAACCACACTATCTCGCTCACCGGTCGTACGATCCCGCGCCCAGAAAAGCAAATCTCAGCCCATCCCAGCATGCATTGCCCGAGAATTTCGTCCTTGTCCAACCCCAGCACTCGGCGTGTCTTGCTCACCCAGCCAGCCTTTCAAGCACGTTTATTTTACGTGTTGCTGTTTTCGTCCAACGACCGCCATCTGGCACCACAACTTGGGCCCGCGAAGGTGACAGGCCTTGCAGGGACATCCATCGAACATGGAAAAGTCAATAGGTATCTCGTGGTAGATGCACGTGAGTATGGCTTATTGATATGACACATGTTATTCTGTCGCGGCCCAAATGAGATCTTGTCTCCCGAGTGGTCTTTTCCCGACAGCCTTGCGATACTGTCACTCTGCAGGTTCCACCCACACCATGACTTTTGTCCTTCGTGGGGGTCCTGTAGTACCAAGACAGAATCGATGCAGCCGGAGATGCGTGTGCGCGGGGTCGGGGTTGCCTTTCCAAGTCGACATGAAAATGATGAAATCAGGCCAGGCAGTGCCAGTGGCACGAGGGCAACACGAGGACAAACAGCCAACATACTGTCCACCCTTGTAGCATTAATCGTGCCCCGAAGTCTTCGAGTTACCCAAGCACACGCACATCAACGACGACGACGACAACGAACCACCTGAGCTTCAATGACGGCTGTCGAATCATCCATCTACTTCCTTGAGCGCAGCGAGCTCTGGAAGACGGAGAAACCATTTGTCCTGGATTATGTACCCGAACCCCCTGCGGTCAAATCCAATGCATCTGTAGCAGACAAGCCAGTAGTGATCGAGGATATCCGGGGCCGCGAGAGTCAATTCACCTATGCCGAGAACGGGTTCTGCCTTCTTCCTCTCGATCATGGCATGGAACCGGCCGACTTTGACGACGATGCAAAGGTCAGGGATGTCTACTTGCGCAACGTCGGGGACGCGCTCAAGACGACTCTGAGGGCAAGCCGTGTTCAGATTTACGATTACATCGTGGGTTGACCGTACTGAGCGTCGCATTCTATCATAGCATTGACCAGGTCCAAGGTTCGGAAACGCGAAGCCCAATTTCCCCTAAGCACGGGAAAGTTCTATTCACACAAGCAACCCTCATCCATCGCGCATGTTGGTAAGTTACACTTTGTCCCTCAACCAGACGCAAACTCGACCCCAGTCCCGGCTGACAGGAAGGCATTCCATTCCAGACACGACACCAACCTACATGGAAGAGATGCTGGACACGCTGAACCCAACTGAAGCCGACCGTCTCAGGGTGGGCCGGTACCAGTCCGTAAAGTTCGTTCCCTCCAAAACCACAATGATGACTGGGCTGGCAAGGACTAACCGCTGCTCGACAGTGTGTGGAAACCCCTCCGTGGGCCCATCCGGGACTGGCCTCTCGCTCTCTGCGACCCTAGGTCTGTCGATACTAGCGAGCTACAGGCTCGTGACACGGTGAGGAGGGACAGCTACATCGAGACGTACCAGATGCACTGGAACCAGAACCAGAAATGGTACTACGTCCGTGACCAAATGCCCAACGAAGCTTGGGTATTCTTGCAGGGTGAAGTCTCCGAGACTGGCGGCAGTATGTTGGGTGAGTGCCTACCCATCAGTCAAGCGGAGAGCGCGGGCGGCATCGCCACGGGACAAACTGCTGACATGCAACAGGAGTTCCCCATACTTCGTTTCCGAACTCCCTGGCTTCGGCCGATGACTTGCCCCGCGAGAGCATTGAGGTTCGAGCATTTGTGTATTATGAGGACTAGGACAGTGATGCTGCGGGCATCGATGGCGCCACAAGTTATTCTCGGAGCGAGTCATTGCCCAGGTAGTGGATAGGCGAAATCAGAAATGACATTTCCTCTCTCTTCGGATGACACTACTCCGTTCGCTCGAACCATAATCACACACTTAAATGCGAAGACAGTAATAATAGATGTTTCGAGTACGTTTGGAATCTCGTATGTGTAGGTAGAAGAAGCCCCTCAACCCTTCATCCCCTCCCCTTCCAAGAACCGAAGGTTCAGACACTGCACAAGAACGCTCAGAATTCATTTGGCGTCCTTTGTATCATACAAGACAGTGTCAAAGTTTCCTGCAACGCCGCCCAGGAGTACTCGCTGGCCCGCTTTGAAACCTTCGACTTCGCCAGTGGAAACATCCTCCTTGGCGGGCATTTGGCCTGCCTTCGCTTGGATTGGTGTCCAATGAGCCAGCCACGGCCGAGACCGAGTCTCAACGGGCTCTTTGCGAGAATGGGCGGTCTCGTGAGGCATGGCGAAAGTGTGTAACTGTTTGTACACTTTTTCAGTAACCAGTTATTATTGGGTACCTATGCAGATAGATACCAGACTCTCGAACGCAGGGGCAACGGCTTACACGATAAACAACGGGAGAGCTTATTCTTTTTGATGCGGAGTTTTTGAGAGGTGCTTGTCGTTATCTGTCAGGCTAAGTAGGTATTGACCGGGCATATGAGCAGAGTTCAAGTCGGATGGGAAGAGGGTCGAAGCACTTATTCATAACTGCCGGTAGCCTTGCTCGTCCCTCATCTCACAACATGCATGCACCACATGCCGAACCCCCGCCTGCTGCACACTAAGAGCGCAGCTAAGACACACAGGTGATCCTCGGTCATGATGTGGGTGCTCGTAATTGTCACGGCTCGTGGAAACGGGGGGGGTGCACTTCTGTGCGAGAGCCTGATTGGTTGTGCTTGCTCGTGCGGCGCTGCAGTATGCATGAGTGAGGGAGCCAAGTCCTGTCGGCAGCCCATAAGAGGGGTGGAAATTAGCTCGTGTGGTGTCTGTGTGTAATTTCACAATGCCCGACCCATCTGTGGCTTTTTCTCTTTGTTGATCCCCGGGCACTGGGCTGGCAGCCTGGCTGCCCGTCGTGTGTTGGTGTGACCCAAGACCCCCACGCGGCCGGGTCGTCCCCAAGCGCGCTGTCCACGAGTGCAAACGAGGACAAATGGTTTGTGATCTCCGCGCCTTTGCCAGAGGAGAGTGTGCAACCCTATACACAAATGGCTGGCTCATGTAGGGCGAAACCAGGTCGTGGTATCCAGGTCGAGCCCCCGTGAGGTATCAAAGAAAGCATGAACGGCTTTGAAAGTACCAAAGTCCCTTGTCCATTCGTGACAACTCTCCCAATCTCGCTTCCGCTCGTACTGCACCTTCCACGGCACACATCGAATCGGGCTGTCAAACCTTCGGCCCGATCATTCTGCTAACCGAGTCAAGGCACGGCGCCCTTCCCCAATGGTGAAATAAAGGGCCACGGGGTTGGGCAAAACGGTGGCTCTTTTGGTCTTCGTACAGCCTGCTGTGTTACATCAGCTATTTGGTTGGTTATAAAGTCTTCGTATACATTCGTAGCAAGACGTGGCATCTTGCACATGGCAGTGGACGGGAAGCGGGGGGGCACGATACATGTAGTCGGGCTGTCGTCCCATTTCCTAATCGACAGGTCACCGAGAGCAGATGACCCCCATACAGTGTGCATGTTCATGCACGGAACTTCTTCGACCTTCAAGTTGGAGGCACCATCTGTTTCCTCGGCGGAACGGCGGACTCTCGGCTAGTTGCCCCAATGTTGCCCGTGTGTCCACGATGGCGCCTCTCCCTTGTTCGCTTCTCCCACCAAGGTACGAGATCAAGCTGTGCCTCGTGCTGGATCTTCCGGTTGGCGTCAATTTCGCCCAACGTTGTATCCTGCCATCGTGCCGTAGTCGATGAAGCTCAGAACCACGTCACCGTGACTTGCTGAGTTGGAATGACAGAGCCTGAAGGTTGTGGCTCCAAGTCCGTGAACCATGGCCAACGCTGCGACGTTGAGACCGCTCTATCCGCCCGTACCCCTTCCTATCAACGAACGACAAGCTAGGTTGGTTGCCTGCCCGCACCCTCCTTGCCAGCCTTCCATCCCGTGTCGCTCACCCATCCCAAACAGTATCGTAGTTATTCAAGGAGTTGGTACACTGAAGCCCGATGATTGGGTTCATGACAGCAAGAAATGGCTCCAAGAACTCGCCGTGGATTGCGGTGGGCGAGTCCAGCTTCTAGCCTACGACTACACCATTCCCATATCCTCAGAGAAGCGCAAATCTTCCGAGAGACGCAAACCGTCGGAGACTACAGTCCTTCAGCAGGTAATTGCGCGGGGTGACGGGCTGTTGGAATGTCTCCAAACGCTTGTTTCACGGAATGATGAAGTACGTTTCTGCGCAGACCCCCCTCGGGACTGACCACGCTATGCTTGTACTCACTCTTCTTGAACGATCTGCAGTCTCAGAAACATCCCGTATTTTTCATCTGCCACAGCCTGGGCGGGGTGATCTGGAAAAAGGTAAAAGTGCTCTGGTCCCGCTGGCAGAACATGCCAGGGGGCTCTCAAACTCGGAATGCCTCCCTTTCATTGCTGACGTCTCATCTGGTAGGCAGTCTGCATTCTGAAAGAGCGGTTCTTCGAGCACCGCCACATTCTCGAAGTCACCAAAGGCGTGTTATTCCTTGGGACGCCTCACGTTCCTGATGGCGTGGGCTCGGAAAAGAACCTCGTCGAACGGATCCTCCGGTCAGCACAGAAAAAAGGCCTTCGGGAAAGTGCTCTCAGACCTGCTCAAGACAATGATCTCCTCGCCAAGCTGAGCCGGGACTTTGAGAGTACAGGGCTTGATGTGCCAATACTCTCGTGCTACGAAACCAGACCATCTGAAATCTACGGAAACGTGTTTGCGAGGGTCCTGACGAGACTGGCGACTCGCACACCCTCTCGCGCAATTGTGAGTTGAAACAAAATCCCTACAAGATCCCAAAAGCTCGCGAGTCTAACTGTTATCTTTTCCAATGCTAGATCGTGCCTATGAAACTCTGCAAGATTGGGTTCCCCGCAGAAAAGCTCATCGAGAGGGACTGCGCACACCATGAGCTTTGTAGGGTCCCGCCAGCCGAGCCCCTGTATCACGCTGTGTGTAGCTCGGTCAAGGAAATTATCGCCAACGCCCAGGCGCCCGAGGAGGAACCGCGTGGCGGTAAGAATCGATAGCACCCGCGTCCCGCTGTTGCTAGACCCCCCGAGAGAATCAAGGCTAATCCCCCTCATAGGAAGCGCTCTTGCTGGGCTAGAGCTCTTGACGCTGCGAAGCCAGAGCCTCCAAGGGGCGGTTGGGCGCGGTAATAGACTGCTGCAGCCCCCAGACGCCAATCCGTCACCCCAGAACTCAAGTCTGAGGACTCCCATGGACAGCCGCGAAGCCGCGAAGGGGTCAGCAACGGAGGCATCCTTTGAGATAGTTTACCCCCCGTTCGACCCCGTGAAGAAGGACCTAACACTGCCATGCTTCACCATGGGGGCCTATCAGAAAAACCCCAAGTTCTTCGGGAGGGGGGAAATCCTCCAAACGATCGACGAGGTCCTGCTCCCGGATGGTGGCCCAGGCGCTGAGGGCATGGAATATAATAACCTCAAATTCTTCGCCTTGTGTGGGCTGGGTGGCGTTGGGAAGACGCAAATCGCCGTCGAGTATGCCTACTCTCGGAGGGACAGATTTGACGCCGTGTTTTGGGTTGCAGCCGACGACAAGAACATTCTCACACAAGAGTTCGCCCATATCGCCGTCAGCCTTGGGCTGGTTGACCAGGACGCGGCACAAGACCTGCAGGACTGTTGCCATCAGGTCAAGGGGTGGCTCTCGAACCCCGTCCGGTCGCACGACACGGTACAACAGCCATCGAACGAGGCGTCGTGGCTTCTGATCTTCGACAACGTGGACAAGGTCGAGGTCCTGGAAGACTTTTGGCCCAGCACGGGCATCGGTTCGGTGCTGCTCACAAGCCGGGACGGAGCTGCCAAGTCGCAGCCCTTCACGACCAAGGAAGGCATTGACCTAGAGCCTTTCACAAAGACAGAGGCAGTTGGCTTCATCGAGGCACTAGATTCCCGGGCTTCCCAGGCGACGCAAGCAGAGTTCGTCGGCGAGATCGTCGACAGGCTGGGTCACTTTCCTCTCCTCGTCGATCAAATCCCCGGCATCATGGACCGAGAGCGGCTCTTTTCGTACGAGGACCTCCTCCGCCTCCTGAAGGAGAACGGCGTCGAGAAGGTGGGCAAAGGCGGGTCGCAGTCGGCCCAAATTTTCTCGGCCTTTACCAACATTGGCCTTGGTGGCCTGTCGGCAGCAAGCCTCAGCTTACTGGAGATGCTCTCGTTCCTGGATCCCGACAGGGTCCCAGTGAGAATCCTTACCGAGCCGCTTGGGAAATTCACCATCAGCGACTTTCCCGCTACCTTTTTGGATTACTGCAAGGCGCGAGCGCAGCTAGTTATGTCGTCCCTCATCAATCACAACACCAACGAGAGGGAAGACGAGAAACAGGAAGGGAAGAAGAAGCAGGAGGAAAATGAGGTAGGGGAGCAGATACGGTTGCACCGCATCGTCCAGGATGTAGCACGAGGCCACATGACTAAGACGCGGTACCTCGACATGCTGGAATTCACTATCCGTGCCGTGTCTCTCGTTTGGCCTTTCGGCGAGCTGGTCGATCGTTTCAACAGCGCGAGGTACACGGACTGCAAAACATATTTCCCTAGCGTCACCAGGTTGAAAATCGCACTCGAAGAGACCTATCGGCCCGAGACCGAGGTCTGCCGGAACCCGGATATCAGCGCCAAATTGCTCAACGACGCAGGATGGTAAGTACCTCCACTACTCAGTAGCCCATCTTCCCCTTCAAGCAAGCCCTGTGCGGCGCGGTTTCGGGGCTGACAACGGGGCTTGCTACAGGTACTGGTTTGAGAGAGGGAACCCGCAAGAGGCAAAGGAGTATTTCAGGTTGACCGAGCTGCTGTACGCGCGCGCAGCAGACATGAAGACGCCCGAGAGGACCTACATGCTCCGACGAGCCAATCTCAACCACGCCACGGCTAGCATGGAAACCAACGACCCGGAAGACTGCTTGGCACGGTACCGAAGATGGCTTGACGACTCCGAGTCGTCACAGCTAGAGTCTGGTCTCGAGGAGGGCAAGTACCGGTACGAAGTCGCCTGCATCTACAACGAGGCGGGTGTCGCATACGCCATGAACAACATGATAGATGAGGCGATTGAGCACTTCAACAAGTCGGTTAGCCTGTTTCAAGAGCTCGACGACTATGACGAAACGATGCTAAACTGGCCGGTTCCAAATCTTGGCTTCATGTACTGGATGCAGAAGAATTATGATGAAGCCGAGCGGGTACTCCTGGGGATTCTCGAAGTTCACGAGAGGGAATACGGCGTTGACGACACCAGGTCATTCAAGTGAGGCCCACCCCCCCCCCCCCCTCCCCCCTTGTCCCTGCCCCCCACTGCCCCCTCTGCCTCCTCTGCCTCCTCTGCCTGAGCCAAACCATATGCACATGATGCTGACGGGACTATGCGTAGGACCGGAAAGATGATGTACGCACTCGGAAATGTGTACACAAGTATGGGCTCCCTAGAACAGGGGTTCGCCTTTCACATTCGGTGTTTAAAGCAGTACCGAGCCACCTTGGGTGATAAGCATCACCGAGTTGGGGATGTGTCCCATCGGCTAGCAGACCACTACATACGGCTGGGCAACTTCCCGGAAGCTGAGTATGGCAATAAACACTACCTCCCCGCCAGCGTTTGGTGTGGGCCGATGAGATTGCCTCTAATGAATCTGTGTTCCAGAAAAATGATCAAGCTATGTCTTGACATATTCTCCAGCCGCCCGTATTACAAGAACGAGCTAGCCAGGACGACATACAAGCAGGAGCAGATGTTGCGTGCCATGGGAAAAGAGGAACAGGCCGAGGAGCGGCATCAAGAGGCCTTTCGTCTTTACCGAGAGCTTGTTCCGGGTGATGGGCGGACGATCGATGAGCTGTCAGAAGCCGATTATGACGACTTGGTAATATTTTGGTCTCGTTAAAAATCGCAATTGGGAGATTGGGAGCGGTTCAGCGATGGGCTTAACTCTCGTCACTCCGATTGTGTCACTTGATCGGGACGAGGAAAATTCGAAAAGATGGACAGACATGGTTGAACGATATAAGAAGGGCGGGGAGCATTGGGTCAGACGTCACCGCGTAACTTCCCTCGACGAATAACCTCCGTAAGAAGCCCCTCATCTGATAAATCAAGCCGTGGAATGTGGTCTAAGGCGTAAATAAAAACGTGAATGCTTCTCATTATGTGAATCCTCTAGTTGATGGTTGCCCATTGAATCACGCCTCGGTCCCTCCACAGGACACCACCTGTCCCAATGAGTCAAAAGCCTTCCGACTGAGAAGAAAGAGAAATAAACAAAAAAAGCGTAGAAGATAAATTTGCCACGAAGGGACAGAAAATAATGAGCTTCGTGTGTATTCCAAACGGTCCCAAACGGTCCCAATCCGTTTCCTCGGCCACCCATGCTGCAATATCTAACTATTTAAGGCAAAGTAGCTTAACCTAAACATGGCTTCATGACTCAGTTCATGAGCAGGCGCTGAACCCACCCACGCACTCTAGCAGTGCAGCGGTTCCAGAACCCAACCACGTCGTAAAAGAAGACGAACAGCGTCAGAGCCATGAGCGGCACCGTCGCCGCAAACCACGACCACATGGGGACGCCGTCGAGGCCCTGCACGTTCATGCCGAAGAACGAAGTGGTGAAGGACAGCGGGACAAAGATCAGAGCCAGGAACGTCAACTTCTCGACACGCGCCGCCTGGTGCAGAACCTTTTTCGACTCCATGATGGACATGCCGTTCATGAGGTTCGTGATGATCTCCTGGCACCGCGTGTTGAGCGCCTGCGCGTGCCCTTCGAGGTGGGCAAAATCCCGCTCGACCAGGCTCCGGGTCCGCCGGCTGACCTCGCCCGCCGCCTTGGGCCACTTCGGCGGCTTGGCGCTCTGGATGGCGTTGCGGGCGGCCCGGATCTTGCGGGTGTGCTGGAGGAGGACCTGCTTCATGTACCTCAGGTTGGGCAGCGGATCCGAGTCCTTCTCGTCGAGCTGCGCGTTGTACTGGTCTAGTTTGTGCTCGGCCAGGTCCAGGAGCTGCTTCTGCGACGCTGCGGCCAGGGTGAATACCTCGTTGAGGGCGTAGAAAGGGTCCTGGGCCATCGACTCTGTCCGCAGGGAGCGGCCGTAGCCGGTGTGGAGCTGCGAAGCACTCGGAGGCGCTTCGTTGTTGTTCTCCGGCTCATTGCGGGACATGGAGTGTGCTAGCAGACCGTCGTTGGGTCTATATCGGAATATGGGATGAAAGAACTTCTTCTTCGGTTTGAAGCTATCCCGGACGGATGACCAGGGCCCAGTGAGGAGAGTTTCGAAAAGGTCGGCGGTCGCATCTGCCCAAATGAAAACTGGCAAACAGTGCATGGTGAGCTTCAAATATGTCTCGATAGGGAAAGGTGCCTCCCTGCACAGCAAGTGAAGGTATCCATGTGGACTTACCGACCCAGCCCTTACGCCCCTCGGCGGGCCGCATGCAGATGGTGATCCTCTGCTCCACCGCGTAGTGAAATTCATCAAAGAGCTGGATGCCTCGAATTAGCGAGGTTCCAACGGCAGGGACGTGAACGCCCAGTTTGGTGTGGTAAGACCGTAGGCCGGCAGCCCACTCTCTGCGGGCATCGTCGAGGTGGTCCTGGGTTGGTAGAGATATCATCGAGTCCAACGATCCAAGGGTGGTGATGGGAAGCTCTATCAGGTTCCAGCTCAGGGAAGGAAGCGACGACTGAGAAAAACTGTGCACACTGCTGTCCATGGACCGGAAATCGAACCAGCGGCTGAACATCTCGGGGTCCGCCAGGTGCGTACCCCCTATGGTGCCAACCCAGTTTGGCGACGGATACCCACGGAGAAAGAGCAACAACCCTGGTGAGTCTGCCTCGGATGGAATTTCCTGCTGGAGATATGATTCCTCGTCGTCGAAGAACTTGGGATCTGAAAGTCCCCACGCTGGGGTGGCTATGCTGGGTACCGCGGCACGCGAGGATGGTTGGGACCTTTGTAGGTTGTTCTCTGGAGACGCGGTGACCGACTGAAACCGATATCTGACTAGGAAGGCTGTCCCCCGGGGTTGGAAGTCCGGGTACTGAGCAGTGTTGAAGTTCAAGAGCGGCGAGAGGAAATGGGCGAGTCTTTCATGACGCTGCCCAACGCCAGTAGGAAGCCCGCAGAAGTCGCGAACTATCTTGGCATATGATTGACTGGCGGCTGCACACGTCCGCCCTTTCTCTCAATCAGTAACGCCGCCGGCATTCATCTTGTCAAGCATCGAAACAACCCGGGCCCCGGAAACTTACTCGACCGTGCACCGCTGTTGTCGCTCCGGGATCTTCTCACTCCCCCCTGCGCGGGAGCGGGCAAAGAAGTGTCCATTTGGTAGTCCGACAGGTACCCTTAGATGAGGACTGCTACACAATCCACGGTGCACTGGGGCGTGTGAGCGTCTTTGTGTGACGGCAGGAAACAACCGCATGGGTCACAGGGGAGAGGCCGGCAGAAAATATGGCACTGTGGTACACAGCAATCCGTAGATATTTGGCTAAGGGGGGTAGTCCAGAGCCACGCGTAACCTCATTGTGGGAGATGAATTTGGACCTCTGAACTTCTGAAGAGACCGGCGAGGGGCCACGGGGCTATTATTCCCTGGAGACCCCCAAAGCCCCCTAAAACCCCCAAAGCTCCCAAGCCTAATGCGCCATTTTCACAAGCGTCCAGCCTCCAGGCTGCAATCCACCGAGGCGGCCAATTGAGACTTTCCAAGCGGTAGTGGCTGTCTCATGAAGAACTTGAAATGGAAGCAGCTGAGCCAACCGGCGCGTAAGGGCAGTCTGCAGGTGGTCGTGAGGCGTCTGTGCCGCGGCGTGTGGTGTGTGTGGGTCCAGCTGAGCAAGTGACTGATTTCCTCGAATTATGCAACCCTAACCCTTTTCTCTGTTCACGTGATTTTGCTCGCTTTTGGCTGTCGCTCGTCGAGCTTCGAAATCGCCTCCATAGACGTTTAGGGAAAGGTACAATAATGATATAGTCATTATTCCTATAAGATTAGCTAATAGTAAATGGATTATTACTAATTTTCAACGACGAGAGCTTAACCCTTAGTATAGATGCTACTCGTCGCCTTAGGCCCAATATCAAGGTAGCTTTGCTTTGCCCGCTTCAGAAGCGGCGCTTATCGCCACCCTTATAGTAATGCATTCCGAAATGGCAACCAACAATTGGTCGGAACCACACTCGACTCCATCGGGTATGGTGTAGCGGTAACATCGTTGACTCTCACTGCCTTAGCAGTGACTGCTCTCTCAACAGCCCCGGGTTCGACTCCCGGTATCCGAGTCTCAACTTTCTTTTTTCATTTTTGCTGCTGGTTACCCATGTCTGTCTGACCCCATGTCTGACATTCCATGCCCACACAAGCTTTCGGTTATTTTTGCCCCTCTGCGGCGCAAGCAAACAACCCAGGTGGGTCACGGTCGCGGAGAAGGTCGTTCAACATGACACAAAACCCAAACGAGCCCTTCCCGCATCAATATAGAGATGACGGTCCAATGACGCATGTCGGTTTTCTTCGTGGGCCCACGTCCCACAAGAACGTGGCCAAGGAGGCCAAGTCGGCGGCAGAGGGGTGCCACTCAAAGATGCGGCCCTGTTCCGACAGATGCAAATGCTTAATTAATGCCAAGACAGGATCTGCGCTAAGCTGCGAAGGGGTCGTGACACCCAGCAACCCACTTTTAGGGCCAGGCCTGTCGGATGGCAACTGCCGAGGAGATGTCAGAAGACCAAAACGAATACAGCGCCACGACAGCAGAACCTCACATTCCGCTCAACCCCAACGCACGTCACCCACCACTCCTCTGCAGATCACGCATCGACATAATTTCCACTCCGCCATGTTGTGCCCGCTGACCGCATGCATCGAGCCCCAAACGGAACCGGAATCATGTCTGGCAAGTTGGCCCCCAACGCATTTTTATTTTTTCATTCCTTTTTTGCACTGGAAGGATCGTTTCTGGCCATGCTCCGGCCGAGGTTTGCGGCACGGCAGTCTGGCACCTCCAGCTGGTCGGGTCGGCCAGCACCCAGGGAGCGCCCCAGACACCCCAGCTGTTGCAGATCAGTGATCCCATCTGCCGGAACCATGCCGTGTCGAGCCTGTCAATCCTTCCCAACGTCCATAACCCCCCTGCTTGCGGCCTAGCGCATCCCTCACTGAGGCGTTGCCGGCTGCTTGCATCCTCCACGCCCGTTTCCCTTGCGCCGCTCTCAGGTTCCCTTTCCCAAAATGGAAATCCCAGTGACCACCACCGCCCTAGACTCTCGACAATGTCTCAGCCGGGCGTCCACGTTTGTCCGTTGGACCCAAGGAAGTCTCCGTTGGACCCAAGGAAGGCTAAACAAAGAAGGTCCGGGAAGGAATATTAGCTGAAATTTGACCAGGCCAGCCGACTGTTCCCTGGTCATATGTCACATCACACCGCTGCGGAAGAAAACATGACCAGACCAGTAGCTCATATATACATCATCACAGACTCCCGCAGCTCACCCCACGGGGCCCTTTCCCTCTCACCCTTCCCAACCCGACGAAACACCACCAAGCACGTCGCCCACCATGGTTGCCCCTCTTAGCACCCTCGTTCTAGGTATGTACTAACCCATCCCTCCTCCCCCAACTCAGCGAGTCAGTCAAACCAACCCCGCAACCCCCAAACCCCAGCGCTCGCCGCCCCGCTCGCCGTCGTCCACGGGGCACCGACCTTCACCACCTCCACCTCCACCACAGCAACCACCACCACCGACATCGACATCACCATCGGCAGCAGCATCAACATCAGCCTCAACCTGACCCTCACCCAGCCCCTCGGCGGCGGCGTCCCGCTGCGCATCATGCCGCTCGGCGCCTCCATCACGTACGGCACGGCCTCGTCCGACGGCAACGGCTACCGCAGCGTGCTGCGCCAGCTGCTCGTCGACGGGCCGGGGAACAAGGTCAACATGGTCGGCACGCGGCAGGCCGGCGACATGGTCGACCGCGACGTGGAGGGGTGGCCCGGGTTCCGCATCAGCCAGGTGCGCGACAAGGCGATGGCGCCGGGGTGCGTGCCGCATCTCAGGCCGAATGCCGTGCTGGTCAATGCCGGGACGAATGATGCCACCCAGGACTGGGATGTTGAGCGTGCCGGGGAGCGTATGGAGAGGTTGTTGAGGGATCTGTGGGGGGCGTCGCCGCGGGCCGTGGTGGTGCTGAGCACGCTGTTGGTGAATAAGAATCTGGAGGCGGAGGAGAGAGTGAGGGTGATTAATGAGCAGTATGTGGAGCTGGCGAGGCGGTTGCGGGAGGAGGAGGGGCGGAGGGTCGTGTTGGTCGATATGCATGGCGCCGCGGGGCCGACGGCGGAGGACCTGGCGGATGATACGCACCCGAACGATGTGGGTTATCGCAAGATGGCGGACCTGTGGTTCAGGGGCTTGGTGGCCGCGAGTTATGCCGGCTGGTTGCAGGCGCCCGAGCCGGTGCCGGGGCTGCCGGATGATGGTGAGGCGTAGGGGGTTCAAGGGAGATGGGGGGGGGGGGTGCATTGTTAGGCGCTAGGGTTGTTGGAAACAGTCACTTTTGGGTGTGAATTGCGTTTGAATTAGATGTAATGCATTAGTGCTTAATGTGATCTTAGAGTAATGCTTTGGATACCATCAAAACCCATAACACGTCGAACGCGAGAGTTTGCTTGGACCATGTTCAAGGCACGACTTGGGAATGGTAGTTGATAAAAGCGAGAGGAGTAATCAACTGTCAAAGGGTTGACATCTGGGCCTCCTTCAAGTTCAGTCATCACATTCAACTATTCCATGGGTACGCAAGCATCCTCTCAGCAGAGTCGTTCGAAATAATGTAGAGCCCTGAACACGGAGGAAAGAACGGAGAAAAGGAAGCAAGCCGGCAAATGAGTATTCCATGGGCTTGATTATACAGCCAGCTCGAGCCGAGAGGAATAGATGTTCTCATCAGCAGTAGCTGGTGCTTGATACCACACACCAAATTGTTTCCATTCTCCGCCTTGAAACCTTTCCCCAACTCCAGTGTGCCCAAAATCCCATATTTCATCACCCAGTGGTAAGGAGTGCCGGGTATCGAAATGCAACCAGTCCCAGCCATGCGACGAACCCCTTCCAATCCGGCCCAACCCCCTGAGTCCCAATTGAAAATCCCAATACTGAATGTCCCACATATCCCACATATCCCACATCTCCAAGAAGCCACCTCCGACTCATCAGATAGTTAACGAAATCCGTTACTACTGGAACCACACCCCTGCCTACACCCCCAACCTCCACTACACACCACCAGCACCACCAACCCACCACCCATCCCCGCCCGCCGTCCTCACCCGCCAGCGCGCCTCCTCCGCCATGCGCGGCACGCTCAAATCAGCCACAGCCGGATCATCCCGCCAAAAGAGGTACAGCTCGCCGAGCTGGTCATACACAGCCTGCAGCGCCGGCCGGCGGCAGACGCAGCGCACCACCCCTCCCCCCGTCTCCCTGTCCCTGTCCCTATCCTCGTCGTCCGTGTCGGAGCCGGAGCCGGAGTCAGACCTGCCAGCGGTGGCGGTGGGGGCCGTGGCCATGAGTTCGGGCACGCTGTGCAGGGTCCCACACGTGCCGCAGCGCCAGGTGGTGGGCAGGCGCAGGGATGTGGGCGAGGGGAGGAGGGCGCCGCCGCCGCCGCCGCCGCCCTGGGGGAGGTGGGCGAGGAGGGTTGACAGGGGGGGCGGTGGGATCGAGGCTGGTGGGAACGGGAGCTGTGGGTGTGTGGCGGGTTTGGCTTTGTTGGGGTTTGGATGAGGATGGGGCGGGTAGAGTGGTGTGGTTGTGGTTGTGGTTGTGGTGGTGGTGGTTGCCATGTTGGAGATGATGATACGCGCTGGAGGCGGCGAGGCGGATGGTGTTACCTGGTTTTGGGGGCCGGTTTGGGGGCGGTTTTTTGGGGGCCAGATGGAACTTTTTGGTTGAGATGCCTGGTGAGAGGGAGGCAGGAGCGATCGACAGGTGGAAAGATTATTCTATCAATGTTCGGGGTGCAGTGGGACTTACATAGATCGGGGATATGTGGGGTGCCTGATAAGGAAGGAAGGTTCAGCGGGCGCAGAAAGCTGCCGGACTCCGAACCGGTAGGTTTGCCGCGTCCATGCACGATACGACTCCGAAGGTAACTCTGGTATGATTGGGGGGGAGGTGTGTGGGTGCCCCTCTGTTGAGCCTAAAAGACTGTATCTTGTGATAAGACTATCATGACGGGGCCCGATATTGAATGACGATAGCAGTTTAAAGTGAAGACGATCATATCGTCCTCGGCCTGGCTGGGGCATTGCAGTTTTATACACCCGACTACGTAGGTGATCATGAGGGCCCGGGACAATGGCGGCTGCTTGGTTTCCGGTGAGGGGCGGGGGCGGATTTTCCCCAATTGCCCCGAAGGTTGTTCTCCCTTGCATTGCGGACCCTCATTGGCCATAGTTGGTGTATCTCAGCCCGGAGCATCGGATCTCGACCCTTGAGGAGGGACTCGATACATATACATACTCTTCCTCGTGCCACTTGTGACCTTCAGTTTGTTTAACATGGAGTCGACAAACGCAAGACGGCGGACGTCCTGAGCAAAAGGCCAAATCGGGAAAAGGCGCCAGTCGGCCCCACTTATCTGGTCCGCAGGTGGGCCCGGCTTTCGGACCATTCGGAGGTTTTCGGACAAGGGAAAGAATCGAGTCTATTTTAACGTATCCTTGACACCGCGTCGGCTTACATGTAATGGTCAAATGTATGTTTGTGATGGCCGAGGGGTGGGCGAGATATCTTGCTAGTATGCACTAGAGAACTGAGAATAGAAAACATCAGGGACGAGCACCCAATTCTCGACCGGGCCGGCCGGTCCGGGCATGCCGATGCCGGGCCGGAACGACTGAATGCTATCAGTAACCAGACATCCAATCACTCGCTCGTCCGTTATAGCCAAATCAGTCACAATTTTCCCTCTCAGCTACATGCTACACCCATTTTACTAACCAAACAGCCGAGTACTAGCAGGGGGATTACTCCAGGCGCGGACCAAGAACCCTCGCCGCGCCCGGAGTCGGGAGCGCAGCAGTCTACTCGACACAGTCAGCATCAACACTCACTCACGGGTCGAAGGCGCGGGAATAATCACGTAGGATAGGATAAGCAACCACGAAACCAACCCACACATACCGGATTGTTCAAAACCAGACTCGGCCGTTCACTCTATCCCTCATCCGGGTGCGCGAGGGCGGGGTGGATAGAAAATATGAGAGATCGATGCGGAAACTATCTCTCGCCTCCATGTCCAAGGGCAATCCCGAGACGAGCCGGCCAAAAGTGTCTTGGTTTGCCATTCCAAGAACAAGTCCAGGTTCATGCCGATGCTAGCGGAAGCTTAAAACGACTATGCTGTACAACGACCACCGTTCGGTCTCAGCAACGGCAGGTGATACATGCTCCGCTCAGCTAAGACATCTTGGCAAGACAAACAAGCCTTTGGACGGCTGAGGAAGGAGGGAAGAAACGCTCGGCTGGGGAAGGTCGTATTTCGAGACCTGCCGATCGTGTTTCGGTGTCCCGACGCATGGGTGGGCCCAGAATCCCAGGGATGCGACAATTCGTGATGCACCCCGGAAATAAATATTCAGGTTTAGTTGCGAATGCTATTTAACGTGTGTATCTGCTATCTTGGGGGGGATCTCGTCTGCACCTGCCCTTGACCGCCGGCTCGACTTGTATGTTGTACATGCGCCTCAAAGAGTTCACGCGGCTTCCCTCCCCGCCCCTCCCCCGAGGGCCAACCAGACAAAATGCATCCCATAAACAACAAGCGATTCTCACAACTATTATCCGCTTCACCGCTTCGGTGACGTGCCAAACCGGCGACGACGGGGATCACATCTCTCCTATGGTCGCCCACGCCTAACTCTAACTAACACGGTCTCATACACGTTGGGTATCGGAAAGAAAACGCAAACCGCCCCAAAACCCTAACGTCACACACACACACACACAAAGACAGACCGCTCGTACATAACATAGCATACACCCGTCTAGTCAAGCCCAGTCCCTCACTCCTCAAAGTCATCACCACCGTTATTGTCGCCAAACGGATCGAAATCCTCCTCCTCGTACGCGTCCTCCTCCCCTTGGAAGCCCTCCTCGCCACCAAACTCATTTCCGTCTTCCTCCTCCTCCTCTTCCTCTTCCTCGGGAGGAGCAAGCGCCTTGGCGGCCCTCTCCTGCGGGGTCATGGCGGCGGCGGCAGCCGGTGTCGGAGTCTGGGCCCCGTTGGCGTCCTCCTCGTCGCTGCCGGCGTCGCTCCCGGCGCTACTGGGGAGCGCGCTGCGGCTGCCCACCGAGCTGGCGCCGCCGTACGTGCTGCCGGGGCCCGTCTTGGAGAACTCGAACAGGTTGCCCATGCGCGAGTAGTCGAGTTTGGTGCTGATAGCCCGTGCGCGGAGCATGTTTTGGGCGGCCTCGGTGGCGGAGCCGGCGGGCGATGCCTGGCCCTCGCCGATGCGCGGCTTCCGGGCCCGGCTGCGCTTTGGCTTTGGCGGGTTGTTTTGTAGCACTTTGGCCTCGAAGATTTTCTGCTGCACCTTGCGCATGTAGTCCTTGTTGTGGTTGGCCCAGATCATTTCCTTGAGCAGCACGTCCCTCTCTGAGAGCTTGCAAAACATAACTTCTGGGTCGTCTTTGAACTCATCTTCGTGGATGATGGGATCGTCCGAGACGTTGGACTGTGTGGGCCCAGGGGTGGTCCCGTTGGTGACGGGTTGGGTGGCCGGCTCGGTGCTGTTTTCGGCCGAGGCGTCGTCGGTATTTGCCTTGGGTGGAGCAGGAGCCGGCGTCGGGTTCGCGGGAACCGTGGCTATTTGTTCTCTTCGCTGCTCAATATCCCTCGTGACAAGGGCAGAAGCGCCAATCATGGCGGGGTCGTTAAGATGACCTTGCATCTCCTGCTCAAGGTTATTCTCGTCAAGTTCCCATTCTTCATCGATCCGCAAGGTCGGCTTCTCCGGCTTCTGGCTGCTCGCCTCGTCGCCGTTAGGGTTGGCTTGGTTGTCGTTTTCCGGGGCAGGAACGGGCTCCCTCGGCTTGATCCTCATGTTCTCCATGCCAGGTACCTGAATGCCTTGTGCCGCGGCCATGGCCATTTCGCTGTTTGGGTCTAGTTCCTCGGGCTCATCTTCCTCGGAATCGCCGAATTCGTCTGCCAGGTCCTCGAGCTGGCCGTCAACCTCCGCCGTTGCGGCATTGGCGATCGACAGATCTTCCTGGGTAGGTTTGCGGTAGGGGACGGCAAAGCCATCCTTATCGACACCAGGAGCGGGCGTGTCTGCTGTCTGAGGTGTCAGGGAAGCGGGCGGAGCCGAGGTCTCGGCGGACGCACCCCCGGTTTCGAGTGCTGGGTCGATAGGAACGGAGGGGACTTGGGTTTCTGTTTCCGTTGTTTTTCGCCGCTTTGCAGAGCCTTGCGGCTCCAACTCGTCGCAGGGTTGGCTGCTGTCCCCGCTGGCTGTTACCTTCCGCTTTCGAACCTTCTTGCCATGCTTTTCCTGCCACTCCTTTGACTGCTTGTAGACAAACGGGGGATCATGTGAAGTCTCTGGGAGAGCTTTGGCCTCGTGGAAATCGCGGATTGTCATCTGCGCCGAAGGTACATTTGCGAACTCTTCCATACGCTCCTGCAAAGTGGTCATGGTGACCTTGGCGATGTAAACCACTTCTCTGACGGTGCGGCGGAAGTTGTGTGCCCGAGCAGCCATGATCAAGGCGGCACCACAGATACCAGCAGGCCGGCGGCCATGTGTGATGTTGTCGTGGCGCATGCGTTGGGCGATGCGGATGGCCGAGAGCGCCACTTTATTGGTGTCGTGGAGGAACTCCAGTTTGGTGGCGAAGCGATAGATGAGGTCCTCGATGATGATGGGCTTGGTGCCATCTTTCATGTCGGGCAGAGCGGTAAGCAAGTCTTTGTAACTGCGGCCGAGCAGGAAGACGTCGGTCTTGATGATGTCGGCCAAGTCGATCAGCATGACCCTGTTGTTGTCCTCCTTCCGACACACAGCATAAACGCAAACGGCGGCCACCGTGTTCTTGCGGCGACCCTGGATGAAGTTGCTGTTAGAGGCGAACTTGTAGACCTGGAAGGCTTTCTCGGCTATCACAGGTGCAATCTGGAGCTGATGGCCGAACTGGTTCATGAGCTGCTTGGCCTCCCTGAGACTTCGCTCGCGGGCTTCACTCGCACCGGCGCCAGCCACACGCCGAAAAGCAAGTCCGCCAGCCGTGGGGCGAATACCTCCTTGGTCGGCGGCCAGATAACTACCGTGAACAACGGCAGCGCCATTGGCACTCTCTCCAAAGGTTACTTCGGCCACGATGTTACTCTCCCACACGACACGGCCGCAGTTCTGGCAGGCTCCGTCACGGACGTCCGACTTGTCGCACTGAGGATTCTTGCACACCGAGCGGGCGGGTGCTGTTGCGGCAGCAGGGGAGTTTATCGGTGAGGACGACGCTACAGACTTCTCCCGGACGCGTTGCTCGTGGTCCATGATGCGGCGGATGGCGTTCGGCTTTCGCTTGGGTTTGGCCTTGCCGGAGCCCCCGCCGGCCCTGATGGTGGGTGCGGATGACATTGTAGGTACTGGCGTTATGGTGATAGGTGGACAGGGTGTGATTGGCGTCCGTCATGTAAGTAGGTAAGTCGTGATGTGGGAAACAATGATGGTGAAGTGAGCAGCGTCAAACAGTGGCAGCGGGGCCTGTTGTCCCCGACCGCTGTCTTGGACGATGCTCCGCTAGGGACCCAGTCGGGGCTGCTGTCAATTGTTTCGCAATCTTGAACAACGTTCAATGTCTGAGAAAAGCGATTCCCTTGACGGAAAAGGGGTGTTATGCCATTGGTGAGAATAAGCCAAGGATTGGGATACTGGCGATGGGGAAGATTCTCGATGCCGGCGGGTGTGCAAATTGATGAAAGAAACGCGCAAATAGCCAAGCGGGGTGAGTCGGGACTCGAAAAAACCTTCAGCGCCAGGCCACAGGCTCGATGAGTCAGCCTGCAGGGGCCAAAGGGCAGAGGTTCGACTCGATTGTCGTGCCCGAATTTTATGATGGAAGTTCCGTAATTAAGAATACCCCACCCCACATCACGAAACACCCCGCATCACATGGAAGCCAAGCGAGAGTTCGCCCCGCCGTTGCTGAGTTCCTCTGCACCCCAATGATGTCCGTTGGCACTGCTGGTAAGAATTGAGTTTAACTAAAGTAACCGGCAAAAGCGTGGCAGAGGCGGGTTGACGGCCCGGATGCTGATGCCAATGACGGCTCAAGGCCCCCTCTTGCTCAACGTGTGCACTCCGCTCTCGAACACGAGCGACGGCTTAGCGGAGTTGCCGTAAATGGTAGTAGAATCGTGAAAATGGAAACCGTCGAATACCACATGGCTTTTGCCTTGCACTATCCAACGCCGTAGGAGGGGTTTGTGAGGGGTGGGTTCTGAAATATAAAAGGCGCCGCCCCTCACTCATTCCCCAGCAGTCACCTCTATTTTTTTAAGCCTTCCAGAAACTTAACTGCCTGCCCCCAAACGTCACCGTCGTCATGGCACCCACAGATATATTCACCATCACCGCCGACCCGGGCACCGACATCTGGCGCAAGCCTCCCACGACCGACGTCTTCAATGGTAACACACCCCGAACCTCATCCCCCTTGCACAACTCCGCAACCCACACACTCCCCAACCACCACCCGCCCCTTTCCCTTCAACGCCCAACCCTAACGCCACCACCACCACACCCTATCCATCTACCTACCTAATCACTAACCACCCACCCCAGCACCCACCGCCCTCACCCCCGCCGGCCCCCACCCGCAGCGCACCTCCGGCCCGCTAAACGCCTTCCTCTCGGCGCGCCTCTCGCTCAACTTCACGCCGCAAGAGACATACGACCAAGGCGGCCTCTTACTCAGCCTCCGACGCAAGTCCGACAGCGACAACAACGCCCCACCCTCCAAGTGGATCAAGACGGGCATCGAGCTGTACAACGGCGCGCCGCGCGTGTCGACCGTTGGGTGCGACCGGTGGGCGGACTGGTCCGTGGCCGACCTGCCCCCTTCTTCGTCATCTGCCTCTGGCGGGGAGACTGGGTGGACGACGGTGGTGGTGGAGAAGGACAAGGACGGCAACGGGACGGGGCTGTGGGTGTACCGGGTGGCGGAGGGCAGCGGGGAGAAGGTGCCGCTGCGGGAGATCTGCTGGGTGTTTGGGGAGGATCCCGAGGCGTGGGAGGTCGAGGTGCACGCGATGGCGGCGCGGCCCGAGAAGGGGGTGCAAGGGGGGTTGACGGTGGAGTTTGCGGGGCTGGAGGTCAAGTGGGCTTCTTAGGTGGGTGAGTTAAATGTGGATGGGGAGGAGGTTACATGTCACAGTCACGGAGATGGATAAGCAAGTGGGCCGGGGACGTTGTTGAGGTGGCCGAATGTGTTTTCTTTTTTTCGTCCCATTACCTAGCCCCTCAAGCGGCCGGCGTAGAGCCTTGCGGGAACCGGCGGGATGCTATCTAGCGTGCTGCGCGCCCTCTAGGGGCGGCAGAAAGATACCATCTCATACCCATCCCGATGATATAAAAGCCCGAATTCGGTTCGTCAAGAAGTCAAAGTCGTCATCATCATCAGTCGTTACAAACGAGTGACCGCCCTACTCTGCGCGGCGAAGTATTGCAAGCAACCATGCAGGTTCCTTTTTTTTTTGGCCGGGGGTGTTGCGCGCCCCCTTTTGTTTCCCTCTCAACCATGATCATCCGAACTGTCTTGTGTGTTTTTTTCGACAAAAAAAAGTGGGTGCGGCCGAGCGCGCTTTGAGTGGTGTCGATGCCTAACAGCGAGGCTTGGAAACCTCGCTGCGATGTTGTTCAGTCTGAGTGGTGTGTGGTTCTGACTCCAGCCTTGTATGTTTCCAAAAACGCCAGGGAAAGAAAAAAGCTGAGATGTCATCGCCGATCCCGTCCCAAAGAAGCCCAGCTTAAAAAAGCAGACAGAGCAAGAAAAAGAACACAATTCATGGTTGTTAGAGGGAAAATATGCCGAAGTGCGGCGGGTTAAAACGACGTGTTGTGTTTTGTCGGTTATTAGACGTCGAGTTTGGCGAGAAGCCCATATCCTCCTGGTCTGCGACCTCCTTTCCCCTCATGTCTTTGTATTTGGCGGCCCATTCGATGAGCGACGATGCCAATCAATCTGATGCAATTCAGAATACCAAAACGCCAGGGTTCCGTGAAATCCCAACCAGCCCAGTGTCCCCAGCAAACAGAGAACCAAAAAGAACTGAGACACTAGAGGGGCAGCGAGCTGCGCGTGTCTTCCTTGCACATACTCAAATCGTGTGTCGGCATTAAGCCCCTCTCGCTCCGCAGATCTTGAAGCCAAAATTGGTCGGCCAACCTCATGAGAAGTGAAGATGTTTCAGGTGGATGAAATATCTTCCAAATGGTGTTCCAATCTGACGGAAGATGCGAGGAGTTTCGATGAGAAAAGACCCAAACGCCGGATGTTGACGAGCAAACAAAGACACAACCCCTGATGAACCCGTTCCGCTGCTCGGTAAGTGTTCCCCGTTTACGCCTGAAGAAAAAAACCAGGAACCTGTTCGTTACGCATTATGTGCAAGGAGCCCAGCCTCTCAGATGGTCTTTGGGGTCCGCACGTTGCTCGCCTCAATGACGTCGTCGAGGTGGTTGCACATGGCAACGAACAGGTCGAAAAAGAGCTTCCCGCTGCCCTCGCCGTACACGTCGCTGCCGGACTTCTCCATCTCGGCCTGCATGGTGCCGCTGCGCTTGAAGGTCTTGCGGCACCGGATGATGAGCGCCAGGTAATGAGCGCGCAGGCGGCTGTCTGAGTCGGGGGTGTGGGCGTAGCAGTATTGCGCGCTGCGGAGGATCGTGCCGACGTCGATGCCCGACTGCAATCCTTGCTTCCGCAGCGCCAGCCTCTTGAGCTCCTCCAGTCCATAGCGCTCCGCGGCGCAGTAGATCACCGTGTCGCGGAGCAGGTGCTGGTTGACGCTCGAGAGGTACACGGTCGCCTCGACAGCCGAAGGGGTCTGGGGTGTCTGCCCTGCGCGACCACCTCCGATTTTTGGTGATTCGTGGATCGTCGGGGAGGTTTGTGGTGTGGCCCGACGGGGAAGCGAATCCTCGAGTTCCCACGAGTTGCGCTGCTTGTTGTGCTGCAGACGCGGGTAGTAGTCGCCTTTGTAGAGATACTCGAGGATCGCGCTGAAGACCTCCGGCTCCTCGTCCGGGAGCGCAATCTTCCTATTCTGCGCATCGACGTAGATGCTGCGCAGGACCTTGTCGAAAAAAGGCGCCTGGCGCAGCACGTCTTCGTGCGCTGCAAACAGCCGCGCCTCCCGGCCCACCACGAGGGTGACGATGGGCGAGGGGGCGATTGGCTTATCGGCGGGCCTCGCCTGCTCCGACTGCATGCGCGAGGTGTCCTCGCCTTTGAGCGACCGTTTTAATTTCGACACTTTCTGCGGATCCCGCGTGGCACCCTTCCTCGTCAGCCTCGCAGACTTGTCCACCCGGTGTTGCGAATCCATCGCCGTCGAGGCAGCCTCCCGCTGGGAGGTGCTGGCGTCGCGGCTTCGAAACGAGCGCTTGAACATGGTGGCGGTCTGCGGTTCGTGGGCGGTATTCGTACCGGAGCGTGATGAGGTTATTCCGTACTGGTGCTGAGAGAACGCGGGATAATGGAAATGGCGGCGCAAGGAGAGACTGTCGCCGCGATTCCGGGGGTGATAAGAGAGTGACGAAAAGAAGGAAGGAGTGGAGGAAAACGGAAGAAAAAAAGAGTGATGCACAAAAAAAGATTGACGGGTCCGGGCGGCGTTATCCCAACGAGAAACTCATGAGACAACTCCAGCAACAGCTTTGCGACCCTTTGGTTGTGTGATGGGGGGGGAGGGAGAAAAGAAAGGAAAGGGCAAAGGAGTGGGGGGGTTGTTGGATCTATTTAACCCGGCATTTCGGCCGTGGTGGGGGCAGCACAAGGGTGTGTGTGCCTGAGAAACACCCAAGATCGAGAAACAAGCAGGGCTGCCCGGGGAAGCAGGTTGCCTTGAACCCTGGCGCATGTTCATTGGATGGACCAGCTGGCGAGCTGCTTCCAACCAGGAAAAGAGTTGACGTTGCTTCAATTGCGATTGCTGGCGTCAGCGCCTCGTTTGCTCAGCCATTCACTTGACCGTGAACAGTTGTGCACACCAATCGTCAGGTCTCGCCCTGTCGATGGATGGCTTCGAGAACTTAACGAAGCGAGGGTCCCTTGCCATGTCCCTCGCCGCTCTACCTAATCAAGGGTCAAAAGCTTGGGTGAGCCTTGGATCAAATTCTGGTGAGGCCTGTGGAGGTCTGCCAGCATTTGGGCCGCATTCCGTTTCTCGAAAAGGGGATTGGTCAACACGGTTGCCAACGCAACGAATTAAGGTTGACATTGGCTTCCGGGTTGAGGTTGGGCGGCGCTTCGAAGCAGCGTTTGCTGCAGCATTTTGCCCCGAGCGGGGGCACGTGAACAATGGCCGCCCACTGACAACAGAGCAGACGGCCTTCCTGCAGAGCACAGCCTCAGTTGACTCAAGGTCATCGGATACGCAGCGATGCTTCCGGAGGGCGATGAATATTCGGGTTCAGGTACCATTGTCAATCGTAAATTGTTGCGCCATCAATCGAATTCCGAAGATATCCATGGAGGGTGATCGATCTTCCGAGCCTCCCCACATGGCCCCAGGGCCAAGGAATGCGGAAAAGGTGGGTCCGAGACAGGCCCCCTTGCAGCCTTCTATCACAACTTCACGCCTCGGATTTCCTCCTGGCCCGACCAGCTCATGGTCAGCTCCGCACTTTTCATGCTCTGCGTTCTCCTCTTATCGGTTGCTTCCTTCCATATCTATTTGTATCACCTGACGACGTCTGTCGTATGTGATGACGAATTAACGGGCGAGTGATGACTCAACAGCCGAAACGAGAAAAAGTTCAGCAAATATTGTTACCCGGGCCGCCTTTCCACTACTCCGAGTCCGTATCACCTAAACTTGATGGTGTGCCATCTGAAAACTTTGATATGTTCAAGCCTTTTGGTCATCTTCTCAGTTCAACTCGTTGCCGCATGAGCTCGTGATCCCCCTGCCCAGTTTCCGTTTTGGCGACAGAACGATCGAAGCCGGTAACAAATCAACCATCAGTTTGGCCAACTAACGTTGATCATAGCGGTCGTCGTCATTGGTGGCGCGTCGGTGATGCATCAGGCCTTACAGGTAGAGGCACATAGCGCTAACGGCAGTGGAGGTGAGAATTGAAGCAGAGGTTTAGCGAGTACAGCAAACAGCTCTAAGTTGGTTGTTTAGGTAGCCGAGGAGGCAGCGCAAAGGCATTGAAGACTTCAAATTACGGAAAAGAGGGACTCCCAAGTGGTGAAGCCTTGGGAACCCGGGACCGAGGAGACTTGCACCCTCAGTTTCGCCATCAAGGGACTTCGGGGCAGGAGGGGATGTTGTCCACAGGGTTTGACTTTCTCGTTATCGTGATTGTGTACCAGTAGCTCCGCGTGTAACAAACGCTCCCACGATAAAACGAGGCTACCTACTATGCATTGCGTCCGCTTTACTGGCTACAACTTCAAAGTCATTGACTAGAAATTGCACATTCTGGGAGGCGTTGAAATGGCTTGCTGGTGAGGTGGTGTTGTCTTGGCTCTCTGTTTCCTGCATGGTCTCTTCGGGTGGTTCCGGCGCCCCACATTATTTCAAACACGTCCCAATCACCACTCGCCAATTCAACACCGTGGCATCGAGCGCAGCGCAACGCAACACGACTTTCGTCTCCGATCCGGTCAACAGCTCTTGGGAGCCGCAACAGCTTCGCACAGCAACCTCACGCGGAGTCTCCGACGACAATCACAACCCCTACCCTCCCAAGATGCTATCCAGTCTGCAAAACCCGCGGCAAGCCGCCGCTCAGCTCATGAACTTTGGGCTGATTCTCTCGACAGCCTTCATGGTGTGTTCCTCTCCTTCTCTCCAGAGCTGCACATCGAGAACGCCGGCCCTTCTCCTGCTCAATTCATGCTGACTTTGTGGGGTATAGATGTGGAAAGGTCTCTCGGTTATCACGGACTCGCCCTCTCCGATCGTCGTCGTCCTCTCAGGCAGCATGGAACCCGCGTTCCAGCGCGGCGACCTACTTCTCCTCTGGAACCGCAACCTTATGTCCGAAACCAACGTCGGTGAAGTCGTCGTGTATAATGTGAAGGGCAAGGACATTCCGATTGTCCACCGGATAGTCAGGAAGTTTGGCGTCGGGTGAGTTTTGCTGCTGCGGGCGGGTTGCGACGCGGGTCGGCATTCGGCTAACACCACCCAGGCCAGACGCAAAGCTTCTCACCAAGGGAGACAACAACGCGGCGGACGACACCGAACTCTACGCGCGCGGCCAAGATTATTTGAACAGGAAAGATATTGTCGGGTAAGACGAATGCATCCGAACCTACGATAGCAGAGCGAAGCTGACACCAGGAAACAGGAGCGTTGTCGGATACATGCCATTTGTGGGGTATGTGACTATCATGCTATCGGAACACCCGTGGTTGAAGACGGCCATGCTAGGGATCATGGGGCTGGTTGTCGTTTTGCAGCGCGAGTAATACTACCGACAGTTTGTCCACCTCGTATACCCGAGCTCACATTGTATTCCACCACGCGCGAGAAGACATCAGGGCCACATGGTTCCATGGTTACCCCGGGTGCCCGTTGGTCGCCAACACCTCTCGTGCCACCCGCCCGCCCAAGATGCCGCTGGATCCGTGCTGGGGGTGGTGTCATTTATTGCTTGTGACTGGTCTCTGCATGGAACTTGTGTCTGCGACGGTTGCCTTGCCGGTCCACATCCCCTTCGCCGAACGCGCTTCACGTCGAACATTTTATCTCTGGTATTCAGAAAATCGGCGTCCTGATACTGGACTTTGGAATCCCTTTCTTCTCATCCCACATAGCGCGTCTTCCGTGCACGTGTCGCATGATCGTATTTGCTTCCGAATGAACACCAGGCATCAGGGGTTCGTGATGTCTTGGCAAGCGCCCTTCCCGCTTTCGCTTTTCCCCGTCCAATGCCAAGACCGGCTAAGGAGGCAGCGCTGGCCGTTGGGGTCTATTTTTGACGGCAAGGATCTCGAGCAATCTTAAAAACAACACCATTGCCACCATTCAGTGTTTGTCGCCTTTCCCGGTCACCCTCTTTTTTTTCACCGTTGTCACTCGTTTCGACTTTGTATTCTCAATCGCGCTCACTTTTGGGGGCATTTTCTCTCATTTTGGACCACCGTTTACATTTGACTTAAACCTCCCTATTATCGACTTTCTCCTGAACAGTACACGTTCGAGTGAGGGGTTGAACATGGCGGGCGACGACAGCTCGGCCACGGAACCGAAGATCGGAGAGTCGAGTCGGGTTCAGGAGAACGCTCACAGTGAAAATGGGGGGGATCAACGGCAACCCGAACGTGGAGTTCAAGAGGATACCGAAACGCAGCCATCGCCCCCGCTACCACCGAGACCCTTGCCCGCCGCACATCAAGAGCTGTTAAAACATCAACATCAGCCTCCTCTTCCTCCACCGCACGCCGCCCAATTTGCCCATCTGCCAGTCGAACAGCCCTATGATGAGCGCGGACCGGAGCGCCCATATTACCCCCGCTGGCACAAGACGAAACTGGCATTGCTTCTTCTCTCTTTGGTGGTTTCCGCCGTGATATTTGGCGTTGGCATCGCCCTTGGCTTCCACAACGCTCCTTATTATCGGGCCTATTATTACACGGTCCCGATCGACTACGAACTGGGTCTCTCCGGCACTACGGTACGTCGGGACTGTCTTCTCTATTCGTCGCATGCGAAGCTAATCGAAGCAGGCCGGCCTTGCGGTTGTTGTTACCGTCATCGAGTTCCTGAAGACCATGTTTTCCCACCGGCGCCAGGGCATGCATCCTGGCGCCCTCGTCGCTTTCCACCTCATCATCTGGCTGATGGCTGTCGCAGCCGTCGTCCTGACCGGCCTGTTCGCGGAGTCCTACGCTTCCGACTGGTACGATTACCCACGCGCCGACCGCATCGTCCTGCACAGCCAGAGCCAGGTTTATGAGCAAGTCCTGATGGGGTTCGTTGCTGCGCTCCTGTTTATCCATTTTGTCCTGTTCATCGGCGCTTGCGTGGAAACAAATCGGGCCGAGAGAGCGAATAAGGAGGTGGTCGTGGTGAGGGTGCCGGTCCAGGTCGGTGCTGGTTACCAGGGGGCAGGGGGGCACTATCCCGTCTACGGACCGCCGGGCGCGTACCCGGCGCCGTTCCCGGCCGCACAGATGACGCAAATACCGACGGCTGCAGGTGCCGGAACGGGCCCTGCCCCTCCTCAACCGGCGGCTTTGTATGCCGGATACTACGCGCCCACACCCGAAAACGCAGCCTCGCAACGCCAAAGCCACCATGGTCCGATTCAAGGATACTACACACCAGCCCCGGCTCCTACGACAGCCGCCCCTCGCGAACAGCCCCGGGCCTCGGCGCCTGCACGGCCAGCCCCCAGTTCCAGCTAAGCAACAACCTTTTTCTCGGCGCCACCGATAGAGCCACAGCAAAACAGGGAGGATGCCAAGCCTAGTGTGGGAAAAGGGCATAATTTGGGGGGGCTCGTTTGTCCATAGTTGATTGGGATAGCAATCTTGAAACGGCAGCTAGGAAACAGCGGGCGCGATGGCGTTCTTAGATTGGGGGTATGCGTCTTATGTAAACTCTAATGTAATCACGACGGCTTTGAGGTTCGAAGTGGCAGGCAATGTTTTGGGTCATCACCCATTAAACCAAGAGGTTCAAGTTGACTATGCCCAAACCTACATCAACACTAGTTCCAAAGTCGGGGACCACCCCGGGTTAAACCAAGGCTGCACTACATATCAAGGCGATCGTTGAACCAGTCGTCAGTGCCCCCCAGCCGGTCAAGGTCTAAAATACTTGGTAAAGGCCAACCGCCGATCTCCCAAAAGCGGCTCTCTACGGTTTTCCGACAGCAGCTCTTTCACATGCGCAGGCCCAACCCTTTTAGCTTGCGGATCGCCGAGGAACAAGCCAGGGGTTGCATTTCCCCGCGTCTTGACATGGGATCTCCCCCAACCCAGAGCTCCAGCTCCGCGAATCACGCAACGGTGCCTGTTCACCCACTGCACGCCGATCCCTTGGCCAGGTCCACTCGCCTGAATACCACTTTCAAGATCGGACGACGGACGCCCTATAGGGGTGTATGTAGTACAGGAGATTGCAAGATGGTTTGAGGGTGAATCCCTCTCGGGATGTACAGGGGCGACTGGGTTCCATCAGAGCGCTGTCGACGAGCTCGAGGAGTATAACTCTAAGCCATCAGACAATGCCCGTCTCGTCTAGTCCGTGGCATTTGTTTTGTGAGATCTTTCGCGTCAACAGCTACTACAACTTCGACCTCGAAGTATGGTCCCAGAAAGCGCCGGGCGCTAGCATAAGGTTTGTCCTATTCTTTTTCTTGGCTACCTATTAATTTATCACACTATGGATCCCTCCGAGAATGTTCCCTTCACGCTCCCATTAAACATGTCTTTTCCACTACACCCTTAAGACCCTGGAACCGTCTCCGTGCAGACTTGCCACTTGACTATCAACGCAAACTCGATGTGTGACCAAATATCCTCACTACCTAACCAGCCATAGCTAGGTAGGTATCCGGCTGGGTCACGTAAAACAAAGGGAGAGAAGGATTATGCATCCCATCCTATGGTGGGCCATTTGCGACTCAGAGAATGTACCCAATCGCCACGGCAACAGCCACAGAGACCAGGCCATACACCGACGACGGGTCAGATTTCACGCCAGCAGCGGTGGCAATCGGAGAGTTGACCCCGGTCCCGGTCGCCGGCGTGGTGGGCGTCGCGGCTGTCCCAGAGGCAACGACGAGCTACATTCGCACATCTGTCAGCATGAGGGACCCTAGGTAGGTAGGTAGGTATTCAAACGGCAACCGGCCAAGCCAGCCACTCACCTTGTCGATAGTGTGAATGACGCCATTCTTGATGACGGCATCGCCGGCCAAGATACGCGCGCCGCCGATGAAGAAGTCGGGACCCTCGACAGTCACGGTCACGGTGGTGCCGGCGAGGGTGGTGTAGGTCGCGCCGTCGACGAGGAGCGGAGTGTATGCGGGCGGCCCCTGCAGCAGGTGCCCCCGGAGCACCTGGGCGAGCTCTTCGCCGGAGATCCCGTCGGGGAAGACGCTGTCGTCGGGGGCGAGGAAGGTGATGCTCGCCCTGTTGTCGAAGTTGGAGAGCAGGCCGGTTTCCTGCAGCGCCGCGAGGGCATCGTCCAAGCCTAGGAATGGGAGGGTCTCGGACAGGGGACGGGGGAGTGTGAAGAGTCTGTTTGGGGTGAAGGTGGAGGGCGGGTCAGCTTCTTTCTAAACTTGAAAACAGGCGTAGGACATGGTTGGGAGACGAACCCGCTGACGGGACGGATAACACCGCAGTCGTAGGGAATGTCGAGGCCAGTGACCTTGACGCTCTCACCGAGACCGGACAGGACGACGGGAAAGGCGGCGTTGGGGACGTTCTTCTCGATAATGCTCGAGTTCTGACCGGGGCCAAGGTTGACGAATTGAGGATGGCTCAACAAGTTCATACGGGAGATGGCACCGGGTGTGGTGGTTATTTCTGCCCGGCGCTTGTCACCATAGTCCTCTTGGCCGGGGGCCGCGTACTGGGTTTTCCAGGCGGTTGTATTATCGTTACGGCGTGCAAGCGAGCACGTCCCGCGCTGGGCCAGCGCGGCATTGGTCGGAGCATAGATGATCATATTGCGACAGGCGTTGAGGACGACCTCCCCGCCAGCTCCCTGTAGCTCTCGGGCAAACTCGGTGAAGCCTTCCTGTTGAAGGACAGGGAGGAGTGGGTCAGCGAGGACCGTGAAGCTCAGCAGCGCTGCAAGAGCAAGGGCGTAGAGAGTAGCCATATTGAAAGGGGATTTCATGCTAACAGAGGCACAGAGGAAAAGGGTGACAGGGATGCGGCTTGAAAGGAGAAGCTGAAAGCACACTGCTGGTGCAAAGGCTCGGTTTGCGGTGTGTACAAGTTGGATCTGATGGATTTGAGCCAGCGATGGGCGGATGGTCGACGTTTATAATACGCGGCAGACACCCCATCTCTTCTTGGAAGTTCATATACCTACGGTAGGTACGTATTACAAGGAGTTCTGTGAGTCCATTACCCATGTTCGATTCGGACCCGAGCTCCTCCTACACAGTACAGACCACTTGTGTCCCGGGGTCAAAGGCAGAGCCGCAAAGGCGTCGTTTGGGCAATGCCAGAACTACCTGATTATTGGAGGTCCGTCTTTGGGCATATCCGCACTGCAGCAAGCAATAAGGTCGGCCGAATTTAACGCGTGGATGACCAGGACGTGATATAGAGCCTCATAGGTGGGTGACGTCCCCGGAGGCGGTGCCAAGATGCCCGATGTCGATCTTGGACGTGTCGTATCCCCGTGCGTCCCGTCAGCCCGAGCATTATTCGTAGCCTGGTGACCCTGGTCGGCGTTCAGAAGCAGAGGTGATAGATGTTGATTGGTTTGTATCACCCTGGTGCATCTGCAATACACATCTGGTTGCTGTATCGTCTGGTTGGCCCGGGAGAGCGGAGATGCTGCCGTTGGTAGAGCTCTTTTGGCCTATCAAAAGCGGTTAACCAGCCGGCGTTGAGGAGGGCCCTTGAAGTATATCATGAAATGCAAGACTCAGATGTGATGTAGGGGCTTATAGGAGGGCTACCTCCTCGGAGGCGGCGCTGATGCCGATCTTCGATGTGGTGTATCGCCCTACACGTCGTCGAGCCGAGCTCTAGCCCGGTCGACGTTCAGAGGCAGAGCCTGATAGATGTTGATTGCAGCGTGCATTCGATTTCTACATCATCCGGTTGGCCTGGGAGAGCGGAGATGCTGTCGTAGTTGTAGATCTTTTGACATGTTCGCAAAAGCACTCGACCGGCCGGCGTCGAGGAGAAGGACCTTTCAGCCGCATCGTCCAACACCACATCCACTTGGCACCACTCGGGAGCAGGACATCCAGGTCGTGTAACCTGCAGTATTCCAATATCAGAGCCAGCCTTGCCCCGTTCCCACCAGTCTGGTGCATTACGCTGGACCTGGACCTAATGTGGTGTCGTAGGACGGCATATCGCATGCATGTCTCAGCCGGTAGCCCAACTACTAGGCTTCGGGTAGCTTTTCCTTCCCTCCTCGCCGCCGTAAGCGCAACCTGAGATGCTCCCGAATCGGCACTGCTGTTACGTGTCTCGTGCAGGTCAAGCCTTGGATTGGGTGCTAGCGAGGCGAGGTTGGGCATCGTGCCCCTTTCGCCTTCTTGAGTGAAATGGCTACAACTCGGAGTGCTCACGTACTGGTCGTATATCGTCCACGTTTCCTCCGGCGCAACTGCCTCCAAGGTGGTCATTCCTCAAGCCAACACAACGGCAATCTTCCACCATGTCGACAGCCTATGCCCCCCCGCCCGAGACGGCGTACCTCAGGAACGAGGTGTTTAACATGCCGACCAACGATGGCGACGTGTGGGCGATATCGTTTTCCACGAGCAGCAGCCAATTCCTCAACGGCGCCATAGCCGTCGTTTTCACCCTCATCTTCCCTTGTTAGTGTCTTCTCTCTCTCTCTCTCTCTCTCTCTCTCTTCTCTCTTTATCTACCCCTGCTCCCTTCCCAATTCAGATGCTCACCAACATGAAACGCAGGGGCCTGGGGACTCATCGCTGCGGCGGCTTTGTATGCGGCCCCGAAGGAGTTGACACGGCGCCAGTCGGTCGGCCTGGTGACGTTATGCAACGCACCGGATCCCTGGACGGCCTTCAAATGCCTCTTGGTTTTCGTGTATGAGAGCGTGGGCACCACCAAGACGTGGGGGGACTCGGTCCTCGGCTTCGTGTTCGGTACCATCGCTCTCGGCGTATTCGTGGTCGGCATAGTCATGGGTATCATAGGGCCTCCTCTCCTGCAGATCGGCAACGTCGCCCCGGTGCGGTCCAGCATCCTTTTTTACCCTACATTGCCGCCTGTAGGCGACGCACTTGGGCGCGAGCTGTTCAACGGCCACCGGAGCCTGGGTGTCCTGCGAGCTCTGAGCAGCGTCGAGATTGCCCGGGTGACGATGCGATCTAAGGTAGAGATCACGACAGCTCCTAACGCCACGGCCCTTGACCGCAACCCCTCGTCCCAGGCGGACCCCCCCGAGTTCACATTTGCCCTGACGTACTCGTACAATCTCACGGGCCCCGACTTTGGTCTCGAACATGCCTCGGACCTGGCCCTCAGTGTCTCAGGCGCGTGCCGTGCCGATTACACCTGGCTCAATGAGACGCATCCAGATCGCGCAGCCTACGATCACTACCAGTTGTGGGGGCTAAATACCCTCCCCCCGTACCGTGTTGCGCTCAACGGAAGCTCGATTGGGGACCTGCCCAGAGCCAGTTTCCGGCTACATCCAGACGCCGGGAACCAACTCCAGAAGGACGGCAATGTTTCATATGCCATATTGGTGACGTCGGCCCATCGCCCGAGTATCTCGGCGGGTTCCGACCCTTTTTACGTGACGGAGCCGAGCGACCCCAACACGGCTGGGGCAAATCCAACATACGCCGAGTGGGTTAGGAGCGGCAGACCCGTGCTCTCATGCTGGCAACAAGACCGATGGAGCTACCGAGGAGAGCGGGTGAAAAACGTCGCTAGTCTCAAGAACGTGACCGACATGGCGGTACCCCGCGTGCTTCTGGATGTCCTTGAGGCCGCTCTCTCCCAGCCCCTGATTGTCGTCATCGGCCCCATCGCCGGACCGTCCGCGCTCGAGTCGGTCATCACTAGTCCCGGAGGCTTCAACACCGACGGCCTTATCGATGCAAACGCTGCTAGCATTCAGCGAGACCTCGAACGCCTGATCGTCGCCAGCTTCGTCAACACACAGAACGTCTTTGTTGACGCGGCCTTGTCCGAGCCCTCGGAGGGGCAAAAGGGGCTGGGGAACATCTTTACCGGCACCGACGGGCAGCCACGCGATGGCGCCGGCAGGTTCGTCGTGACCACGCCCGACGTCCAGACGTTCACCCTACGGGGACTCATCGCCCTCGCCGCCGTGGTGGTGGGCCTGGTTCTCCTCAAGACGCTGCTCATGTTCAAGCTCATCCTGCATGCCGACTCCCATGGCGATGCGGCCAACCCCCCGGCCGACAGTGAGACACCGGACGGCCCGGGGACCGGCCCGGGGACCGACGCGGGGACTCGCCCGCCCAACGACGATCGGTGGGCGCGCTTCAAGGCCTTCTCCGCCATCAGCCTCCTCCGCAACGTCTACGAGGGCGGGCGAGGCGTCCCCAGGGACGACTGGAAATGCTGCGAGGAGTTCCCGGCCTATGACCCCGACAAATCCTTCCGGTTGGTCAAATGCAACCACGGAGCGTGCGCTTGCGGCGGCCATATAGAGACGGACCGTGACGCCTTCCCTCGGCAGGATCCCCCGACCCTCAAGCCCCCTCCAGCCCCCGAGAACCCCGTCGACGATGGTAAAAAGGGTTAAGAGGCACAAGATGGCATTCCCGGCAGAGATAGTTTGGTGACGCTGGACACGGTTGTTGACAGTGGGCGGGTCACATAACGGAAGAAATACCAAAAAGAGAAGTACGTAAGGTAAGGTAGGTAGGTACCAACCTACCTTTAGGTACCAGGTAGGTAGCTTCAAGAGAATATGAATTCCAAATAGCCCGGGATGGATAATAGCCGTAGTGTAGAACGTGAATTCAATTCAGTATTCAATAATTATAACGTTATCGGATGCACAATTGAAGGTGCCCCCTGAAGAGTGGTGACTTCCCTTAATAATTACCTAGGTGCATACCTACCAGGCAGTTACAATTTACCTGGGTAGGGAGGGAGTTGCCTACTAGTCCATCGGGTGGGCGATCAGTGGGGTCTGCTCAGCCAACAACCGTCGTTCAAGAGGTTTTACATGCACGGGAGGGGCGGGGATTGGGGAAAGGGGGGGGGGGGGTCGTGCGGCATGCTGAGCTCGGTCGCCCATAACTACCTCGGCAAGAGGATATTGGAGAAATACCGATGCTTGTGAAAGAGGGGCGGCCGGAAGGTTTCTATAAGAGAGGTCCAAGGTGGCTCGCTCCTAGCCTCAGGGGCAGCATCAGTCAGCAGTCAGCACTCTCAAAACTCAACCCTAGCCCGAGCAACCCCCCGACTACTACCACGCGGCCATCTCTCCCTCATACAACCTAACAACCACATCATCAACCCCTATCCCAAACCAAACAAACAAAGCCAAAAGCCACCATGAAACTCACCACCCTCCTCCTCCCCCTCACCCTCCTCCCCGCCACCCTCGCCGACGGCCCCTCCATCGTCGCCGCCCTCACCACCGTCAACGAAACCACCACCAAGCTCGGCGCCGCCGTCACCGATTGGCGCGGCACCATCCTCGGCACCGTCCCGATCCTGGCCGAGAGCACCGCCCTGCTCATCCAAGTCAAGCAAGGGACCGACACGGCCGAGGCCAGCGCGCCGCTGGACGTGCCGGCGTCGCTGGCGGTGGCGACGGCGACGGGCGCGCTGGTGGATTCCGTTAACGCCACGCTGGCGGCGCTGGTCGAGGCGAAGGGGATGTTTGATCGGTTGTTGCTGTCGCCGCTGATTGCGGTTAATTTGGGCCTGCAGCGCCGCGCGACGGCGGAGATGAGTGCGGCGGTGATTGGGAAGGTGCCGGCGGAGTTGAGGGAGGTTGCCGAGGGGTTGGTGGCGCCGATTGATGAGAGTTTTGGGGTGGCCGTGGAGGCGTATCGGTTGCTGTGATGGAAGGGGGGGGGTATGAAGTGCCTAGGTATTGGTTGTTACCAATTTATGCTGTTGGGAGTGAGATAGTTCTGACGACCTCTTTAACATTCGCGTGGGATGGTTTAGCCCCGAGAAAAGCATTTATCCGAATCGTATCGTCTCTACATATGGTACTTCTCTAGCACTGACATGGAACCTGACCCAACTCCCCCCTCGCCGACACAAACCGGCCCTGCGCCTCCTCAACCCGTGGCTTTGTATGCCGGATACTTTGTACTATACACTGCCCGCGGCTCCCGCCACAGCCCCCCCTAGCCCCGGGCCTTCGGGTATTCGGGGTGGGGTTGGACCGGGACCGACGCGCCGGCGTTTTTGAACGGGGGATATGTTGCGTATTATGTAAACTCTAATGTGATCACGACGGCATCCATGTTTGAAGTGGCAGGTAATGTTCGTTTAGTAGCGATCAACAAAGACATCAGCTGTGTGACAGATCTACAGATCTCTCGTTTCCTCGTTAGCACCATGCCAAGATGTCACTACTGATCGCAGCTGATCTCGAATCGACCAAGCAGAAGCGCCCTGCTAGTCAGCTCATCCACTAGGGCCAATCCCTTGTCAGGCTGATTCAGCTCAACACGACTGAGCTTCAAGGTCAGAAGCCGGGTACCCGAGTGAGGAATGTATGCAAATCCAGCCAGATCTACGTCCTCCGCCTCACCATCCCAAGGATATGTTCCTCCGGGGGTCACCATCCAATGCAGATCTCGCATGAATCCGGCCGATAAAGGCCTGCAACGCGTGGGCGTGTGATCGAGTTCGGCCCGAGAGCATGGAGCTAACACTGAGAGGATGGGGATCTTACTTGTCCAACGTCCTGAGGGTGCTGAGCTCGGCCATCCACGCCTATCCCGGCGACGCGGAATTTTTGATAGGCGGCAATTCTTGTGGGAGACGAAGCCCAGGGCCTCTATAAAGAGAGGCTCAAGGTCGCCCCCTCTTAACCTTGGGAACAGCATCAGGCAACACTCTGATCACTCTCCACCCGAGCCCGCTGAAGCCGCCCAAGCAGCTCGCTACCACCTAGCCGCTACAGCAACAACCTTTTTTCCCCGAACAAACTCCAAAGAAAACAGCACACAACATGAAACTCACCACCCTCCTCCTCCCGCTCGCCCTTCTCCGCCCCGCGCTCGCGGATGGCCTCGCCATCGAGGCCGACCTAAACGCAACCCGCGACGCCATGGTCAAGTACCGCGACGAAAGGGAGCGGGCGGGTTGGGAGCTGGTGACGCGGTTCGAGCAGGCGAATAAATCGGTGTTTGCGAGCGAGCCCTTGGAACAAGGGGCAGGAACTCGGTTGCTGAACGCGTTGGGTGCGCTGGCCGACTCCACCAATGTCACGATGCAAGCCATCATCGCTGTCCGCCCAGAGTGGCCCGTCAACATGCCCATGCACTTTCTTGTCGGTACCCAACTCAAGCGGCAGGTGTACGCTTTCATAGACATGAAGGACGCTCTGTTGCCGTTGTTGTTCGGAGAGCGAGAGGAGTCGGAGGAATTCGATGTGCCGCTAGACACTAGTAGTGTGTCGCGGATTGCGGATTCTTATTATCAAGCGATGGAAGCCTACCCCTACACGGCAACTTTTATTGATCACTAGGTCGAGACGGAGGTATTTCTTATGTTGGTGGTGTCGAGAATGAGATAGTCCCAAAGATCCCATCTCACTCTCGCATGGGATGGTTTAGTTTAGGACTGAGCAAAGCGTTTAGCTAGGTAGTCAGGTATTCAACCCGTTCAGTCCCTTCGGCTGTTCTCGCATTGATAGCGAATCCAACTCCGTAGCCAGCCATGCTCTTCAAGCGCTCGGATATACACCAGCACCCGGCCCACTGCAGTAACTCTGGTTTCGGGTGGTTTTGTTGTGCGGGTCAGTTCCCGTGCGTGGGTGCGTGAGCCAATGCTGCAATCGAGTGCCCGCATCCGTAGCTCCTGGGTCCATCCTTTGCCTTCGGTCCGAGCCGAAATTTGCAGAACGGTGCGTCCTCCCTTACTCGCTGTAGAGACTTTACTATGCTCCGCTGGGCTGACCTTCCAAATTCGCCGTTACTATCACCCAGTTGCCACTCTCACTCTCCGACATCTTTATTTTGTGGGGAGGTTGGACTTGAAAACACAATCACAACATGATGCATCCCGAATAGGTAGTAAGCGTAAGAGTACCTGCTCATTGCCGATATAAATGCTACCCCGTCTATAGAAAACCCCTTTTCCCCACCCGTCTCTCCTCCCCGCCTTCCAAAGGAATGGTACTGATCCCCGGCGCGCTCGGAGACAGTTTAGTTTTGCGAAAACACCTCTCAACCCCCACCACCATAGGGGGCAGTCACCGCCACCCTACATGTAAACCACCAACCCAGGACGGCCGCCCTACGAGCAGCGGTAGGAGTTGTACTTGCCCTTGTCGATGCAGCGGCCCTCGGTAGAGAGCGGGTCCTCGATGCCGTTGCAGTCCTTGCCGGTGAAGACTGCGGAAGCACAGCACCACCAGTCAGCCACACACCCCCTTTCACCACACACCTCTCTCTCGCCGGGGGGGGGGGGGGGAATGGTAGGTCATATCCATCACTCACCCCTGGGGTTCAGCATGCCGCCGGTGTTCCAGAAGAAGGCGGCGGTGGCGTCGTCGAGGTTGTAGCACCGGCCCGAGACGGGCGCGGCGTGGTAGAGGATGTTCTTGTCGTTACGGCTGCGTCAAGCGCGAGAGGAGTCTTGTTAGAAGGCCTGTCCCCTGGGGGGTGCGACGAGGAGAGGCGGGAAGTGGGTAGCGGCTTACCAGTCATCCAGACTGCTGTACTGGTTCAGCTTGGGCGCGTCGGCCAGCGAGAAGGGCACAAGCGCCGCGGCAACAACGAGGAGGATCTGGGACTTCATGGTGAATGTGTGGTTTGGTTGGTGTTGTTTGTGTAAGTGGTTGTTGATAGTGTTGTTTTGGGGCTGAAGGTTGATGTTGAGCTGTTGAAATGTTGGAATGTGATGTTGGGCTGGTGTGGAATTGACTCGATAGGGAGGAAGAACAGGTTCCCTTTATACAGTGGTGTCTCGGGGGTTGAACGCAACTCTTCCCAACTACTAACATCACGCAGAGAGGGCATCGCCACGGTATCTCGCACTTCCCTTCTCAAAGTTGTCTTACGTTACTATTCAGGGCTACGGGTGCCCAGCCTCATGGCCATTTAGTCAGACTCTCTGGCATGACCAAATGATGCTCCCCACCATGACAGCTCGGTTGGTAGCTACCACGGTGAGCATCGCAGGTCCAAGGTCCGTGGTGTTGGTGGTGTTGCTCGGTATTGCTGTCGGTTACTGCTGTACCCAGTTCACATAAGCAGGCTCTGTGGCCCGGCCTCGGGAATCGGACCCAAGGCCGCCGGACTTTGAAAGTGCGGGCGCTCCTTTGCGGCAACAACACCAAGATAAGGCTAGTTCTAGATTTGCGGCGTCTTTGTAAATTCCCACCAGTGATAAGTCGGGTTCCTCTGTCGCCAAATATGGCGCATTACTACAACTTGCCCCTCGTCAGCTTGCCCAATTCTAGAGTCCGAGTTGTCCCCTTGTCTTTTTGTTTTGGAGCGCGCCCGAATCACGGCGGGCGATACTCGTGTCATCGAAGCTGACATGCCCGCCGCCAGTTGCGAGCGCCGCCGACATCTCTATGGGCAACAAGATGATGCCCAAGTTTAGAGGCTCTCTCTGTCGACATGTCTCGATGCAGGCCGGAGTCAGAGGCTCGGACTAGTGTTGGACCCACGCAAATCAGCAAGTGGGCGCTTGATTTAACGACGTCAACAAAGAAGACAAGTCTGGTGACCATTCGAGAAGCGAATGACACGCCGAGTTTGTGATGCGCGATGCTCGACGTGGGCTGTTGGGCACCAGGAGATCGCATTTGGGTCGGCATGAGAGGGCACCTCATGGACAAAAAAAGCCGAACTCCAAGTGCAGATGTCGGCAATGGAAACTTCGAGTCCTCAGCTGGAGGAATATAACGAAAGTCATCCTGAAGCCCAGAGGAACTCCATTTGCTCCATTTCCTTTACTTTTACCCTCTTTCTTTCATTTGACTTAGTTTTCTCGATTTCTTTTCATTTGTTCTTTTTGCTTGATTTCTTGCTTTCCTTTCGAGTTCGGCTTTTTTTGGCCAGAGGGTGGAGGGGAAGAAAAGGTGGGGGTAGAGTCACTTGAGCCAAATGGTAAAAAGGCACCAAGGGCGGCCGTTGGGATTGCATTGGCCCTTTCTCACGCGTTCGTCCTCTGAAAATTACGTGCAGTTGCAGTTTTTTGGCGATGGCCATCCCATTGTCAAATCGTCAAACAGGCTTCACGACCTCAGGAGTGGAGGTGGACCGACGGGATCTCCGTCCGGCCCCGGCGATACGTGTGGCCGTCAAGTCGGGCTAGGCCGGGCGCGGCGGTGGGGAGAAAAAGTACCGACCTGTTCAGCCAAGCAACAAAGGACAATACCGAGAGACGTCGGAGTTGCAAAGGAAGGGGCTCTTTTATTGCTCTGTCCAAACCTCCAAAGTGTCAACCTAACTTCTAACTCAAATCACCCGCAGTAAAAATTCGCACAAGATGGTCTCCTCAGCGCATCATCACACGCATCAGAGGACACGCATGGTTTTGGTGTTGAAAAGGGCAGGACAAAAATGACGGCTCAACCAGTGGGCGCAAGGACTCATGGGTGGGGAGGGAGTAGGCAGGGGGATTGTCACGGGGGCGGGTGGGATGCGGCGCCGCCTAGTCCTCCTCGTCGCTGCCGGCAGCAACGGCCTTGGAATCGGCCTTTCCGACGGCGGGGGCCGCGACCTTACCGACACCCTTCGCAGGCACCTCCTCGTCATCGACATCATCTTCCTCTTCTTCGTCCTCCTCGCCCTCGGCCTCCTCGTCTTCCTCGTCTTCCTCATCAAACTCTTCTTCCTCCTCAACCTCGGCCCTCTCGTCCTTCCCGTGGCCATTCGCGGCCGTGCCGTTCTTCTGAGCCGCTTCGACGACGGGGGCCGTCTTTAGCTTCTTCTTAGGGGGGGCTTGTTCTTGGACAAGTGTCAGCCAGGCATGCACGGTGTTGAGGATGGCGCATTGGGGAAGAGGCGGGATCGATGGATCCAATGGGCCTCGATCGACTTCTTTCTCAGAGGCGTGCAGGGTGTGGGCCAAGTTGGCCAAATAGCTTACCTGGGGCGGCGTTCTCCTCGTCCTCCTCATCGCCCTCTGCACCTTCGCCTTCCTCGCTGTACTCCTCCTCTTCCTCGTCTTCCTCGTCATCGATCTCCTCTTCATCGTCATCCTCTACATACCTAAGCTTTCGTTAGCAACTTCTTCTGGGCTGTGACTTGACGTCAAGGCGAGACGCCGGTCCGGCGCGCCTGAGCACGCTACCCAACCAATCCCGAGACAGCCGACGGAAACAAGTTGAGCGCACGTCTTGCGCCGAGAGGCGCCAGCAAGCTAGCTGATACCCGAATATTCCGGTTGTTGTCGTAATCACCCATACAAGAGACACAGAGACACCGGGCTTTTTTTTTTTTTTTTTTTTTTGGCAGAAGCCTGGGGATGAGTCGGATGACTTACTCTTCCTCCTCGTCGCCGCTGGGGAGCGAGACGAGCTCTTCCTCCTCCTCTTGCTTTCTCTTGCGGCCCGTCATTGTGGGAATGCGGCTCAAACGGTGTCAATTGCCAAGAAGGTCGGTGTTTGATGACGCAGAACGGCGGCGTTGGATGGGGAGATGGGCAGAATCGCGCTGGGTTGGGAGGAGACAGAAGAAGAGGGAGGCTACGAGGAAGGCGGTTTTCCGGGGGCGTGGACGGGCAAAGGCTGGGAGCTCTGGCAAAGCGGTACGTACCCGGGGTACCACTTCGCCCAGACCGCACTGCGCGCCGCAGAGCTGCTGCGGGGAACGGGGAGCGGGGAGCGACCTGAGCTGAGCGTGGCGGGAGCTGTTGGTTGTGGCAGGGGCGAGGGGCATGGGAAGCTGACGCCTCAGGCATCAACTATTCCGAAGAGAGACAGGGGAGTGCCCGAACGGTGCGAGGTCGGCGGCGCCCCTCCACTTGACTCCGCGCGAAACTTGCGAGTGTTCGCATTTGATCGCGAGAGATCCGTCTTCTCGAGCTCCACGAATGGCATGACGGCGCATTCACACAGTTTCTCGAGGTTGGAGTTGAGGGTGAGATATTGTGGCCTCAGGCAAGAACATAAGCGATGGAAGCTCTCATTTCAACCGTGGCCGGGGTGGGTCCTCTCTCGTCACCCCTCGGCCCCTCCTCCATTGGAAGCTTCCATCTCATGCCCGTCAACGCCGTCTGTTGTTGTCCGTCCTTGACGAGCCGATCTTCCAGGTTATACACACCTTGGCGACCCCCTTCTTCCATGCTTCCAATTCTAGCCCCCTTTCTTCCATTCCTTGAGAATTCGGCTCAAATTAGCCATCCTCGAGTTCGGCGGATACGGGTAGTCGAACTCGACATCGGCCTGCCACGGTTCCAGAGGGAGACCACCCAGGCCGAGGCGCTCTATCCATCCCGGAAGCACCGCGTTCTTGAGCTCGTCGACCGCTTTACCCATATACCATGTCCCGGATAGCGTGCTTCTCCGCGCCTTTATTTGGTCCATCACCACACGCAGTTCTCTGATGGTATCCTGAACCGGGGGGAAGGTGACAAAGGCCAAGTCCGCCGTTTCCCGGGCATCATCCCACTCAAGATGCCACCATGCGGATTGGTTACCGTCGAGGGAGCGGGCATGCTGCCGCAACTCGTCCTGAAGCGCGCAGGCGCGCAGCATCTTCGTGGCCATGTTGGCGAGCATCCAAGACTGCGGCCTTAGCCCTAGGCGGAGAGAGTGGAAAGTGTGGAGGGCCCGATTGAGTGTCTCCGTGCGCCGCACAATACCGTCCTTGGATAAGTGGCCGGCTATGCGTTCACGCAGCGAGATGCCCCCACGTTCCCCGACGGCCGCTCCGACCCGGTCCCTTATTCCCTCGGCTAGGACCTGCACGTGCGACAGGAAAGACTCGACATCACACAGAGCGTCCCAGAGCCCCGCCAGAGAGTTGTAATCAGTCGGGTCGGCGCCGCCGGTCAGGTAGTGGCGCATCTTGACTGTATGGTCGCCGCTACACCGACTCTCCGCGACGGCACGCAACAAGTCGTGCGCATGTTGGTCTCGGCACAGCCCGTGAGCCCCTTGGACCCCGCCGTTCATACCGAGCGCTACACGATGCTCCGACAGTGTTCCGTGGATCGGCTTCAGCTGCGAAAGCGCATCGGGTGAGATCGTGAGGCTCGAGAGAAGCTTGGGAAGGGCCTGTCGCCGGCCCCCGTCGTACTCGACCAGTTCCTGAAAGGTTGGGGCCCGAGACCCAATCATCAACTGAGAAGGGTTGCTGGCGCTCTCGTTCTGGGCCGCGTCCCTGGCTTCCATCGTCTTGCTAACATCCTCCAACCACGCCATCATTCTTGACTGCTGAGCTTCACCCAGCCAGGAACTGACCCTGAAACCCAAACGGCCCCACATACGTCGAGCAATAGTCAGGAAGTCGCGCCCATTCTTCTGGCCGAGGCGAAATAAGGGGCCTCTTAACAAGGGGTACTCCGGGTGCTCACGGTCTAACCCAGCGGCCAGCAGATCTGTGGCCGCGTGGAGGAGCACCGGCCACAGAGTATTCAGCATCTCCAGCGTGACGGTGACGTTCACGTAGTCGACGATGAAGGGCGCCTTTTCGGCCGGCAAGCGCGTCCCGTGCTTGCGGGACCGATCATCCGGCGGGCCGATCCCTGGGTATAGTGTGGTTTCTGGGAGCCACGAGGCGACGTTGACCCGAACAAGGCCGGGCGCGTCGAGCGCGAGGGTGACGTTGAGGTCGCGGTGAGGATTCTCGATGGAGTCGGACGCGTTTGCGTATAGCTCGGAAACCATGGCCAGATCGGCGACCGGGAAGGGCTTCGCCCTGATACTCACGGTTTCTGGACGCAGCCTCGAGATGGCGTCGGGCGAGGGAGCAAGCAAAAAGATGACGCAGAAAACGGCTACAAGGGCGGCAGTAAAAGCGTAAAGAAAACAACCAAAGTGTCGACACGGCCCGGTGGCATCGCGGTGGTTACCCCGGGCTTCGTTGCGCCATCGGGACTTTTCGCGGCTGCCGAGCCCGGCCGCCGCTGCCGAAGGCGCGCTGGGCCCGGCGTTGCTGGAACCATGGCTGGGGCGGCTAGATGAGTGGTGGGTGGCCACCATGTCCGCTATCCCGGCGGCGGGGTCATGGCGCTGATTGTTGTGGTTGCGGTGACGACGGCGATAGGGCTGGTCTGGAGCGGCGGAATACATGTAAAAGCTCAGATCTGGTTGTTGTTAGATGCCGGTACGGGTCAGCAAGGGCAACTTGTTGTGCTGTAGTAATGTGTGAGGCAGGGTGCAATTTCGCAGAATATCTCGCGTCCAGACAAACAACAAGAGGAAAAGTGTGTGCACGAGAGAAAAAGGCTAAACCTTTGGAGTTGCTGAGGCGGACTCTCACGAAGAAGGGGCTGGGAAGCAAGCTCGACATTGACAAAGACCGTCGTCAATCACCAAAGCGGCCCGCCCCAGTGACACCCGGATTCGGCAAAGAAAATATCACATCAGCCACATACGGCTAGCACAGCATGCCGCATGGCTCGTGGGGCGTATACATACGTGGTACAGCGTAGTACAAGAAGACATCGCTCACAGCAACTGCTTGCCCAAGTGGAAAATAATTTATCGTATTTTAGAAAACAAGAAAAGCAAAGGTCACGTTATGTAACCCGATATGATAATATTTAGTTAAATTATAGGCCCCGTCCCGCTTCCGGCTTCCGCGAGCGAGTGCCCGATTTTTACTCGTTCCAGTTAAAGAAACTCTTTGATAGTTGCTCTCCATTCCTCAGCCAAACCCACTACTTGCTCGACAGCCGACAGGAGCTCGGCCCGGTCCATCCCCTCGTCCAAGAGGCTCTTGATCTCGCCGAGGATGCGCGTGGTGGATTCCACCCAAACTTCCTGTGTCCTCATAAACTCGATCAAATTCCCAAGTCTTGCTTTGGAGTGCAATAACGAACTTTGAAGCATGAACCACGTCGCCTCGGCCACGTGTAGTGTCCGGACGAATAATGCCGCCTCGGGGTCGTCTAGGGAGAGCGGCTTCTCGTGCTCCTCATCCTCCCCACTGCTCGCTGAGAATGGGCTGGCAGCGTCGGCGCGGATGCGCATGTTGAGGTTTTCGATGCCCTCCTCAAAGAGAAGTCCAGGGGCACTACTAGTGTCGATTTCTGAAAGCGCATTCTGAACAGTATCGATGTGTTTCCTGAAGAGCGGGTATGTTGATGTATGATACTGGAGGAGAAGCGAAAATCGGTGCACCGCGCGCTGGAGACTTTCCCGTTGTCGTTTCAGTTCGAGGTCCTGTAGGGAGCTCGACTCTTCGTCCTTTGCGGGCTTGTTGATCTGGTCGCGGAGTACATCGGCGGCGCTATTGGCAACATGCAAGACCGTATTGTCAAGAGGCGTATCCGTGTACTCCATATGCATGGAGAAGGCTGTTGTGATCAATCTGCTCTGCTTGTTGGCCTCTTCCAAAACGCGCTCCCAGTTCTCCTGGAAACGGGGACTGGCATCCAGACCCCTGGGGTCTTTGTTGGAAAATACAACACTCGCAACCTGGGCGGCGCCATTTGCGGACGCAGCAGACAATAATTCGGCAATTATTGAAGACGGTGAAGACGGTGAATCTGTTCCCCCCCCTGTGGTGGTAGTGGCCGTCGACGTGGAATGACCGATGTAAATGCATAGGATGGCGCACAGTAGGGCCTGCCGAGAAGATAGCCTGAAAACGCGGTGGCACAGCGAGCTTAAACCAGCCGTGAAGGCCGTGGCGAGCGCCGGTAGCATCGTGTCGGTTGATATGCGATGTGTCTCCGAACTGCCTATTGGGTAGGGTAGGTATGGGAGCGAGTGAGAGTGCATGTTTGTGACATATTATTAAATAGGAATATCTGAGGCCGAAGGCGCCGTGAATAACTCCGATGAACACTAGATGTTCAGGAGGAACATTCTCAGTACCTGAACGGCGGGAGAACATCCCCTTTGTCGACGAACTCCCAGTACAACAAAGTGAGCCCGCTGGGCGGTAGCAGTTGCGCTTCATGGTATCTCGCAAGTAGGAGCCTCGTTAAGCGGCTAAGTGGCAGGACAATTTCGGCCCCAGCCAGATCAACTGCTTCTACCTATGTACATACATACGGGTTGAGATACAGACGTGCTCGTGTGACCGACCACAGGCACGACAAAGACGTTCCGGCTTAGGAAGCTCGGGGTCGGGCGACTTGATACAGTATACTTGGAAAAGGTAGCAAACTTTTATTGTGTTTTTTACAAACCAACAACTCATGAAACCTCCATAGCCGTCAAAAATTACAGCTGATGGCTATTTGATTTAAACATGAGGGTGTTTTCTCCATTGCTACCTACCTACCTAGTGCTCACCCTTCGGTGTTCGTTAACCCTTTGTTTCGCCCGTCAAATCATCCCAGGACAAAGAGATTTTCGTGCTAGCAGGGGGTTTCAACATGCATTTTGGAATTCTCGTCCACACTGGACGTTTGTCAGTTTGCCCGATTTACTGTCTGGTGTATATCAATATGTTATGTACACAAAGCTGATCAGAAGTTTGAGGTCGGCGGGGGCGCTTGACTTGCTTGCTGGGTCACTTGGGAGAGGCCGAGAGAATCGCCATTGCTGACGATGGCTGCTTCAATCTCGTCGAACTTTCTGGCCGGTTGTAGGGGGCTTGGTCAACAATGGGGTCACGGGTTGCCATGAAGGGCATCGGTTTTTGTTTTTCTTCGCAGATGCAATAAATAATATTACATTAACATGGTGTTCAGGTAGATTAACTGAACTGCGTGCGTGCGTGTTGTGCAAGGGTCGCTTATGAACTTTGATAATCAACTCGCAAGCTGCTGAATGCTGCGAGCGTTGCTTTGCCCGTCAAGCCCACCTCGAGTCCGTGTAACACAATTCTGGCCCGTAAATACTTGGACGGTTTGTTGTGACTGAGGAGGACTTGAGCTCACCTGCGGCAGAATGTTGGCAGGCATTGGCTCTGTCAGTTGTTGCGGGCTGACAAAGCGGGGCTGTTGAGAGGAGCCTCGAAACATTGACGATGGCCCGGGGAGCTCGCAAGAGCTGGGCCGCGGAAGCAAGGGACGCTGGCCGGGTTGCGACGCTGCAACTTGCCAAGGTGCAGGTGCTGCAAACCGCAAACCGAGATGCTCCAAGTCAATTCTGGAAAATTTCATCGAATCTTCCCCAACGGGACAGGGCTGGGGTAGGAGCAAGGGGCACCTTGGGGTGGCCAGGAGACGGTTGCCTAAACGAGACTAGTTAGACCCGGGTACCATGGAAGTGACCCGGAAGCCAGGAAGCTTCGTTCACAGGCTGGAGCATCAGCAACCTTGGATCTGACGGAGAGTGAAGACAGCGTGACAGTCCATCGGCCCCTCTGTCGGCCGCAGCTGCGAGGTTCTCTGGGTAGTGTAGGGAGTTACCTGTCTTGACATTCCTGGAGGAGTCGAAGGATACCTCCCACCAATCGCCGTTTGACGCTCCTGTTTTCGCCCCTGAAACTGGCAGATTTCCGGGTCCAAGCTGCGTCTGGGCAACTCCGGTCGTTTGGGTTGTTGCTTTTGGTCCGCAAAATTATGCTTCTAGCCAATGGTAGGTTGCGTCGTTGTTCACGCGAATTGCTTCAATTCGTTCGAGTGACAGCCGTCCGAGAGAGAAGCAATCGGAGGCAAGTGCAACTGACACAGGTGGTGGGATGTGACTCGCCTTCCTGGCTCACCGGCTCCGAGGGAATTTGAAGCACAAACCCACCATCGATTGGGGCTTTTAAAATTCCCCTCACTCACTCTCTCAATACTTCGGAGTTCCACGTTCCAATACAGATTACCTTCAACCACCCAGACCAACAGCCAGCCCGCCCTCCCAGGTCGTGGAATCCCAGCATCTCATCCGAGAAGACGCCCCGCAACTCGACGACTTTGCCCTCCTGAGCCTGGGCTGTTCCGGTGCATGCGTGAGTGTGCTGACAGCCAACAAGCGGCAGTTCGCCCGCACCGCTGCGTCGGCACAGACACGGCAGCCCGCGTCTCGTGCAACCAACCAGGAGGCCTGTGTCGGACGTGCAGCAATTTATCTCGCTGCAAGGGCATCCGATTGCTCCAGCATCCGATGCAAATGCCCACTGAGCTTGGGCGCTGAGAAAACAAAGTCATCCGAGCGGGATACCGACAATGGCGACGCCGAATATCTCGGCCATCTTCATTTGAGACGAGCAGTTCCGTCCCGTTGTTTCCGTCCTTTTTTTCGTTGCTGGAACCCGGACTCCTCTTCACTGGTATGCTACCCGAAATCAAGTGCGCGGGTTGCGACTAGGATCCCAGGCCAACCCCGGCACCAAATCCCAACGCTCCATCGCTGCGCTGGGACCTGCATCCGGGCCCGGCTGGACTCATTTGGGACCTGATCGGACCTCGCGACGGGGAAAAAGATTAATAAAATCTGGCGCCGCTCGATGATATTTTCGCCGGTCCTCCGCCCGTTCCGTTGGCCCGTCTCCTTTCGCAACGGCCCCCGGCAATGTTGGACCATCACGACTCGACCGACGGCGCTGCTGGCGGCGGAAGGGGCTATCCCGAGCAGCAGTATCAACGGCCAAACCCAAGACGCGGTGGACCGGGGCCGTATGCACCACCACCGCCCAGGTTGCAGTCAAGGCCGCAGTGGCCGACCGCCGGACCCTGGCCGAAACACGATGACGCTGATGCTGCAGATGCGTTCGAGCACCCTCCCCAGCGCCGACCTTTCCGCTTGCAAAACCCCCCACCCGGCCCAATGCGTCCTTCAGGTTCGCGCAGGCCGACCCTCGAGCTGAAATCCAACGTACATGTGCCTCCAGATCTCGCTTCCGCCCGCAGCGATTCGTTCTTCTACAGCTCCAGGCCGGCCAGACCCTGCCCAAGTCCGACCCCAACCATATCGCATTTCCAGCCCGTTCACAGAACGAGGGCGGAGTCGTCACCCACGCAAAGACCGCCACGAACCGCCTTCCCGGGCCTGTCGTCCAATCCGTTCATCCCAGAATCGCCCGAGGTAGAGACATCCTCCACCGAAATGCGAAAGTTTCCTCTCCTTGCGCGACAAAATGAGCAAATAGCACCGGTCTCGAACCTTGAGTCGCCCGTTGACAGCCGGCAGACGACGCCAATCGAACCCAATATGGTGGTGGAAAATTTCTCACGGCCGCGGAAAACCAGTGTCAGATCGCAGCAATCAGACGGTGCCCTGTCGCGGCGCATGGTGGGACACCGGCTACACGCCGAGCCGCCGCTGTTGGATCAGCCGCCGCCGCCAACCAGCAACCCACAAGGGCCAACGAGTTTCAGTTCGGCCCCAAATCCGTGGCCGAGAACCCGTCGGCTTTCTGGCTCTTCTTCCCAGTCCTCCAGCACCTTCTCCTCAATCCCACCCCGTCCGAGCAACGACGGCCTCAACATTGCTCCGAGAAGCGATTACTCAAGGCACCCAAATGCAGGTATCATCGCTCCGACGCCCGTCTTCCCGAGGCCACCGCCGGCCCACCACAACTACAGCGGCCCTTTTCAGACACACCTCCGGGAGATCCCCCCGTGGCTAGCGGCCGGTGACGAGCTTCGGTCGAGTTTTCGGTCGCAGTTCACTTCCTCCACGGCACAGGGGACCTTTTTCACCGCGAATGGGACCGAGAGAAATAGCGTTTTGACCAAGGCGAGCAGCGTCACGGAGCAGTCCATCATTAACGGATATGCCCGGAGGAGTTGGCGAGCGAATTCCGTGGATGACGGCCCGAGCTTGGAGGACGTAATGGGCATGTACGAAAGAGGTTTCAACGACTCGGATATCGAGAGCCTTCGTCGCAGCATGAGGTTTACCGAAGACGACGACATCCCCGAAACCGATCCCAACTTCGAGGTGCCACCGATAGAAGGTTCGCGACCGGCCAGCTGCCATTCCGACGCGAGCGGGTTGCGGGCGAAGATGCTGGAAGCAATGGGCGACAGCCTGCCAGCTTCCAAACCACTTCCGATACCCGAATCGGGATGTTCAACGGCGAGGCAGTCGAGGACCCGACGCTCGCTATTGCCGAGTTCGTTACCGAGTGAGGTCGGCCTGGGCCTGGCGACCGAGCAAATACCGAGACGGGACAAGGCCGAGTCGGATACCGTAGAGAAACACGACTCCGCAAAGCTGCTGGATGGCGACGAAGATTCGGTAATCCCTCGGGAGACAACTTCCCAACCGCCCACACCGACCTCGCCAACCTCGCCAACCTCGCCAGTGCAGGCGCAATCCCCAAAGGCTGACCTGCCTTCGCCGCACGCCACCACGCCGCCGGTTATCCCTCGCCTGCCGCAGGAACCGCCGGAAGAGCCGGGCAGCCGTGATCGGTACGGGTTCCGAAAAGCCAGTGCTAATGTCAGCCGCCAGGAATATGATGCCTGGGACAGTACGTACAGCGAGTACCTGGCTCGGAGACGCAAGAAGTGGATTGCATTCCTCAAGGACAACTCTCTAATGACAGACCGGCCAAACCGATTCCCCCCTCATAGTGCAAAGACAAAGCGCTTTATCCGGAAAGGAATACCACCAGATTGGAGGGGCGCCGCCTGGTTTTACTATGCTGGAGGGCCCGCTATTTTGAGTAAACACCGTGGGGTTTATGACCAGCTGGTGCAGCGAGCTGGCCTGAAACCGAACGGCGCAGGTGTGGCACCTCACCAACCCGGCGAGGTGAAGCCTCTGGTCGTCGAGGATATCGAGAAGGATCTTTACCGGACATTTCCTGATAACGTGCGGTTCAAACCGCCACCGCCACCCGCTGGAACGAGCTCTGCTCCGCCGGCCCCATCACCGCCGGCTACTGAGCCCGAGATTATCGCGTCGCTTCGGCGCGTCTTACACGCCTTTGCGCTTTACAACCCGCGCATCGGCTACTGCCAGTCCCTGAACTTCCTCGCGGGGCTGCTGCTCCTGTTTGTCGAGACCGAGGAACAAGCCTTTTGGCTGTTGAATATCATCACCCGAGTCTACCTGCCGGGGACGCACGAGATGAGTCTCGAGGGGTCCAAGGTTGACTTGGGCGTTCTGATGGTTGCGTTGAAAGATTCCATGCCAGGAGTGTGGAAACAGATCGGTGGCGACGAGCTCGAGGCGGGCAAAAAGAACAGAGGGCGGCGGAACAACAAGTCAGCGCATGGTGGCAACCCCGGCAGCATCAGCGATCCCAACCGCCTCCCCGCCATAACGCTGTGCATGACGGCTTGGTTCATGTCCTGCTTCATCGGCACCCTCCCCATCGAAGCCGTGCTCCGCGTCTGGGACGTGTTTTTCTACGAAGGCTCGCGCACCCTGTTCCGTATCGCCCTGACCATTTTCAAGCTCGGCGAGCGCGAGATCAAGGCGGTGCAGGACCCGATGGAGATGTTCGGCGTCGTGCAGACCTTCCCCCGCCGCCTGGTCGACTGCAACTTGCTCATGGAAACGTGCTACAAGCGGCGCAACGGCATCGGCCACCTCAGCCAGGAGTCGGTCGAAGAGAAGAGGCAGGAGCGGCGGGAAGGCATCCGCCGGTGGAAGACGGAGCAAGAAGCCGCTGCCAGCGATACCAACAGCCCGCGGCCCTCGACGAGGCAGCGGTTCGGCGCGGGGGCGCTGGGGCTGGACCTGGCGGCCGACCTCGACGAGGTGCGCCGGAAAGCCACGCTGTTCGGGCGGCGAAAGGATCGCGAGCAGGCCCGAGCTGCCGAGGTGGCCTAGCGTGCGCCCCGGCCTCTGTCGACCATGCCCCGGGATCGCTGACGTTGGACTGACAGTCGCTCATTTATTTATCCAATTTTTCCTTTGTTACAAGGCTCGCGTCGGGGACGCTTTCAATTCTTCGCTGCCACCAGGCCTCCACCTCCTTGGCCCGCTCCTTTTGGTATTTTCTGGACAATATGTAAGATTGCCTAGGTTGCGGCGACGGGGAGGGCTGGTGAATGCTTCGTGTAAATTTTTAAGTGTTTTATTATTCCTGGAACGGGTCCTCCGTCTAGCGAGCTTGTCATCATTTGGTAGCGTTTTCTTTTAGTTACGGGCATTGGCATGGCATGGCATGGCATGGCATTGGGAAGGCGGAGAAGATGGGCGCCGGTCTCCTTGATAGAGGAGAAGGAAAAAGAAAAGGCTACTTCAAGTTTTTTTTTATGTCTGGAGGAGCGGGCTATAACTGGATACAAGAGATCAGGGGACGAAAATGGGCGACATCGCATCGTGGATGGCGACAGATCATGGTAGATGAGCAATCAAATAAGATATACCCTCTGCCAGTGTGTCCCGTGGCTCTTCTCCTTGTGCACGCGCCGCCAAACCTCGCATGTCCACTACCAAAAGGGGCAAAAACAAAAACAAGACGCAGGGGCGCAGGGGCGCAAGGGGTCGTGGAAGCGGCAAGAGACATTATTCAATTCCATGTTATGTATCCGCTGCGCTCTCGATGAGCCCATCAGTTTGTTGTGTCCTGTGCCCAGAGTTACGGCTGACATGGTTGGCGGGTTCCCTCCGCCACCTTCACCGATTAAGCTGGTCAGCCGTATCAACAGAAACCACCTGCCTCCTTCGCCTCACCACAGGCCTCGTGCGCGAGGGGTTGGAAGACTCCTGGCGCGCCTCCTGTTTGCGTTACTGTCCGTATATTCCTTGTGACTTCGCGATCCCGCTCCGCAATGTTGGCATGCTTGCTGTCCCACAGGAACCTCGCCAGCAGGATGACCAGCTGAGCGAGTAGCTGCGAGATCAACCCAGCCGTACGAGTCGAAGCTGGCTACCACCGAGCGACATCCAAAACCAAGACCTCTCTACGGCCCGCCGCTCCCACTCCCACCCCCACCACCACCACCCGCCGTAGCAGCAGCCCCCTTCTTATCATCCCCCCCTTCACCCGCCGCGGCAGCGGCAGCAGCAACATCGAAGCGGACGGGCCCCTTGGCGTAGCGCTGGACGTAGGCGCGGGCGTTCTTGTCGAACTCCTTGCGGTCGGCGCGGAACTCGTCGGCGATGCGGGCCTCGAGCGGGTCGTCGGGCTGGGGCTCGACCAGGAGGGCGCGCACGGCCTCGAGCACCCCCGCCAGCCGCGTCGACGGCTTCCAGTTCTCCGCCTTGAGCGGGCCCAGGCAGATGCTGCCCAGGTTGTCGTTGGTCACGTTGGGGTGGTAGATGCGCGTCGCGAAGGTGACGGTCGGCGCCCGGAACGGGTAGTCCACGGGCAGGGAGACCACCAGCCCGAACTTGCCCCCCGCGTACACCGTCCCCTCCGGGCCCTCCACCGTCACGTGCCATTTGTGCAGGTCCGAGTCGTCGGGCAGGGTGATGCTGATGCCGGCCGGCGGGGTGGTGGTGCACTCGGCGAGCTCCTGTGGGGTGGGGTTTTTGGTTAGGATTGGGGTTCTGCAGTGGGGGGTTTCTGGCGCCGTACATACCTTGGCGATGCGCTTGTTCTGGGACGCCATTTTGCGATGTCTGCTCCTCGCTGATCGGGATGGCTTGTCGTGATTGTGCTCTGAATCAAGATATCACTGAGAGCGAAGCCGGGTTTGTGGTTTGGTTGTGGCTTGTAGAGGGGACAAGAACAAGGTGGGAGGGTCGACCGTTTGCACCAGACCGTGTGACGTGAAGGGCAAAGAAAGGGTGGGATGGTTAGGTTGAAAGACAGGGTATTTTTACCAGGGAGAGGGAAAAGGGTTGCTCTGTTGGTGCCACGTTTTTTAATTGAGAGTTGGGATCAAGAAACAACGAGTGTTGACACAGGGCCTCCAATGCAAGGCAGTCACGGTCGTCAAGCAGTCATCGTGACGCTAAAGCCAGGCAAGCAATGGAGGGAGCAAGGTGGGGTTGAGCTCAGGATGACACGCGGGGTTGCCAAGAGCTAAGCTGCGGCTCTCCGCCAGCCAAGGAGAGCTCAAGACGTCCTTTCCTTTAGTTGTTGGGGTTGTGAGCCAAAGGACGTGTCAATGATTGCGGGAAAGGCGTGACAATCATGGATGTAAAACGATCCAATTAATCACCGGACAAGCAGGGCATCCATAAGGGAGACAACTTTTGTTTGTCAATTTCTTATCCGTAGAACCATGTTTGTTTGGTGGGCACTGGTACTCCAATTCCAAAGCCGGAACGCCTTTTAGACTGTGGTGACAACAGTCCGCCCCGGAAACTCCGTAGAACGAAACCATCTCCCATTGACGATGGATGCTGAGAACCCGTTCCCGCAAAGCGATAACCATATACCGTGTATGTGTCCAGTTTGCCAAAACTAAACTCATTGCTCGTCCTCCTCCTCAAGCTCCTCACCCTCTTCATCTTCCTCCTCCGTGGCATCAGCGTCTCCTGCTACCGGGCCTGGTGGTGCAGGCAGAGCACCCTCTTCCGGCCCCTCTCCGCCGTCCCCATGCTCTTCCTCCGTTTCTTCATCCTCCCCGATCTCATCATCTCCGCCATCTTCCTCGCCGGCCCCACCTTCTTCCTCCAGCTCAGCTTCTCCGCCCTCTTCCCCTTGCCCCCCCTCCTGCTCGCCTTCATCCCCACGCCCATGCTCATGCTCATGCTCCATTTCCTCCCCCTCCTCCACTTCATCCCCACTCTCCTCCTCCGTACTCTCCCCATCCGCCGGCCCCTTCACCGTCCCAGCATCCACACTCCGCCTCAGATTCGGAAACAACAGCGACGGCGGGATATCATCCTCATAGTCCGCCGGCACGTCACTGAGATCACTCTCATCATCCGCCGAGTCATGCACACTACCAGGCGGGCTCGAGATATCGCTGCCCTCCTCCACCCCATCCCCACCACCATCACCACCACCATTCAGCGTCGCCCTCCGCGCCACAACCCCCGCCACACCACCACCACCACCACCACCACCCGCCCCTCGCTCATCACCCACATCCTTCATCTCCACATCCCCCTCCTCCGCCTCCTCCTCCCCACTCTCCTCCCCACTCCCAGCCGCGCGCGCCCCCGCCAGGGCACTCGACACACTACCCACCCTCGACCTAGCCTTAGCGGCGCCCGCGGCGCCGGCCCCGTTCCCGGCCCCGCCCCCCGCCGAGCGCGGCGGCACCTCGGCGGCGCGCAGCACGGCCTGGACGGCCTGCTCGGCCTTGCGCAGGATGTTGGGCCGGCGGATGCCGCCGCCGGTGCGGCCCGAGGAGGCGGCGGCGGCGCGCGGCGGGGCGTCGCCGGCGAGGGAGTGCCGCTCCGACTTGTCGCGGTCGGGCTGCTCCGAGCCCGCGCGGAGGGAGCTTAGGGCTGAGGGGGAGGGGTCCTTGTCTTTGTCGCGGGTGATGAGGGCGTGGAGGAGGAGGTTGGTGGATTTGGGGTTGTTGTTGCTGTTGGTGGTGTCGGGTTTGGATTCGCTGTCCTCTGCGGGGTGGTGGGGGAGTTGTTTCTGTTGTTGGTCGGGGTCTAGCAGGTCGGGTTTGACGTGTAGGTAGATGGCCGCGTAGCAGTCCGTGATGAGATCGTCGATGGGGCCCGCTTTTATGAGGTTGGAGTTCAGCTTTTTGAGTTCGACAGCCTCCTTCATGGCGGTGAGGGCGGCGTTGTCCTCTGCCGCGGGCGTGGTAGACCAGCTGGTTATCTTTTCGCCCACCGCGTCGAAATCTTCCTGGCTGAGGGCTTTGAAGGCGTCCTCGGACGTGAGAGGCACCTCGAAGGTCCGACGGAGGAGCTTGACATAGGCCAGAACGCCGAACTGCCACATTTCGTTAAAGTGGTAAAAGTCGGCGCCCTTTTTGCGAATGCGGCGAAGCACGGCCTCGAGGCTGACACGATCTTTCATGACGTCCAGCACCCGGACCATGTATCGGATGTACTGCTCCGTGTAAACGTGGTGGCGGCCCGGCCGCTCGGCGTCGCACTTCCACACGTTCATTACCATGGTCTTGGTGAACATACTTTCTCGTAGTACGTTGAAAGCGGACTTGGCGGCAACCGAACTTCCGCTATCGCTAGGGTCGGTATCCTCGTCGAACAGGATGCGCGCGTGGCGCATGATGATGCGGTGTTGCCAGTTCGACTTGTCTTTATCGCGCAAATGCTTCAAGCATCGCACCACATACTCTTCCCAGTCCTCGGCATTGACGACGGTCACTTCCTGGCCACGGTTTGGTGCGTATGGTTGGCGTTGTAGAACGTTTGCGGCCGCCTGGGTCTCGATATCGCCTCGCATGACGAGCTTGTGCATAACCGACACGATTTTGTAGTGCGGTTCCAAAGTCGGATCCTGACCGTGCCGGGGTTTTGGTAGCGACGAGACAACTGCAATTGTCTTCTCGAGCGCGTCAAGGACGGTCTGGACGGTCGGACGACGCAGGCGGTTCTTCTCGTCAAGTTCCTCTGGAGGCTTTTGGTACATCTTCCAGAGACACTTGGCAACCATGTACGGGTTCTTCCAATCTTTGGGTTTTCCCACCATCGCCTTCCTAAAGAGATGAGCCGCAAACTTCCAAACTTGATAGTCTGTCATTTCGTTGTGCAGGATCCTCTTGAACGTGCCCGCACCCTCGGCCTCGATGAAAAACCGGTTCTGGTCAGCGTGCTGGAAGGGCTCCATGGCAAACGGGCTCCGGCTTGACGAGTACATGCGCATCCCGAATTCGTGGAACATGTCGTACAGCGCTTCCTCGTCGTCCTCTAAGGAGGTAAGGACCGCAGGGTCCGACGCCCACGCGTACGAATGGGACAGCGCCATGATATAGCTGTGGATGGCATTCCGCTGGAACCTCACGAGCTCGGCGCGCTCCTTATTCATCTTGTCGGCAGTCCACAGGACTGACTCATCCAGCTCGTAGTCAAAACACTCGGCCAGGCGAAACCAGGCATCCCAGCGGTCCGGCGTGTACTGGAGCTGCAGCCGCAAGAACGTGGCCCCGATGCGCAGGTCATCAGTAGCCCCCGGCGTCTGTCGCCGGTTCAAGTCGACGCCCTTGAACTTGGTGAGAGCAATCATCCCAAGAAGGAAGAACCAGCCTTGCTTGGCCGGAACGCTCTCGGGGGTATTGATAGTGACAGCGTCTAGATCCACGCTGCCCGTCAACGCCTGATAGAGATGTAGCGGGTGGATCGGCGCTTTGAGGTACTCGGAATAGTTGCGGAGGTTGTGGGCCATTTGGGGGCTTGACTTGGCAGATCCAATCGCCTGCTGCATCCGCTCGATGGTCGTTTTGAGATCCGACTTCAGCAAGTCTTTCATCGACATCCTGTTGGCCAGCATGGTGACCTTGCCGACCAACTGCAGCGCTTGACGTTTTTCCAGGTTTTCAGGCTCGCAGCCGTGGTCTTGCACCTCCCAGATTCCCACCCCGAGCTTCAGGCCGTGCAGATCGTAGAGAACCTGGCCAAGGTAGTCTTCCCAGTTATCGATGTTCTTCTGCTTCAGAAGCTCTACGCGCATCATCTTGAGGAAGATCTTGTTGGATGATTTGCAGCACTTGCGAAGTCCCAACACTTGGTGCACCGCGGCCAAGTAATCGGCGAGATCGTTTTCGGGCTTTGGGAATAGCTCGGGATGCTGGTTCAGTCCGACCTTCAGCATGGTGTACTGGAGAGACCATGTCCGTACTTGCATCTCCTGGAGCTTGTTGAGGAATGACCTTAGGCCTGAGGTGCTCGATATTGCAGGCTTCATGCCAATGCGCGTCTCGTCTTCGAACATTGCGGCTACATGCAACATACAGCTGACCTTGGCAAGAGCAGACATGCTCGACCTCAAGTGGTCATCATCCATTATGTCGAAGGAGCTGTTGTCGTTCAAGGCCAGGTGCAGAGATTGGATGATGAGGTCGTCGAGTGCTTTTAGCAGACTCATGAACTGGTTTCTCCTCGGTTCATCAGGAGAGTGACTGTAGTCGTCGCTCTCCAGGTCCGATACGACAGTCTCAATACTCCGGAGGAAGCACGAAAACTGCTTGGTGGTATACTGAATCTTGCCGTAAGCCTCGCCGAGCCTGGACCATAGCAGCAGTCGCAGCTCCGTATTGCTGCTTTTAAGGAACTTCCACAGGTCTGTCAGCTCCTGGCTGGCGCACTCTGCGATAGGCAGCTTCCCTTGCTTGTCATTGGGAATATCGCCGCCAGCCTCGGCTTGTTTAAGGGTGGCGGGTATGGTGATGTAGACGCCCTCTGGGTTCAGGACGGGCTCCAAACTCTCCACGACGGCTACTGGGTTGCCACTGTCTTCCTGAAACAGACCCAGAAAGAAATCCATTGTTGTCAGCTTGGATATTTCGCGTTCCGCAGCAGCCGTTGATATTTCGGGCATGGTAGTGTTGTTGGCGAGGTTGACTTCCGCCGTAGCAGACCCGGCAAGAAACTCACGCAGGCTATGCCAGCAGTTAAGAACGTGGTCTCTTGGTGTGCCTTTGGCCATCGTAGTCGAGGCCACGGACGCCCAGAGAAAGCGGAGCGTGATAGGGTCATCCGGTGGCGGGTTTCGGAGTCTGGTGATCTCGCTAGCCATATCCATCCACCTAGCCACTCGGCATTTTGCTTCTAGCCTTGTGTCTTGATCCGCGGCACTGTTAGGATCCATGATGTGATCGTAGTCGTCAAGGTGAAGCTCGAAGAGGGTTTGGGCGAAACCTGCGAGCTCATTGATTGCTTCCCCTTGTCCATCTTTGGGAGATAGATCGAGGTCATGGGTGAAGCTGTCGTAGATGCTCCCTTCCAGACGGCTGGCGAGGTCTATCACGGCCGTTCTCAACTGGTCTGACCATTTGTACTCGGTGTAGGTCCCAACCAGGACTTTCACATATCTGTAGGCGACGTCATGTATGGTATTCCAGCCTTGGTTGGCGTCCTCCACAAAGCTCCTCAGGCCCCGGGAATCGTCAAACGCAGGCGTCTCCTGAGCCCGTTGTGATCCCGTCTTTGCATGCTCCAGAAAGGCAGAGAGACTGAGCTGAGGTAGCTCCCTTTTGCTCAGCAATACGGCTCCGGTATCGTCATCGAAGTGTGTTATCGAATCACAAAGATCAACCGTGGCCTGGTTTTGAATCTTGCCCGTCCGATCATCGGCGGCACAGGAGTCGAGCACCTCGGCGATCCTCCCGAGAGTTACCTGGTCTGTTACACCAAGGTTTTCTAAAAGATTCTTGGTGGTCTGAAACAAATTTTGATCGGCAGCCTGTAGTGGTTGGAGCTGGCTCGCGAGAAAAGTGGCGGAATCCATGACCTCTTCCACAGCGGTGTCCCTGCGTCTGGTTCGCTTACTCCTCTTCACATCCGCAGCATCGTCTTCAAGGGTATCGGGGATGCCAGCCGCCGACTGGGAGCGTTTCCTCGTCGAGGCGGAAGTACTGGGGTCCTTGGATGCCTGCTCGTCCGTTGGGTCGGATTCCGGTGCTGGCGCAGACGCTGATTCTTCGACCGCTGCTTCCTCGCCCGGCTGTTCTGCGATCGCCTCTTCTGTCTCCACCACTTCGTTTGGCGCATCTGATTGCGGGGAAGGCTCCTGGGGTTGTAGTTGCATGTCGACCTCCATCTGGACGTCCTCTTGTTCGCTCGTATCGGGTAGCTGGATCAGAACGGCTTGGCCCGCAAGCCCCTCCTCTGCGACGAAGCGCACAATGGCAGCGCCTAATTCGGACCAGGACGGTGTTGAGATTGGAAGGACAAGGCGGGGAGAATCGATTTCTGTATTCTGCGGTCCCTTGACAGCTAGACTTTTGGTGGGGTCTGGTAGGAATGGCATTGGGTCCATAAACCGAGCCAAGTACGGGGGCATCTCCCGATGCACGAATGGTGCCATGATCGGGTGGCTCAGCGCCATTTTGTCGCCCAGGACCTGGAGCTGTTGCTTGAGCTGCTCGCCAGCGAACCCCTCAGCCAGTGATGGCGGATCGACTTCCTCGACAGCCGGGTCATCCTCTAACTCGATGGCGGATTCCAGGCTATAGCGGTTGATGCGTGCGCTCTTCAGAAATGCGGCAACCCGAGCAGCCTTCCTCCAGAGTTCGGCGTCCGAGGGGTCGCGATCAAGTGCTGCACAAAAGTCCTCCAAGGCCCTCTGGGCGTCCTTCTGCGCCCCGGCGTCTTCGAGGAGTGGCTCCCTTTTCCGTTTGAGATTACGACTCGTATGTTTGATACGGTCAATGACGAACTGGCCGTGGTTTTTGTGAGACAAGTAGAGTGCTTGGGGAAGACTGCTGCCGATCCCGTCGACATCTGCGCCGACAGGGGGGAGGCCTTGGGCGAAAGCGGGCTCAATAGCGAGGTTACCATCTTGTCCTGCTTCAAAACGTTCGTAGTCGGTCTTGCTCTCTGGGTATTTGAAGATCTCGGATTCGAATAGCGCATCGTAGGCGTCGGCAGCTTGGTCGAAGGACTGGGGCCCTTGCGAATGGAGTTTGAGGGCATTCTGGAAGAGCTTGAGGGCATCGTCGACCTTGAAACGTGGGTCAGAATCATCCCAAACAGCAATAATGACACAGACGCATCATACTTGAAGGTCCTTCGTTGTGTCGACCTCCTCGTCGATGTTCTCCTCCGGTTCGACGTTGATGGCCGAGAAGGCGGCCTGCAGATGGAATCAATTAGCGGCAGTAAAGCAAAGAGAATGGTTGGGTTGTCAATCACCATCTTGTCGCGAGCCGTCAAAGTATCATATGTTGGTGTAGTTGTCGGAAAATGAGAATCGCAACATTAAAGTGGTCGGTGCTACAATTAAGTTCTCCAGGCTCCTTCAACCCGCATCTTCAATCAAGCACAGGCGCGGAAGACGCGACTGCCAAGCCGAAGCCAAGCTCATCGTGCAGTGCCTTTGGGAACTTGAAGTTGACGTTGACATTCGAGTGTGGCCCGAGCTCCTTCTACCTAGACCCTCTTTTCTTCAGATACCATTCCCCGCCAAGAACCCCGGTGCGTGGTCGCAACACCTAACCAGCCTTGGAACCGAGCTGGGAAGCTGCCCAGAACCCCCCAGCCGCGAAGCAAGCAAGCCAAAACCGCCCTGAGACATTGGAAGGACAGGGGACTTGGAGAACACGACGACAGCAACGACCCAAACACATCCAGCCAGCGGTAGCGGCTTCGGAATCTGCTCCTCCCTATTTTATCTCCTGGATCGATTCGAATTGGGATTAACCTTAATTGTTATTGAGCTTTCCGCCAACGCATCGCCGTGCAACACGGTAGTTGTTCTGTCGCCATGGTTGCGCCAGCTGTGCCCGAGTCCGTGCCCCGCGCCATCGGCCCTACAAGATGGACTTAAACTGATGCGTCTTTACATAGGTTGACGGAGGAGGTGCTTCACGAAGCAATTGACGCCCGTACCGACTCACTGGTCTCCCTGCGCGAGCTTGGCCCTCCCGACCTTGCGCACCTAATCAAGCAGCCCCTAAGGAGTGGAGGGAAACACGTCAGTCTTTGGCCCACGTCGATCGCCTATCCTGCCACTGACTTTGAAGCATCTAGACAGGCGTTTACCACCATGTCACGGGCGTCGATGCCTCGTCGTCAGCGAGTCTCGCCGCGTACATCAACACACTAGCCTACAAGGAGTTCGGCCCCTCTGCCACCACCAAAACGCTGGAGGGCACGTATTGGTAATTGGGTTCACCCTGTTCGCGTTTATCTAACCGCTAACCGCTACCTCGCTTTCAGCTGCTACAATGCCTTCTCGCGCGTCGACATGCGCGTGCATGCGCCATTCCCTGGATCAGTGGAGAGCTTCTGCATCGACGAACGAGGCGAGAAGCGCAAGGCGACCGACGAGCTCTGGCTTGAGACATACTTGTGCAGCGTGCTGCGGGCATACTCGTACGCCGACGACGGAACGGGCGACACCATTAGGAAGATCATGGGCGTGAGGCGGTTCAACCCCGTAACCAATACCGAGACCGAGCACCGCTTCCTAAGTGCGGCCGAGCACTTGTTCTTTCGGGGTAAGACATACGGAATATCTGTTTTGCAGCCACGGATCGGCTAATAGCACGCGCGAGCAGGATGGCAGCTGGGGTCGGACTCCATCGTGCAGGTTCCGAACGTGGTCTCGAACCACCTCACCGCGGGCCTACTCCGATATTTCCACACCACCGGCAGACACACCTCGGGGATCAACCTCTTCGAGAAACTGAGGACACAAAACGTCGAAGTGGCATCTCTGCTGTCCAAGGTCCTATTTATGGGCAACGAAGAGGTTCAAGGGATACGCATCCTTCACGAAGCTCTGAAGCAGTCTCCGATGGATTATGTTATGCTGGATACCCAGGCTGAGTTCTTGCTCAAAAAGGCCAAAACCGCCGCGACGCCCGAGCAAAAGGATGAGCGACTCCGTATGTCCCTTGGCTGCGCGGACCGAAGCACCATTGCCGCCCCTAGCGAGTTCGGGACCTGGGCTAGGTTAGCGGAGGTGTATGTGACGATGGAGGATTGGGAGAACGCCCTCACGACGCTCAACTCATGTCCCATGTTTACATACCAAGACAAGGACGCGCCCGTCATGCCGGAACCAAGAGATATCCATCTACCTACGCTTCAAGAGACCAGGTTGGATGAGATCGACAGCGAGCCCGAGTCCCGGTATTCCGAGCAGGTGGACCCGAGCCTGCTGAATCTCCGCGCAGCCGCCTACCGTGGGACGTTCAAGCATGCTTACAGCATCCTGACGGAAATGACGTCCAAGATTGGCTGGGACCAGCTGCTCAAGATCCGGAGCAACGTCTTTGTGATGGAGGATGAGTACCGTGAGAAGCAGGAGTCAACTAGCTACCCTAAGAATCGCAACGCCAGCACCGATGCTCTCCGCGGGACCCCGGACCCTACCACTAATGGTGCAGCGTCCGAAGCCGGAGACGAAGAAGCAAAGGAGGACGCGGCGACAGCAGACAAAAAAGAGGAGCAGGAGAAGGACGAGGAGGAGGGAAAGGAAGAGGAGCAGGAAGACAGCGAGTCTGGTGTTCAGACGCTCGCTCCTAGCGGCAGGGCCGAAGACATCGAGAGGCCTTCGAGCGCCGTTGACCCAGGCGAGGTAAAGAAGGGTGACGACAGCGTAAGCTACGGTCCTGCCTCTTCCACTTATGCAGACATGACTGACAATATATACAGGGTTCTAAAGAAGACCACTTCTCGCGCCTTAACAACAAGCGCCTCTGCGAACGCTGGCTCGACAGCCTGTTTATGGTGCTTTACGAGGACTTGCGCGTTTATACCATTTGGCGCACACAGATGGCCCAGTACCGCGCCCAGAGCATGCAGTACAAAAAGTCAGCCGAGGAGTGGGAAATCCTGGGGTCACTGGCCGAGCGCCTGCAGCACGTCGACGAGGCCGTCGAGGCCTACCGCGCCTGCCTCGCCCAGCGCTTCAGCCCCAAAGCGCTGGCGGGCATCCTCAAAGTATTCGAGAAGACCAAGGGCAGCACCCGCGACACCGTGGCCGCCACCATAAGACTGGTGACGTGGCAGTACAGGTGGTACAGCGAGTTCTCGCCCGAGCTGCTGCACACGGTGCGCATGCTGATCGAGGACGAGGGGGCCGTCAAGATCAGAAGCATCATTCAAGCTACGAACCTGCCGCAGAATGTGCTCGACTTGACCCATCATTATGCGGCGCTATGCGCGACATTCAGGAGCAGTGGGACTGACGCTTAATGGTCGGAGTAACCGGCAACAGGGAGAGATGGCGAATGAGGGGACGAGATATGAACACGAGTTTTGTGTCTGTCATTCTTGGGGAGTGGGCTGGCTGGGATAGGAGTGCTGTGGAGTGGTATGGTGATTGCTAGTCGGTAGCTTAATCGGACGTGGGCATGGCAATGATCCCATCTTGATACGGTGGCGTATCGTTTGAACCCCTTTGTCCGAAACTTCGGGGTCGAATTGCAACGAGTGACCGATGCCGTCCAAACGGCTATTCAGGGGAACCACGTACGAAGTAATTACTTATCATTTGAGCGGGGAAGTCAACGGAGCATTCATCGGAGACAAAATTCTCGTTCCCATGTTCCCGAGTTCACCGAAGACGGGCGGCACAACAAGGTGGTCCACACTTGTGGGAATTCCGGCCCTCCAAGCGCCCCAACCGCATGACGCCGGACCGCAACACCGGATCTTCGGGTCGGGGATCGCGCATCTTCGGGAATAGCCAAGCCCAGTGTGAAGGTTGCCCACCTCAGCCCACCGAGCCCAACCCACCAACACCCCGCTTAACATGGAAACTAAGTGGACATTTTATCCCACAAGAGGCGAGGCAGGGCGCGGGGGAGCGGACGCATAACGTCATCATAACTTGACAATCGAAGCACTTCGAATTGTGTCGGGTGAAGTTTGACCCCGCGTTTCTGTTGCTCGAGCTTTGTGAATAAAGCCGCCTCTAAAGCCGCCTCCCGCCTTCGAACCCCTTTCTAGCTTTGTGCTTGAGCAGTCGAACATCACTCACATCGTACATACATACATCCAAAACATCACAATGGCTGAGACTAAGAACACCTCGTAGGCAGCTCCTCAACTCCCAGCCCTTACCATCCCCCTTATCCATATTGACAACCCCCTCAGCAAGGCCTTCAAGCTCAACACGGGCGCCGCCATCCCCGCCATCGGCCTGGGGACATGGCAGTCCCAGCCCGGCGAGGTCGGCAAGGCCGTTGAGGCGGCGCTGCGGGCCGGGTACCGGCACATCGACACGGCCTTCGCCTACGGCAACGAGAAGGAGGTCGGCGAGGGCATCCGCGCGTCGGGCGTGCCGCGCGAGGACATCTGGCTGACCACCAAGCTCGACAACCCGTGGCACAAGCGGGCGCCCGAGGCGCTCCGGCGCTCGCTCGAGAACCTGGGCACCGACTACCTCGACCTGTACCTGATGCACTGGCCGTCGAGCACCACGCCCGAGGACCTCAAGAAGCACTACCCCGACTGGGACTTTGTCGACACCTGGCGCGAGATGCAGAAGCTGATGGACACGGGCAAGATCCGCAACCTGGGCGTCAGCAACTTTGGCATCAAGAACCTGGAGCGCTTGTTGAACGAGCCGAGCTGCAAGGTATGGAGTGCTGCTGTCCAGGAGCTTGGCCCGTCCGTTACCCGGAATGCTTGCTGACTAGTCGTAGATCGTCCCGGCCGTCAACCAGATCGAGCTTCACCCCGGCAACCCGTCCCCTAAGCTCATTGCCTACTGCGCCGAGAAGGGCATCCACTGCTCCGGGTACTCACCCCTGGGTAGCAGCGACTCGCCGCTGTACAAGAACGAGACGATCGCCTCCATTGCCAAGGCCAAGGACCGCAGCGTGCAGCAGGTTATGCTGATGTGGGGTTTGAAGAAGGGCTGGAGCGTGCTGCCCAAGAGCGTCAACCCGGACCGCGTCAAGGCCAACTTCAACATGGACGGGTGGGACCTGACAGACGAGGAGGTGGCCAAGATCGACAGCATTCCGGAACGATTCAAGGTGTGCGGTGACGCGTGGCTGCCGGTCAAGGTGTTCTTCGGCGATGACGAGTAATGGGGACTGGAGGGAGTCCTGGAGAAGTTAGACAGCCCAAAAATAGAAGCCGCCAAAAAGAATCCAACCCATACTTACCACTGGCGCTGTGACATCACCAACAAGACACCGGCGGGCCCAATCCCCGCTGGGAACGCAGACCTGGCTGCCGTAACACATGTAACACAACGTCCAAAAGCACTTCTACCCAAATAAACAACCTCTCTCCCCTCCAACCTCCTACAACTTCGCCCCGCCCTCCGCATCCGCCCACACAATCTCCGCCACCGCCCTCCTCACCCGCCCCGCCAACTCCGCCGCCTCCTCCTCATCCAGCTCATCCCTCTGCCCGCGCCCAAACATCGTCGCCGTAAACCTCTCACTCCGCTTATCCCTCAGCTCCGGCCGCGGAATGACGTGAAAATGCATATGCGGCACGACCTGCGCGGCGGCGGCCCCATTATTCTGCACGACATTCCAATCCGCCACCCCCGTGGCGCGCACGACGGCGGCCGACAGGATGCGCAGGTAGCGGCCGAGCTCGGCGGATTCCGCCGGCGACACGTCGGTCAGCTTGGGCCGGTGCGGGCGCGGGCAGAGCAGCACGTGCCCCGTCGAGAGCGGCATGATGTCGAGGAAGGCGACGAGGTGCGGGGTCGAGAGCACGACGAAGGCGGATGCTTGCGGCGAGGTGAGCTCCGGGTCGAGGAGGGCGGATGTTGGCGGCGGTGGGTTGGCGGGGTTGTAGGGCCGGAAGACGGCCGAGATGTGGCAGAAGGGGCAGTCGGCTGAGGTGGTTTGGGTGTTGCTGTTGTTGTGGGTGTGGGTGTGTGGTCGGCCTGGGTCGAAGGTGGAGGAGGATGGGATGGGCGGGAGGGAGGAGTTGTAGGTTTTGGGTGCCATTGTGGGTGCGTTTTTGTGTTTTTTTTGTTGCTATTGTCGTGGGATTGTAGCTTTCATCTGGTCCGGGTCTGAAGCTCTAAATCTCAACGGATCTGTTCGTGGCGGTGTGTTTACATGTTTATGCGGAGGGTTGGCTTGAAACTCGGGATTGGCGCTTGAGCTTCCTGGGCCTCGATTGGCTTTGCCTGCCGCGAACAACCTCGGCCCAGACCTGAGCGCGGCCACACGTGATGTAATCCCTGCGCGGCCCACCACGAGCCATTCTGCCGCCTATCGCCGCCATTTTTTCTGCCGCCTTGCTTTGTTCAGCCCGCCCCTCACACCGAGAAGGGGTCCAGGCATTTATCAGCATCATCAAGTTCCAATCATCCATCACCAACCCATCTCCGCACACGACACACCCTATCGAACACTCGCATCCCGCAAACGCATAAACCACTCTCAAATCAATTCCACGATGTCTCGCGAAGAGTACCAAGTCCCCACCGGGTCCGGCTCGCCGACCGTCGGCGGCGGCTCATTCAACGCCCCCGCGGCACGCGACTACGCAGGCGAGGGCGGCGGCGCGATACACTACATCTGCGGCGACTGCTCCGCACGGGTGCCCCTGGACAAGGCCACGGGGATCCGCTGCCAAAAGTGCGGCGCGCGCGTGCTGTACAAAGAAAGGACAAAGCGGTAAGCGGGCTCTCGCGCCATGACCGACCGAATTGGGGTCTTTCGGGTGGGGAGGCACTGCATTGTTGCTGACTCTCGCTGCAGGATGGTTCAGTTTGAAGCACGGTGATGGGATGGATGATAGGCGAGGGCGGGTGTTTTCATTGGGAGATTCGGGTTATGCGTTTTCAGAGCACTTTGCCCCGACTCCTTGGTGAAGAGACAAGTTCTGGATAGGACGCGATCGAAGTAGGCAAAGGGCGCCGCATCCCGATTATTGGCGTTCTGGTAATATGCTACATAGTAGACATACGTGACGAGAAATGCAACTTGTCCATTTGGATCCTAATGAACCTCGGCTACCTAATGCTGGTATCACCCAAACACCGACAACGCTATGCTGATGCCCTGAACGCCACAACTTTTATCCCAAAGACACATAAACAGCCTTCCATCCCAACCGCCGTTACCCTTGCTGGGTGTGGAGGTACTTGGCGAAGCTCGCATCTGCACTGACAGAGTCTTCCTGATGCAACATGGACGCCTCATACCTTGCCTGAAGCCCCTCTCGATCCTGCTCATCATCAAGTTCGTCATCGCTGTCCTCATCAGGGCTGAGCGGTTCCATGTCGTTCTCTTCCACATCGATGTCTCCCACGGCAGTTTTCGAAGCCGTGCCGCCCATCGACATTCCCGACATCATCTTGTCCAGCTCTTTCTCCCTCTGTTTCTTCTTGTCAGCTTCCCTCGCTTCCCGCCTCCGGTCCAGCTCGGGCTGGTAGTCTCGCCTGAACTCATCCGCCTTCTCCTTCACGGCCTCAAAGAAGTCGTCGATTCCACTGCCTTCGAGCGCACTGACGTTGACCACGCTGAGATGGGAGTAGAACTCTTCCAACATGAGGCTCATGCTGTTGATGAGGCTACCCATGTATCCACTTCCAACGCCGTCCTGTCCACCGAAAGCGTTGTTGCTTTGCTCCTTGTCCAAGGCCGCCTGGAACGCGTCGAAGTCGGTCATCCACTCCTTGACAAACGACGGATCCTGTACGTCGGTTTTGTTGAACACAATGATCATCGGGAGCTTCGTCTTGTAGAGGATGCTGCACGCGTAGAGCATGTTGCTCATGAATGTCGACGTGGAATTCGCACGCGGCGTATCGACGACGTAGGCGATTACCGTCGGGAACGACGATGCGAGGGAGTCGAGAAATATGGTCCCCGATGCCGACCATACGAAGGCTTCGATCTGCCCTGGCGTGTCGACGAGGACATGCTTCATGGGTTTGCGGCTCGGGTCCTCCGGGTCCGGGGCTGCCCTCTTCTCGAGAAGACCGAGGACTTGATCGACTTTGGTCGCAAAGAGGTTGAGTGACGTCATGATGCCCCCGTTGGGCCCCAGGTTGTACTCCTCCATTACTTTCTTGTAGTTCACAGAATCGCGAATGTCGATATTGCTCTGGAATGGAGAGTAGGTGACAGCTGGGTCGAGATTGATGATATAAGGAGTCTCTTTCTTCCCAAACTGATGGGAAGCAATCCGTTGCATGAATGTTGTCTTGCCCGCTCCTAGAGAACCTTGTGAGCTATCGAGAGGGGAGCGACAAGTGGATGGCGAACATACCTGCCATTCCCATGCAGACAACTACCGTGGGCTGCCCTGTTTGCCCATCGGGGCTTGCTGCTGTGGAAGCCGAAGCTGAAGCTGGGGTCGTATCCATTTTGAATAAGGAGTTTTCACAATATTGGATCGCTCGTGAGTGATTCTTGGTATTGAGTGATTGAGTGTTTTGTATCCGAACTTTGATCAATGTTTGATGGAAATTCGATCATGGCGGGGTGAGTGGGGGACAGCTTTTGCGAGCAATGACGGGAGGTCCGTGTCAATCAGCAATGAATTCGCACGTGGATCCCCGGTGTTACTTGTGGGGCCTCGAACTGTCCATTCGCCCATTGTTCCTCTCTCATCCACTCCCTTACTCGGTCCACAGTCCGCTGTGTCCGGCAAACGCCAGTTCGTCTTGGCGTGCGCGCGCGCCGAACACGCTCTAATTTTTGAAAAAAACGGCCAGAAGACCAGAAATCAGTCGAACTATCTATAGCTATATCAACCAACCCACTACATGCGCGCACCGCGCAAATACATTAAGCTATATATCTAAATACGTAGAATTCGAGTATTGTATCCGATTAATGATGCGGATAATACGCGCTGAGATTCTGATGGGTTTAAAAACTGGTAAATCTTTAGCAAAAATCGCCAAGATCCGCCAAGCCTTGCCAAGATATCTTCGAAAAGTTCGAACAAAATCAAGAAAAATAGAAATCTATCGATACCTCAACGCGTATTATCCGCATCATTGATCAGGTATAAAATTCGGATTCTACGTATCCAGATATATAATTTGAGATATTTGCGCGGTGCGCGCATGTAGTGGTTTGGTTGATATAGCTGTATATACTTTTCTATCTTCCTATTTTCCCCCAAAAATCGATAAAAATTAGAAAGTGTTGCGCAACCCGCGCGCGCGTGCCAAGACGAATTGGCGTTTGCCGGACACAGCGGTGTCCGGCTTGGGTTCCATTCCATGAACGTGCTTGTCGCGTGCATTTCCTCACCTCCAAAATACGAGCCAATGACATTAAGCTACCGTCGTGAAATGGGGGGTTTTGCAACAGGCCGGGTCTAGTGAGCATCCAATGGTGACAGAGCAACGCTTCATTAAGCATGGCATAGCTGATAGAAGCCAAGGTACGGAAGTTATGCTGAATAGCAGATACCTCAATTTCCGAACAAACCCTATATGACCATTCCATGAGCCACTAGCTACCCACGCTACCTAATTTCAGTCTGGAACCTCAACAGGCAACCTCCCTACCTCCGGGCCATGATCCGTGACCTTTCAGTCAAAGCACCTATACGAGCTGATCTTATCGTTCATGTATCCCCAGTTGACCGCGCCATTGACGGTCGACTGGTCACCGCTACAGCCATGGTGCTCCCAGACGGTGCAGGTATGTCCAAAAGTATTAGTGGACGAGATGACATCGTTCCAGATACCATTGATATTGTCTGTTCTCCCGTATAAGATACCGCTTTGAATGTATACCTTTGGACTCGGTTTTGAAGCCAGGACATAAAGACTTACAGCAGGCACCGCTCTCGATACCGGTAATGGTTATACAGGCGCCTTCAAGGTTGGAGTGCTCGCACACCTGAAGGGTGGACGCCCGGGCCTGTAGGGCCTTGGAACGGAGCTTAGCGCTTGCGGCCTTGACGACGGTCCCGAAGGTGTTGGCTTGCATGGTGACGGAGTTGGAGGGGCGCTCTACCGAGTCGGGAATGGGGCTGTTGTCGTTGTAGACCTTGGCCATGGCGGTGGTCGCGAAGGCGAGAGCGAGGACCTGGAAGAGCTGCATGGTGCTGGTGGCTTCGGTGAAGCCGCTTAGGATATGTAGGTGAGGTATGATGAAGAGACGAGAGCTGGAGATGAGGCTGCAGAATGGAGAGCGTGGTCTCAGAATCCAGGGCTATCACGGTCCTTTTATACACATTCCGTACCCTCTCGGCCAACACCCGATACCGTCTCGCCCTCGGGAACAGCGAGGAGGATTCCAAAGAAGGAAGGTCAGAGCAGCCTACTACCTTGCAGCGCAGTTGGTGAAGTTCGTATCCAATGATAGGTATGATGGAGGACAACTTGCGGCACGTCTCTGTAGCACGCGCACTTAGGTGCCCAGCCAGAACATGTTCCTCGCAGAGTTGAGATTGATTAGAGCCAGAACATTTTCCTCGCAGAGGTTAATTAGAGCCAGAACATGTCCCGCGCAGACGTCGGTCAGATTTATTAACTAGACGGTTCCAATCGCATTCTCCATAAGGTAGTATCTGACAACCGATACTACTACTCCATGGCGCCAATGTGCATCACAGCCCGGGTCTATAATCAGTTTATGGGGGTGGAAATATGTATGTCAGCAAGTGCTAAGGACTCAAGGAGGGGTAACAAGAGCTTCTTAATTGTTCGTGTAACAGGGTTGCCGGTCTAATTGGCCGTCGTCCTAGCACAATTTCATGTACAACCACCCCAACCGGGTTGGCCTCCTCTGAGATGGAGGTTCAGGGCAAGGCTTCGTTCGAGGCAACGTCAAGGCCCCGGGGCGAGCTGAGGGCCTGGCCTGTTGCCTCTGCACGTGTGCGCGGCCTGGGACTGCGCAGATACGCCTGCATGAGCCCCGTATTCTAGGAATGGCAAAGGCAAGCGGTCAATAAAACTCCAACGAGGCCGAGAAATCTCTCATCTGGAGTTGATGTACAGCATGAGACATGGTCAGACGAAGGACCTGCCCTCCAGGGAACGCTGGAGCCAACAAGGAGGTTGCCGACTGGAATGAAGCGGCCATCACGGCTGTGGGTCCTGGCATTCAGTGATAGTAGACAGGCAGGAAGAGGTTTCTGGAGACTGCAAACCAAGGGAACCCGTATTTCGGGAACATTTGGTCAGGAGGCAGCCGTAGAAACAGTAAAGCTGCAATGTCACGGTATGGATGTGCTTGGGTCCTCGGGGTATTGCTTCGACCTACAGCATGGTGAGAAACTTCTGTGTCGGCCCGGGAGACTGCAATTGGACATAGTCGATGCTCTAGGGTCCCTTACTTCCCCGGACAAAACGTGTCGGGACCGATCTTCTGGATCAGCTCATGTCTGCAGGCGACTTCCAGATTTGGATGATCGAGTGGGCCAAGTGAGCGGAAATGCAGGTTGACGGGCCGAATGGCGTCGGCAGCGTGAACGGAATCCCTGGTACAATATATATATATATATTGTACGTACATTGTTCCTACTGTTATGCGAAGAATCGGCTGGCGCTGTCCAGACTCCGCGCTCGCTTGACTTGCACTAACAATAGAACTCTTCGCCTGGCGCAGTTTTGCCCTTCCTTTCAAACCTCGGAAAGACGTCGAGCCACGCCTAACTTCCGACTCTGAACACCAATCCCTAACGCTCGAACGACCTCATAACCTAACCGCTCTTCACAATGTTATCTCAGCGTAACCAGATCCCTCTTGGGGAGATCCCGTGTCACCCGATTCGGCGACCTTTCTCCGACGAATTCGGACAAGTAATCTACTCCACGTAATGCCCAGTTCCTCCAGGCACATTTTTAGGCCCTTTGCAGTCCGTTAAGGAACCCTACGGAACTTACTCCGTAGTTCCTCCAGACACAGTACAGAAGATTCGTGCCGAGCTCCAGGCCATGCTGAGACTCCGGACAGCCATTCACGCCGACCTCTAGGCCATCCTAAGACCCCTCCGGCGGCGGATAGAACGACAGATTGGCATGGTTAACTGAATTGGCTCGCCCTGGAGCATGACTGTAGGATAGTAATACAAAGAAACGTATATTTCTTTCTGCTTCTCTTCTTTACGTGATTCTAGCTGGCGTCACCGAGCCTCTCATCTCATGTTGGTCTGAGCAACTGCAGGGCAGAGGGTCCATGTCTGCAGGCCTTAGCGTATACATCAAGTCAATCCCGCTCCTCAGCGAGCAGGGCATGTCCGTCCTGGGCACCCGCAGCCGCATGAATGCGCTGCGAAACGGCCGAGGTCTGGCCGCTCGGCATGCGCGGCGTCGGCCGGATGTCCACGTCCTACCGCCATAGCCGGCTACCCAGGTGAGGAGCTGTGGGAGAACCTTGAAAAGAGGGGCTGCCATCACCTTTCTGTATAACCGCGCGAGTCCATTCTTCACTACGGTCTCTCTGCCACATACTGTATGTGTCTCCGGCTCTTCGTATCTATTCAAAGTGGACTTATGCGAAATCTATTAGACTGAATATAGCAGCTTTCTTCAACCTTAGTATTGATATGGGAATCAGACGTGAAAACTATCTAGCAAAGGGCTTCTACCTATAACTCATCCTCTTCTTCCTCCTCTTCCTCCCGCTCGATGGAGGAGAGATCCGACCTTGTTCTTGATTCGACCGGGAGGGGATTCGACTGCGTCGAAGCGGCCCCATCTTCCTCGGCCCTGTCTATAGGTGTTGATTGGACCGGGGGAACTAGGGCATTGAGGGGATGCGACTGCATTGAAGTAACTCGACTGTCCCAAAGCACAGCATCTCCCTTCCTCGCGGCAATCCTGTTGTGTTTATCTCGCAAATCTGACGAGTCAGAGAGTGTGCTAGACGACGTGGGCTCCTCGGCAGTATGAGCCTGCCTAAGCCTCTTCGAGGCTAGCTCTCCAGATCTCTTGTCGAATTGCGGATAGGTTGGACTCCTCGAGCGAGTGTTTTCCTAGTTATTGTATCAGCTCGGGCTTTTGCTTGTTCATACCCCGAATAGGTGGTATAGCTGGACGGAAAGTGCAGCGGGCCGCCCTGGGCGGATGAGGTGGAGTGGAAGTATTAGGAGTGCGGCGAGATTCTCGATCTGGTATTGCTGTAGTAGCCTAGTAGGCTGTAACCGGCTTGGTGGCATTGGTATAGGCGTTAGGATATTATGGATGCCTTGAACTCAGGTGTCATCCCAGTTTACTATTAGTGGTTTCACAATAGGTGGTTTCACCACGAAAATAGAACGGGTAGCTTCGTAACTAAAACTAGAAGCGTAACTGTTGTTATACCGTTGTAGTGAGTTGAGAAGTATATTATGAGTAGGAAGAACAACGAGAAGGTGAAGAGGAAGGGAGTTCTGGGGTTTGGAGAGAGAGGAGAGAGGCTATAACCGTATAAGCGAGACAAGGCCAACAAGGCCAGCAAGGCAAGTACCGAGGCTCGAGGGTCGGGTACAGTTGGTTCGCGTTTCTGAGCCGGGAACGGGACCCTGGCGCCGAAAATGTACCGATATCGCGAATATGCGAGGTGCGAGCTGAGGGACTTAATGGTATGTGAATGAAGGAGAATACGAGGCGATACCTTCCGGCCTCCGTCGCCGGCGCCGTTTGCCGTTCCAGGTTGTTCCCGTGCCGGCCCCACTCCTAGAACGCGAATGGGTTCTCGGCCGTTAAGACTTCGGGTAACAAGCTGGCCCGTGCTTGCTGAGTCATCAATTACAGTTGTGCGATGATTGTCGACAGTGCGAAAGTCAAGACTGCGTTTCCTCACCACATTTTAAGTTTTCCTCGAGTTCCATCGGTCGAGAGAGGGGACAAAGTACATAAGCACGTGATAAGGTACAGAGTAAACCAGACCGACGGTCTCACGTCATCCCGCCCCCCCCGGACAAAGCCTGGGCTTGGTGCATGGTTGATTGTTCTTGTCCTTGGCGACTCAGCCCTTGTTGCGCGGCTGGTGACGGTTCCGAGCAACGACCAACGGCCACCAAAGGCTCAGCCATGCCGTCCATTTTACCCCCCAGCTGCGCCCCCGATAAAGATCTCTGTCTTCCCCTGTCCTTCTCTCCCGATTCCTTTCAGATCATTGTTGACCGTGCATCGCTGTATGTAATATCCGACAGATCGTGATTAATCCTTCGACATACTACAAGTACATACCTCGACCATTGTCAATATCGTCAACGCGCGTCAACTCGCCCCGCATCATCGCACACCTGGGCAGGTCCCCGCCCGCGCTGACTCGCGCTCCCCAGCATCAACCATCATCATGCTGCGAAAAAAAGACACATTCACCGTGATCACCCCCATCCCGGGCTTTATCCCACGCCAGCTAGCTATCGATATCCTCCACTCGCACTCCGAGGTCATCACACTGAACCCGCTCGTCATCGGACACAAGCCCATTCCAGCGCCACACAATGCCGAAACGGACGAGTACTACTCTACCTGGTATGAAATTACGGAGCGCATCCAACTCGTCCCCGGGATCGGGAAGATGGGCTCCTCGACTATCCAGTTTAACGGCTGCTTCCATGACATGCCGTGGGGCCTGCAGACTCACATCTATGCGCCTATGAACGTCGACCTCCGAAACAAGTACCGCATTGCCGGCAACCAGTCTGGTGTGGAGGCACCTGAAATCCCGGAGATCGGTCTGAAGGGGCTCGGCGCGCCGTCGGACGGCCTGTACCTGAGGGAAGACATCGAAATCAAGTGCAATCTCACAGTTCTCAGCTTTGTCAAGTCACAGTTGAGGAAGGCCGGTGGTGAGATGGTTAAGCGCATCATCAAGAAGGCAGAGCTGCTGGATGCTGGTGTGCTTCAGGCAATGATCGAGGACGGAAAGCTCAGGACGATCAACCCGGCCGACCGAAGCCACCAGGCCAGATCACCACTGCCGTCTCCGACGAGCCTCCGGTATTCGCCATCTGTCAGCGGTTCGCCCCCGTTGGGGTCACCGCCCGTGCCGTACCAAGTTCCCCGAGTGCAATCGTCATATGCAGGATACCAGCGGCCTAGCACCTCTGGTTCGCAGGGCGGCCCCGCGTACGGGACGCAAGAGGGTGCCCAGGAGCTGCCAGCCGCCCAGACAAGCCCGCCAGCACAAGCTCCCATCGAAATGCCCGGCGACTTTTATTATACGTCCCCCAATTTCCAATCGGACCGGCAGTCGCCGCCCCAGGCGTTCCGACAATCGCCCCCCCAGAGCAACCGGGAGTCCTTCGTCGACCCACGCCAACCGTCCAACGCAAGCCCGAACCCATCGGTGGGCGGACAGTGGACGACACCGGGTTCACGGCCCACCTCGACGTCCTCAGGTGCTCCGTCCCCCGGCCTGGAAAGCAAAGGTTTTCCGGCGCCGCTTGCCCCACACAAAGAGACTGCCGAGGAGCACCAGGACAATAATAAGAACGCGCCTACCCTTACGCCACAGCCCCCCCAATACGTCCCATACAACCCGGCCGACTACGCGAAGAGGCCGCCAGGGCAACCGCAGTACGGGCATGGGGGGTCGGATCCGAGGTATAGTTATACGTGATGAATGCTTGGCAAATTGTACACAAAGGATATGGAATCGCATGATGGCTTATACCCAGGGGTTCGGTTTTGCTCTTTTTTGGCTATGGGCGGGGCGTTCGGCGTCAAAAATTATACGTTGCAAATGGCAGATCTCGGGCGCTAATTTTCAAGAGCGAACAATTTGATCCCATGGTATACCCCAGATTATATACGTCTCGTTCATCTCTAGTTGCTGATGTCTACGCTACTTGTGTCGCGAACATGCCCTACGTTGACTCAAAGCGGGATGACATACCCGAAAGCCAGGGGTCAGCGGCACAGCGGCCTCGCAGGCTCACCTTTTCATCCTTTTCCGGCAGTGAAGTTCCCGAGGTTACAGGCCCAGTCAAACAGCCCTGTGGCCGACATAGGCATCACCGGCTGCCGGTTATAACCGCGGGGAGACACGAACATTGGCAAAGATCTCGAACTTTACGCTCGGGGGCGGTTGGCCAACAAGAGACCTGAAACCTACAAAAGAATTGCCCCAAGTTGGGATTCTGACTCTTGACCTCGCGCAGTGAGGAGTGCTTTGTTGGCCAGCCTGACACCACGTGCCGTGTTTCTTTCAGCTGGGGCTGACAATGAGCATTCGAGTTCTCGCCTGGAGCAATAATGATTGTTGGGAATACTTCTTCGAAGTGGCGATCTTATTCCTGTGTACCCAAGTAGATATTCGGCGGAGACAACTCGCGTATTTTAGAGTCCCACACAGCTACACAGTAAAGGCGCGAGGACAACTGCCGCTGGCTGAGCCACATTGCCCCTCACGATAGCCGCTGAGCGTGCAGAGGGAGGATTAAGGGTGACGTATCGATTTGGAACTGTGTGACGTTACTGTTGAGGCCTAGAATTAACCCAGCGGTTATGTTTCTTTTTCGAGTTCAGACGACCAAGACGAAAATAGGAACCTCGACAAGGTACAAGCCAGGAGACAAAGCCCAGCCTGCGGGCGAGTGGCGTTTCGAAGATTGGCCGGGGCACACAGTGTGCAGTTACTGTGCTAACGCGTGGGTCGAGTTGGACACCGACTGCTGGAGCTTGGGTTGAAGCAGGGCTTCTGGGAAAAAGGAAGAAAAAAATCCATAACAAAAATATCAATTACTTCAATGGCGCGAGAGTTCCCATGGGGGGCCTGCTGCATCTCCTTTCAGGTGCGAGTCGCCAGAAGACTGATAAATTTAAGAAGGAGCGGGCGGAAGTGGGTCACTGACTCGGAGCTTCAAGGGAGCTTCTGCAGAGGGTGGAACTGAGTCGCGCTCGGCGTGCACGTCCCACATCTCGCACTTGGGGCGGCGACGTCACTCGAGCATTTCCATCAAGAGCTGGTCTTGGCATTCAATTGACCTGAAACACGGCGGTTCACGCGAGCCCAACATCGCGATAATGGACGGTCCAGACAGTTTAGAAGCCTTCGAAAAGGCTCTTGCCGCCGAAAAGGCGGAGGAGGAACGAGCCGCGCGGGAAAAAGAAGAACGCCGCGAGCGGAAACACAGACACCACCATCGTCGCGACCGATCCTCAGAGCGCGACCGAACCACCGAGAAACACAGACACCGTGATTCAGATAGGCGAGAGGACCGCAGTGGCCGCAATGGAGACAAAGATAGGCGCAGCCATCACCGATCCCGAGATGACGATTCGGGCGAGGACGGGCACCGTCACAAACGCTCGCGCCACTCCCGCGACGAACCAGAAGAAGAATCCAGGCATCGGCATAGGCACCGGCACAGATCAAGAGAACGTTCGAGGGACAGAGACGATAAAGCGCGCGAAAGGCGGGGGACGAAAGATATGAAGGATCTCAAGCTATCGGACCCCAAGGAGGATCTCCCCATCCCTGACGAAGAGAAGACCCCGGCCGGCGCTACACCTCTTCTTCGAGACTCATGGATGACGGCCCCGTCCGCATTGGATGTCGACTACGTTCATAGGGGGGCGAACCGGAAGAGCCCATCGCCCGTAAGAGAGGAACCGCCGAGGGTGTTGCACAAACGAGAACTGAACCGAGGTCTGGGCGAGGTGCACGCCCCCGAGGAAACCCAGGAAACTGCTACGAGGGAAGTCAACTACAAGTTCGGCGACGAGGGATCGCAATGGAGGATGACGAAGCTGAAGGCGGTGTACACCATTGCGGAACAGACAAGCCGCCCGGTTGATGAGGTTGCCGAGGAGCGATTTGGTAGCCTGCGGGAGTTCGACGATGCCAGGGAGGAGAAAGTCGAGATGGACAGGCGCGGTGTGTACGGTGAAGGCTATGTCGGCAAAGAAAAGCCGAGTGGCGAGCTGTATGAGGAGCGAATGGCCACGACCCGGCGGGAACCAGCACACTCGCCATCTCCGGAACCCGAGCAAGGCGTGGTTGTCGAGGATATGATCCAGCCGGCACCTCCAATGGACCAGTCCTCCCTCAACCGCATGCGCGCTCAGCTTATGAAGGCAAAACTTCGCAATGCCCCCGAAGCGGCCAAGCTCGAAGCAGAGTACAATGCCGCCATGGCCGCCTTCAGCACCGGCGCCGCCTCCAACAACGCCGTCGTACTCGACGCATCCCATAACCGCATGCTGGCCGGTGCCCGCGGCGAAGTCAAAGCGGTCACCACCAAGCGCGGGGTCGAGCGCGGCCAGGTCGAGGCCAACGAAGACATGTCTGTCCAGGACATGCTTCGCGAAGAACGCCGCACGCGCGGGCAGGCCGGAGGGGAAGGGCTCCGCCTCGCCGAGCGCATCGCCAAAGACGCCAAATTCGACAACGACCTCGAGTACCTCGACGAGAACGCCGCCAAGCTAGCCAAGCGCGTCCACAAGACCGACTCCTCCCTCAAGAACATCGCCGTGACCGAATACAAAAAGCTCAACCGCATCCTCGACACCTGCCCGCTCTGCTTCCACGAAGACCGCGCCCCGCCGCAGAACCTCCCCACCGCCCCCGTCATCTCCCTCGCCACCCGCACCTACCTGACCCTCCCCACGGCACCCGAACTCACCGGCGCCGAAGGCGGCGCCGTCATCGCCCCGCTCAGCCACCGGACCAACCTGCTCGAGTGCGACGACGACGAGTGGGAGGAGCTGCGCAACTTCATGAAGAGCCTGACGCGGGCGTACCACGAGCAGGGGCGCGAGGTGCTCTTCTACGAGAACGCGGCGGCGCCGCACCGGCGCCCCCACGCCGCCCTCGTCGCCGTGCCCGTCCCCTACGACCTCGGCGCCACCGCGCCCGCCTTCTTCCGCGAGGCCATGCTCTCCGCCGACGAGGAGTGGACGCAGCACCGCAAGATCCTCGACACGGGGAAGCGCGCCCGCGAAGGGTTGGGCAAGCTGGCGTTCCGCCGCACGCTGGCGCGCGAGATGCCGTACTTTCATGTGTGGTTTGATCTGGATGGGGGGTTGGGGCATATTGTGGAGGATGCGGAGCGGTGGCCCAAGGGGGATCTGTTCGCGCGTGAGATCATCGGTGGTATGTTGGACTGCGAGCCGGATGTGATTAAGCGGCAGGGGCGCTGGTCGAGGCATGATGACCGGGTGGAGGGGTTTAAGAAGAGGTGGCGGAAGTTTGACTGGACGAGGGTGCTTACTGAGGCCGAGTAGTGAATGATCGGAGGGCTGTCTGGTTGGTTCATCAAAAGGGAAACAAAGGAGTTTAAGCACTGGTTTTTTGCGAGCCTTCAAACGCTAAATAATTGATACATGATGATATCTTGGACGCCATATCACTGCCTAACTCCGTGAACCAATTTACAAACTCAACTTTTCCGATCAGACTTCCACAACTCCGGCTCGCTGTTTGTTACTTAACCCTCCTCAGCATCCATATGATCCCGATTCGACCCAGGTGGCCCTCTCTTCCGCCCCTTCCCGCCCTTCAAGACCGAACCCTTCTTCCCACGATCGTCCATCAGCGCCTTGATCTCAATCTTTGCTATCCGCTGCGCCTCTTCCACACGTGGCTTGAACACCATGACGTCGTCCTTTTCCAAGGGATACTCCTTGAGCTTAGTACCCAATGCCGCCTCAATGCGCAGCCAGAGCTCGAGGTCACTTGTGACAGTCAGCATCGGCCCAAAGTCTAAGCCTAGAGGTTCGTGCAAACTTACTATTGTGTTATAAAACTGATTGCGTGCCCCGACCTGCCGGCACGCGCCGTACGGCCCACGCGATGGACGTATGTCTTGGAGTCCCCTGGCAGGTCTAGGTTGAGGACGCAATCGACGTTGGGAATATCGAGACCGCGGGCGGCAACGTCGGTGGCCACGAGGATGTCGCGGGAACCGGCGCGGAATTTGTTGAGGGCGCCGAGACGCGCCGACTGGGAGAGGCCGCCGTGCAGCGGGATGGCGCCCATGCCGAGCGTGCGCAGCAGAATGGCGATCCGCTGGGTCTCGATCACGGTGCGGGTGAAGATGATGATGGTTTGGCCCGCGAATTCGTTGCATAGATAGATCAAGTAGGTGTCTTTGTGGGTGTGCGGGACGAATACGTAGTTTTGAACGAGGGTCGAGACGGTCTGGTACTTCGATGACGAAATGCTGACTTTCAGGGGGTCGCGCAAACTGGCGCGCTGCAGGCTCTCGACTTTGCTCGACATAGTGGCGGAGAAAAGGAAGGTTCTCCGTTCTCTAGGGAGGAACTTGAGGATCTTTTCCAGGATTGGGCCGAAGTCCATATCGAGGAGACTGCAGTTGTTAATAGAGTGACCGAGGGGCAGCAGGCGGGATTCTTACCGATCAGCTTCGTCCATAACCAGGTAGCGAAGATTGCGCCTAAGAGTACAGTCAGTAAGTCTGGCCCCATGGCCATAGATCTACAATCCATAAGGTCCACAGCAGACTCACAGGCTAAAACCCTTCGTCTTCTCCAGGTGGTCCAACAGCCGACCGGGAGTCGCAACCACCACGTGCGGCTTCTTTCCCAGCGCAATGGCTTGTTGCACCATATCCAAGCCACCCAAAACCAGAGCACACCGGAGCGAGATTAGAGAGCCCAGCGCCTCAAAGGATTGCGCGATTTGGGCTGCCAGTTCTCTTGTGGGGGCGAGGACGAGGGCGAACAGAGGCTGGGGCTTTTCGAGAAGGGCTTGGAGAATCGGGAGTGCAAATGCCGCCGTTTTACCGCTACCGGTTTCCGCAAGGCCGATAATGTCGCGGTCTTGCAAGGCAAGCGGAATCGATTCTTGCTGGATCGGTGTCGGTTTCTTGTATCCAAGCTGGTCGCAGGCTTCGCAGAGGGCGTCAACGATGCCCTAGTCCTATTGTCAGTCTCCAGGCTCAAATATCGAGTGATGGAGGTTACGTACCAAGTCCTGGAACGTTTTTTGGGGCAGGCTCCTCGCTCCCCTCTCCCGATGCATCGTCTATAGTCTCAGACTCGGCCTCCGAATTTGGCGCCGGGGATGGCTCATTCTGTGTTGCTGCAGGCGGGGGTTTTGTTTTGGGCTTTTGTATCTGAATTGAGGCTTCTTTTATGGCCCCATTTCCCGAAGAGACTTTCCTGCGTTTGGTCGACATGGTGGGCTATGTCAGCTTGTGTGTGAGGTGAAGTCTTTTTGGAGGCTTCAAAGTGAGAGATCGCGATGATGGAGGGAGCGCTGCTCCCAAAATTATGGGCTTATCGGCAGTGGGGCATGCACGATAAGCCCTGCCCCACCGAAATTTTTGCCCGCGTGCAACTGTCCCAGTCAATTGGTCTTTCGGGAGCTGCATCGAGATCAACGGAACTTGCAAGCAACAACACCACCGCCATCATCAGACATCATCATGGCCAAGAGACGCTCAAAAAAGAGAACCCATGCCGGCGCGACAAACCCTGTCACGCCGACAGCGATCAATGGATATGCCAACTCGAGAGATCCGAAGAGCATGGTTATTCGCATAGGCGCAGGCGAAGTTGGAACCAGCATCAGCCAGTTGGCCACCGATGTCCGACGTGTGATGGAACCGGGGACAGCGACGCGTCTGAAGGAGCGGAAAGGCAACAGGTTACGGGATTATGTTACCATGTGCGGGCCTCTCGGGGTCACTCATCTCCTCCTTTTCTCAAGGTCCGAGTCCGGGAACACCAATCTGCGCCTAGCCATTGCGCCGCGCGGCCCTACATTCCACTTCAGGGTCGAGAAGTATTCCTTGACCAAGGATGTGAAGAGGGCACAAAGGCACCCTAAGGGCGGCGGAAAAGAGTACATCACGCCTCCATTGGTAAGGATCCCGGTTCCAAATCTTCTAGGCACGCCCACTAATCACCCCTTAGCTCGTGATGAACAACTTCAGCAATCCCTCCGCGGACGCAAACTCCAAAGTACCCCCGGCACCTCGAGTCTCTCACCACGACCGCCTTTCAGTCCCTCTTCCCCCCGATCAACCCCCAAACAACACCCCTGAAGTCGATTAGGAGAGTATTGCTCCTGAACCGCGAACAGTCCGACGACGGAACGTTTATCGTGAACTTCCGGCACTACGCCATCACAACAAAATCAGTTGGCCTCTCGAGGCCATTAAGACGGCTGAACGCCGCTGAGAAGATGCTGAAGTCCAAGAAGGGGAAGAAGGGCGGTCTCCCAAACCTCGGGAAGCTGAAGGATATCTCAGAGTTCATGATTGGTGGCGAAGACGGCGAGGGATACATGACGGATGGCACCAGCGGAAGCGAAGCCGACACGGATGCCGAGGTCGAGATTTTGGAGACAGCTGCGAAGAGGGTTCATAGCGGCAAGACCAGGGCTACCGAGCAGGACAGCGACGATGACGAGGAGGGCGCTAACGACAACGTCGAGCGGCGCGCCGTGAAGCTGGTTGAGCTGGGGCCTCGGATGCGGCTGCGCATGACAAAGGTTGAGGAGGGTATTTGCTCGGGCAAGGTCATGTGGCACGAGTATGTCCACAAGTCGAAGGAGGAGATCAAGGAGCTGGAAAAGAGGTGGGAGCAGCGCAAGAGAGAGAAGGAGGCTCGCAAGAAGCAGCAGAAAGAGAACGTCGAGAAAAAGCGCAAGGAGAAAGCTGGAAACAAAAAGGCCGGCGGAGGCGGGGATAAGGATGATGATGAAATGGATGTGGATGAGTACGACAGCGACCTGTACGGCGAAGACGATTTTGACAGCGAGGGGCTAGAGGGCGATGCTGAAGGGCAGGTCAATGCCGAAATGGAGGAGAATGGCGAGTGGGAGGACGAGGAACAAGAGATTGCTCAAGGGAGGAGCTCAAAAAGGAAATCGCTCAAGAGGTAGTTGCAGCTAATTTGTCGTCATTTCCTCGCCAGCATGGCTCTTAAACTCAGTGGTGTTCACGCGTCCCTTGCACGAAATTCGAAAAGTACACGCAAGTAGATAAAGAGGCATGCATATTTGGATATCTGGGATACCAATGGTATTACCAGTCCTCAAACTTAGGTCTTTCTGATCATGTAGTAATTTTTCCGGTGAGCATATTTGAGTCTGATACAGAACATGCTTTTCGCCGAGTTCTTCAACCAGGTGCAATAGGGGTTAACTCCCGACTTGAAATTGATCCGGCCACTCGGCTCAACTCAAATCCAAAGCCCGCAGTCAAAATATGGAAATGGGATGTATCGTATTTGCAGTGCAAAACTGGAGACGAGATGCGACCTTCCCAAACAAGACCCATTTTACCAAGCTCCAACCCCGAAAATGACTTCACCGATTCCACATTCACATGCAAAACCAGCCCCGGCTCCATCGAAGATCCATCCAAGCCCTTCCGTGCCATCCCGAACCCAGATGCCGCGCCCCGAGACCATAGCCGAACGCCATCCCGAAAAGAAATGCCCCGGATATCACCCACCCCCGAAAACGCCATGCAAGCCATGCAAGCCATGCAAGCTATGCAAAAAAGAACAACCGAAAACCGCCCGCCCAGTGCCGGAAAAACCGAGCTAGCCCATCCATCATCCACTAACCCCGCCGCTGCGCCTCATAAACCGCCAGCGCCCTCTCCAGCTCGGCCAAGCTCCCGCGGTCGCCATACGCGTCCTCCATCGCCGCCTCCTGCTGGCGTCGCCGCCCAGTCTCGGCCCGCTCTTCCGAGGCAGACGTGGTGCTGGTGGTGGTGCTGGTGGTGGAGGAGGAGGCGGGTGAGTGTACGAATACCCCCTGCTGCTGTGGGCCCTGGGCGTCGCGGTAGCGCGAGACGGCGTAGCCTGCTGTGACGGCTGCTGCGAGGGGCGGGAGCCTGGGGGGGTGGGTGTTAGTTGGGACTTCTTGGTGCGTGGGTGGGTGGGTGGGTGTGGGTTAAATACCATTTCAGGCCCTTTCCGCCGCCGCGGGAGGCGTTGTGCAGGTAGGGGAGGTAGGGCGGGTGGACGCGGGCGGAGGTGGTGAGGAGTCTTGTTGGCGGTTGGCGGTTCATTTTGGTGGTGGTGGTGGTGGTGGAGGTATTGTTTATTGTTGCTCGTTGAAAGGTGTGAGAGGTCCTTTTGAGTCCGTCCGGGTTGAAATGAACTGTAAATTGAAGTCGAATATCTAGCTCATGGAGGGAGTGGACGGTTACGTCGGGCGAGTCTGGAAGGAGAAGAGGACGGAAGTCGGAGGATGGAGGGGTGCTAAACGTGTTCCTTTTAATGAGAGACAGGAACTGCCGCTTAGGCTCTTGAGAGTCAGGCCACAGGTTGGGGGGAATCTCGCTGCATTAAAAGCATGCGGCAGCGACCGGTCGGTCGGCATCTGGTGTGACAGAAGGCCCACAGTGGTGTGTTTTGAGCGCGTGGGAGCGGTGCCATGATCCGCATGTCGAGCCATTCGATGTGGGGGGATTAACCGAGGAAGAGGATGGTGTGCGATGGTGGGGTCCTCCAGCCCGCGGCCCTCCGCTTCCCCGGATATTTTGCGGGGAGCTGAATGGCTGCCTCGGTGCGGGATGGCTCGAATGGGTCGCTTTCAGCGGCGGCCACGTCAGGGACCCTGGTTACGTCAGGTTGATCGGGCACATTTCATACGGCGAGCGGGTCAAACATGCGGGATGTATGCAGAACATTCAAAATGGGGGGAAGGAAGCCAAAGCCCATGCCCGCTCCCCATTGCACATGTGGTACGGAATCCTGTGCACAGTATTCGTAATTACTCTCTTTCAATTTGAACACATTGTTCTCGCCGACAACTATGTGCCAGATCAATAGAGAGAGGCAGGTGTTACGGTCTTCCCGTTCTTAGGTGCATCTTGATGGGTAATTTGCTCAGGCTTTCTACCTCAACAACGGAGTTATTCGTGCATCACCGGCGCAGCTCGATCTCACGTCGCTTACTCGATTTATGCAGCTGATGGCCGATGATAATACTCTAGATGTGATTGACGCATTAAATAGGTTGTGTTACATGCTGCAGCGTGAGGTTGCTTTTGTGCTGAAAGACAGAAAAATGTGAAGTCAGAACATGAGGTAACGGTTGTCATCACTGTGTTTCATTGGCCCCCCCCGTCGGATGCAACCCTTCAGCAATCTGCAGCTTTGGGCGGCAGGCGGGCGGAAGGTGGGAGATGCGGGAAGGGGGGGGTTGTTGCCCTTAAATGGTGCGAAGCTAGAATTAATCCGGTGTTCCACTCAGAGTCGGCTCGGCTCTTGACTCCAACATTCTCCAAGCTTCGCGGCAGTAAAAATACTCGCGCCAAAGGCTTGGCTTCCATTCCAAAAGCACTATTGTTAAATTACCTTAAGTTAACGCCCAATACAACAAAAGAGGTCAAAGAGCTGTTGCGTGTTGACTACAGCATGCAGTGCGTGCTTGTGGTATGGACAGTCCTAACAAGAAGGTTGATCAATGCGAAGACTTGAGTCTGAGTTACTCGAGACATCCTCTCCGAGACTAGTGGGGAAATAAGGTTGAGCTACTCCAGTCAGAGCGACGCAGTATTAAAGCACGATAGGCTGCGAGCTAAGTACATATTACTCTATTCCCTATTTCACAATGGAAACTGAAACCTGACAGACGTGGGTAGAGAGTGCGAGTTCGAGCTGTTCTATTTGCTAATAGGATTGACGATGATGTAAAGTGAAGCCAGAATAGGTCGAAACAGGCACCCCGATGAAGAAAAACAACGACGATGACCCTTTGTTTTAAAGCCCAACCGCGCCTGAGGTATCGAGAGCGGCACAATCCAAAAAGAAATCAGCTCAAACCCTCACCCTCCACCCATACACCAAAGAAGGTACCCCGACCAAGGTACCGAGGGAGAGTCAAGAACGAAAAAGAAGTAATGACAAGAAAGGGAAGTGTTGAAGCGAGCCGCGTCAAGGAGTATTGACCGAGCTATGGAACCCTCTGAGCCTCCGAATATACAAACACACCATCATCCATCCTCCCCTTGAGCCTTCTCAACATGCCTTGCCGATGGGCTGACGTGCCGACCTTCTCTCGTTCATCATTCCATTACCCATCCACCCTGCATAATCATATCGATGGTTTTCGAGCTTAGGTGCGCAGCAGGCGAGCCAGGTACATGGCGAGAGACTCTTCTTTGGGAGGCTCGGGCGTCGGCTCGCGAACCTCTACCGGGGCGCTCCGCTTCCAGCGCTTGTGGTTCTCGAAAGGCCCGCCGGTCGGCCATGGCGGCGCCGGGGCGCCGGTGCCGGTGGGGAAGGGGGGAGCCGGCGCGGTGCCGGTGGGGAAGGGCGGCGCGGCGACGGCTTGCTGGACAGCGGCGGCCGCGGCCAGCGCTGTGATGAGGATGCGGGTCATCTCGGCGGCTTGGGGTGTGCGGCGGAGATGGGGCTGTGTCGGTCTGGTCGGGGACTCAGGACTTGGCTTGGGCGCGCTGGGTGCGATTGTGAAGCTGAAGAGGCCTGCCGACGCAGGAAACGACGGGACAGATGGTGGTTACTTATATAACCGTGGGGCTCCTTATCAAGAAGACACGGATTGTGGTCCTTCCGCATTACTTCTTACCGAAGGAGTGATGCGATCGACGGTGGCACGGTGATGCTTCACTGGACAAGGTGCCCCAGGAGGGTTGATACTACACTGTAAACTGCAGGACGGGCCAGCCTCGGCGCTGTTACTCAATCACATAATTCCCGTCCCCGGTACTTCGTACCAAGTTCGTCCCCAGCGGGCTGTTGGCCATGTTGTTGAATGCTCATCGCAGGCACCATCGAGAATCGTCGACCGAGCAGGTTCATGAGCAGCACTTTAATCTAATCGGAACGGGAGAGAAGCCCGGCCTACAGCGAATAAATTATCAGGAGGATGATCAACGGAGTATTTGGACAGTGCCCGGTTTCGGGGGACGACCTCAGCTTTTCCACCAGACAGAGCATGTGCGATTGGGCAAGGTTCTGGAGTAACCCGGACTGATTGTGAGTGCGCTTCCCGCTGAGCCGCTGCACTCTGATTGCCCCTTTTTTCCATCTTATGGGCATATGTCCCGATTAGACGCCGTGGTTCGCTTGCTTCCTCGAGCCGCTGCGGGTCCGAGAAAGGCGAAACATAAGCTTCGGTGGATTGTCTAGGTCCTTGGCAGTCGCATTTAATTTATCACCCCTTTCCCCTTTTTTCTCGATATCGGTATTTGGCCTGGCGATCGTTGGATCGTCGGGGTCCCTGGTTCCTGGTCTTGCGTCCTTGGCAGGACTTTAGCCTGGCTGAGTGCCGGAGGTTCGCAGGTCGGGTGGAAGCCGGGAGGACGATCCCCGTTGGCCGTTGGGGGCTTGATATGCGCCCAGATGCGCTGCATCGAACAGTGAAGAAATGGAATCGGTGTGAACTCGCCCGAGCAGTGCCGAGCCAGATGGGCATGGGCGGATGCGGCGTGGGCCAGGGGTCGAGATATAAGCACCTTGATTCTGCATTGTCCCCAAGCGAGCCGCCCTCCGTTATCATGTGCATGTTCCCGGAGTGGGTTGTGCGCGGGCGTATCTTCCTGCTACGAACTGCCGCGAGAATTCACGATTGTATTCCAGCTAACTATTCACAGCTTGGCTGTTGACCAAGGAGTGGTAATAATTAACAAATGTGCCCATCTACACAACATATTATCGATGGTGCCTAGTACTGGGAAGCTGGACTCCCAATGCAACACAAGCACGGCTGGGATAAGGGGGTAGTATAGGCAAAATCCCAGTTCTGATATAATATTGGTTGGCTGGACCGATTATCTCGAAGATCTCATGCCATTCCATTCCCCGATGTCGACAGCGGAGTTCGAGGCGTTCGCAGTGCCACTTCATACCACGGAAACATTGTCCATGCTCGTCCGTCCGTGATTGCTTCCACGCAGATCTTGCTCACACTTGCAAGCGAAGTTGGTGCAGGGCGGCTATTGGCGCGGAAACCCCCTCCATCAGTCCACATCGTCGCCCAAACCGAAGCACGCAACCAAGGCAGGGCCGCAGGGGTTGTCCGCCCGGATCGACTCTGCGGACAGACCTATGATTCGCAGCTTTGCTTGATCCGGGAAAATAACCAAGGAGAAATTTATCACGTTTGCTACCTTCGTCTCTGGAGTCCAAAACCTCTGGCTATCATTATTGCTGGAGTCATGAAAATCGGTTATTACTCAAATTAACATCAGTGGTCTCGCCACGGTTTGTTAATTAGGCGAGACATCCAAAACCAGGTACATATTTGTAGTGAACCAATTAACGAAAGCGGCAAGATATCTACGTCGTGCGGGTCAAATTTGCCAGAATGGGATCAAGATGCTCCGTTCGGACTGGCGATGGGAGGAGGAGAGGCGGAAGCGTACATAACGAGCCCCAAGGATAGGTCAGATACAGGAAATCTGGTTGTAGATCCTTAGCTGCTTTTTTTCTGAGTGGAGCGAACATGTCCCTTTTTGGCAGTAAACGCACTACCTTGACCCGTATGTTATATCGTGTTGGTGTCATATGTCCGTGAGCGTTGAGAGCACGGTATTCTAGCAACCATAACACGGCGCCTTTTGGTGCGACGAGTAGTATAGCCGGTAGTACTGCTTAAGTGGTATTGATTATGGCGTGTTGGTACCATTTCCTCCTCGCACGCTCTTCCGTTAGACAAAGAAAGGGGTAAAAGAGGCGCTGGTATGTTATTCCACCACTAGGGACGAGCTCAATGACCAAGATAAACAAGGCCGCGGGATAAGGTCACGCTTATAGCCAGCGCTCAGTCCATTCCTCGCAACTGCCTGCACTGCATTCGTCTCAAGCTCCATTCTCTAGCTCGGGCAATGGTTGGTCTCTAGAGGCCCCTTGGCACCCAGGCCTAACATTAGCAATCTAGATACATACCTACTATCTTCAACCATGGTCCCATTGGTCTGCATGTTACACGACACGGGCTGTCATAAGCGCTTCCTATAGAGTCTCATCCAATGTTAACATTAAAGGTAGGGATGTAGCTTCTATACCAAGAGCAGGTGGGCTGATTCTGACTCGCCGGCGGTGACGTTGCCGCTCCTGATAACATATCGCTAGGTGACGTGGTGACTCGGATGTGGGTTCGCCCGAGGCAGCCCGGTAGATGTTCCCACGTCCGCTCGACTTTGCCTCTGGTCTTTCGTGCACTGGAACCCGGACCTTCTGGTCATGTGGCACAATTCGCCGCCCGCTCTGAACCCGGCGCGTTCTCGGCCTGAACAGTTACCTGTTCCGGGTCAGCGCCACCATAGCCTTGTAATATGGGAATAAAACTCAACCACCTTACATGACGGCATAGATTATTCTCATGTCCGGCCCGGGACGGACTTCACACAACAGCAACAGTGGTATTTTCAGTGTGAGATATTGACGTTAGAGCGCGCGCTGGACGCCGCTGCCGACAACCTATTATTTGATTTTCATATTTTCCGATCTTTAAAACTGCCTATGGGGACGTTGGTTCCACCATGGTACAAAGAAAAGCCGACTTCACAGTCTGGTCTGCTCGTGGCTGCCTTCTTCTTCGGGGCATCGGTAGCTATCGCTGCGGTTGATTCCACAAAGGCCGGCCGCCAGTCGTTGCGCTCATGGCGTCGGAATCAACGAGCAAACGCATACGTAATAATGCTATGGGCGGTCATCTCCATGTGCATTGTTACCTCCGTGTGTAGCTGGCTGTTTCTGGTTGCCGTTATTCCCCCAAGGTGTGTCAACCCGAATTGCGCTGTGCTGCTGCATTCCCCATGTATTGACTGACGGTGTTTGGTTTTAGCATATGGTATTTCGTGGGAATACGTACGTATTAACCCTGGTCACTACTATAGCTTCCGAAGATTTGCTGACATGGCAGCTCACCATAGTTTTTACATGGGTCATCCAGGTACCTCGGTCAACCCTCGCTCCTACAAACAATGGCATGGTTACTGACGGCAACGATAGGTTCAATGCTTGATGCAGATCCTGGCCAACAGACTCTCCCTTATCATGTACAATCCCGTGAAAGAACGGCGACTCAAGCTGGGATTGTTCCTCATAATCGGCCTCATCAACGTCAGCGTCTTCTGCATCTGGGTACCTGCCCGGCTGCAGATCAGCCCGACGTGGATTCACGTCAACCAGATTTGGGACCGGATTGAAAAGGGTATCTTTGCCGTTGTGGACATGGCCATGAACATCTATTTCATGTGGCTCGTCAAGTCCAAGCTGGTGTCAAGCGGACTCACGCAATACAACCTCGTTTACAAGTACAACCTAGTCATGGTTTGCTTGTCCATTTCGCTTGATGTAAGCAGCTTGCGGACCATGTATTGCAGGTATAGAGATTTGGCTCGCTGACGTGATGGCTCTGCTATTAGATCCTCCTTATCGGTCTCATGTCGTTGCCGGACGACGCAGTGTAAGCATGGCTTTGCCCTAATTGCCTTACACAGATGTATTGACACACGATTAGTTACGTTCAAGTCCACCCGCTAGCCTTCCTCACCAAGCTCAGCATCGAGATGAACATGGCGGATCTACTCGGAAAGGTAGTTAAGAGGTCGCACGAAGGGAACGCCTCCCTGCCGACGACAGATACATGGCAACCACCTCTCGAAATGGAGGTGTTTGGTAGGGAATGGCTGGGGAGTGCTAAGGGCTTTAACTTGCCGCCGGGGAGCCGCAGCGGCGGCGGCCAGATGCATGAGCTTAACTTGGACATCCTAGACGGCAAAAATGGAGGGCAGAATATCACCGAAGGGCAAGGGGCTTCCAGCTCAGGGGCACAAGGAAACTTGGAAGAGTCGCAGTTACAGCGGAATGCAGACGGGGAGCTGGCTAGGCCACGGGGAGAGGGCGTGGAGGATGCGGAAAGGAAGGGAAAAGGTACGCCGGGCGTTTAGAAGAGGAATATATTGTGCCTCGGGTTTCTAGGGGCACCCCTCGTCATGCATCATCGCCGTTGTCGTCGTCGGACGATGCAGGCTAGGGTTAGGGTTTAGCCGTCGGCTCGGCTACTTGATATGTTAGGTGCCCCACCTTTCTCAACGTCACTCGATGCTCTGCGCCGCGTGGGGCGAGTGAATGAAGCTTCCTTCCCATCCCATATTATGTTTTTTTAGCATCGCGAGGGTTCCGACATGGACAAAGCGCAAGATTCGGAATTCAAGGGACATACCCGAACAAGGTCGGGCGTAAAAGGCAAGTAGAAGCCCACAAAATCGCAAGGGAGATCGGGATCGTGCTGTTCAACTGCCTGCATTTCGCAACCGTGTGATGATGCAGTGATTGATTGAATAGTTACCCCTGTGAAGCTGCGGATGTCGGTATTTAATTTCAAGATGCAAAGTCGCTAATTCTGTTCTTTTTTTGTAGCAACGCGGCCTCGCTCATCCACCAAAGGGCCTCTCGATGACGAGTGAGTGCCGCGCCTTCCTTTTCCCCAACCCGCAACGCCGGTAACGTGACACATAACCCTGACCGTGATTTCCCAACATGGAAGCGGCCCTCTAGCATCGCCTCTTTCCGCGGACCAAGTTCAGCAAACACTCTCCCTCAGAAATCATCCCAGAAGTCCCGGTCTCGGATCGCCCATGATGCCGCGTTCCCCAGCCCACTCACCAGCCCCCGGCAAGCGAGTTGCTGTCGGCGGTGCACCCCCCTCGAAACAAGGTCCAAAGGACTTTTCGTATCTTTTGCGCCCGGAGATTTACCACCCACTCACTCCGCTCAACATCCCCCCGCCTTTCCGTAACCCACCTAACCCCCCGGCTCCGGACACGCCCATCCCGGACCTCCTCTCACAGGGCTACTTCCGCGCGGCCGCCATCGCCGCCACGCAGACCCTCACCAGCGGCACACTCGACCCGACCGACCATACGCGCATCTTCGACCTGCTCTATACCCGCCTCGCCTGCCTCACCCTGATCGACGCCACCGCGCTCGCCGCGCAGGAGGTGAAAGCCCTCGGCGACCTGCACTCAGCCTTCTACTACACCTCCCCTGCTACACAGCAGCAGCAGCAGCAGCAGCAACAACAACCCGGCACCCCCATCACCCCCGGCCTCCAACCCCAAGACGACCCCACCAACCCCAACCCCACCCCCAACAGTAACCCCAGCAGCGCACCAACACCAACGCACGTCGTCCCCTGGCCACTACGCCTCCTCGCCGTGCGCCTGCAAGCGCTCGGCTTCGGCGACCCGCGGCGCGCCGTCATGAGCTACTACGAGCTGGCGCGCGAGGCGCGCGCCCGCGTGGCCGCCGCCCGCGCCGCGCACGACCATTCCGCCGCCGAGGCCTGGAAGCACCGCCTGGCCGACCTCGGCGTGCGCGTCGCGGGCGCGCTGGTCGAGATGGATGACCTGGCCGGGGCCGCGGCGCATTTGGGGACGTTGGGGGGGGAGGGGGTTGGGGGTGGTGGTGGTGGTGACGGCCTTGGTGGTGGTGGTGCGGTTGGTGGTGGTGGGTGGGGGATGGTGCGGGTTAGGCGGGCGTTGTTGTGGTTGCATCTGGGCGATGTGGATGCCGCGAGGGCTTGTTGTGTTGGTGAGGGGACTGGGGACGGTGGAGGGGTTGAGGAGCGAGTGGTGACGTCGTTGTGTGATATGGCGGATGGGGAGTATGAGGCTGCCCTGGGAAAGTGGGCCCAGTTGAAGGAGCTAGTCGATGATGAGATGGTGGGCGTGAACATGGCGGTTTGCCTACTGTATGTGGGAAAGATGCATGAGGTAAGTGTGGTGTTTCTGTGTTGTTCGGCTTTGTTTGGGCACGGCATTTCATACGGCAGACTGCTGACATCTAATAGGGACGCGCATTGCTGGAACAGCTCGTGGATTCCGGTCGGGCTTCACATACGCTGCTTTTCAACTTGTCCACCATGTATGAGCTCTGTACAGACAGGTCACGGGCGCTCAAGGTAGGGTTGTCAGAGAAAGTGGCCGTCATGACTGATCGAACGGAAGGCTGGGAGAAAAACAATGCGGATTTCAAGCTGTGAATGCGGTAAGGCTGGAATCGATGAGATCATGAAGGAGAATACATAGTCGAGTTGCTTGTGCGCCGCCTCGTTATATTTAACCCACAATGTCGTCACTCTCTCGCCCCTATCCTTCACCCCTTCATCATCAGACTTTTCTCCCCCAGTAGTTCGCTTTTGCCTAACCATTACTATTCGCACACACACGCAAGCTTAGTAGCGAGAGGAAGACTAACACATCGTTATCTCTTACGGGCGCACTTCCGGGGCTTTTTAAGCTACCTACGCTACCTTGTTTCCCTGTCGTCCCCTTCTCTCCGCCAGGGATAGCGTTACACGACGCAACATACAACATCAACTTGTGTTGTTCTACAAGGTGTATTTATCGTCCTGCCCACTGATTACAATCCCGTCTCACTTCAGCATCCCTCTCAACTTCGGCATTGTTACCATCCCAAGTCTATATCTATCTTAGAGCTACCCTCTCTGCCCTACCGCCCCAGTACCTTCACATCGGCTGACCCGGTCGATAAGATGGCCTACTCGCTGCGATCCCTCAACCACCAACCCACACAGACACCGCCGCCGCCGCCGCCTTCACCCCCCCATGGTAGGCCCCTCACTTTCCTGGACTTGCCGCGAAGCATCCGGGACCGTGTCTACCATTCCGTTCTCCACGACAGCGCGCCACAATCACCAGACCCCATCGAAGACCAAGATACGCCGCCGCACGTCCCCGTCGCTGAATTCGGTCTCCTGTGCGCGTCCTGCCAAGTCTACGAAGAGGCGTCTGAAGTCCTTTACCGCACTGTCCACCTGGGTTCGGATGCCCGCCTCGCCCGAAGCTTCTTGGACTTTATGGGTCCCTCTCGGCGGCGGCAAATCCGCAACCTCACCGTGTTCTACAAATGTCACGGCAGCTGCGAGCTGATGCGGACCAGCCACAACTGGATCCCCGTCTTTAACCTGCTGTGGGAGTCGTGGGCATGCGTGCATCAGGTGGACATCCACTTCGCCCCCTTGGAGGCGTCTGTTGACCGGGACGGTGCCGTCACGGCGAGGAAGAGGTGCTTGTTTGAGTGGGACGAGACGGCCGATCGCTTCTGGCGGGGATTGGGTGCATTTACGACGGCTCGCGAGATTCGGTTTTTGAATCCCGTTCCCGAGTACTTTGTCCAGCAGCAAGCCTGGGAGCTCGGGTGGCGAGTGGAAGGCCACACAATCGACGATCATCATGCGGCTAGGGCACTTCCCCTTGGTCCCTTCGTTGGCAAACTGGTCAACCCAACCTACCCCGAGGAGGCGAACTGGGTCCACGAAAGGAACCAGCTGGCTGACCAAGGGCTCGACATTGCCGACAAGCCCCCAAGCAGCCAACGGAAAGCAACCCAGACCGTTGTCGGCGACACCGCGCCGAAGTTACACTTTTTCGATCTCCCGTTGGAGATCCGTACGATGATTTACGAAGAGGTTTGCACCGACTGGGCGTTTAAGCCGTATTGGCCTACTCAGCCGGCGCGTTGGAGTCAGGGTCTCGGCCTTGTCCTCGTGTGTAAGCGGATCTGGGAAGAGGCTTGGCCATTCATGTTTAAGAAGGTTCGAATCTCGGGCGGGTCACCTCTCGGCGGCATTGAGAGGATCGGTCCCGGAATCCGTCATACCAAGGTGGTAGATATCCACTTCTCCTGCTTTTGCCCCTCGGGCCCCGTCAACCTGCGCCTTAACAACGAGACCATCTTCGCCAGGGAGGACCCAGTCTGGACATATCCTCGGGGAACGCGGAGCTTTACCCACTGGCAGCCAAGCGCCGCTTCTATAAATACTTACAAAAACGAGTGGACGGAGACTATGAACCGGATCAAATCGCAACCCAACATCCGGGAGGTGTCCACAACGTTTATCTCCTGCTGCCGCCGACCAGCTACCAACGAAAACTGGATGCCATACGCTCGGACACGGACACCAATGGCCGACAATTGGAAATCGTGCTGCCTCGACCTCGAGGGTCACTTTACTTCCCTCCTCGCCACCTGCCGCAACGTCGACACGGTCACCCTCCGCGGGAACGTCCCCCCCAGCCTAGCTCTAAGACTCGAGCATCCAGACACCGGCCTAGGCCTTCCGGTGCAGGCCGTCAGCAAAGAAATGGCCGCTTTTATCAAGGGCGCCGAAAAGGAGACCGCGGAGAGGGACCCTGCTGACCCGTCGTGGGCCAAGAAGACGCCGTACCCGCCGCTGCGTTACCACCCGGCAAAGACTCCTCCCCCCCACTTCGTGCTCGGCAGAACCAGGCCAGCGACAGCGACATGGCCGTGGTTAGAGGAGAGAGGTAAGGGGGACGAGACGGCGACGGGAATGGAGTTTGTTTCTGGCCCGCTGTTTTCTGGGACATGGGAACAGGCATCCGCGGTTCTTGACTTTAAGAATGTTGTGGTCCGGGACGATAGTAGTGAAGTAGCCTGTTGCTGCCGCTGCTGCTTGCGTCTACCGTCCGGGGGCGTGGCCGCGTAGCGGACACGCCAGATGCGTTTGAGCATGTGAGGACGTACTGAGCTAGGTCTAACATACAATATATAGTGAAGTAGCGTGATGATGGTTGAATGGTTATTTTTTCATACATCTTGTGATCGATCCACGCAGGTGACTTTAGTTATGGGGGATAGAAGCCTGTGCTTCCGTCAGTTACCCCTTGCGGCCAACCTCGCCCTGTAGTACCCTACATGTATCCGGAAGCACCTCTGACGTGACATAGTCGTCCCGCAGCCACCAACCGGTGCGGCGCCGGCAGGTGGGGAAGTTGGTATGTACCGTTGCACTCACCGGACCGCGTTGGGCCGCTTATACACATGATCCCGTCAAGACACTCCTCAACCTATTTTTCTATTTTTTGTCGTGCCACGTCTAGGTCTCTTTTCCCATCTACCGACTTGGTGTTGAAAAGTACCGTCGCTTTTCATCAAGTTCTTAAACAACTCCCATCTCAAGCCTCCCCGATATCCGCGCATCACAACCCCCAGGATACGTAACCCCCATCCTCACCCATCACAACCCCCCCATCCCCACCAACCCCTCCACCGCCTCCCTAACCGCCTCCACCCCCCCAAACACAACCCCCCCCTTCTCCCCACAATCCCCCACCGCCCTCTCCAACACCCGCCCGCCCCCAACCGGATCCAGCACCGCGCCGCCGGCGCACTCCACCACCAGCGCGAGCGGGCACAGCTCGTACAGTCGGCGCAGCTTGGGCCCGTCGCGCGCCGTGGCCGGGCTGGCGTACAGGCCCTCGCCGCGCACCAGCATGTGCACGACGTCCGGCACCAACCCCCCCGCGTACCGCAGCGTGTACCGCTGCGCGATGTACCGCGTGATGAGGGCCATGTAGGCGGGCGCGTGGGCGGCGGCGCGCAGGTTGGCCGGGGAGAAGTAGCGGGAGGTCGGGGAGAGGGTCAGGGTGGGGCGGGTTAGCTGCCAGGTGGGTTGTTGGGAGGGGGATGATGGGGGGGCGGGGGAGAGGGCGAGTTCGAAGCAGGTTGGGGGGGTTGTGGTGGTGGTGTTGGTGTTGGGGGGACGCAGGGCGACGATGGCGGTCGTGCGCGGGCCGAAGACGCCCAGGATGGCGGCCACTTGCCCCGTGGTTGGGTCCTGGTGCAGAGCGGTCGGGCCGTCCCAGAGGGAGAAGATGGCGCCTACGGTCCAGTTGGCTGAGATGATGGAGCTGCCGTCGAGGGGGTCGAAGGCGAGCGTGTACTGTTCTTGGGCGGAAGAGGTGGAGGAGGGCACGGTGTGCTGGACGGCGCGCTCGATGGGCTCTTCCTCGCTGCTGGCGGTGACGATGGACGGGCATTGGGCGATGGCCTCGCGGATGAGGTTTTCCGCTGCCACGTCGACGTTGAGTTCTGGAGGCATTAGTCCTTCCGCTGTTGTTTTGTAGTGGTGGTGATGGACAGGGGCGAGACACACGATCATCGCCAAACGTGTTGGCAGTGCCCACAGCAGCGACGTCGTGGGAGCTGCGGAGGGCCTGGGCTACGTCGGCTACGCTCTGGAGGAGCTTGGGAATGACCGAGGTAATGAGGGCATCGCGGGACCCATCTTGGGGAAGCACGGATCGCAAGTGCTGAATGAGAGAGGAAGAGGCTTCGTCGGAATCCGATGTGTTCACCATTGTGAGATAATAATATAATATTGAAAGAAACCTGGAATCTATGCCGCTGCTTGTGAACAATCCCTTTTTGTGTTGTTGAGCTTTTGTTTATTGTCCTGTGAGGGTAAGGGCGTGAATCAAATGCACTCTGTGACGTGACAATGCTAATAATAGATGATGCGTTATTTGGGTTTGAAGTTCACACTTTGAACATTCTCCATGCGCCTTGAAAGCTCTAACCAATCTCTCCATAACCCCGCAACGCCGAAACCGCAATCACAAAAGTTCCATCATGAGCAATGAGCAAAACTCCACCTCAGGGTTAGGGTCGAGGTATGAGTTCGCCCCTGAATCAGGGGTAATCAACAAAGCATCTTCAGCTTGACCACCTCAATGAGGGCGCCGAAGGGTTTCTTGGGAACAAGACAACCACATTTCATGCGTGATCACGACGGTGATTGCTTAATGGTCCACCTCAGTGGTCTAGTCCAAGTCGAGCCTTGAGGGGAAATCGCAATGGGTGTGCGAATTGCGAGTTTCTACTCTTGTCTGGGGGTCACTTGAAGAGACGAAACCGCAACACTCGTGAAATACCCATAACCTCGGACGGCGGGCTGCTAGTCTGGGCCGTGTGAATCCCTGATCGGATGTTAGTGCGATTGTTATGTTTCTTCGTATCCTGAAAATTATCTGAGTTGGTCAAAATCATTCCCCAGACTCTCCCGTTTTCCTTCCCACATTCAACACTTCACTTCTCACCGAATCGTCAAGATGATGGATGCAAGCCAGACCGACCACAGCAGTGAGCTGTCAAGCGACCGTTGCTCTCAGAGTATTGAAGGTAATGTCGCCTATTCCCTTGGTTCTACCTTTTTATGCTATTAAAACATTTGCGGCTTTGCTTCTGGATGCCGAACCCTTAATCGCTAACGTTCCATTTCAGCAGAGGAATCTACTCCCAGCATGACGCCCACCCAAGCCAACGGCCACAAGCGGGCTCGTTCCCCTTTGGACTTTGAGCTTGTTGTGCCCGAGACGACTGCTACCGACCAAGCCACGCGGTCTTCTCCTCGGATGGTTTTGATGCACCTGAGCGCCCTGTTGTCTTGCGAGGAGTCCATTACTTCTGTCTCTAGAACCCTTGCCGCCGAGGTCTTGCCCGAGGACGATCTGCCCAAGTTCACAAATGAAACAATCGTTCGTGCCTTCACCATGTCTCCGATGGCGTTGGACATCCTGGGAGACATAATCGGCCGTGACCTGACTCCCGAGGAAGCCAGACTTGCTAAAGAGAGCTACTCGCGGATTCACCACGACGTGGGTGGGCCGCTGCTTGGGTTGGCGCCCCGAGCCAAGGAGTTCCTGGAGTTGATGAAGCGCCACCGCGAAGATATCAAACTAGCAGTTATCTCTCAGAATCCCCCGGCAGCTGCGGCGAAACTGGCAGCCATGGGCGTGGGCCACCTCGTTGACGTTGTAAGTATGATTCCAGTGGATGGTTATTATCCCACCATGCCATTCCCTCCAACGCACCCACCAGACAGCCTTCAGATCCCTAACTCACCCCCATCACCAGATCATCCCGCGAATCCACATCCAGGTCCACTCCACCGACCCCGCAACCGCCGTCGACTTCTTCTGGGACCACTGGCAGCGGATGGTCGCGCCGTCCTTCATCACCCTCTGCCGCGGCACGCCCGCCGCCACCAACATCGCCAACGGCACCACAACCCCCCCCAGCAGCGAGACTACCGCCGCCGCCACCAACAAGAATGACACCACCCCCGTCCCAACTAACACCACCGCCATTCCCAACACCCCCACCACAACCACACCCACCACGACAAACCCCAACACCACCCCCGCCCCCCTAACCCCCTCCCAAACCCTCGTAGTCTCCTGCGGCCTGTACGACCTGTCGATCGCGCAGCCGAGCGGCGCCCAGACGTGCTGGGTGCGCCGGATCCGGGACGAGGCGGCGGCGTCGGCGGCGGCGCGGGAGTCGACTTCGGTGCCACACGACATGGTTGTGTCGGGGCTGGATGAGCTGGGTGTGGAGTTGTTTGGGGAGGGGGTTGGTCGTCGTGGTGAGGGTTTGGGTGAGGGAGAGTTGAGTGAGGAGGGCTCGGTTGAAGAGAGCTCAGTTGAGGAGGGTTCGGTTGAAGATGGCCCGGTTCAGGAGGCGATGAGTGTGGCTTCTTCTAGTGAGGGCGCGGAGGTCGAGGTTGTCAAGGTGGTCACGGTTGCCGCCACCCTGGAGGAGTGATGGATCCGTGGGGGGTTGGACCATGGAGGGGGTTGCTTCACACAATGCGTTGAGGTAAGGGTTCAACTTGGTCTTGCTGCTTTAGCGACACAATCTGCTTTTACTCCGCCTGTCTCTTCCGCCATGCCTTGCGTTATTTCTTGCGTTTTACCTTTGCATTTTGGCTGTCTCTGGTTATGGGGAGGTCTGGTCTTTTCCTGGGGCGTAATGCGGGCCGAACAGCTTCCACCCTATACTCTGTTTCTTTTCGACTTGGTTTCATTCTCTTCATTGTCTATCAAGCAACCGGCAACTCCAAAAGAACTAGTCAGGTGAAAAGTCGCCCAAGCACAGGTAATGAGCTACGTCTAGCTATGCATACGATCGAGGGAAACCCCAGACGGCCTTTCAGTCGCTGTAGCATGAAGACCCGCACCATCGAACACCTCCCTCATGCAAGCGTAACATTGGCGGCAATGTACTCATCCAGACCCACCAGCGGGTGCGGCAGCAGAGCCGCCGTCTCCTCGACCAACCTCTCCGTCTCCGGGCCATAATACCCGACCTCGGCAATGAACCGGAACATGCTCACCATCGGATCCCTCGCCCCTTCCGGCAGGTGCGTCTTGAACTCCTCCTCCGACACCCTCACATACTTGACCACCTTCCCCGTAGCCCTCGACATCTTCTCGACAACCTCATCGAACGAGAACAGCCCGCTGGCCACGCACAGCTGCTTCCCCGCAAACCGCTCCGGCTCCGCCAGCACCGCCCCAACGGCCCTGCCCGTATCCGCCACCACATCAATCCACGGAATGGCGCGGTCGCCCGGCATGGTGTTGACGATGGCGTAGACACCATCACCGACGGGGCGCGGCGCCATGAGGGAGGCGAGGTTCTGCATGAAGGAGCCGGGGGCGTAGAAGGCGCTGCGCACGGGCAGAGCGCGGATGTAGGCCTCGACCTCGCCGCGGGAGTCGAAGGAGGGCACGCGGTGGCGGCCGGCGGAGAGGGCCTCCGGGTGGACCTCGGAGCTGTAGACGAGGCAGCGGGCGCCGGCGGCGACGGCGGCGTCGGCGGCGGCCTTGCCGTGGCGCACCTCGCGCTCCTTGGTCTGGGCGTCGTAGACGGTCGTCGTGGTGATGAAGACGCTGTGCGCGCCGGCCAGGGCGCGGTGGAGGGACGCCGCGTCGTCCAAGTCGGCCTGGACGACCTCGGCGCCGCGGGCGCGGAGGGCGGCGGCGGATGGTTGGTCGGGGTTGCGGGTGATGCCGCGGACCTTGTAGCGTGCTGAGAGGGTTGGGTCGGAGAGGACGAAGTCGGCGAGGGAGCCCCCCTGTTGGCCGGTCGCACCGAAGATGACGAGGAGTTGGCTCATGGTGACGATGAACGATCGTGCGGGGTAACGAAGTATCCCAGGATGATATCGTGGATGATGCCGGTGGTGTGTGTGTACACTTTGCGTAAAGCCTTAGACAGTGAGCCGCCCGGAAGGCTTGGTGGCTCACTTGTCTTATAAGTCATTGATCGCTCATTGCCAAGTTAAGATGTCATCAGGGCTGTGTTTGTGTCTTTCGCTTGCCTTTCCCTGCCCCCGGCGAAACGCCCGAGGCTATGTCCGCTATATCCAGCAGCAGACCACCGGGCACCAGGAGAGACGGCCAACAACGCTTTGTCAACAGCAGGGAACTCAGGTGATGCAACATCGGGTTTACGGGGGGATCCCCCAACCGGAGATATGGCGGCGCGGGTTAGTTCATCGACGGCGAAACCAGCAACTGCAGCGTCAGGTAAGCAAGCATACACAGCGAGATAGTACACATTACATTCGGGTTATTCATTTCCCTTGTTACTAACATCTCGGTCGGTGACCAGGTCAGGGTGGAGGCAGCGAATTTGTGGTGTTAAGATCCTAAGACCGGCTTGGCTGAGTTGTTCCCGGGCCTCGCGGACCCGCCGGCCTTAAGATCTTATCGCCACACACCTTGACACTGGCTCTTCGTGGTGGGAGCCGTTGGTTTGGTCTTCCGCCGACGAGCGTCCGAACAGCACGGGAAAAAACCTGGTAAGCAATGGCTCAGGCCGGTCGGGCAACCTCAAATGTGGGCAGTTGATAGTTGTTGGAGGACCAGTCTTTGAAGAGGGCCGGCCCTGACCGCCGTGCGTTTTTGCCCAAGACGATCGTGGGTTTGGCCTTGAAGGCACGGGACAACGAAAATTCCGGACATGAAGAATGATGCACACGGACGGGTACCGTGGTGAGGGCATCTTGGTGCTGAAAGGAATATCCCGATCCCGGCTGGATGCCAGATGGTTCGGCGGTATCGTTGTTGGGTATCATAATGCGCTATAACTCTCTTAAGCCCCCCCTGCCCAGCCACCCCAGTCACCCGCGCTCAGGTCACGCTCGTCAATAGCCATGCCCACGTCGACTTCTATGCCGATCACTCGGGTGCCCATGCCTACTACTCCGATGGTGACTGGGCCACCCGTAATCTGCTTGGTTGTGGCCGTGGCCGCGATATGAGTGGTTGCTTCGGCCTGGATGGCGTGGCTCTGGCTCCCGGATCGTCTCTTCGACCTCGACCTCCTGTTCCTCATACTCGTCGTTGAAGTGGCGACTGACAAGGTCCTTTTCCTTGCGCGCTTCGTCGGCATCGAAGACAAACCGCTGCGTCCCTTCGCTGGGCGCTCTCTTGCGCTTCGTTGACCCACTCCCCGGCAGTGAAGGGTTTGTTGCCGGTGAGGTGGCCGAGCCGGGCGTGACAGACCGGGTATCTACCACGTCCGGCGCGCATCGATCGCACCACCCGTGGTAGCGGCGATGCTTCTCCTTGGCCACGATGTTGTTGATGTCAATCTTGACATCCATGACCTTCTGAACGGCAAGTTGAGGACCAATCTTGGTGGACTTTGGGAACTGCGTATACAAATCCAGCAAATCCAACATGGTCTCGAGCACGCACGCTCTCTGGGTGTGCCAGGCGGCGGGGCTTTTAAACTCTTTCATCTTTTGCGGGTCGGTGTCCAGAAGAAGGGATGTGAGCTCGAGGATGGCGAGTACCAGGGTGAAGGTGGCTTGTTTGATGGGCGCAAAGGTCTTGTAAAGGTCGATCGACATATTATAAGCGATGCGGAGAAATCTGTTTCCCTCCTCTCGGGCCGCATTGCTCCCACGCGGGAACATTTTCCTGACCATCTTCGTAAGGAGCTTCTGGGGGTACTGGACCCGGAAGTCAAACCCGATCGTTTCCAGAATGTGCCGCTCCAGCCCGACGGTGAAACGAGATGGAGCCTCGAAAATCTTTGCAACATAATCAGTCAATGCTGGTAACGAGCTTCAACCGCGCCCGAGATTACCCGTTGCCTACCTTGTCATCTGGCGTTTTGTGGTCGTGAGGTTGCCTGAGATTGTGCGCCGCGCAGAGAATCTCCTTCGACTTCTTGATGGTGTCTTCAGCCTTGCAGGCGACAAACAAGGCCGCCAGTGCAACGTCCTCATAATTATATTCGTTGCTAGGGAACCGTACTCGGAACTTGTGGTAGTATATCGCCGCCGTGTCAAACGTCTTGACCGGTCTATCGAGCACAGGTGTCAGTGATACTAGCTCGGCAGAGTTCCGAAAGGGGACAGAGATAGCACGCACAATTGCAGGCCTTGTCGGACGCCGTCAATAAGTTGAATGCCCTTCAGTCGATAGCCATCTTCCCGCGCCTCATCGTAGGCTATCTGCTTCATGCTCTGCCGGAGTCCCTGTTCCGAGTTGTACTGCGAAGGTATCGCGGAAAGGCCCGACGGAGGGCCTACCGGAACGTCATCGGTAGGCGCTGGCTGTCGACTGGTGGGAGCTGATGGTTGAGCCTGCTGCGGCGCCATTGATTCGTTGAGCCGCGGTCGGTCGGAAAAGTAGAAGCTGGCGATCTTGAATGACGGGATTGGGGAAGCGTGGTGTGGAGAAGGCCTAACCTGCGTGTGGCAGAGGGCCCACTTTTGAGGGTGGATTAACTAAGCAGAGTGGCGGGATACCAGCATCACAAGATCCGCAGATAAACCGAAAAACGTCAACACACTATTTACTGGACTGCGCGATGGCAGCACGGCAAGTACCAGAGGGGACTTTTCGTTTTTCCGTTTTGCGTTGCATTTTTCCCGCAATGGCGGTCCCGGTAAAGATGACGCTCACTACCAAAAGAATTTGGTCAGCGCCCGCCAAACTGTCATACCGATGGGCCTTTTTCTGCCAAACAGAATCACGAGAATTCGGAAGGCGGTGCACCAATTGTTTTGGTAGGGTCTTTCGTATTTCGCCAGAGGTCCTGAGCTTCTCAGGGGTTCAGGGGCAGGTTCAGGGGCAAGCAGGCAATTCTAGGTACCTACCTATTATTTCCCAGCACTCGCAGCAGTTGCCCCATTTCTCTCCATTTGTAACTACAACCATCTGCTCACGTGAAGGCGTATCGACATTGAGGTCGAGGGACCTCCTGCGACGAAGGTTGCATCTTGAGCCATCTCCTCGCCCATGTGACATTGCCAATATTACGATGTCGAGGTACATGACCTGCGTTGGTGGTGTGTGTGGTTTATACCGCTTTATTATTTAAAGTTAGTGCTTAATCCGCAATTGTTATTTGGAGACAATAAACCCAAGCTTAATGAATAAATGAGGTTATTAATAAAATTATATCATAAAGACAGATTACAAGAACGAAGTCAGCACCTATGGAAGCTGTAATAGAACATAACGTACTTTTTCTTTCCCTCTTTTATTACTAGTACCTTTTATTTCTTACTCTATAGTAACCCCGTCACGCTTAGTTAACCACCTATATAGATGATAATTCTTACTCAAGCACAAAACTCAACTCATTATTATTCAATAACTCCATGACCGTATCTCGACCTAGTTATTAATTGCCACTGCCTCGTCATTTTCCTACGTTTCCTGAGGACAAAGGGACTCTATCTTCAACGGGTAGTTTATTATCTCTTCAAGTTCATATCAATTACTAGCGATGACAGAATCTCGTGAAGATGATGTTGTTACGCAGCAGCCTACAAGAGCTCCGGCCCACCAAACGGGTCACCATCACCGAACTTGCGCGGAGGCCTGGCACCGAGATAGAATCTTTCGGCAGCAAGTGAGGTACCACGGGTGCCCCTCTCTATCTATTGATAGCATTCCTAAGGATATGAAGCTTGCAGATATCCAGGCTTGTTGCAATAAGTCGGCGCCCATTTATATGTTATGGGACGCATCTATTTCAACAGAAGGGTGGCAGTACCTTGCTGCAATGCTACATAACTATTTGTATCCTACATGGTAAGTCTAATTCTTCACACAACTCCCACTATATTTCTGGACATCTGGCCGCCCTCTTTATAACATATCCGGCCTTGAGTAGGTAGGGTGCTATGCTAATTAACAACTAGCCCATTCGCCACGCTCGAATGGTAGTACATCCTCCTCGGCTTTATAATCATAGATTTACTATCTTTGAGCACGTCCAATTATAGTATCGTTCAAGGAGGTCGGTCAGTCGTCTTTCCATTTCCCAACTAAAGCGGGCAATACAAATGGCAGAAGACTCTAACTAACACATATCGCGATGACGAATAGGTTTCAACCATACCAGAGCGAGATTGATCATGGCCAGTTTATCGTCCAACCGATAACTATTCTTCGGACCCCTTCGAGGCTTATGACCGCATCACCCCGGCCTACTGAGACCGCGCAGTTCGCAGCGGCATTAAGCCGAGCTATTTGCACCCATGTCGAGACGGCGCAGCGAAAGATCGGGAGGCGTACGCATGGTGCGGGCCTTGACTATATGGAGAAATCCGAGTTGCTTCCCCTGCTCAAGGACATCGGCCCTGGTGCTGGTGACTGGGAGACCATCGAGGACCAAAGGTTCCTTGTGCTACAGCCACTGTTCCGCGCTGTAGCTATCGTTCTACATGCCAGGGATTATGATGTCTTTATCCAAGACATCTCCCAAATCCCCGTCCTACTCGTCCTAACTGGAAACGTGGAAGGCTTGAGTGCGCCAATTGCATTCGACCACATTGCGGACCAGGTTGTCGTACACCACGACCACGCTGCAGACTCTGTCCAGGTCGCGGAAACGAGACTTTCCACCGCCGTCGGTTTCCTTATGCACCTGGAGCAGCGGGAGCTGGCAGCGTTCAGGCCAAACCCAGACCCTTGTGCCGGGGCCGGGCGGTGGGCGGTCGATGGACTAGAAGGCCCAACCTCAAGCTGGGTTGATCCTAATATATACAAAGAATGGACCGGGGAAAATATTGAGTTTGGCCAAGATCTAGCACAGAGCTGGGAACAAAGGTGCCGCGACTTGGCCTATAGCATTGCGCGAGGCGTAGACCCGTACTACTACTAGAACGGCCTGAGTTATAATGTCGGGCTGATTGTATGACCTAGGTACCTAGGTTGTCGGCTGTTGAAACGGCGGGACAAGTATTTGGTCGGGCGTCTAGGATTGTGTACCGAAGGGAGGGGGGTAGGTCCATGATGTAAGTGATTCATCATATTATTTAACTTACACTACTTTGTAGAAGGTGCTAAACTCTTATTTCTTCAAATGGCACTGATAAACTGTTAAACCCCCTTGGCTCTTGAGTGTCTCATTGAGGCCGAATAGCTACTTTATGCGAATGATACTACGTACCTTATACAGGGAGTCATTCGTCCGCCCTGGGGAGCGAGAACTAATAACACCTAGGCACCTAGGTTTCTTCGACACTCAGAGGAGGCCTCTCAACTTATCATTAGCATCGAACAATCCAAAATGCTGTGTGCGTCAAAGCCAAGCCACGCGCCCCTTCAGGCTTCAGGACTGGAAGCGCTACTGGGTCGTGAATCAGGGAACATGACATCTCGGAATGCCGTCAGAACTCCCTTCCAAATAATACCTTGATTAATGAGAGGGCCGTATCCTGCCCCAACTCGGCGGCGCCGTGCTGCCGCTCGCGAGTTCATGGACTTCGTTGTCGGATCCGCCTGCCCGGATGGTAGTTGGCTTCGCTGAGGCTGTGCTCGCGGCACCACGACGACACCCCAATCGTGACACTTGGTGACATGGGCCGCGCAGTATTCTTGTCAACAACGCCCATGGTGTTGGCGTTGTCGACTGGGAGATGGCCGGATTCGACCGTATGTATCAAGAGTACGTGAAGCGTCATCTCTTACCGATTTTGAGCATCCTTGGGATGCAGCAACGGATCCTGGATCAGATCCTTCATTCTTACACGGCCGAGCTAGGCCCGCGACTGCACACATGAAATGTTAAAGTCGTATGTACTAAAGTCGAGAGTGAGGGCTGAGCTTGCATCTGTAGATGGCGCCCAGTGTGCCTGACGGTGGACTTATCGATGTAGCCGGCGGTCTATAAGCACCCGTTCCTCGAGTCCGATAGGCAAAGTTGTTCAATATCACACCACCCATCCGCCTCCGATGAATCTCGTTATGTTAGTAATGTAACAACACCTTTTAATTCGGCCCAGAGTCCTTGATGCATAAACCACATGCACTTGTGGGAGCTGCGAAGACTGTTATGGAACACGATACCACTTGACAAGGCGACAACAAAACGCAGGCATTACTGGGAAACATTCGAGCGATAGTACTGACTTTGTGGCCAAGCCCCGAGGATTGGCCAACAGCATTTCAGCAGTCTGCACAGTCTTGATGAAGCAAGAGATGATGGAAACTAAAGGCAGTAGGCATAGAAATCAATGAAGAACACCTAAACAGAGGCTTACAAAGGGAGAAAGGGGAACCGCAGGACTTAGTACTATAATACTGGCGCCATCTTCCCACATCGGAGTCGCTCCTTGTGAGATGTAAACGCGAAACTCCGGGAAGTTCTATTGGGGCCTCTCCTGTCCTCCTTTGGGTTCAGTAGATCGGGTCATTTTCGTTGCTGTCGCCACTCTTCGAACCTCCACATTGTCAACCGCTGAACGAGCAACCCTCGAGGCCAAGGGAAGGGAGGCATACGACGCCATGATCGCCAGCGTCACAGGCTGCGAGTTTAAGAGTATCCGCGATAAGAACTCGGAGCTACACGGCCGGGATTATAACATCCATATGAAAGGTCTAGTCCGTGAGAGGTTCACTCCGACTCAAAGAACACTTCTGGGGACCGCAGGCCTTCCTCTACCGGGGCACGATGAAGCCAGAGTGGTGAACGTGGAGGCAAATTCGAACAACGCGCCATACGTCAACGATGTGCACAAGGAGGGCAAGGGGATTTTGTGCCGGTCCAACTTCGTGAACTTGGACACCAGTCGAAATTAGATATACTGGAACGAACTGATGGCGGTGAGTTGTTATCACATCAGGCGAAGGCCCGAGAACGCAACCGCGGGCGACACTCGCCACGATATGTCGGCCCTCTTAGCGGTTTGTCGGTTGGACATTGTCAACACAGCGACGCAAACCCTCATCGGCACCTTCAAAAATACCACGATCGTCGGTAAAACTAGGAAGCTTTGTCAAATGTGCCGACAGCTATTCTGAGTTGAAATCACAGGCAAGAGCGGATGTGGTTGAAAACGCGCACGTGACAATGGCGGCGCTTTCGCGCCGCTGTTACGGGACACACGAGACTGACGTCACCCATCCATGAATGATGTCTGCCGCAACAAGTTGGAAAACCGACGGCCGACAAGCGATAACATTAAGAATGTCGACGGCACCTCAAAGGACTTTTAGACCACAACAATTATGCTGTAAATGTATTTTGTAAGGGAGAGCGGCCACAAGTTCATTTTTCCTTTAACTTCTCTTCGCCTGCCCGCACGCTCGTGCGCTTTTAGAGACATTGCCACAAGTTCTGATTTCGGTATGTGACGAGACCCTGATACATACCTACCTTATACATACCTACCTACCTAGGTACCGAGATAGGTTCTCATGTATTGTTGAACTCAAAGCCCTGGCATCCAGCTCCTATGTTCAGGTACTAAAGTCACATGGGACTAGATCGTCGATAGTATATATTAAATTTACAGGACCTCGAATAGAATGGCAAAACATCGACAGCAGAACACCCACATCAGCGATCATACTCTTCACCTGTCTACGTCGGGTGAAAGTGTCTCTTCGCTTCTCGCTCGTACTCCGAATTTATCACCCGGTGATGCCTGGAACAGGCTTTATGGCGACGCGGTGCGCAAGGGTGAGGGAGCTATAGAGAGAGAGAGTGAATCGACTCAGCAGTCGGGAACTCGTCGTGAGGGCACGAGCATCGAATCCGAATCTGCACCGCAGGCGGAGGTAGAAAGAGCGGCGAAGTGCGGAAATTGGGGTTCGACCAAACCGAGTGACTTATTCCTCAAGGTTATTATGTCCCCGTACTTCAGACTGACCATGTTATTCAGACTGACCATGTTACCTCTAACAAGGGGCAAAACTGACGGGCCTGCAGATCTACCACGATGCCGTGTGCACTCTCGACCATGCCCCTCACCAAGCTGTAGTCAGCCCTTCACTCATGGGCAGTTATGGGACGGTACCCCTCACTATCATCTCTGTGTACGTCGCTTGACCCGCTTTGGCTTTCTGTCTGTTACTAACACCAACGAAGGCTGCCCGACATTGTCCGCCACATGTCGAACGTCATTGTCCGTGCAAGAGAAGAAGTGTTCTTGGCGACCAATTACTGGCAAAGCAGTGTAGCGTCCAAGTACATCACCGATGCCATTAAGGAGCTGGACCACCGAGCCGGGGCAAGGGGCACGAGGGTCGTTTTGAAAATTCTCTACGACCGCGGGAGCCCTAGACAGCTCTACAAGCCCCATTATCTCGTTTCCGAGAAAGCAGTAACGGGAAAGAACGTCAACCTACCGTCTGCCGGTGAGATCCCGCATATCGACATGGAGGTCATGAATTTTCATTCCCCCGTAATGGGAACCTTCCACGCAAAGTATGTGGTGGTTGACCGGAGGATCGCTCTTTTACAGAGCAACAACATTCAAGATAACGACAACTTGGAGATGATGGTTCACTTGGAGGGCCCAATCGTGGATTCTATATACGACATGGCTCTGATTTCGTGGCACAAAAAGTTGGATCCGCCATTGCCTAGTCAGACTGCTACAGCTAGTGATGAAGGGCGAGACATCGGGTTGGATGGGACCGGCAAGGGTACTACAACTGACCAAAACTCAGAAAGAGGTGACATGGGACCCACCGGAGGCGACAAGGAGCCCGTATCGGCTTCTAGATTAAATCGAGAGGACCAAACCAACGGGGCAGTCGCCGCCCCTGTCAGCCAGGATTCGGTGCGAGAACCAAGGAGACTCCCAGAACATACGGCAGATGACCCACACTACGACGACGACATCGCGGGCGAAGTGGCCCGCGCCGATGCATCACTCGCTCCCAAGCCCGACCAGACACACCTACAAGCCGTCACCCGGTTGCTCAACCATACCCTCAATGAAGGCCTGCCAGGAGACCCTGAAGCACCAGAGTGCCCACCCGGAAAATTCATGACACCATACCTCCCCCATCAAAGTCACACCCCCTACCCGATGGCCCTCGTCAACCGCGCCCCCTACGGCCCGCCAACCCACAAATCTGTGTCGAACCCCCAAAACGCCGCCTGGCTTTCCGCGGTGCGCAATGCCCAGAAAAGCGTCCACATCGTCTCGCCAACCCTCAACGCATCTCCCCTGATCCCAGCCATCATCGAAGCCTGCGAGCGCGGCGTCGACGTGTACTGCTACATCTGCATCAGCTACAACGATGCCGTAAGCCCCCCCATCCACACCCCTCCCCGGCTTCCACCCTCACCTAACAACGCCCCAGGGCGAGCTCCTCCCCCGCCAAGGCGGCCACAACGAAGCCATCGCCGCGCACCTCCACCGCACCCTCAGCCGCACCCCTGGCCGCGGCCACCTGCACTACCACTGGTACGTGGCCAAGGACCAGACCCGCCCCATAACCCAAGCGGCGCGGCAGCGCAGCAGCCACATCAAGCTGCTCGTCGCCGACGGCGCCGTCGCGGTGCAGGGCAACGGCAACCAGGACACGCAGAGCTGGTTCCACAGCCAGGAGGCCAACCTGCTGGTGGACAGCCGCGCGCTGTGCGAGGCCTGGCTGGCGGGGCTGGACCGCAACCAGAACACGCGCTTGTTCGGGCGGGTCGGGGCCGAGGACGGGGTGTGGCGGGATGGGAGCGGGAATGGGGTGGAGGGGGCGATGGGGGTCGATGCCGGCCGGGTGTTGGGGTGGGTGAAAGGGGTAAAGGGGGCGGTGGAGAGAGTGAGGGGAACGGGAGGGTTTTGAGGTCAGGTTTGGGTGTGGGTTTGGGGGGTGCTTGGAGCGAGGGTTACCTACACAAACCTTAATATTTCTTTTTATTTCCTTGATTTATTTTATCGTCTTTATTTTCAAGATTCTCTTAACTTTCGTACTGTCCTATTTGCTTTATTCTCTTTATTCTTCTTCATTCCCCTTTATTTTCTCTACCCTTAATATTTTATTTATTTCTCTGATTTCCTTGATTTACTTAGCTCCGAACTATAATATAAACTTACAAAGCGTGCTATGCTCAGTAACTCTATTTAACTATGGCATTTTAGCCTCTTATAATTGGAGTATATAGCCCTATCATTGTAACATAACTAACTTGAGAGTTATTCAACGAACTCATTACTCTACATCAACGAGATATCGATTAGTATTTTGTTATCCCGTTATCCTTTCCAAAAGTAAAGGCACTATATGTTAAATTTGTAGTTTACTACCTATTTACACTTATTACATTCTTAGCAATGGCAGAGTCCCGTGAAGACGAGGTTACTATGCAAGAACTCACAAAGGTATCATTGCATAAAATGCATCACTTTCTCCGTACCAAAATAGAGGCTCGATATATCCATACCCTCTTCAATGAGACAGTAGGATATTCAGGGCCTCCTCATCTATCTATTGATACAATTACTAACGATATGAGAATAACACAGATGCAAAGCTGTTGTAACAAATCGGCACCAATTTATATTCTTCGTAATGCTACTATTTCAGGAGAAGGGTTAAGGCTATTATATATATTACTATATAACTATCTATTTCAGACATGGTAAGCCTAATTAACTATCTCTTTACCTCCTTCTTTACATTTCTAACCTTTTAACTATTTTCCTTATAATGCAATTAATCTTAAGTAAAGTACTAAGCTTCTTTACTACTATATTATTTGCTATACTCTAAAGTTACTATACTTTATTCAACTTTACAACTTATAATATGAGTATAGTTGTGTCAGAACCGCTATAGCGGTAGCGACCGACGCAGGCATGAGCATCGCGTGAGCCTCACTTACGGAGGTGCAGCTCGCAAGACTTTCCAATTTTGGAGTCGTGCAGAGTAAGCAGGTTTGCTTGTGCAGCGCTCATGCGAAGCTCGTGCCCGGTCATTCAGCATCTAGGCCGACAGGTTTCGGGCAGGGCCAAGAATCGAGGGCGATCAAGGGAGCGAAGGATAAGAAGGAGGAGAAGGAAGGGGGATACAAAGGGGGGGAGAGTTCAGTGTGGCCTCTAATCGACTGCTTGCTCAACCATTGCTTCCACTGTGCCTGCGCGTGCCCTCTTTCCATACTCTGAACTATCCACCCTCGCCTTTTAGGCTCTGACAAGTTGGTTTCGCCTAACTAACTAAGCCCTAAGAAAGTTATTTCTATCTAGAAGTAGATATAACTATATCATTCTTCGAGATTATCTTTCCTCCTTCTTTAGAAAGATAATTCCAAAAATAAGAGCCTCCTCTCACTAACACGTAACTTATTCCTAATAGGTTCCGACCATACCGAAGCGAGATTGATTGGGGCCAGTTTATTGCCCAGACGATAGCTATCCGTTCGTCCCCTCTATCACTTATAACCGGATCTCCTAAACCTATCGAGGTTGCGAAATTTACAGCAGCATTAAGTGAAGCTATTTGCACCCATATCACGGTATCACAGCAAAAGATTAGTTCCCGCACGCACCCCGAGCTAACTACCCTAGTGGACGAGTCTGGCCATTTTGTTCGTAACTGGGGGACTATCGAGGAACAGAGATTCCTTCATATAGAACCACTATTTCGCGCCGTCGCTATTGTTCTACAAGGTGGAGATTTTAATACTTTTACTCAAGATCTCTCAAAAGTCCCCGTTCTAGTGGTCTTAACTGGAAATGTAGAGGGCTTAAGTGCGCCAATTACATTTGACCAATTTAGAGATCAGGGTATTATACACTACGAACAGGGTATAGGTTCTATCCAAGCTATGGAAACTAGTCTTTCTACCGCTGTTAATTTTCTTATAGAATTAGAGCAGCGGGAGTTAGCATCGTGTAGGTCAAAGATGGACTCTAACAAGGAGGCTAGACATAACCGCTTCGTCTCGAACAAAATACTGTTAGAGCATGCTCAAAGGCATGGGTTAGAAGGAGGGGATATATTGGAAAGCCCAAGCTCAAGTTGGGTTGATACTAATATATACCAAGAATGGACAGGCGAAGGTGCAAATTATGGTGGAAAGCTAGCACAAAACTGGGAACGACGATGCCGCAAGATAGCTTATTCTTTGGCACGAGGTGAAAGCCCATACGTCCGTCTACGACGACAGCCTTAGGTATAGGTTCTCTACATATTCTGTAGGCGAAAACAAAGGGAAATAGGACGGACGGTGAATATGCCGCACTACTTATTCGCAGCGCTACGACTCATCATGTATTTTGCTCCGGGATGAGAATCACACCACCTTTCTTTCAAATTACAGTGGTTCTGCTTAGCAGAAAAGAAAGCCTCCCGCAAAACCAGGCGGTGAGGAGCTTATTTAGTAGTCTTGCGCAGTGAAAGAATGTGATCCATGACTAACTGCAGGTGCCTACCTAGGTAGGTAACTGGGAATTCTGCATTATATGTCTGTTTAGGGTACTTAGGTGCGGCGCTAGTGTTATATATATATATATAAGATGGGAACCCAGAGAACCGTTCCTGGCCCTGTTTCGAGGGATATCAGCAGTTACTTCATACCTGGGGGGCACAACTCATTGAAACTCATTCAACTCAGTCAGGTTACCTTCAATGTTAGCAACTCGATCACGGTATTCTTCCCCACACATTACCCCTACCTAGGTACCTACCTAGGTATTTAGCCAAACAAAGAAACCACCCTCAATTATTGATGACGAAAACAACACCCACCCTTCCGCGAACAGCCCGCCTCAGACAAAGAAAGCCGCCATCGCAACAGCCACCAAGCCCGCAACCGGCACCGCAACCCCCGCCGCCACATTCCCCGTTTCCGTGCCCGTGGGCGCATCCGTCGTTGCAGTCGTCACCGTTGCATCATCCCCACCCGTGGTGGTGGTAGCGGTAGCAGTCGTCGTACCAGCAGTAGTCTCGCTATCCGCAGTGGTCTCCGTCTGCGTCTGCGTCTCGGACCCCACCGCCGTCGACGAAGTAGCAGCAGCAGCACTGCTCCCACTGCTCCCACCACCCCCACCGCTACTAGTAGCAGACGCAGCCCCACTACTACCGTCGCTAGTATCGCCAGCACCGGGGTTAGGATTCGGCGCCACCACGCCGCCAAAGGCGCCGCCGGGCGGGGAGGTGGCGTTGCCGGGGGCGGCGCGCGCCAGCGCGGCGTAGGCGTCGAGCGTCAGGCGGCCGACGCCGGCCGGGTTGATGACGGCCACCATGCCGTTCCGGCAGTGCTGGCCCGTGTTCTGCGAGCAGTAGACGGGCACCGGGTTGGTGTGGCTCACTGTGACGCGGAAGACCTCGGCCTGTGCGTTGCGTAGGTAGTTAGTGGGTGTGCTGCTTGCGTGTGGATTGTGGTTCTTTTCTTTCTTTTTCTTTTTTTGTTTTGGTGCTGTATGGGATGGAGGTGGTAGAGTAGGTACATACGTTGACGGTGCCTGGCTGGGTTGGGAAGAAACCCGAGAAGAAGCCGTTGTCGTCGGCCGGGCGGCAGGCCTCGGTGAAGTCGCCGGCCACGACGCTGTGGTTGCGCGGCCAGAAGCGGAACTCGATCACGTCGCCCTCATGAGCGCGGATCACGTTGGGCTCGAAGGTGAGGCCATTTCTGCCAACAGACACAGGGATGGTAGTGGCTGCGGCAAGGCCAGCGGCGGCGAGAAGTACGGCTGTAGGCTGCATGTTGAGTTTGCGAGTTGAATGTTTCGACTTGAATGCTTCGATGTTTGTACTATTAGATATAATTGCTTAGCTGGGAACCGCAGCTTCAGAGTTGTTGAGCAGTTTTGGAACGCCTTTGAGGAAAGCTTGACCGTTCTTCACATGCCTCTTGTGACCTCGTCTTTGTTCTCCTCGAAGCTATACGAACTCGATTACGCCATATCCGCAAACATCATTTGCCACAGTGAGGTGAGAGTATTACGCTTACGCGGCGGTCGAAACAAGCTATTTTGGGAACGCCGGACGAAGAGACAAAGAGGCGAGGAGGAAACAAACCCACGTAGTGAGGCACTAGGAAGGATAGCAGAAGCCAAGTGCTGAAGCTGAATCTTTGAGAACCTATCCGATTAATTCTGGCCTCGGCCGCATTTGTCGACCTGACCGACGGAGTCTGGTATTTGGTATCAGTATCTGAAAATGCCCATTAGTGACCCCGAGGCCGCCCCGATACTCTATTCCCCGTCCGAGAATCGCTCAATGGGGGCGATGTACGAGGTGGCGGTCATGTCGTGATCTTCCATGTCGATGCGAAAGCGCAGGTCATCGAGGATGACAAGCTCGATGCGCAGTGAGCTATATGGGAATGCTTGCGAATTAATAGCCTACCTAGGTACTTACTTCCTTTGACCGTTGGTATCTTCCCGAACGTGTTGTAGATCACATATGCCGGCTCGCACTTCGATACGTTGCAAACGAGCAGGTGATACTCGCCGGAGTCAGGAGAGACTTTCTTGAATACGTCTAGATTACCTACCTATCGTGGTGGACTAGCTGCCCGTGGGCCGAGGACCACCGCCAGTAACCGCTAGGCTACCCGGTCCGTGGTCCTCGTTAGAAACTGATCGCGCAAACCTTTCCTATATTCCATCCACAGGCGGTCCGTTCAAGTCCGGGTATGTGTGTGCTTTCTAGGCCAGCCCTATCCGACCTCCCGCATCACGGACGTGTTGCTCTCCGCTACCTTGCATTTCATTACCGCAGCTTTGATTCCCGGTTCGTAGGCTTGGGGGAAGGCTACCTAGGTGGTCGGCGTCTGGCCGGCCTATGGTGACCGGCCCGAAGGACCCGACATTTGGCGATATCCCATCATTTAAAAAGCGGTGTTGCTTAAATGATCTGCGGCCTTGATGGGCCTCTTTGCCGGCGGCCTCTCGCCTCACGGTCTGCGCTGCCCTCAGATGACCATGTCAACACTCTTCATAATTGCCACCAACCGGTATATATCTTCTCTCCATTTACTTCCACCTCCCACCCAACGGTCTAACCTGCTCTGTCATCCCCAGCCGACTTCCCCCGCGCTCTTGATATCCCCACCGGCCGCTACGATGCAGGGACAACACTCCGACGACAGCTTGTTCCAGGCACAAGGGCAGGATATCTCCAGCCCCAACACCATGCCTTGCCGCGCACCTAATCATGGCACCTGGGAATACATCGACATCAGCGACCTAGACACGTCCCAGCCCCAGAAATCCCAACCTGCGCGCGGCCACCCCGGATGGTCCCCCACCCCGCCACCCTCCAGCGGCTACGCCTACGTCTCACCATTCGCAATCCAAACCCAACCCAATCCCATCACCACCGAAGCGAGCGACAGCGACGGCTTCACCAAAGAAGCGCTCTTCCCACTGCCACCCACCAGCCGCCCGGGCCAGCTCAGCTACCGTACTTTCCCCGCCCCCCACACAACCACCAACAACACCAACACCACCACCAACAACACCACCATCACCAACGACGAAGCGTGCCACCCCGCCCGCCACGAGCCGTGCTACTTTGAAACGCTCGACTTCTCCGACTACCAGCACCGCCGAAACCCGAACCTACCTCTGCTGCCGTTGCGGGCCGCGGCTGACGAGAAGGACGGCCCTGGCACTGGCGCTGGCGACGCATACCGGCCGCGCGGGCGTGGGTGGTGCACCTACGGCGATGGCGGTCGGGGGGAGGGTGTTGTTGTTGGGCGGGTTGAAGGTCGCGCCGCAGCAGGGTGGTCGGGATTGGGGGAGGAGAAGCGGGCGTGGCGGGCGGCGCGGCAGGTGGTTGTGGTGGTTGCGGCGTGGATGCTGCTGGTGGGGGGGTTGGTTGCGCTGCAGTGGGTGGTTGGGGGAGGAGGTGTGGAGTTTATTTCTGAGGTGAATGCGAACGCGAGGGGGGACGGGGTGGTGCATGGGGAGTGGCCCTTGTGTACGAAGGCGCGGCCTCGGTTTTGTCGTTTGGTGGTTGGCGCGGGGGAAGAGTAGGTCAATAGGCACATACGTGGCGGAGGGGGTGGGATGATGTGGTACATCTTATTTGGGTATTAGGTAGCTAGACAGAACTCTCCTTGTCACCTCTTACTTTTGGCCTTCCTTTTCACGGCATCCGCCAGACTGCTGAGCTCGACATCACCATCTGCCTTCGCTTTCTTGGCGCTCCTTTGGTCCTTCTTACCGTTGGGTGACTCGCTCGGCCCAGCCTTGCGCTTTTTCCTGCCCTCTTCCAACAGCTTCTTCATTCCTTGCGTAGCCTTGTATTTGGGATTGGACGGGTCGATGGCGAACTCGTGGTTCTCAAACACGGCCTTGAACCGGCTGTCCTCGACGTCCATGTTGAAGTCCTCTTGCAGGCCACCCTGGTCTTCGACGCCCTTCTTGCCCTTCTTCTTCTTGTTCTTCTTCTGCTTCTCCGCGCGCGTGATGTCCTTCATGTCGAAGTGGTCGAGGTGGGAGCCGCCACGGTTCTCATCCGCCATCAGAAGCTCAAGTTGCGCTTTCTGCGCGGCGGTCTCAGCCTCCTCCTGCTCTTTGGCGGCGCGCTTCTTGAGCCGTTCCTCCTTGCGCACCGCCGTCTTGGACGGCTGGGCCGCCTCAGAAGTGAAGAATGGATCGTCGAAGCCGAGGTCGTCATCACCCCCTTCGGCGGCCTGCTCCTCCTGAACCGTCTCAGGCTCGACACCTCTCTTGGCGAGGGCCATAGCTTTCTTCTTCTCTTTGCGTTCCTTCTCCTTGCGCTTGTACTTTTCGATGGTTGTTTCTTCAGCCGCCTCCTTCTCGGGCTTCCCCGATAGGGCCGGGGCGAACGTGATTTGCATTTCCCCAACAGGCCCCGACTTTGACGCCTTTGGAGCAGGCTCATCGCCGAGGCCAAGCGCTGCGCGCATCTTGCGTCTTGCAAGCTCCTTCTTGCTGAGTGGGGCTTCCTCCACGCCCTCATCCTCTAGAGGGGCATCGTCCGCTTCCTCCCCTTCGCTCTCGCTACCACTGGCCAGGTATGCCCGTAAATCGTTCTCTGCAATGTCTGACCGACTTCCTGTGAAAGCTTTGTTGATCGACTCCTTCCTGGAAACCTCCTCGGGATGCATATCCCATGTCAGCTTCACCTTGGAATGCTGGAGCGCATCGTCACAAACTCGACAGGCTTGTACCCGGAGGTGACGCTGTCACACTCATCCCTCGGCTCGTCCTCAAACGTGACATCGTCAGGGATAAACCGTAGGTCGAGAAAGTTGGACGATGACAGATATTCGCTGCCGTCCGTCGCGTCGTAAATCTTGTGCGCCGTGTTCTTGTCGGAACAAACGACTACTGCGTAATAGTACCGTAACCTGTCGAGTTGATACGTTCGGAGTGCATCGCTGTCGAAATCCTGGTCGTTGCCCTCTTGTAGTAGCTCTTTCCTGACCTCCTCGTCTGAATCCTCCGCCGCATCATCATCGTCCTCGCTCTCGGATGCAGAGTCGTCTTCGTCGTCCAGATCCTCGTCATCTGAGTCCTTGTCCTTTTTAAAGATCTCTCTCGGGGGGCCCTCTAATTCCTCGCGCTGCATTCTCTCCTTGCCAAACTCGCTAGGATAGACCGTAACCTTCTCGATGCGCCCACCGACCGGTACGAAACTCGAGAACAGCGCCAAAAGGTCCATAGATTTAATGTGATCCCAGTCAATGTTGACGACAGCAAACCGGTTCGTGACCTCCCCCTCTTCGACCTCTTGCTTATCCCTACGCAGCCGGATGCCGGGCCGTGACTCCTCCACCCCGTCTTCCACCTCTGGCGCTTCCTCGGAATCAGATTCCCCGTCCGAGTCCGACTCCGACTCCGACGAAGAGAATCCACCGCCGCGGGCGGGGTCGTATGTTGTGTCTGCCTTCTCCAGTTCGCGACGGACGATGTCATCGTCCTCGACCTTGGCATCCCCGTCTTTCTCCTCCTCGTCCTCGTCTTCGTAGAGGCGCTCCAAGGCCTTTTTCTTGGTGTTTGTCTTCAGCTTCCGGCCATAGCGGTCCACTCTCGCGGTGGCGACAAAGTCGGCATCCTTGAGCACGCGTGAGAATCGCTTGTCGAGCTTAGTCTTAAGGTTTTTCTTGGAGGGCAATTGGTATCGCGGATCTGTCTCAAAGCTTGCAAAGCGGGAGTCTGCAATCCGCTCAGTTGAGGCGCCTTCGCGCTTTGTTGGCTTGTTTTTCGACATGTTTGGCTATCGAGACGTTGAAACGGAGGAGCAAGAATTCAACCTCTTTCGGCGCGCAATTGCAAGGCACTCGAGAAATTTTTGGCGGGGACCTGGATTCTGCCAAAAGGCGGTGGGCCGCCAAGGTGCTTGGCGCATTTGAGCGCCATCTTTCCGGTGGCGAGCCAATGGTGACGGGACCAACTGTCGATTTCCTGAGCACCATTTCTGAAGTCCACGCCGGAACTTCGTACAACCGACGTCTCGCTCTTCCGTCAGGTTTCAGGTTCCTCTTTTCTCAAGCAGCTGAAGCGGGAAAAAAAATTAGAAAAAGATACCACGTCAAGGCCAAGAGATGCAATCAGTGCCGTGCGATCTCATTCCTCCTCTTCCTCACCGAGTCACTGATGCGGCGTGCCTCTTTTCGCCGTCTGAATCTGGAAAGGTTGAGTCGGATGTATGGATCCAACTTTAGGTATGGTTGCGGCTGCGCATGTAGGTACGGAACTCGGAACCTTCTGGGAGTAAACACCCTAGATGATAATTATCCAAGGTAGAAAAAGAATGGACGAAAAAGAACCCTACGGTCCATAGACCGACTACGGTCAAGACAGCATAGCTTAATCCTCTCGGCTCTGCTTTGCCTACCCCGCGGCGGCATTAAATTTGAATTTGCCAGCCTGTCTCTGCGCAGTCACCCACATTCCAACTCATCACATTAACCTCTACGCTCTGACGCTCACAAACATCATGCCCAGGATAACCGACGACACCGGCTCCGTGCCGGCCCCGACAAGGATTCGCTCTTATCCGGCCGACGAGAGCCCTGGTATTGTACACGTAAATTGTGTACGAATGCAACTAGCGCATGCCTACCAAGTTGACTTCTCAGACCCGGGGCCATGGTTATGTTGCACAGCCCATATCGAAACCCAATTTCTCACGTCATCATAATGAATCGATTACGAGAGCCGCTACATCCCCGGTCCGTACATCGACGTACAATGCCGCGCCGCCGGAATGGCGGCCTCTGATGCGGCCCGCACGAACCGACCTCGGCTTTGGGTTGCGTCCTCTACCCTGGGGGGATGTGCCTGCGGGCCGTACAAGGATCCTGGGCACCAGGGCGAGGTACAGTTTGACTTTCCCAAGAACACAGTCTGTATACTAAGGATAACTAGGGGGCCTTTTGAAACATCACACCCCCCCTCCACTTGGACCGCCAGCTTGGGCAGCCCGGTACCTCGAGCACAGGGGGCTCGCCAGACAATGACAAATAGAAACAACAAGCCCGGAGGCCACCTTGTTAGGGCTGATGAGCTTATTTGATTTAAGGTCTTGGTGATCAATGCAGCTAGTCGAACGTCAAGGCTTGGGAGGTACAGCAAAGGACGAGGGCCGCCCCTTTTCCTTGTCCCGTTTACTAGTCTGGGCAGTTTGTTGAGTTTGATCACAGGAAATACGTTAACGCTTCAACCGTGCTTTCCTCCCTCCGCCGCAGGCCAACATAGGTGTTGTCTCGTTCGACTTCCGTCAAAACAAAGAGCCAATGCCCGCGACGAAGGCAAGTTGCGCAACCCCGGAACCCCGGCGGGCCGAGCTTCGCCCTCAGGGTTTTACGGCGGAACGGGCGGCCAGCAGCAAAGTCTTCCACGGCACGTGGGCCGGGGTGACCACGGAGGCAGTGGGAGGATTTGGTGCAGGCCAAGAAAGCGGCATGAGGTTGATCGACCTGGATTACGTTTTAAAACGGTCGAGTTCCAATAGAAAAGTCAAGAAATCAGAGTCCTGTGAGAAGCAGTCGATTTTTATGTAAGTGGGATCCGCAGTCCTACCTTGGCGCCTCTCTTGGCGTTTGTTTTTTCACCCCTTTTTGCACGTTGCAACACAACAGAAGCCCGATAGCCGGCCTGCTTGCCAAGACGGACGTATAAGACGGCCAACTCACGCTCCCTCCTGAGAGTTGTTTTCGCATTCTACCATCAACCGTCGTCTTGCAATTCCCAGTATCGCTAACGATACGAGGGCCAGTTACCCGTGTTCCCCCTGTTGCCCGCCAACAGCCCTATGGATTTAAAGAGAATCCACTGTTTCGAGATCCCTCGTCAAGCACATCTTGCCCTGGAAGAAGGAGATGACTCCCGCTGAAGAAGAAGTCGGCCCGAGGAGAGAAGTCATGCATGCCTTCATCAACTCATCGGCCGTCTGGCTGAACGAGCACCTCAAGTCGTTCATCCGGCAGCACGTCCCTGACGCCGTCTTCATCGACGATTTTGATGACTTCCCCGCCGGCGCCGATACCGTCTTCCAGTACTGCGACGGCTGGGCTCTGACGCAAAACTTTGCCGCCATCAACGTGGCCAAGACCGGGCTCATCAACGCGTATCCCAACAGCGATGCCCTCGCGCGGAAAGACTTCCTCGCCGCCGTTGTCGAGTACTGGGCTGCCAAGCGGCCCGAGAGCAATCTCCGGAAACATGTGCCGCTCACCGTGCGGCTGACGCTCGACTACGCCGAGTATGTCGACGACGCCCTGATGGCGGCCGACGACCTCTCGCTCCTCTACTCGCTGGAGGAGAACGAGGACAAGGATGCGAAGGACCGGGAATGGTGGATTCTCAAACCCGCGCTGGTCGACTGCGGGGCCGGGATCCGGCTCTTCAGCACCATGGAAGAGCTCTCAAGCCACCTGGAACTGGCCGAGAACGAAACGGACGACGATGACGAGGAAGAGGAGAGCGAGGGGGGTGAAGCTGTGACCGAGAAGGAGAAGGCCAACGGCCATATTAACTTCTCGCCCACGCTGACCACCCCCGGGCTGGAGTCACTCGACGCCCTCGTCACAACCACCAACTCCCTCTCCCTCAACGGCTCCTCAGCCAAATCTGAAAACGAGCCCTCGTCCAAAAAGCCGGTCCGGGCCAAGAAGCCGCAGTACGTCTTCAAGGCCGGCGGGCGCATCCCGTCGGCGCAGATGCGGGCGTTCGTGGCACAGCGCTACATCGTGGCGATCCCGCCGCTGGACGGGCGCAAGTGGCACGTGCGGTCGTACGCGCTGTCGATCGGGCGGCTCAAGGTGCACGTGGCGCGCGAGATGCTGGCGCTGCTGGCGGCGGAGGCGTACCAGCCGCCGTGGGAGAACCCGAGCCTCAAGTCGTCGCTGACCAACACGGCGCTGCAGGACGACGACGAGATGGTGGCGGGCGAGTCGATGCGCGACTTCTGGGCCGCCGACGGCTCCGCCATGTTCCCGGACCGGCCCGACTGGAAGACGCACGTCTTCGACCAGATCTGCGGCATCACCGCCGAGCTGTTCCGCGCCGCCGTCCACACCATGGCCGACAAGTTCACCACGCTCGACAAGTGCTTCGAGCTGTTCGCCCTCGACTTCCTCGTCGATGCTGACGGCAACGCCTGGCTGCTCGAGGTCAACGAGGCCCCGGCCTTTTACGACCAGGGCGTCGCCGGCCCCATGGCCCTCCGTCTGATGGAGGCTATCATCTGCGCCACCATGGAGCACATGGGCAAGGCTGACACCGCGGACCCCAAGAATGCCGCCATCAAGGACCGGCTGGTGGAGGTGCTGGACGAGACGGCCAAGTTGGGGAAGAGCAACATCACCGAGATTATGCCGGAGTGAGTGGGAGGGATAGATAGATAGAATAGAGGCGGGTGTTTTTCGAGCGATTAGATGAGAGTAATCAAGTTGCGGGTGTTTTTCGAGCGATTAGATGAGAGTAATCAAGTTGCGGGTGTTTTTCGAGCGATTAGATGAGAGTAATCAAGTTGCGGGTGTTTTGCATGTTTGTTCTCTGTGCAATTGCGAGCGAGAAGTACCAAGCTACCGAGTGGTTACCATGCCAACCAATGCCCCTGAATCAGGGGAAGCTCGCTCTACTGATCTTGGCATTCATACACACAGAGAATGCCAGCGAGAACCATACCCTGCGTGCAACGACATTGTATATTGCTATTACTACCTATATCAACGCATATCACTCTTAGCACCGGTCGTTAATCTTTCCTGCCTGTCGTCCCCTCCATCCTTCCAGGCAAACCACAATCCCTGCCTTTTGACCACTTTGTCTTCAGTGCTACATGATACAAGCCCTCTAATTGTTGCCGCGCCAATGGCGGCAATTGAAGGCGAACCCATCCAGTTTCAAAGTTGGGGATTGCACTGTCAAATGTCGCATCGCCGAATGGCCCTCGCTCACCGGCTAGGCACGAAGGGCTCTGGGAGACCCTGATTGCCTTTCAATATCATCCCGATACCGCCAAAGTACGTGGGTTGGCTAATTATCCGATAGGACAGTTCCTCAAAGCTTCATCTTGTCATGGAGCGAGAGACCCGGGCCCTGAGAGAATCGGTCCCTAGCATTTACCCGAACCGTAAATTGAATCCCGTGAGGGTCAGTGCCGGCAATGCTGTCAAAGTGATCAAGCGGCACCGGACTACCTTGGATGTCTCAACCCTTGACTGTGGTGATGAATGGTCTGTCCAAGAGGAATGGTCCGGGTATTTGGTAGATGATATTGCTATCAAATGTCACGCAACCGCTCTTATTCCTAATATTGTGTTGAATGCATCTCAACCGTATTCGCCCTTGCCTGAACAAACAGTCGTGATGCAGCCGAGACTATCCTCCAAACCTTCGCCATTGGGGGCATAACAGAGGCCACCATGCTAGTTATAGTAGTCAACGGGTCTAATCCAGCGGCGGGCTGGCGTTGGCAACTATTATTTGAACCCGTTAACTATTCCCCGGCAGGAAGGCATAGGGGAAAAGATGTTCCAGGTTTACACCGAAAATGCATTTCGACGGGTTCTAAGACATAAGATGGCGTTAAATGACGTTACGAGATTTAAGAGCAGTTCTTTTCAGGGTCATAAAATACGTTCCAAATTGTATGTACGAGATATGTCACTATACACAGTGAAAGTGGCCAAACCAGCCTTTCTCCAGCGGTTCTACGAATCATTGCCGGGCCCTGTCCCCTGCCCTTGTGATAGTCCGCGCTTCCCGTCCTGTCCGTCACTCCTTAAATGCATTGAGAGTACCCTACCAAGGGAGTATTGTTAGAAAGGTGCCGCACGCTATGGGGTACTGGGGAGGGGTGGTGTAGGAGAGACTGGTTGTACGGAAGAAGAGGGAGGAGGGGGGTAAACTCACATTCGTTCGAGAAGGTGCACTTGAAGGGGCTGGCGCAGGTGGTCGGGCCGGTGTAGGTCTTGCCGCCGCACTGGCCGTACTGCGGGACGGTGCCACCGCTACCACCGCCGCCACCGCCGTCGCCACCGCCGGTGCCGGGGTCGGGGCTGCCGCCGGTGGCGCCCTGGAGGGTGAGGAGGCCGGGGCGGTAGGGCAGCGAGTTGTAGTCGCTGCTATCGCCGGAGCGGCCCTGGTACAACAGCTGCAGGTTGCACGGGTCGATGGTCATGGTCTCGTCCGCCTTGCTGCGGAGCAGGTCGCCGTGGCTGATATCGTTGGTCCACGTCGCGCCGCTGTTGGCCTTGCCGGCGAAGGGCGCGCTCTCGCTCGTCGCCTGCGGCGTCCACGACCCGCCCAGGCTGGTGGCCGTGTACGACCGGAAGTACCGGCCCCGCGCCCCGATCGACTCCACGATCATGAGGTATGTCGGCCGGCTCTGGCCGTCCACCGTGTAAACCTGCACGGCCTCGAAGAGGTCGTTCTTGGCGCCGCTCATGATGACGGTCGAGCCCGAGCCGAAGTTGCCCGGGAAGTTGCCGATGGGCATGCTTGCGCGGTAGATCTTGCCGTTATCGCCGGCGAAGAACAGGTACATGTTAGTACCGTCACCAATCAGGGTCTGATCGATGGGCCCGGTGTCGGAGCCGGAGATGCTCCCGGAGAAGAGCGGCTGGGCGCTGGACCAGCCGTTCGGGTTGGTCGGGTCGCTCGATGTGCGGTAGGAGAAGGGGGTGGCGCCCCATTGGTAGGCCAGGACCCAGATGCTCTTGGGAGCGAAGTAGAAGAGCGTGGGTGCGACGGTGGCCGAGTTCATGGCGTTCTGGCTAGCCGAGCCCATGCTCGACCAGTCCGAGAAGAGACCAAAGTTCATGGAGCCATAGTTCCCTCCGAAGTAGCTGGCATACACGAGGTGCTTGCCGTTGTAGGGGGCGTAGGTGAAATCCTTGAGGTTGGCCCAACCCGACCTTGGGTTGGCCAAAGAGCCGCTTGAAGTCCACTTGTAGCTGGACGGCAGGCTGCACGCAGCCTGAGCGGCGGGCAGTGCCGAGGCAAGCAGGACAGCGCTGAGGTCGGATTTGGTGAGCTTCATGGCGGCGGGGTGTGCTTCACAATCACGGGGACTGATCCGGGGGATGAAGGCCTTGAGGACTGGAGAGCAAGCCGACGGAGAGAGGACTGGGCTGGATCGGCCTGGACGTATATATAATTTGTTCATACATACTCCCCCCTGACTCCCCTCACCTCGAGCCAAGACGATGCCGAGGTTGGTGTTTTGGTACCAACCATACTGGGTACGGACCTCACTCCCGTGCTCCGCAAGCTAAGTTTTTGGGACGCTCGATTACCATGGAGGGACCGCAGTGTGACGCTGGCAGAGTCCCTGGCTCCCTGTTACTCCATCAATCAGGGGTTGGTATGTTTGCCACTTTTGCAACTGCCGATGCAGAACCCAGCGGCACTACGGCAGCATTGGAGACGACTTTAAAAGTCATCTCGGCGGGAAGTGACTCTCAACAACAATAGGCTCAAGTGTGGAGTGTATGTCCATACCTCGTCGGCATGCCTAGGGGGTCTCGCCGTCGCACCGTTACAGCGTGGGAAGCGAGACGGGGCCTTGTTGACACTCTTCCGGTGCTTGGCACGCCCGAGCGGGCAATCCTGGACAAGCGAGCCATCGCTTACAACGGTATCCCGGCGAGGACAACGGCCAAACCGGGTAGCCGGAGCGGCCGTCTTCCGCTTGGCGGTTCCGTTACCCTCAGCTGAAGGAGGAATAATCCGGGGAAGCGCACCAGACGGCCATGCCGGCGTTGATCATGCGGCACTTCTGCAATGCTACCCTGCATGCGCATTCTCCCGCGGTGATGCGCTCCAATAAGATCGCCGCAGGGGTTGAAAAGTTGAAAATAAGGCCTCCAGAACCACGGTCCATAGCTTCGAGGTTCCGGCACCCCGACCTTGGCGATCTGGCGAGGGAGGGTGTGGTTGAATTTGGATTCGGAGAAAGTTGAGTCTTCAAACCGCCATCATGATCCGGTCAAGACCGAGGACTTGTTATTCCATTCCTTTGGACTTTTTGTGAATCTTGCTGCTACTATGTATACAATCAAAAGAGCACCGTTACTAGCTACCTTACCTTTCCCATCAGCTGTTCCCATCCTCGCCAGCCGAGTCTGATAGTTCTTTTGGTTGCGTCTACACAAAAGCAACTCTCCTTTTGCGTCTAGAGTGGTCCCACATCCTAATGCCAAGTCTTCCCAAGGCTAGGTAACTCGACCTCTCCACGGACGGTGAGAGTACCTACCTATCATTCTTTAGAGCAGGTATAGATAGAAGCTTCTGCTGGCGCACTGCCTACCTAGGATACCGCGGAGATGTGGCTCCTGCTGGGAGTTGAGGGAGCCTAACGGCGGCATCGAAAGGCTCGGAATAGAGATCTGAAAGCCGTCCCCTCGGGGAATTATCAAGCTGGGTGGGACTTGTCGTTTTGGCACGGCGCAATCACACGGGTTAGGACGGTTAGCTGCGAGGGTCGGGATTGGGGCGCTTTGCATGCGACATGCATAGCAGCGCGGCTGATGTGACCATGACGGACCCAAGGCCGAGGTCCCCGAGCTTTGTTCCCCTATCCGGTGTCGAATACGACACTACAGACCTCCTGGTGTCGGTGTGGACGGAAAATCTATCGTTGTTGTCAACACCCCTCGCTATCACTACATCTCAGGGATTGAGCCGAAAGTAAGGGAACAGGGGCGTAAAAGGGCGGTCGAACTTTGCTCCCAGAATAGCAGGCAGCATGCTGGAGAGTGGTTACGGTCGAGGGGTTAGCCATGCGCTAGGGGCAACACCACACGCGGCAAGCGATCTGCAAGCCGAATCGCATCGGATTGGGACGGGAAGCGTAGTTTGTAGGCGGACTAAGGACTAAAGGGCTGTCGTTGGTGGTCGGACGAGTTTCCGAGAAGTCTATCGCTCCAAGCAAGGGGGTAGGCACTTACGCTAAATGAGGGGAACGCCGGGGGCACTTATCCCTGAGCCGTAAGTAAGTTCACTGTTTTGGATATTGATTCAAGTATCATATTGGCTGAAGTGCCAGTGTTTCTATTTTAAAACGACAAGGAGCTGCTGGTACACACATCACACGATCGGCACCCCGATTGCCGTCCTCGTCTCTCTAGGCAGTAGTTTAAATTAACGACCAGAACAAAAACCGCTTTACAACGGGCCCAGGACTTTTCCAGTGGCAAAAGCGGCCAGGGCCATCTTGCCGCCCTCGATCACGTTGCGGAGATGAAGAAAGTTCCAAAGCACAGCTGGTAGGTACTAGTTAGCCACCCATCTTGTAAAAGGCAAGCAGAGCGAAGCAAAAGACATACCCTGGAAGACCTCCATCTGGTAGCAGCCGTAGCTGAAAGCGCAGCGAACAACCTCAGCAATGAAGTACGATCTCATGCGCATATCCCGAGAGGCGGCAAACCCGATGAGGTTACTAGCAACGAGCGTCAGCTGTTCTGCACACACAACCTTTCCACTAGGTAGTGACCTGTCAGGAACACGGAAAAAAGAAGAGGCGACATACACCCAAACATAAACATACGGCAGCCCCGTCCACGCCTTCAACCCCACAAACCGCACATTCTCATACATGACTAGCACATCAAGCCCATTCCGGGGGTCATCCAACCCGTCCAGCCCGTCCGTCAGGGTGTTGCGCATGATGCGCGCCGCCAGGGCGCACGTCTCCAGCAGGCGGGCCGGCACGCTGTTCGGGACTGGCACCGAAGCCGGGACTGAATCCGGGGCCGGGGCCGTGGCCGTATGCAAGACGGATGACCCGTCAACAAGAGCGTCCCAACCAACCGGAGGTACGCCGTCGTCCGCCTCCTCGCCCACCGCAGTGCTGCTGCTGCTCCACGTGGAGGGGGAGGCGGGGCCAGGCAGGGATGAAGGGTAGCCAAAGAAGCCGCGGAAGGCGTCGTGGGCGTCCTGCAGGGCGGTGACGAGGCCCGGGCGGATGGAAGGGTCGGTGTACTGCGCTGCGAGGGAGAGAGCCTCGCCGTCGCAGAGCAGTAGTGGGCAGGAGCGGAGCTGGTTGCCGGCTGGGAAGGCGGGTGATGTGGTTAGGTGTGGGGTGGGGGCTGTGCCGAGAGTGCTGAAGGCGAGCGGCGTGGAGAGGCAGATGCATTGCAGCGTGTCGGCCCTGGTTGGGGGAGGGTGAGTGGGATGCCGGCTGACGACATGGAGGGGAAGGGTAAGTTGAGGGCCCTTACATCAGGACGATGTGCTGCATGACATCGGGCATCGTGTGGAGCCCTCCACGGGACTTGATGAATCCCTCTACGGCAGCCAGATGCGTGATCGTGCGGGGGCTGAAGCGGACCATCTATGCAACACAGGGTTCGTCAGTCTCGTTCATACCTTACCCAACCCTTTTTCTCATAGGGGACCCACCTCAAACATGCCCAGGATGACCACCGGATACACCACCTCGTGCAACTGCTTCGCATCGGCATCGTCGACAAACTTTTGCAACTCCCGCACGGCCTGGTATTCGTAGTACGGGTAAGTAATATCCTGAGTCCCACGGACGGCATCCAGCACGCCCGCCGTCAGGAGCCAGCCGATGTAAATACAGGCCGCCTTAGACAGGTCCGGGCGGAAATAGCTGGGTTGCTGAAACCCGACCAGCACAAAAGCTTCGTCAAGATAGGACGAGTATGACCCGCACCGGCTGAGGTAATCCTGAAAGGTGCGGGCGTCGACGCCCGTCATGTGGGTGGACTGCGGCGGTGCGCCGCGGAGGTCGTATGGATTCAAGTTAGGGCGGCGCTGCCGTGTAACGGCCATCCATGTCTTGTCGCGCTTGCGACTGCTGTTCGCGACAGACCGGGAGCTGGTGGCTGGCTCTTGTGCAACCAACGCCTGCTGCATGTCGTCCTCGAACGAATCTAAGTGGCCGCCGTTACCGCTGCTGTCATTTCGGGCCGGAGCTAAACTGCTAGACGCGGATCAGTCGGCATGGATTAACGAGGGCTTTCCTAAATAGGACAATGCTGAATTCGACCCGAGCCCACGGTACCACGGTGCAAGGTTCAAGAGACATGGAGAAACACGCTCGTGGTACCTGACAGGCATAATTACCGGACTTACAAATACGACTTCGGGGCCGAGCCAATGCCATCGTACGTGCCTGCGATGCTACTTCGTTAGATGCCGCCCGTTAAAATCTACACAGTACGTCCTCTTTCTTCATCAGGGGCTCTCCCCAGACGCTTAGGGGTACCACGACGGGACTTGACCTGACATTCAGCCTGCTTCCGTCGACCGCGGACTACGACCATGGCCCTCGACCTAACAACGCGCTTTTGGTCCTTGTCCAGTTTCGGACCGTCGTAATTCACAAAGATGCTCATGATGAACGTCTAGAGCTGACCACCACAGCGGCTTAGTAGAGTTGAAAGTGAGACGAAGAGCGGACAGCGGGAAGCTAAAGTGCTCTCGATGTCTGAGGGTCGAAACGGTGGTTGATGCTAAAGTTTTAGGTTCTCGATGGGAGAACTCAGAAGTTGCTGGTGGTGAGACTTAGCCGCGACGGAACACGAAACGATGGAGAGAGACGGAGGGAATCAATGATGGTGACAGTTCCCGCGTCTCTCCATCCCGCCTCCCTTGAGGCTCGGTTGGGCGTCAAACTTCAGCCCGCGCTTCCTCCCACGCTAGCTGATCCGGGATGACCCTCTCACGATATGATTGGAGTCGAGCGTTTACCTTTTTAGGGATGGCGTCGAGGTCTGCCTTTTCTTCCCCTTGGCGCCGAGCACGGGTCCATGCCGAGATCCACACGGAGATGGCACCGAGTTATCCCAGTTTGGGATTCCGAAAGGAGATGTTGCGCCAGGGTAAAATACTGTGTGTTATACTTCGTAGTACGGAATATGGGGCGGACGTTAAGGAGTGCGGAGTTGATACTACGCCCCGGCGACTTCAACACCACAACAATAAACTTAATTGAATATAAGGCAAGGGTGTGTGTATGTACACTACGCAGTACGTAGGTGGGTCACGGTTGGTGACAGCAAGACATGGACCCGTTCTTCTCGCGGCCCGTCCCTTAGTCTCAGTGGTTTCGAACCTGTTGTTGGATGGGTGGGCGCGGTCGCAGCTGTCCCGAAACACCAAACTTTCCGATCGCTTCGCTGTCGCTGTACATTAACGCGACAACACACATCGAGGTTTGAAACCTGGTTCCTCGGCGTCTTTGAATAGGTGTGCTTACCTAGGTACCTACCTATCATAAATCACCCACCTAATACCGAGGAATGCATGAAACCCCAATTATTGCCAATGCTTCATGATTAGGTACCTAATTAGGTAGGGAGGTACCAAATTATCCTTGGTGTGCGTTCACAAACCGCGACTGTTGCGACTTCCCCTCGGGGCCGAGTCCAACTTCATATTGAATTTAAAAACTTAGGTTAGAAATACCAGGTTTAAATCCGCAGTTGTCTCCAGGTTCTTCTCGTTCGCTCACGTGGCAATCCTTGCCAACGAGACGAGGGAGTGAGAGTTCGTACCCAATGACGAACGACGAAACACATAGCCTCCTGCTGTGAGGCCTACACGGAAGGCGCCGCCAACGGCAAGCAGCTTAAACATCCACCGGTTCCATTTCTCGCACCTTCCAAATCATTCTTTTTTAGCACTTTCCTTCAACACGGATTCCTCAATCGTGACGCCACCAGTTGACCATATTATAGTCACAACCAAACCCAACACCGGTTTTAGCAAACACCTTTTTTAATACCAAGACACCTAGTGTCGATACGCCCTACCCTCGATCTGACTCCTTCCACTCCAACGAAAAAATGGACAAGGCCGGAAAGAAACTCGGCGAGGCTGTAGCGAAAGTCGCCGAGACCCAGCCGGGAGCGGCCGCCGTCATGAAGGGAGCGATCGACATGGCCAAACGCGGTGCCCAGCATGTACGTGTGCTTTTTGCAAATCCTGGCGGGGGCGAAAGGGGCGTTGCTGACTTGTCATTACAACGAAACAGGCGACGAAATATGCCGCGGCCCATCCCTACGCAGCCGGCGCTGTCGCGACCGGTACTGTCATCGCTTGCGCCCCCGTTGTAGTGACGGCGCCTGGCTTGGCTCTTGCTGGATTTGGTGCGGGTGGTATTGGTGCGCGTGAGTCTTGCCCATCGTTCGAACTTCTCCACTTATACTTGGTCCCGCGCCTCGTTGCCTCACCGCGATATGGCACCCAGAGCTAACAATCAACTCTCGACGAAACAGATACCGCTGCCGCAACCGTTCACGGCTGGATCGGGAACGTGGTCGGCGGAAGTGTGTTCGCCACTCTACAAAGCGCCGGCGCTGCTGGGGCCGGTGCTGCTGCTGTTAATGGGGCTGCCTCGATGGGCGGCGCTGCTGTGGCGGGTGTTACCGCTAGTGTTGCCGCTGGTGGACGGCTCTGGTCTTTTGTAAAGGGCAGACTTTGACGGCAAGGAGAACGAGGGCCATATGAGCGGCGTGAGGATATCTAGTTACATTTGAAGTTGGCCGCCATCGTGGTTGGTTTCTTCGTCGACTAAATCCGATCGAGTCCGAGGTTTGGAGACTTGGAGTGCGATCTATGGAGCCTGCCATTGTATATTATGCTCTGATCCGGAAAGTTTTGTTTGGCTCAAAGGACGTGTCGGGTACTTTTTGAGAGGTAGTTTAATAAGCGCTAATTAACTCATGCTGTCATCATGACCCTGGATTGAACGTCCAGGCGGATGCGGAAACTTCTCGGACACATAACGTGAGATCGCCTGAGATAAATCATCGATGTTTCCGCTCCAACACCCATAACCTAATCGTGGGAATTGTATCATTGGCACTCAGTTTTCAACATCACTTTACGTTTGTCAACTGGAACTTTGTCAATCCCGTCTCGTACCAGGGTACCTACTGTTACTTTCACCTTGTGTTAAGCTGCATACTAGCCCAACATGAATGCCGCCGCTCGCTCAATCGAACTTCAGAAGTTCTTCAACAACTTCAAGGCCCTTGGGGGCGGCGCCTTGGAGGAGGTATTGTTCCAGAACGCCCGCCGGGTCAGCATGCCTCTTGCCACGAGGATGTTGGACCAGATGGGGTTGACCGAAGCCACCGAGACCCCCTTCAAAGTCTTTGAGAACGCGTGCGGCGTGGGCGTCGTTGCGCCTATCCTACACAACATCACCAAGCCCGAGGTGCTGAAGCAGAGTAGTATCCTATGCGGTGACTTCTCGGAGCAGGTGATTGGGCTGGCAAAGCAGGCGATCGAGAAGCAGGGTTGGGAGAATACCGAGGCGAGACAGATCGATGCCCAGGCACGCGCGGTTTCCATTTCCTTTCGCGGCGCAAAATGCTAACCGATAACAGAAAACTGGCCTTGAAAGCGGTGCCTTCACTCACGTGGCGACAAACATCGGACTCCACGTCGTCCCCGATTCGGAGGCCGCGCTGGACGGTAAATCACAACCAATCAAACTAGATATGAACCAGGACTGACAGTCGCAGAAACAATCCGTATCCTTCAGCCTGGGGGCGTCCTTGGCTTCACCACCTGGCACCAGGAGGTCGGTTGGATTACTGATATGAGAGAAGCCTTCAAGACATTCCCTTTCGAAGCGCCGTTTGACATGCCGATGCAAACCACCGCCTGGGGTACCTGGACTGATGTGAACTGGATCCGCAAAACCCTCGAGAAAAAGGGTCTGGAGGACGTGAAGGTGGATGTGTTCGCATTCCTCAGTCACACTGAGGGCCCCGACGCGTTCCTAGCCAATTTTGAGATGATGTTGAGTTTCATCATGAACAGCTGTTGGTCCGAGGAGCTGAGGAAGGAACACCCCATGGAAGAGGTGCAAAAGTTACTCAGGGAGTTTCTCGAGAAGAAATATGAGGGAGATGGGTGGGATATCAGTTGGGTTGCCGTTATCGCGACCGCCCGGGTGCCATCCGATGCGCGGCGTTGAGGGGCGCATCGAATTACGAGAGGAGAAATCGGATAGTTTGGTGGAAGTTAACCGAAGCTGCTGAAAAGCAAAGTGCAACAAATTCTGAGCAGTGAGATTTGAGAGATTCGGGCTGCAACCCCGCATTGGGCACACCACATTCTTTTCCCGCAGCTCCCCTCTTCATTCGTGCAGACCACGTGACGGGATTCGCATCTTCTTCAGCCCCTCGGGCAGGCGCGCTGAGAAGTCAGATTGTGACAGTTTCAGGCCTTTCTCACTTTTGTCCCTATCTCTGCTGCCCTTACCACGCCATCCGTACCATCAACATTACTCGGGGCGAAAAAACGCGTACCGATCGCACCGAAATTGGCAACCTGCGCTCGACGATTTGACAAACACAGTGCGCGCACACCCACCAAACAAACCCCCGGACCTGTTTCTCGAGGGCCGAGTCTGCTCGAGTCGAGGGCAGCGCGCGGAGAGGAGCGATGGCCGACCTAGGGCTCCCGCACAACCAGCTCACAACAATTCTGAATGCGCTCGCGTCCATCGATCGCCGCCTCGGGCGCATTGAAGCAGCCTTGAAAATACCCAGCTTCAGCAACGCGAACCCCGCTGTCTCGGTTCCTCTCGCGTCCCCCTCCCCCGCCAACCCCGCGACCACAGCTCAGGCGGGGCACATCGCGCCCGCCCCACCACCACCTCCTCCACCAGCACAGGCATTGGCTAGTACTGCGCATGGGCATCACCAACACCAACACCAACACCAGCAACACGGTCAACACCCCGCGGCAGGTGTATTAATCCTAAACAACCACCTTAACAACCCCTCCCCCAACCCCGCAACCAATCCCAACCTGCCCGGGCCCCACCTCGCCAACCCCCTAAACACAACCGACACCACAACCACCACCCACCCCAACCCCACCTTCACCCCCCTGGAACCGCCACCACAAGGGTACACCATCTCCTCGCGGGCCGCGATGCAGGACGAGCTGGACCAGTGGACGCTGCCGCGGGGGTACAGCATGCGGATCGCGGGGGCCAAGGTGACGGGGAAGCGCAAGGTGCGGTGGGTGTGTTTCCGGGGCGGGGAGGCGCGGCACCACCGGGCCCCCGTGGACGAGGCGGTGGTGCGGCAGGCCAAGGCGGAGGGGCGGCGCAAGCCGACGACGGACCGCGCCAGCAAGAAGTGCGGCTGCCTGTTCAAGTTCGAGGTCATCGAGACCGTCAAGGACAGCGACGTCTGGGTGCTGCACTACCCCAACGAGGAGCACAAGGTCCATAACCATGGCCCCTCTGACACCACGAGTGATCCCCGTGCCCGCAAGCTGCCGGGGTACATGTCGGCTGAGGTGGATCGGTGGTTGAGGGATGGCTGGCTGGTGAGTAAGATTCAGGAGGAGCTGCGCGGGAGGGGGTTTACGAATGTGCTAAATACGGATTTGTACAATCGGAAGCGGTTGTTGAAAAAAGATGGCGGTCCGGGGGAGGAGGGGGGTTGAGTTGTTTTGGTATGACAGCAGGACTGCATTTGAAACGGCGGGACGCAATGATGAAATCCATTCTTCAACAGTCAACCGAGCCATTGAGTGATACGAGCCCAGCCAGCCTGGGAGCACCCAGAGACAAACACAAAACGAAGATACCTTGGCACGCGCCTGTTCATGCTTGATCTCCGAATCCCAAATGACTGCAACCCATTCCCCTGACCCTCAACTCATTGTCGCAAAAAGCCCCGACGCACCCCTTCGACAATAAAACAAGCAACAGAAAACATAAAGTCGGGATCCGGATTCACCTCCAAGCCCCAACTCGCTTCGACCTAGGCTCCATGACTTCCAAATCACTGTCATTCAGAGCACCGGCGTGCCTCTTCGACCCTGCAAGTCTCTGGCCTCCGTACCGGTCCCGGTCGCTCAAAACTTGCGCCCGCCGAGCTACACGATTATTCGACCGGTCAGCAGTGAGCTTCCATACAATGACCGGTCAATACCTACCAGACACCCGATCGGCTTTACTTTCCTCCACGCGGAGCTCACCGATAACGAAGCTCTCATGTTTGGTGCGTAGCACATGAGCAAGCTCGGGATCACGCACCTCCTTGCCCACCCAGGGCCGGAGTTTCTGCTCGAACTCGAGACCCCCAAACATCATCATGACTGCAGTCAAGTTGGGATGTCAGCGTACGGCCTACGAACAGCGCCACCGAAACAAACGTACGAGTAACATCGTAAACCATCTGCTTCTTCGAGCCGTCCTTTTCAGCAACCGCCACCCAAACTCGCCAATTCGTATCCCCGGCGCCGGGGCTCTTTTGGCGCTCCGCCTTGCTAGGGATATGGTTGAGCCTGCGGAACTCGGCAAGCGTGATGAGCCGTCGGGCGCCGGTGACCAGCTTTGCGCAGACAAGGTCGTCTCGCTTGAGGAGCTCGAGAAGGGCATCCGGTGGGTCCTCCGCCTTCAGTGCATGCGTGGCGTCCGTGCCGGTGTATGGCGTTAGCTCGTCAAAGAGCTTTTGCTCATTTACGCCAAAGCCTACTTTTTTTCACCTCAGTAAGGAGTGTGATTCAATGTGGGAGGTAAGGGATGGACTTGACTGACTTGAGAAGTCGAATACACGGCCCAGAAGCACCAATTCACCCTCTTCCATGTGGCTGACGTCGGTTATCTCGTCGACCATGCGCCCAACCACTAGGTCACTGTGATTCCTTAATGTCTGAACCCAATCAGCGTGGGCATGGCGAAACTCGTCGGTGGCGTCACGCCCTGCGTATTGATGAAGGATTTGTGCGCCGCCGGGGTGGGAATGGAGGTAGCCTGCTGAGGTTAGTCAAATTGCGTCTCCCTAGGGGAATGAAGGGATCCGGACTTACGTCCAAGATCGTACACGTCACCGTCAAGTGCGCAGTACATGCCGATTTGAGGATATATGTGTCTGCCCAGTTCGCGCAGCGTGAATTCCCGGCGGCCGGATGGCGGAACACCTGTCGTTGGCCTGAGAAAACCGCATTTGTACGGCCCCAAACGCGTGACGAGGTCATTCACATCGAGATCATCTAGTGCATCACCGGCGGTCTTCTTTCCAAACGCCAAGTCGATGAGCGCCTCCTCTTCCTTCCCGGAGCTGAAGGGAAAGCCTAAACTACAGTTAGTGGCCGTTTCAGAGAAGGAAGGATACACGAACCGGTGATGTCATAAACCACATTGCCAATGGTGCACCATAGGTCGCGGCCATCCCGTCCGTCATGTTCGGAAACTACTTCAGGGTGCTTCCAAGTCAAGAGTTTGCCGAGCGGCTTGTCTCCGTTGGCATCGAGGGCCGTCCTCAACTCTTGAGAAACAATGGCGCGGCCGAGCTCTGTCGATTCGAGGGCTGTCTCGGTATCGAGATCGGGATTTCGTTTGAAGAGCGCTGGTTTGAGTGAGCCCGCAATTAGTTTGCAGTCATGCGCAGTAAGAAATCTTCAAACTCACCCCTGACATCGAAGACATCATACCCTCCCTGATTATCAGGTAGAAGCGCCCAGTTCGCCCCCGACGGGTCATCCGAGATCATCTCTCCCACTTCCGACACGGTGAAATACTTAGTCGGCCATCGCCTGCCCGAGCCTCGGGGGCCAGCACCACTACCACCACCCACAACCTGCGCAGCCATCGCCCGCGTCTGCGCCTGGCCGCTCGCCGACGTCAGACCACCTTGCCCTGGCGGAAACCCCGTCCACGGGACATACACCCCCTGGGAATCCCGACACACCAGCTTCCCGCTATACTCGGGGAACTCAAAATCCCAATCCAACCACTCCTCATCCAGCCTCTCAAACCCAACCTGCCGAAAAAGCGCCGCCAACAACCCCTCCACCTCCACCGCAAGCGGCAGCGGCAACGGCTCCACCACCTCCCACCTCCGCTTCAACTCGAGCGCCCGTTCCAACAACCACAACCTCCCCCTAACCCTGGCCTCCCCTCCCTTGCCATCCCCCACCACCCCCCCAACCCCACGGTCCCTCCCCGATGGCTCATACACCCGTCTGCACTCCTCAAACCGCCACCCCCCACCACCACCACCAGCCTCCACCGCCGCGCGGCTGGGCACCCAGACATTCCCCACCTCACGCGATTCACACTCATACCCAGGCCCCTCGCGCGCGGGCAGCGCCGCCTGCGTCAGCAGCGCCAGCACGGCAAACAGCCAATCGCGGGACGGGGGGGGAGGAGGAGGAGGAGGAGGAGGCTCGTCCCCGCCCGGGAGCGTCACGCGCTGCAGGTGCAGCCGGTAGTGCATCCCCGCAGCAGCAGCAACGGCGCGGGCGTCGCTCTCGGCGCGCAGGGCGGCGGCGCGGATGAGGCGGCGGGCGGGGTGGGCGGCGGCGGCGAAGCGGGCGACACAGTCGCGCCCGGCCGGGTTGGCGTAGGGGGTGCGTGACCAGCGGCGGTGGGCGGGGTCGTACCAGGGCTGTCGGGGGCGGGTCCAGGTGCGGCGGCGGGCGTGTAGGTCGGTGAGGGTGGGGTGGAGTTGGGGGAGGAGGGTTGACTGTGTGGTGGAGAGGGGGGTGGGTGGGAGGCATTGGCCGGGGAGGGTCTCGCAGGAGGAGCCTTTGAAAATGCGGGCCGAGGAGAAGAGGCGGGGAGATTGGAAGGCGGTGGTGCCATATTTCTTGACAAGGATGCTGTAGAATGACTCGAGGAGGGTGGAGGAGGGCCAGGCGGTTGGGAGGGGTGAGCAGTTGGTTACTTGGCCGACGTGGACGACGGGGTGGTTGTTGAGGCGTGCGATTGGATCCGCACCTGGGGAGGACGGGAAGTCAACCATGCTCATGCCGTATTTGTAACCGCTTTTGCTGGTCGTGTCGATCATGAGAACTTCGCGGAAGTCATTCCCGAATAGGCTCTTGATTCCCGAGCTGCCGAGTTCTCGATCCCTGCGTAGTTGTCAGTTCTGACTCTGAGCCGCGTCCTCTATACAGTACTGGAGGTATTAACCGCCCGAAGACATGTTCCAAAGCCGTCCTCAGTGACAGGCACCAACACCTTCTTGCGGCCCAGTGACGCGCGAATAGCTTCAAAAGAACATACCATTCCTGTCCGTAGCACTACGAAGAGTTGGTTGTTAATGGAGGCTCGAATTTATAGCGGTGTAGACGCATGCGATGAAGGGTAAAGGGAATGTCAAGTTGGGTACGTACGGGCTCGCCAGGCGGGTCAATCTCATCAATGTGCCGCGAGTAGTTGATTGCATGCTAGGCCTACGTTAGCGGACAAGATCTGAAACACCTCGGTACTACCCTTCGCGGCATGGAAGCAAGCCACTTGCCATCAACTCATGTAACATCTATATCCACCATTAGCAAGTGTCAATCAGGGTATAAAGGGACGCCCTACCGTTATAGCCATTGACCATCGGGCGTGACATCTTTCTGACAAGGTCGATTTCGGATCGAGCAAAACCCGGAGAGGTCTCAAGTGAATGTACACCGAAAGGAACGCAGGTTGCCTCTCCGCAACTGGCGTATCCTCGGTCGGCTCTCTCCCACCATTCCAGTGCCTGACAGTACGCCCATGGGGGTCGCCATGATCGGCGGAGTCGTATGGGTGGAAGCCGTCATCCAAAAAGGTCCAAACAAGCCTCGGTGCCAGCAGGTCCGCAATAGCTTTCAGGGTCTTCTCGCCGTCGTAGACCTTGATATCGCCCGGGATTCTCCAGGGCTTCTTGTTTGGCCCAAGATGGCGGGGGTCGTCTAGCTCGGCGGCCGTTGGCTCCGCGTCCATCCACTCAACCCGTTGCTCGTGGACCAGGTGGTTGAGCCAAGGGCCGTGGGCCATGTGACGAAGCCAGCGGTTTGCAAGTTCCAGAGACACCCGCAGCTCGTTCCAAATCTTGGGGACATCAACGCTCCACACGTCCGACTCGTTGACCCCAGGGAGAGGATGGCGGAGCAGGGTCCCGTCGATGACGGGCAAGCGGAAGTTATACCATTTGCCTTTCGCAAAGACCGGATGCCAACTGCTCTCGTCGACTTCAACGCCGTATCCACGGTCCAGGATATGAGGCGTGACCGAATCCATTCGTCGATGGCCTCCCGCCCAGCCATTGACCAGGTGCTCGCCGAGGACATCCATCTCCCAGGTCGTCAGGCCCGCGTTCTGGTCTATCTGGTACTTCTCGGTCGTGAATAACATGTCGAGCTCGTTGCCGCTAGGCATGGGGTATGGGTCCATGTGGTCAAATGCTGCGCGGTCCTCGGCGTAGTAGGTTGGGTGCAGGCGGGGGAAGAGAGGGGCAAGCCCGGAATGAGTGACAGGTTCATGGGGGGTGTGGAGAATCGTCCGGGACTCGCCGCCGTACTTGCTAAACCACGGCGATGGCTGTGGTTCCTGCCGGCCTGAGGGGTCTGGCGACACTGGGCTGCTCATGATGCGCGGGGCGATCTTTGCTTGCGGTCGAGGGCGGCGCTCTGCGATGATGACGGGGAACCCAAAACCACAACACGCGAGCTGGCTGCTCTAAACTTTGGGCGGGTACAAAGATGAAAATTCGCAAGAATGTTGGAAACAAGCCAAGCTTCTCAAGGCCTCCTTTGTTGCTGGCCGGAAAAGGCTCCTGGGAGCTGTCAGCCAGCGGAGCGCAGGGATTGCCGAAAACGGCAGTGAAGCTGATGGAAGGGTACGCGCCTTCAACGAACTGCACATGCTGAAGAGCATTAGTCCGAACTGTACGCTACAGGACCTCAACCTTTCACAATTGCCTCCCTTTCGCACAAACTCAAAATCCGGGCTATCCTAGGGGCTTTTGGGCGAACCAAAAGTAATAGTGGAAATATCGGTGCACGCCCCTATTAGCCAACCCCTGCCTCGCATGAGCGAGCGTCACCTGGCTCTCCGTCTGCGACATGCCCAGAGCGGTGAAGGGTCGGCCAGGAAGGACAGGCATCAGGTCCTGTACTGCCATTTTCTGGTACATGCCGATGACGCGCAGTGTCTTGTCGCGCGCCCAGGGCCCGATGGGTACCTTCTTGACGACGTACTGGATGTTCTCGAAACCGGCGTCGCCCAACATGGGCTCCAGACATTTCGGTAGCGTCACGTCCATGCCGAACTTGGAGAAGGCACGGTGGCTAAGCTCGTACATGTATTTGACCGGGTCGTCGTCTGGCATGCTGCCGTCGTCGCAGAGAATCTCGGCGCAGAGTTCCTGAAGCTCGATCCAGCCGCCGGGCTTTAGGCTCCTATGATGGGTTATTAAGTGGCCGCAAGCAATGAACGTCCATCATCAATGGATATCAAACGTACTCATAGGCCCGACGTAACACCCCCGCCACATCTTTGAGCACGATGGTCATGAACCTAAGATGGACAAAGTCGACATCGCGGTCGAGCCACTCGCGTTGTTCGCAGTCGTCCACTAGGAAGTCGACGTTGGGCGGCACCCACGCAGGCTGCGTCGGGGATAGGTCAATGCCGCGGACGCGAGCGTTCGGGAATCGATCACCAATTTCAATCGCCCATGCCCCTGTTACGTTGTATAGTGGTTGGTCAAAGGCCCGATGGGTTTCCAATGAGATGAGTTGCTGGACTATTAATTGTTCCACTCACCAGTGCCGGTCCCAATGTCGAGGATATTTTGCACTTTGTCGCCAATGGGCGCGTAGAACAACTCGCCGTCGCACAGCTCCATGAGCATGGCATGCTTCATGTCCTCTCGATTAAGCTCATCGTCATCGTTGGGGATGGGATAGCGGCCATTCTTGAAATGCTGGTAGCGACGGCCGTTCTCGTAGGTGTGGGCGTAGATGGACGACGTGACGCTAGTTGAGCCTGTAGATGCGGTCTCGTAGCCATCGGTTAGGGCGAACTCGTCTTCATCGTGAATTTCATCTGGCTCAGCAGCGGAGATAATTCCGGAATGCTGCTCTTCCTGCTGATGTTGTTGGCGAACGTTCCCCTCGTGGGCCATAACATGTGGGGTCACGGATTGGATCCGAGCGGGGCTGGGATCGCTGTGATCGAGTGGGAGAGTTGCAAGGAATTTGTCAACGGTTGCGTCCATTGCGTCGGCTGCGTCGGCTGCGGTGGTGTTGTCGACCTGTGTTGCCTCGTCGGGATTTGACAGCATTTTTTACAGTGCAGCACAGGAAGCGCGACGGCCAACGAAGCAAGATTCGTGTGATGGTTGCTGCTTGTTGTTTGGTGGTGTATCGGGTAAAAAAGGGTCCCCCCGTGCCCCCCACAGGTGGTGCCTGGGGGTCCCAGTGGTTCGGTTCAGTCTCCTGCCCATGTGGGCTCACGAGGGGTTGAACGGACGAATGAGGGACACTCGCTCCCACACCCGACTGCACTCCCCCCACGCGGAACTCATCGAAGCGACGAAGCGTCGAAGCGACGAAGTCCCCTGCAACGGCCCACACGCAAGACGGCGAAAGGACGAAGTAGGTGGACATTGACGAACGTAACTTACGGAGCACGAGTTAAAAATTAGACTGAATACGTTGTCCACAAAGTCCGCTCTTCTACCCTGTCAATTGCGCCGCGCCGCATTTCCCTTCAGCATGCATTACCGAATTTGAAAACAACCCGAGTTCAGACCGACCTGCCGTGCCCTTGTCTGGCCATCAGCATCTGGTCGACGGCTTTTGGGTCCATTGAGAATTCGGCTTCCTGAACCGACTGCTGCACCGCCTTTGCGCCCCGCTCAATCATATCGGCATCGTAGGCCGAAATTGCCGACGCTCGAGCGGCACCCTCGCGGACTTTAATGAGCGCGTCGAGATACTGGCTCGCGTCTAGAATAGCGTGCTGGAATCCCTGCCCGCGGTAGATCAGCATCGGATGCGCTGCGTCGCCCGCCAGCGTGATGCGCCCGCCGCGATTGTCAAACGGCTTCGACACCCAGTATTTCATCTCGTCGATATAACACTCGCTGCCATCCGGCGTCCAGTCGATCAAGGATTGGAACGGCTCTGCCTGGTCCTTTGTGGTCGCTTTCAGGTAGTCGAGTGCCTGCTCGCCCGCAGTCCCCCCCTCAGGAAGGGGTGCAGCGCTGCTCTTCCGCCAGATCTTGACCCACATCGTCGTCCACCGGCTGAGGTCGTCCGAGGCGCCCGCATACATGACTACAAGACGACAAGATCGGTCAGCTGCGCACTGCGCCAGGAACTCCCCGAAGGAAATCACTTACCGCCGCAACCTCCAACCGAGCTTCTGACCATGGTAATCGCCGCGACCGGATGTGTCTTCAAGACCGCCTAGACCTTGGCCGCATCGCCGTACTGCACAATGGCCGTGGCAAACATGAACCCCGACAGCTGCCATCGAACAGCAACCGGCGCAACTTGGACGATGAGCCGTCGGCGCCGAGGACATAGTCTGCGTCATATGTCGTGCCGTCCTCAAATTGCAGCCGCACGGGACCAGCCTCCGACTCCTCGTTATGGGTAAACCCAGCCAACTGCTTGCCCCATCGGATGATCCCCGCCTCGTCCAGATCGCGAGCTAGCAGGCCACGAAGCTTCTGCCGAGACACTCGCCGTGCCCCCGGTACCTTGTTCTTGAAGAGTAGCTCTCACGTCTCGCCGTTGAACACCGGCAAGCTCCCGGCTTCCTCGTCAAACTCGATGTCCGGGTTACACAGTGCTTCCGGCAACCTCTCGACAAGGGGCTCCGAAAGCAGTTTCTTGAAGAGGGGCATGGCCCAGTGAATAAGGATCGTCCAATCGCGGGGCCGGTCTGTTATGTGATGGGCCCTCTCGAACACGACAACGTCAAAGCCGTTATGGTTCCATGGTCAGGCAACACAACATCAGCTGGGTATTGTGGGGGAACCCACCTTTCTCAGCCCATGTGCAGTGAGGAAACCCGTCAGGCCGGCGCCGATGATGGCCACCTTTGTGGCACTACTTTTGTTGAGAGCCGTCATGTTCGGGGAATATCCCCCGTTGGACGAGGCTGAAGTGCGGTAAATGCGGTGGAATGGTGAAAGAGTCGGCCGCCGGACCATCGCATAGCATGTGGTTCCTGTTGAACAAAACGGGCGACTTGAAGTAGTAACGGTACTTAGGTACCTAGGTATGGCGAGTCTACGACATGGATCATTGGGTCCACAATTTGTGCTCAGTGCAGACAAGTGCCACTTCCGGGAGGTCCAGATGCCCTCCCCTTTTCCTTACAAGTGCCTGCGTCGTTGATTCGCCGACCAGACAATAAATCACGTGCTTCAATGCCCTGGATAGAGAAACGACAGAGGTACCAAGGTAACCCACGTTGCAGTGCATTCAGACCCCAGTTTCTCTGTCCCCTCTCCTCGCTCAAACTGGGGTAAGCATGGTTCAGGATCCCCGTGTCCGTGGAAACCGGCCAAACCCTTGCTCGAACCTCGGGACTGGTTGGTTGCCCTGGAAAGGACACGCCAGATCCTCGCTCGCCTCAGCAATCCAGATCAACAGTGGCCCGTGTTGCGGGTCGCTGGCACGTGGCTGGGTACCTGTGCCAGGTCCTGGGTCCGAGATTCGGTATTCCCTGGCACGACAACCTCCATACCTCATGAGGCGGGGGTAGGCTTTCTGGTTGTGTCAGGGCCGGAGGGCAGTTGGCACTCGGGTGTGATAATCCCCCACCCAAACCGAGGCCTTGCTCCTGTATTATATCAGCAGGGGGACAGTTGACCGACATGGCTCTTTCCTGGGCCCCCTGCTGCGACAAGGGTCTGCGAGGGGACTCTTCCGCCGGCGACAGCGGCGTTGGTGGTGTCGTTCCGATAATGACGTCGTTGCTACGGCAGTGGCTGTCTCGGGGTGCTTCACAGCTCCTCTAACATCCAGCAGATGTTGGGGGGGTCCGTGCAGGTAACCTTGGCGCTGGTGATAATCTTTCCGCCAAACATCCACGGGTATGCGCCGAGCATCCGGGCGATACCCTTGCCGTTGTCGGTACCGAGAAGGGAAAAGAAGTCTGCCTCGCCGGCTTGGAGGGTGATAATTTCGTTGTCCTGGGGCTTTCGGTCATCCTCAAGCTTGCTAATGAAGCTTGTCGTCATGTCATTAACAATGTTAAACCGGCAAATCGCTAAGATGTTCGACATATCTTGTTCGGTTACGAAACCACAACTCACCGCCCCGACGTCGCTCCAGTGAGGTCGATTTTCACGGAGGGTGTCCTCGCGTGCGAAATTGTGCCAGCACAACATTGCGTCGCCCTCCTCGTGCACAGAGTTTATATATGGCACCTTGTTGTCACTAAGCGGCAAGTTGCGTACCTCGACGCAATGGTACCCCTCTACGGGAAGCCCCCCACTTTCCAGGAGTCTTATATGGGTCTCACTAAAGTCGGGGTCGGCTGGCTCCTCATAGAGGTCATACCGATGGTCCCCTTCATCGATCGTGGGCAGGTCGGTGTGCGCTCCAGCTCTAACACCAGCTTCCATAGCGGCATATACCTCCCTTCCTTTAGCCTCGTGGGCGGCTATTTCGTCAGAGGTTAGCATTGTGGGAGTTCGAATATACGCTGCAATAGAACGTCTATGCTGCCGAGAGTGGTTCCCTTCCGAGTACCTTCGTAAATGCTAGTAAACCGTATTTATAAAGTACTTACCCGCGCAAGGGGGGGGTCGAGGAGCGGTACCTGGACCGGTTATCAACGCCACGTCAACAGCTTACGAAAACACCAGCGGGGAAAGTTTAACTTACCTAAAAGAGCGGCTTTCGAGCGGTTCAAACTGAAATAAGCGGCTCGATTAACATACGGCTCATTCAAGGAAGGGGCTATAGTCCGCTCCTTCCTTTAAGGTGTTTGAGAGCAACGCGTAGATCGCTCAAGCGGCAAGAGCGACTCCTACGTTGAGCTGCTGGAAGATCAAGTGGTTAAAGTACTGCCAATGCTCTCCTCGAGGACAGTTAAGCAGTGTACTAGCCGCTTAATTGTTTGAGTGGTTTATTAAAATAAGGTGGGAAAGTTTGACTCCCTAACCCCCCCCTTACGCGGGGAAGTAGTCTCTCACGTATACTGTTTGTTTTTAACATGTGCTATCTTAACGTAGGAAGGTTTGACTCCCATTTCCTATTAAATAGTATTCCCAAGTCAATTACCGACCTGCACTCCTTCTTTGTCCCTTGTTCATCTTTGTGCAAGCACGAAGGCGGTGAAATTGCCAACTCGAGACTATCCAGAACGCCTCGCGTTGTCGTAATTTCTTTGCTTTGATATCTCATATCAATTTACTTTTTCATGGCTATTATTCTTCTATTGTCCGAGAATGGCATTGGTTACATTTCTAATTCCTTATACTACCTAGCCAGCCTTGGCGGAGTTCGCCCTCAAGAGTACCACCTACCGACCTACCTATGTTCCACGTTGTTCGCGAGGGTGGAAGCGGGGAAGCGATGTGAAAGGCGGGGCTGAAACCGCTCTGTAAACAAACGGCACGTTACCGTGACAACCTTGAACCCAGTTGCTTTGGTCCCCTCGATATTGACTCTTTTTGAGTTTTGATCAGTCGTCGTCCGATTGCCGGTCCCATCCAACCTGGTGCCTCGCCTTTCACCATTTTCAAATTTCTGTGCCACGAAATCGTACACTTTCCCACGTGCGCATTTCAACGACGTCCGCTCTTGGCTGTGATTTCAACTCGGAATAGCTGTAGGCACCTTTGACAAAGCTTCTTAGTCTAGTGACGGTCATTATTTTATACCAATAATTTGCTATTCACCCAGTCCTGTAGTTACAGGTCGGTCTCAAGTTCGTTCACTTGTGTCAGCCTGTGTGGGTCCCTCCTGCTCCACTCGATCTGCAAGGATCGACTTCCGGTGGCTAGCTGGACAGGGGTGGGTTGCCGACAGGCCCAGGCGCCTCGGCCGTCGCCTCTCCGACCTCCCGCCGCCTGTCTGCCCCGTCATCCAATCCTCCGTTCCGAGACAACTACCTCCAACAACTGACCAAACCACACTTCCTTCATCAACCGTGACATTTCGACTCGGCAATTTCATTTTCATTTTCACCGCGAGTACATCCAGCTTCCGATTACCATTAATACCTGTCCACCATGAAAGCGACAAACGCCTCTCTCCTTGCGCTGCTGCTGCCGGCAGTCAGCGGTCGTTTCGTCGAGTCTGGCGAGCCGGATCGCTCGATACTCTACCCTGAGGGTCTTCCCAAGCCTGCCGAAACCGGCGAGAAGTACCACATTGAGCTTTCGCCGGGAGAGACAAGATGGGTGACGGAAGACGAGAAATGGGAGCTGCGCCGGGTGAGTCTGTCCTTGCTCCATCTTGCCTAGACCCGCGAGCTGTTGTGCTGATGACATCCACCCCAGAGCGGCAGGCGCTTCTTCGATATCACCGACCACCCCGACTTGGGTGCCCTCCACGAGATGAGCGCCTTCAAAAAGAAGAGCGTCTTCCCCGAGAAGCCGACATTGCAGAAGGAAGTGAAGCCGCTCCTAGCCGAGTTGTCCAAGACTGAGATGAAGGACCACTTGACGACCTTCACGTCATTCCACACTCGCTACTACAAGGTATGTACCGGTCTCCTAAATAGCATGACCCGCGCTGACACGTAGACGGCGATAGTCCGATTACGGCCGGCAATCAAGCGAGTGGCTCCTCGGCCAGGTCCGCGACACCATCAAAGCGGCCGGTGCCGAGAAGCACGTTCGTGCCGAGCACTTCGAGCACTCCTGGGGCCAGAACAGCATCATCGCCACCATCCCCGGCAAGACCAACTCGACCGTCGTCATCGGTGCTCACCAAGATTCCATCAACCTGTGGCTGCCGAGCGTGCTCCCCGCCCCCGGCGCCGACGATGACGGCAGCGGCACCGTGACCATCCTCGAAGCCTTCCGCGTCATCCTGCAATCCGAGGACATCATCAAGGGCAACCACCAGAACACGCTCGAGTTCCACTGGTACAGCGCCGAAGAGGGCGGCCTGCTGGGCAGCCAGGCCATCTTCTCGTCGTACGAGAAGGAGGGCCGCGACGTCAAGGCCATGCTGCAGCAGGACATGACGGGCTTCATCACCCGCACCCTGGATGCGGGCAAGCCCGAGAGCGTGGGGGTGATTGTCGACTTTGTGGACCCGAATCTGACCCAGTTCATCAAGGTTGTGATTGACGAGGTATGTTGTTCTAAGCCGGTTCGTCCGTGCCCCCCGGAACGCCACTAACATGCTTTACCCGACAGTACTGCGACATCCCCTACGTCGAGACCAAGTGCGGGTACGCCTGCTCCGACCACGCCTCGGCCTCCAAGGCTGGGTATCCGTCGGCGTTCGTCATCGAGTCGGCGTTCGAGTACTCGGATAACCACATCCACTCGACCGAGGACTTGATGAAGTACCTGTCGTTCGACCACATGCTCCAGCACGCGCGCATGACCCTGGCCTTCGGCTACGAGCTAGCCTTTACCGACTTCGCCGCTCTCGAGGGCCCGAACCACTCGGATTCGTTGTAAGATGTTTCTAGGCCTCGGCGAAACAGCAGGCGCAAACGTTGGATATCCGTCATGTTCTGTGCTTTAGCAAGCGTTCAGGAGTGTTGGTAATCACGATAGATACCCTTTCGCGCCACCAATTATTATGAGTCTTGCTCGTTGTCGTCAAATGTCTGTATTCCAGTGTCTCCCCTTCTAGAAACGCTGCAAAATGCCTATCCGTAACCTCTATATGCGATGCACAAAACCCACGGTTCGACAGGGTATAATGCTCCCCAGCCACCCAACATCCATCTCCTTCACATGCTGTCCTCCATCTGCCGACTCCGCGTCTTGGTCCAGCTGTCGTGCTCCGGCTTGCCGCCCTGGCTCTCCAAGCCCATGCCCCTCTCCACCCACTCCTTGCTGCCCATGTGGCTCAGCCGGGACAGCGCGCGCGCGAAGGCAAACGCCTCCTCGTCACCGCTGAACAGGTTCGACTTGGCCAGCTGCCCGGCGTTGTGCTCCAGGTCGTCCAGCACCTGGTCCGTAGCATCGTCCACCGCCGCCGCCGTGACGTCATCGTCGTCGCCGCCATCTGTTCCCTTCCTCCCCTTCTCCTGCTCCCGCCGCCGCCGCGCGAGCAGCGACTCGCGCATCTCGGCGCGCGAGACGAACAGCTCGGGCAGCGGCACGGCGGTGGTCAGGACCAGCTTGGCGCGGGACTCGTAGACGGCGTCGACGAAGGTGATGAAGCGGCGCGCGAGGTCGCGCTGCCGGAACGTCATGCCGGGAACCTCGGTCACCACGAAGGCGTCGTACGACCGCATCAGCTCCAGGTAGTCGGCCGCGCCCGCCGCGCGCCCGATCAGCTCGTCGAAGGTGAACCACGCGCACCGCCCGCTCACCCGCGGCACCACGATCTCCCGCCCCCATACGCGCTGGACCTCTTGGTGCGGGGTGGGCGTGTCCGGGTCGCCGAGGAAGCGGAACCATTTCTCGGCGTGGGATGCGGCGTGCGCGTCGAGGGGCGTGTGGTAGACGCCCGAGGGCGGGCGCGGGATCTTGCGGTAGTCGGTGGTGGAGTCGAGGTTGATGACGTGCAGGCGGGTCTTGAGGAGCTGGATGGCGGGGATGAAGGACTCGCGCTGGATGCCGTTCTTGTAGAGCTCGTCCGGGTGGCGGTTGGAGGTGGTGACGAGCACGACGCCGTGCGACATGAGCGACTCGAGCAGGCGGCGCAGTATCATGGCGTCGGCCACGTCGGTGCACTGGAACTCGTCGAAGCAGAGCACGTTGCCCTGCTCGGCGATCTCGGCCGCCACGAACGGCACGCAGTCCACGTCGCCCCCGTACTGCAGCTTCATCTTGTGCAGCCGCTGGTGCACGCTCTGCATGAAGTTGTGGAAGTGGATCCGCGTCTTGGACCGCACGCTCGCCGGCAGCGTGTCGTAGAAGAGGTCCATCAGCATCGTCTTGCCGCAGCCCACGTCGCCGTACAAATAGAGCCCCCGCGGGAGGTTGCCGGGGATCGCGCGCCTGGGCGGCTTGCTCCCGAACCACGAGAAGAGGGACTTGCTGGGCTTCAAGGACTCGATCGTCGGTTGCACGACGGGCGGGGCGTGATAGTGTCGTAACTCTTCGTGTAGGTGCTGCAGACTCTGAATTATCCCTGGTGTGGGGTGAGCAACTCTGATCTTCACTGATCCATCTGGGGATGGGGCCACCCTCACCTCTCTGGTGTTCGTCGTTTCGGAGCACGCCGTTTGCTACTCGCCGGTCGTACTCTTGTATTGGTCCAATATCCTCGGTATTAGCTGTAGCTGCGTCAGCCCTGTCCCCAAGCATCCCAGCCCCACCACCGTACGCACTATTCTCGACAGCTTCTGCCGCCGCGACCGACGCTCGTCTTCGCTGTCCCGCGACAAACGTGGCGGGAAACACAACGTGCGACGCCGCGCGGAAGCGGCGCTCAAGGCCTGGCGACCCACGGGTCCTCCGCACCACGTTTGTCGAGTACGCGCATGTTGGACGGAATGCGCGCTGGTGGGGGCAGCTCGGCGTCGTCCGAAGGGCTCGAGACACGGCGCTGAGGGAGGTCCTCGGTGGGAGGCGGCGCAGGCGCGAGGGCATGGCTCCTCTCGGTATCGGTAGTGTCGGATACAAAGCAGCAAAGTCTAGCGTTATTGCGTAGCATACATCGCAGAGCGCGGGAACGAAACCTGCGCGGTATTTGAGTGGGGGGATTCGAGAAGGGTCAAAGGCAGCAGTCTTGCTGAGGGAACGACCGAGCGTATCGAATTGGATTGCGAATTGATACAATAATAAAAACCAGCAAAATTACCCTGAAAATATTGCTTGGTCCTCGAATATCGATGTCCAAAATTCAGTATGTCTCCCTCTTCAAACCTTATGACGGATGAGTTCGGTTGGTGTCGTCAGACGGTTCGGCGTTGCGGCGTTGCGGCGTTCGGGAAAAATGCCAAGTTCGTCCAAACCAGTCAAGTGCCGCGGCATTGCCCTTGCAATCGAAGAACCCCCTGGAACCTGCGAGGTCCATGCATGCACGTGCCACGGCAAAGCAATTGCGGGGTCCTTCTGATGAACCACAGATGGAACTCCCGTCCCGATGGATCAAGCTTGGCAACACCAGATCCCAAACCTCCGAATCAACCTGACCAATGAGTTCAAGGCTGAAATTCTCAGCTATTCGGACGAACCAGCACTTCTTCCTCCTGCACAATAATTGTTCAAAGCCGAAGACAATTTGAGTCTACCAAACCTGTGTGTTCTCGCCCAAATCACGACGCTTCCATGTTGTGGTTTGATTTTGTTGCGGCTACTGGCACCATATGCCACACGTCCCTGAACTTGCCGTCATTAGGAGTTGGCGAGTTGCCCGTGGTTGATTGCTCACTTCCATCTTTGTAAATTGGTAGTGAAAGGATTCGTTTTTCAGCCACCCCGGATACAGCAGCGAACAGCCTCAGACCGCCGGGGAGGAAAGGGTACCCCTTCCGAGATCATCGAAGGGGGCGGCCGTGTTCTTTGTGTTTTTCTCAAAAACCAAAAGAAATACAGCTAAACTGAGATAGCCAGGCGGGGCAGATTCGACAGTAGCTAAAAGATAGGTTCGGCCGGCAGCAATTAGCTGATCATATCCAGTGGCTGTTGCCTACCTAGGTACGGTAGGTATCTAAGGTACTGAACTGGCAGGAAATACTGATGGCAAGATATGTTGGAAAGAGACGATTAGAAACCACGACCCAGGGGCCCTCAAGATGCTCACAAGAAGTAGGGGGTGGGGGATTGCTCCCTCCGTTACCACACCTATCATCTTTTTCTTCCTCCCCGTTCCTCGTCGTCCGTTAGACCGTTACTCTCACTTCTAATCAATACACCCAACCCGACACCTTTGTCGCAGTTTTAGCCTCGCCGTAACATCTCCTAAGCTCCTAGCAGCCGTTCTTGGAGACCAGCTCGCAATTCCCGGCAAGATGGCGAACAACTATGAGCAGAACACGCCTATACCTTCGCACGTATTGGCTTCGTCTATGTTCAGAACCATCAGCTTAGCGCAGGTTGACCAGAGCCGTCTCCTCGATGGTATTCATCAATACCCCCTATGTGCCGGCTGCAACAACGCCATCAAACGCCAGGACCCGTTCGAGGTATACTGCCCCAAGTGCGGACACACTCTATGGTGCAACCCGGGGTGCACTAGATTCCCTGGTCGGTCATTTCAAATAAACGACAAGACACCGCGTGAGACCCTGATTCCAGACTCTTGGGCTTTGCACGAGCAGCTCTGCTTCCCTACTATTCAGAGACGACCATTCGGGGGAAGAGATTTCGCCTACCACCGCCAAGCATGTCTCTTTCCAGTGGGACAAGATACTCCCCAGATCATCTGGGTCCATTACGACTGGGGAACGGCCACTCTGACCGTCGAAGACCCGTCCTTCCACGCGTTCGGAGTCCAAACCGACAGTGAACCCACCCGCTGTGTCCTTCTCAGGGATGGTTACCAAATGGAAAATTGGACCTTCCGGTTCGACCTCCTGTTGCTATCCTATCCTCAAGTCGCCCAGGCGATACCGCCTAACATGGCCAGCCAGTCCATCGCCGCCCTAGCCAAACCACTACAGCTGAAGACATGGTTTGGGCCTGTGGTTGCCATCGCTGTGTCCCCTAACCCCAGCGGAAAACACTGCCTCGTCCAGGATATCACCCCCCGCGATATCACAGCCGCCGTCATCTATCATCTAACCCACTTGGACAACCCCTGCCGGCCTCTTGCCCAGTTCTGGCCTGGGGCGGATGACGCCTATCCCGTCCTGAAGTTGACGGATGCCGCGAATCATTTCATCACTTCGGCATTTGGCCATCAACCTCCCATGGCTCCCGTCCTCGTTGCCTCTTGGAAGGGCGGTATATGGAAACCCTGCACGGTCGCCCATCGGCTCGGCCTCCGTTGGTACATCAGCTCGGGAAACTGCCGTTCTTGGCAAGACATGGACCGCGGGCCGAACCCGGACGCCCGGTGGCTCAAGTATGTCTTCGGCGACGACCAGGAATAGAGAGACTGGTGTGACCCGGCCGCTCACAAGGACCAACCCGTCGTCCCCAAACTGAACGTATTCCCTGTCCACGGATCTATTTTCCTCAAACATGCCAACCGCGTTCAAATCGAACCCGATCATGTTAAGCTGTTTAACGACTACCTAAACGCTGTTTTCCAGAAACGGCGCATACCCTCCAGGGAAAGATTTGTGAGGTGGTACCGCAGCGAACGACCCGATTACCCCTTGCCGGTGATCGACTTTGCAGCTCCTGAAAGCGGCGTGGTCGCAGACCAGTCTCATGATACCACACGTGTCGACTCTGGATCGAAGACACCGGCTCTCAACAACCGACTACAAACAATGGTCTTTTGGCGCAAGCTGATGCTCGCCGTCGGCAAGGAATGTAACTCTCCACACGTCTTGCCCATTCCCCTCGCCGAAGAGCTCGAGGACTCGCTCCTGATTGCCGCCATGGTTATTGAGCGCGACAAATTTAAAACTGCTGTGCCCATCGTCAGGGACATTCTATCTTGCTCCGACCCAGCGGAAATTCCCTCCGACAACGATCTGGTGGCCTTAAGCGCAGGCCAATACTACAGGCTGGCCGTTCGGACATCACAAGGGCTTCTTTGCATCCGGCACGGTCGCCGTGGCTTTTATTTCGACATTATCGCCAAGAGCTGATTCGAAGAATATTAACCCGCCTCGTCGGATCACGCCGCCCACCCGACCGAGGAGACATCTGACTAAGACCCCTGTGTGGGTATTTTCAGCAGTACTGGGAGCAAGTAACATAAGAAAGGAGGCTCGCGGGATTCTAGCGAACGTTTACGTATAATCGACATACTGGAGGCGGAGGTTTGTCAACTTTAGGAAGCGAGTGGAGACACGGTCGGAGGTGAAGCGGGCAAGCAGCCTCTCTGTCGGCTGGGAAATGTCCGCGGTGGCATCCTTTAATTAGCGAAAAGATGCGTTGGAACACATACAGCATATTCACGCCCGGGGCCAGTCGAACGTACGAATGAATGCAGGTGCACATCTTGATTCTCAATCTAAACGCCTCTCAAAGAATGCTTCTATGCCCTCCCTTCGCCAGCCTTAACACCAGCCGTACTTCTCGTTGGCAACCCAATCCACCTCGGCAGTTGGCTCCTCTCCATACCACATCAAGCTAGCAATGCTCTCGCTGTCTCGGTTGACGAACTCGGACTCGATCCCGCACTTCTCGACCAGACCCTTGAGCTTCGGACCCGGGTTCCAGATGTGGATGTCTTGTGTCTTCCACGCGGCCGCCTCATGCTGCGCAATCTGCACAATGGACCGGAATCCAGCAACCATCTCGTCATCAGGCTGGTTTGGATCCTCAACCACGACCCGCAGAACATGCAGAACATTCCCTTCCAGCTTCTTCAGCCCGCCGTAGTACCCCCTCATCCACACCGCCCAGACCCTCTTCCCGGGCTCGCCGGCCACTGCGCCCCTGACCGTCGGCGTCTTTCCAAAGATCGACTTGGTCATGTAGTCCTCGCGCATGAGATGCCACAACAGGGCATCCAGCTCCGGCAAGATGGCCACATGCGGCTTGCCGCCCCCACGGCGCGCCAGATCCGCCCTCAGCAGCTTCTCATCGACCGCGCACAGCTCCGCCAGCTCATGGTACCCAAGCGCCTTCGCAACCTGCCCCTTCCCTCCCGCCGCCGCGCCCTCCACCGGCTTGAACGAAACATGGCAGCTCTCAAACGGAGCCCACCCATGCTTCGCGTAAAACTTCTTCCCAATATCGCTATACAGCACCGAAAACAGCGAATGCTCCCTCTCCACCGCAGGCATCTCCCCCGCACCAGCAGCAGCAGCAGCAGCCGCCGCAGGAGGAGCCGCCGCCGTCGCCGCCTGCCACCCGCGCAACTTCTCCCCGACCTCCCGCATCATGCGACTCGCATACCCGCGCCCGCGGAAAGCCGGCTCGGTAAAAACACTCCCAATCCCATGCGCCACCCCCTCCACCAACACCTCTTTATGAGTCGTCGTCGTCGTCGTCACAGCCCGCTTCCTCAAACTCTCACAAGACGACAGAATCGGCCTGCCATCCGGCGGCAGCTCGGCATCCGTCAGGATCCAGTGGGTGATGCCGCCGTCGCGCGCCAGCGGCACCGTCGTCAGGTAGGTCTCGCGCGCCAGGTAGTCGGCCTCGGCGAGGGCGAAGCCCCACGTGGGATAGGTGTGCCGCGCCGTGCGCTCGCGCTCGCCCGGTGTGGGTCGGGCGAGGACCAGGCGTGGGGAGGAGGCGTCCGGGAGGGTGTCCAACGCAAACGTTGGTGGGGGGATGGTTGTGGTGGTGGTGGTGGTTGTGGTTGTGGGGGGTGGGTTGGTGGAGCCCATGGTGGAAATGTCGAGGGTGGGTTGGATGTGTGGGCGGGTTTGGTTGTTTGGGAGTTGAGTTTGGATGTTGGATGGTGTTGGTAATCGGTTGGTGATGGTTGGTTGGTAAAGAAAGGTGTAAGTGTGAGATGCGGGCTCAGGGCGAGAGAAAGGAAAGAGGAGTCTGGGGCGGAACAAAGCAGGAAAGATCCGGTTCAGATCCGGACTTTTAAAACCCGATCAAGAGCGAACACAAGGGAGTGGAAACTTTGAAACTCACACCAACTGAGGGGATGTGGATTCCGCTTCCTGCATGTGCCTGCAAGGGCGTCAATAACATGCTTCATCTATATTCTGTACAGTCTAGTACATCTTTGGCTCTGGCTTCCCTCCACGGCCAACAAAAGGCGGTTGTTATCGATGAGACGGAATTCCGTCCGGCATAGGTTTGCTTCCACAGGCCAACACGGGCCAGTCAGCAACCGACCAACATCAAATGGCCTCCTCAAAGAGGAAGTCCACGATGCGGAGCAACGGGGCGGCCACGCCTGTTGTGCAATTGGCCAGTCTCCCCGGAAAGGCAGGTCAGATGCCCACTGCAACCCCGAAAAACGGCAAGGATAACGAGGCGCGGGGCCGTTCCAAGACCGCGATTTTACGTCACCAGGGTGATGTCTGCGTCGGCTCCCGGCGGGACGGTCGGCGAACAGGCTTCCTTGCGCACTGTCTTGGCCGGCGCCGGGCACCGCTCAAGCGATGGAACGACGGAGAACAACGGCAAAAGCGGGCTAAGCCGACGGTAGGCGGATCCGAGCGATGCTGCTTCGCTCGGAATTGGGTCACAGGATGCATCAAGGATGTGATAACAGATCAGCAAAACATTCGCGGGAACCTTCCACGTATGCAAGCAAGCGGAAACGTTCAGCGAGGGACACGGCATCTAGGCTCCAAGGGCGGCCGGGTCCGCGCTGCCGAGGAGTTGTGGTAGGTTGGCCCAAAAGTTTGGTACTCGGGTGCTCTTGGCCGTCATCCGAGGTCTTCATTCCTTTCATTATAATGGCATGTCCGTCTAATGGTCGTGGCCGTCATCCTCCGCCTGCGGCTCGGGGTCCAGCTTGATGAGGGTATCAATACGCATGATGCTGATGCACGCCTCCACCGCGCTCTTCAGTTGTCGGATCTTGCTGATGCTGGGTTCCACCACACCCGCCTTGATCTCGTCCACCACCTTGCCCTTCATCAGGTCCAGACCGTAGTTCTTGTACGCCTTCTTGCGTGCCACCGTCTTCTCGTCTTCGTTCGCCTCCCCCTCCTGGATGCGCTGCGAGAGCGCGTGCCTTGACCGGAGCTGCGCAACCAGCTCAGAGGCATCCTTGGCGGCGTTGACCGCCAGCGTCTTGGGAATGACGAGTAATGACTGCGCAAACTCGCCGATGGCGAGCTGCTCCCGCGAGCCGACTGTGCCCGCAAATTCCTCCAAGTAGATGTGCAGGGCCGTCTCGACGGCACCACCACCCGGCACGATGCTGCCACTCTCGAGCGTCCTCTTGACGGCGCACAAGCTGTCGTGCACTGATCGCTCCATTTCGTCGAGCTGGAAGTCGTTGGGACCGCGGAGAATGATGGAAGCCGACGAGTGAGCCTTGGTGCCCTTGACCATGATGCACTCGTCGTCCGAGATGCGCTCCTGCGCCACTTCCTCGGCATACCCAAGGTATGACGCCTCGAACTTTTCGTCGCCGTTTAGGTCCGAGAGCGTGCTCAGCAGGGTGGCGCCAGTAGCCTTGGCGATGCGGCGGAGGTCCTCCTTCTTGCACCGACGCACTGCCATCGCACCCTTCTCGACGAACAACTTCAGGCAAAGGTCATCGATGCCCTTGGTTGTCAAAATGACGTTCGCCCCGGCCTTCAGGATCATTTCTATCCGCTCAATAACCATGCCTGCTTCCCGTTGCCGGATCTGCTCAAGCTGGTCGGGGTCATCGATTGTGATCTGAACCCCAAGCTTCATCCGCTCCTTCTGGAAGTTTATGTCCAAGCAGGCAATCTTGGCATCCTGTACCCGCGTCGTCATCGCTTGCGAGGCCACAGTGCAGTTGAGCGCGTAGCCCTTGACCAGGACCGACTCGAGCGAGCCCTTGCCGTGGGCCTTGAGAATGTTGACCGCCTTCACCGGGTACTTGGATTCGTTCTTGTTGTTTGTTGTCTTAACGGCCTGCATGGCGTCGACAACCATGTTCGCAAAGAAATCCGAGTCGGAGCCGATGATCTTGCTCGACATGGACGTCTTGGCGATGTTCAGCAGCGATTCGCGACCCAGGTTTTCCACCTTGATGCTGACGTGCTCGTTCATGTACTTGACCGCCTCACGGAGGGCCAGACGGTAGCCCGTGATAATGGTTGTCGGATGTATCCGGTTCTTCATCAGCTCGTTTCCTCTCCTCAACAGCTCGGCCGCGATCAGGACCACCGATGTCGTGCCATCGCCAACCTCCTTATCCTGTTGATGCGCAAGGTCAACCAGAATCTTGCCGGCGGGGTGTTCGACGTCGAGGAGGCTGAGGATGGTGGCGCCGTCGTTTGTGACAGTAACATCCTATTTGTATATGTTAGGTTGCTGCTTGGCGGGGTAAGGAGAAAAAGGCGGGACGCACGCCAATATCGTCGACCATCATCTTGTCCAGGCCGCTGGGGCCGAAAGAGCTCTTGACTACATTTGCAATCATCTGGGTAGCGATGACTATGTGTTGGGTTAGCAAAGTCCCATAAGCTTGGAGTTGCACTAGCTCTCCGAGTCGATTTCTTGACTGGGCAATAACCGACCATTTTGGTCCCGAATATCTGCACCCGAGATCTTTTGTCCGCCGAGGAACAGGGTGCCGTTGCCCGGCTGCTCAAACATGGAGGCCATCGTAGCGGTGTTCGGCTTGTGGTGTTGACTAGTGGCCGATGCGGAAAGGTTGGAGGGGGAGGGGAAATCGATCCAAAAGTCGGGTATGTCGACAGGCTCCAGCAATTTCGAAGCTTCGACTGCTGCAAGGCGGGCAGCTTCAGGGACTTTTTCCCGGAGGGGGAGATAATCCCATGCCGGCTGTCAACGCGGATCCGACACTGTTATTGGCTGGTGACCCCACAAGGCCCCTGGCAATCAGTCGCGGCCCAGCCCACGCTGCCCCTCGTTTTGAAGTTGATAGCGGGCTAGTGCGGGGCATCAAAAAAGCAGCCCGCGTCTCCCCCTCCGGAATTTTGACTCACTTCCCGGATCGTGTCACAGTTGGGCATTAATAAATTCGCCAATTCCAGGGAGTCCTCGACGTCTCGGACCCATTCCTCGATCCTGCATCTTCACGGACCACAGCAACCATGGAGGACGGAAAGGAACAGTCCAAGAGCGCGCTGAAGAAGGCCGAGAAGCAGGCCAAGATGGCGGCTGCGAAGGCTGAGAAGGCCGCAAAGCAGGCGTCTCTCCCTGTTGTTGGCGGCAAGAAGACGGACGACATCATCGGCATCACCGTTTCCAAGACGGAAAACTTCTCGCAATGGTACCAAGAAGTCGTCCTCAAGGCCGAGATGATCGAATACTACACCGAAATCTCGGGCTTCTTCATTATGCGCCCGGCCACCATGCACGTCTGGAACACGATTCGGAAGTGGTTCCAGGAGCGGATCGAGGCAATGGGTGTCGAGGAGACCAACTTCCCCATGTTCCTGTCACAGAAGTCGTTGGAGAAGGAGAAGGACCACGTTGAGGGCTTCGCTCCCGAGCTCGCGTGGGTAACAAAGGCGTGAGTCAAACAACAGTGCAGTCCACATTTGCACGCATGAGATTGACCTTCAATAGTGGTGACAAGGACCTCGAGGTCCCCGTCGCCGTTCGTCCGACTTCTGAAGCGGTCATGTACCCTTGTGAGTGACCCTCGCTCACGTTAACGCCAACCCATCTAACCGAACCGAACAGACTACTCCAAGTGGATCCGCAGCCATCGCGACCTCCCCTTCCGCCTCAACCAGTGGAACTCGGTCGTCCGCTGGGAAGCCAAGCAGACAACCCCCTTCCTCAGAGCCAGAGAGTTCCTTTGGCAAGAAGGCCATACCGCCCATCTAACCGAGCAGCTCGCGGGGGAGGAGGTCCTCCAAATTCTCGAGCTGTACGCCGGTATTTACGAACAACTGCTCGCCGTCCCGGTTGTGCGGGGCAGGAAGACCGAGGCTGAGAAGTTTGCCGGTGGCTACTACACAACCACGGTGGAGGGATACATCCCGTCAAACGGGCGGGGCATCCAGGGTGCCACATCCCACTGCCTCGGGCAGAATTTCTCCAAGATGTTCGACATCACGGTTGAGGACCCCAACGAGAAGGGCAAGCACATCAACGTCTGGCAGAACTCATGGGGTCTGTCTACACGTGTCATCGGCGTCATGGTCATGATCCACGGTGACGACAAGGGGCTCGTCCTTCCCCCGCGCATCGCCAAGATCCAATCCATCCTCATCCCGGTCGGCCTCACCGCGAAGATGACCGCCGAAGAGAAGGAGAAGCACCTCAAGCACCTCGACGAGATCTTCTTCACCATCAAGAAGGCCGGCATCCGCACCGAGGTCGACCTGCGCGACGGCTACACCCCGGCGTGGAAGTTCAACGACTGGGAGCTGAAGGGCGTGCCCCTCCGCCTGGAATTCGGCCCCAAGGACGCGGCCAAGGAAGTCGTCAGCTACGCGCGCCGCGACACGGGCGAGAAGGGCACGATCCCGCTCACCGAGCTGACCACCAAGATCCCCGAGCTTCTCGAGACCATCCAGCAGGATATGTACAACAAGGCCGAGGCCGCGTACCGGGAGCATCGCCTGCAGATCACCAAGTGGGACGAGGTGGTCCCCGCGCTCGACGCCAAGAACGTCGTCATCATCCCGCACTGCCTGGTCCCGGCGTGCGAGGACAAGATCAAGGAGCTGACGGCCGGCCGGACGGACGACGCCGCCGAGAACGCCCCCGAGGGCCAGAAGGCCCCGTCCATGGGCATGAAGTCGCTGTGCATTCCCTTTGACCAGCCTGAGGGCCTGATCAAGGGCGAGACCAAGTGCCTGAGCCCCGAGTGCAGCCGGTTGGCGGAGCAGTGGTGCATGTTCGGGCGGAGCTACTAGGCATCTAGCGCAACATGAACTCAAATCACTTTTCTATCATTTTGTCGTTTGCAATGGACCATGGTGCTATCAGCGGGTTGGGGATGGAATGCTTCTCTTATGACTGCTTGGGCCTTTTCCATAGGCAGAGCCTCGATACCTCTTTACTTTCCTGCATTTAAAACCGTGATGAGACAAGTGTTTGTGTTTGATGATGATCTCGCCCAGTGTTGTTGGCATGCTCCATAAATGGGCAAGCCTCGCCTGTGTTCAGTTCGATCCATAACCTGTAGTATCTGGCTGATATTTAACCATGCACATAGAGCATGACAATCATCTCCCCCGTCAACATCCCGGCACCTTGCATTAGCAAGAATGAACCTGAGATGTCATCAAATTTGAGCTGTTGCCGCTTCACTCCCTTAGACATATACACCCCCAATTTCGCTAGACCTCTTCGGCCTCCCTCTCCCCTTCCCTTTCCCCTTCCCGTTCCCCTTCCCCCTCTTAACCCCCTCCCTATCCTCCACCTCTACCTGCACTTCCGCCTCCGCCTCCGCTGCCGCCGCCGCCGCCTCGCTCTCACTTTCCCTTTCCCTCTCCATCTCCCTCTGCCTCTCCATCTCCCTCTCCCTCTCACCCTTCCTCGGCCTCCCCCTCCGTCTACTCCCCTCCCCCCTCGACGGCCCACCACCACCACCACCACCACCACCACCACCATCCTCAATATCCCCCCCACCCACACCCACCCCAACTTTTTCAGCCACCGCGACCAACCCAGCCGCCGCGGCCTCCTCGCGCTCGCTCTTCCTCTTCCTAGCGCGGCGCAGGGCCTCGCGGTCGAGGTGGGCGCGCCACTCGCACGCGTCGCGGAAGTCGCACGAGCGGCACTTGAAGCCGGCCTCGTCGAGGGCCACGCCGCGCGGCGCGCGCTCGCCCTTCCACCAGCGCATCGTCTCGGCCAGGTACAGGTCGAGCGTCTCGGGCTCGACGAAGAAGGTGTGCGTGCAGATGACGGAGCCGGGCTCGGGCTCGGTTTTGTTTTCGGGGCCCGGGTCGGGGCGCTGCCGCCGGCGGCTCGGACCGGCTGCCGCCGCCGGGAGGGGGAGGGGGTCCGTTTCGTCGGGGGCGAGGCCGTTCGGGTTGGTGGCCGAGTCGGTGGCTGTTGTGGGGAGGGGGGTGGTGGGGTCCGGGGGTGGGGGATCCCGCCCGCGGTAGCGGTACTCGACTGCTACTATCTTGCCGAGGTCTGACGCGCCGCGGGGGAAGGTGAGTGCCAATTCGAACTTGAGGAGGGGGACGAGGGTGCGGAGGGTGCGGTATTTCAGCGTTGGTTCCGAGGAGCTAGCGAAGGAGAGTTGTGAAGGGCTGGAAGGGGCCGAAACAAAATCCGCGTTGGAGTCGACATCGGTGGGTTCGTTGTTGCTGAGCGTGGATTCGGTCTCGGCGTCGGCTTCGGTGAAAACTTCGTCGTGGACCGCGCCGATCTGTGCTAGGAAGGCGTCTGAGAAGGGCTCGTCGGGGTTGAGGCCGTAGCGCTCAAACACGCGCATGTAATCCAGCCTGTCGGACGCCATATCGGACAGGAACCGGTGGTAGAGAAAGAGCTGGATGAGCGAGACCCGGACCTGTGCTTGCGGCGGTGGAGAGGCGCTGTTCCGGGTCTTGACATCGGTAATGAAGATTTCATAATCACTCGGAGTGCTCAGCTCGTACGGCTGCGAGTTTGTGATGCCTTGACTGCTCCCACGGGTGCTCAAGACATCCTCCTGCAGCTCCGCATCGGGATTTTCAGAACTCAATCCGTCGATGACACCACAAACCAAATTGCCCTCAACCATACCCCAGACCTCGAACTCGCGAGTGAAACCTTGGTCTCGCAGTACGCGCAGACCCTGGATCATGTTCCAAATCTTCAGGCCGAAGTTGTCTTCTTTCTTGGCGATGACCACCTCGACGGGCTTGAAGACCTCGCGCTCTAGCTTCTCGTGGATTTTGGTGCCGCGTTTCATCGCCGCCGTCCGTGTCCTTTTGCCGCCCGGAAGCCGGGTCAGGGTGTAAAAATATTGAAGCTCGCACCACGACCCGGCCGTCAGGTCCGACACGGAGAAGGGCTTCATGGGGAACGTGCGAAAACGCAACAGGGGTGACCGCTTGTCTTGGCCCGTCGCGCCGTTAGGTCTGGGGTTTTCCGGGCGCGCGACCTCTTGGGCATCGGATAGCGCACGACTCACTAATCGCTCCAGGTCAGTTAGACGACTTTGCGCAAGCGGGCGGTCGGAAACAACTCACAGTCCGGGCAGCTAACGTCCGGGCCTGGAAGCAGCGTAGGCATAGGCCTAGGCTTCGTCGTAGAGACGAATGAGGCAAGCCCGCCATCATCCCCTACAAGTGAAGGCGCCAGCCTTCTATGACAACTCTCCGGCGTACCGTTGCGTGAGGCGGAATGCTGCCGATACACAGTGCCCTGGCCCCGCCCATAGGCATCGTTGTCGTCTTCCTGGAGCTCCGTAAAATCCAAGCTCAGATCGTCCTCGGTGATAGCAGCAACGACCTCCTCAACAAGACTGGCTTCGGCCTCGATGTCGGAGTTTATGTCGGGGTCGAACGGGGTCGGTGCGATTGTGTTTCTTGCAAAAGTCGAAGTGTTTGTTCGGGGAGCTGGGATGTCGGGGGCTGCTGGGGCGACGGGCCGATTTTGTGGCGACACTGGGGCGATTTCGTCAATAACCGCCCAAACCTGCTCCTCATCTGACATCGTCAAATCGTAGCCATACTCGCTCCCGCTGTCCGACGCAAAGCCAGCCATTCTAGCAAATTTAATCCATAATTGCAAGCCGAATTGTTATGTGCAGACGCAATCGAGATGCAAAATGTTGCAAGCTGCAAGACGAGGCCCGGCAGAGGGAGCCTTGCCTCAGGTCGCCTCGGATCAGGTTGCCCCTCATTTGTCCAAAGTGAGCGAGGCCCACCACTCCAGCAGCCCGCCCGCGCGCGTGCTCACGTGGGGGAAGGCGACGTTTCAAAAACGCCAAGCTTTCAACTCACCCCTGTTGCGATGGAACCGAATTTGGTGATTCGCAACTGCGTGCGTTTGTGCGCCTTTGCGTACTATTTGAAGGTATGCTCTGCGCGTCCCCCTGAGTCCTGCAGATTTAAGTCGTCTTCTGCAGTGGAAACCCCAGTCATCCTCTCCTCCTTGCAATGGAGCTGCAGCTGCAACTCCCAGAAAACTTGCTCTGAAAAGACGCCGAGCGTCGGTGCTGACAAACGCACCGACCAACAGTGCCAAAAAAAGCACCACCAAGCCAGGGACAGTCTCGCAGTCTGACTGGTGGTGATGGTGATTCAAACCACATCGGCTCCCCTCGACGTTGTCAATCAAATGCTGCAGGTCGTTGATCTTGTGACTCGGCGACAAAGTATCCGCGACCCCAACACTTCGTATTGGCATGCTTTTGCTGCAGCCTGCAACAGCCAGTCACTGAAGATGACGCAACTGACCACTGTCAAGTCTCCCTATTAGGTTTAGCCAGGCACCGGCTTGTGCCTAACAGGGGTAAAAGAAGCCTGACCTGACCACTGGCCGGGGCAACCAGTTCCCGGATCTGGGATCGCCCATCGCCAGGGCTGACCGACCGGCCTGGCGGCCAAAAGGCCACATGGAACGCGGCTGTGTTTCGAGACGTTGACTTCCTCCGAAATAACTAGCAGGAATGAACAAAAGCCTTCAGAACTGTCCCCAAGACCATCCGTCCACCTCTTTTCTCCTCCGCCGCCGAGGCGCCGCGCCTTACCGCACCGCACCGCACCGCACAAAAGTCCCCGTGCCCGAGTCGTCGTCGTCTTGCCCGGGCCCTCCCCGCCTCGGCTGAAACCCACTCAACTCCCCGAATCCTGCCCCGCAATTGACGAGCTGAGCCAACAACCGTGGCCAACATGACATCCCTCGTCCGCCGTGTCCGGCGACCCGCCCCGGCCGGATTCGAGAGACCGTCGGCCGAATCTCAAAAATTCAATATCACAGCCGAGGATAATCTTTTTCCCACGCCATCACCGAGTTCGCGCGCGGTTCTAGTTCGGAAACGTCGCCGCCGAACCTTCGCAAGCCTCCCTCCCGAGATCCACCTCCTCATCGCGGAGCATCTCATTTACCCCGATGCGCTGTCGCTCAAACATACCAACCGCTACTTCTACAATGTTGTCGACACAGGCGTGACGCTAAAAGTGGAATGGCTCATGGAACGGCGGTTACTACATTTGGAGTGCCCCAGTCACCAGCGCTGTGATCTGGGGAGTGACTTGAGGTTTTGCCGGGGCAGTGTCAAGTATGTCCTTGTTTGTTTTTATTTCCTTCACTCCTTGCCTATTCACGCCACTTGCTTCCTTCCTTCTCAATATCGGCTCCTTCACTCGGCCGTTGAGCGCCACAGCGGCTAATACCGGAAACAGGCTATTGATGCAACGGAGGAGAGAGCACATCGAGTGCGAATCGCGGCCGGGGCTCGGTTGTCTGATTTATGGCACCAGCACGTGTCCGCACGCTAGGATGCTTAAGACGCGGGTCAAGAAGTGGATGCGACTGCGTGCTGTGGACCGGACGCGGTGGACACTGTTTCTGGCGTGGTTGATACCACTCCTAGTCGGGTGGGCATGGATGGTTGGGGTGACGATGTTTTGACGAAACTCGAACAGTCTGGTCCGAGGGAACGCTCAGGTGGAACAGGCCCTTCCATCCTCCGAACACCACCCTCTCGTAGCCGCCATAGTTGGCGTGCACCCTAATATCCCGTACTGGCTGGTTCCGGGGAGGGAAAAATATCATGACGCTGGGTTTAAAAGACTGGTAACGACTTCTAATACTTTTAATGCAAGAAGGATACACTTCGAAACTACATACCTTAGGTGGTACTTATCGATGCATCGCCAGGTCCCTTGATCCGAGTTCTCTTCGTGCACTGATCTTCAGCCACGCTGAGGGCTAGGTGAAGAAACAGGGACGGGCCTACCATTTTCCTTTGATATCAACCCATCAACAAATTTCAAATCATCACTTGTTTTCTTATCCAGCAGTCAGTGTGACATGGCTAGCCTCTCTACGCGGCGGCCATGCTGCGATAAGGGACTCGATGGATCCGACCACAGTGCCTTAGAGCGCGGCTAGCCGAAAAGCCCATGAGACGACCGCCTCACATGGTCATTCCATCGAATGAATTCCCGCTCAGGCGAAGACCTAAACCAAAAAGACTGTGGAACTATACTTGTTCGCAGTATTCAACCGGATCCATTCCCTTGATCAGCATCACATCCGGAGTGTTTGACCAAGCCCACTTCTCTTGTACCTAGTAAAGAGTACATTTTTCTAGGTACTGCTGGCAAACTAGCGCAGACTTTCTAACACAGTGCTGAACAGAAACCTTTTCCCATTCTCAGTCCCACCATATGGCTTCCCCCACATCGTAAAGGCTTTCTCGTTGACAGCCATGAGTGCAAAGCGATCCGTCGACTGACATTTGACGAACACCATTCGCATCGCGAGCACCCGTCCCGCGTAGCGACCCAACTCGCTCTAGATCTCCGAAGATGATGCGTGAAAACTGCAACACGCACTTGATGGGCTTGCCCATTGAGATCCTTTATATGATCGCTGAGTGGCTAGCAACGCCGTTCGATGAGAGCACACCTCTCGATCAACACAATAACTCAGGCGTCAAGGCCCTGTCCCTGGTAAACCGAACATTCCGGGATATTTGCCTGAAAGTCTCATTCCATCGCGTTCGGGTGTGGAAAAAGGAATACAATTTGGCAAGCCATCTACGCAATATTTGCGCCGAGGGGCAGCACATCCTCCCACGAGCCAAGTAATTCACCTGCGATTCTAATTCCTGTCGGTTGAGGAGCTAACAGAGCCAGATCCCTCTCGATTAGAACCATCGGGCCCGGACCCGGCTCCAGGACTGGTCGCGGTGTGCCTTTCGGGTTAGAACCGGATCTCTTCCGGAGATTGAGTCTCCTGCTGTCCAAAATGCCGAGGCTCACAGACCTACGGCTTGTGGCAGATAATGGCAAGTACGGCATGGAGCCGCTCTGGCGGAAATACTTCAACCTGACCTGGCAGTCTCCATTTCCTACCGTTAAATCACTCTATGTGCGGTCAGCCAGTCAGATCAGCAAGATTTTCCGGTGCTTCCCAAACCTGGAAGCAGTGAATTTCAATATTCACGGAGACACGGGACAAGGACCGCCTTACAAGTTGTCGCAGGAGTTCAAGATGCTGAAAGAAGGGTTTCCGCATCTCAAGGCGATGTCCATCTTCAAAACAACCACCCGAGGATGGACTGCCGCAGACATCCGAGGTACGTTACTCGCCATAAGAAGAACCTTGCGTACGAAAAGAACACCGGCTTAACCATACCCAAACAGCTGTCGTCAGACAATTCCCCCGCATCGAGCGGCTTTTCCTCGAAGGCTGCATCGGCACAGACGTAGCCCGCATGGATGCCGACGTAAGTGAATTCAATAGCGAGCTCCTCGCCGCCATCTGCACCCGTGTCTTTTTTTTGGCTGCCCGGTCCCGTACTCCCTGAACTACATCGCGTTGTCTGAGAACTAACAAGTCACCCAAATCATAGGATGTCGCAAGGCTCTTCGCGCCTCTCCGGCGTCTGCGCCACCTGGCCCTGACGGACGAGATCTACCACCCCGTAACCAAAAACTACATGCGTATCGCCAAGATGTTCCCCTTGGACCCGTCCGACCGCTGGCGCCAAATGGCCACGTCCCTCTTCGCGGCCGTGCCCAAGTTGCAGGAAGTTTGCATCGGAAGACAAGTCGATTTCCAGGCTCTCGTTTTCCAGCGCCTCCCCACCTCAGCCACGGAGGGACAACTTGCACTCGAAGGACAAGCGAAACACGCGATTCCAGCAGCCCAAGCGGGCCCGCAAACCCCGAAAAAGGCAGAGAACCCCGCGGGCGGCGGCGACGCCCCCCCGAACCCGCCGCAGGTCCAAAACCATCCCGTCGGGCTGCGCGTCATCCGCGCGTACAACGACCACCCGCAAAAGGTGCGGCTCAACTTCCCGCCCGCCTGCTGGAGCGGGAAGAAACGTGCCTGGTGGCCCGCGTCCGGGCGGCTGCCGGACGAGTCCGACATGGCTGCGCCAGACGAGCCGTGGGGTTCGGTCGGGTTCATCAACGTCATTGAGGAGGACGAGGACACGGCGGCGGAGACGTCGGTGCACTACCAGGAGATGGTGCTCGACCATTGCGAGGTGGTATGTATGATTCCGTGTTTGATAATTCACCCGAGTCGCCTGACCCGCGCCGGGGGGTTTTGATTACTCTACTGGGAGCAAATTGCTGACTTTACTGGGTAGTCGTTTTGGGATGCCGAGTGGTTGAGGGTTATTAGATACCTAGCCTAGATGCTCGCCAGCTGGTGTGTATAAATCTGTACTATTGGGGAAGGTTGGGGTAGGGTTGGAGGTCGGACGATGATGATATGGTGAAGGAAGAGAGCTCACTTGCTTCGCACATATATATACCTACCTCCCTGAACGACAAATATAGGTCACATCCCTGGCTATGATAACCAACTCAAGACAATCCCATTTCTTTACATCATTGTGCTGGCTCCCGCTAATCCTATCGGCTAACTAAAACACCCACCAAACATCTATCTATCCCTTTCCCACCACATCACGTTCAAACCGCAGTCATTAATCGTCGCACATCCTACTTCTTTTGTTTCAGCAGGCAATGCTTCCCCCACTTCCTCCTGAACCGCTCCGGCACCACCTCCCAATCGGGCACCCACAGCGCCCTCGCCAGGAAATGCGTCCTCTCAGTATCCAAGAACGGCAGACATTGAACCTCCTCCCAACGGTCCACATCCTTGGAATAATCCGGCTCATTCGGCGGCAGCGCCTCCTCAGCACTCCGCTCGGGGAAGTGGCTATCCACCAAAAACACACAAGACCTCAAGTCAACATACTTGCCCACGTCCTCCTCGTTGTGGGCGTTGAAGCCGGTGGTAGGCAGCCAGGTGCCGCTCCAGAAACCGAAGCCGGTGCGGGCCTCGGAGAACTCGCCGGGGAGCAGGCCGCGGAACTCGGAGCGCACAAACTTGGCGCGCATGCCGCGCGGTAAAAAGAAGGACGTCGGGAACCGGTACCAGTCCTTGCCCAGGCACACCGTGTCGCCCGGCCCGGCACCCGCGGCCCCGCCCTCCGCCAGGGCGCCGTACACGGACAATGGCGCGTGGTAGCCCGCGTGCAGGCCCCAGATCCGCGCCGCGCCGGTGGCGACCGACGCCCCGAGGCCGAGTGCCACCACGGCGAGCTTGAGCTTGGCCGGGATGCGCCCGACGAGGGAAGCCTTCGGGTTGGCGTTGCCGAAGAGGGTCAGGAGCGTGTGCAGGGCGAGGGCGGCGTTGAGGGCGAGGAAGGGGTAAGCCGGGTACATGAAGCGCTCTTCCTTGTGCGGCTGCAGCGTGAAGATGGCGAGCCACGTGTAGAAGGGCGACAGGAAGACGACGGTGCGCAGGCCGGACTGGAAGGATTCGCCCGCGTTGCGTCGGGAGAAGAGCTTCTGCAGCATGAAGAGCGGGAGGGAGAGGAGGGCGAGGATGAACCAGATGTTGAAGTTCAGGAGGAGGTTTCTGAAGTAAAATGTCCACGGCTCGGTACCGTAGAGGTCGGGGCCGCCGGTGTTGGAGAAGATGTTGTACTTGATGATGTTCCACGAGACGATCTCAACCTTTCGGTAGAAGAAGGCGTTGATGGCGGTGTCGGCGGCCTTGATGTGGTCTTAGTAAGTGACTAACACGAATGTGGGATGGGGGCACACGCACTACTAACACCAGCGTCGATACAACACCGCGTACAAGCCTGATACACGACTCGAAGAAGCGCTCCTTATCGCTAAGCATGGCGAAGAAGACTTCCTCGAAAACGAAGGGCGCGCACAGGGCGATGGCAAAGGGCCAGCCGAGGACGCCGCCCAATGCAAACCAGAACATGCCCTGCGACGTCTTCAGGCCGCCGCGCCAGTTCATGAAGCACGCAGCGCCCACCATGGCCATGTACATGGCAAAGCTGGACGGCAGGTAGGCGGTGCTGGAATGGAAGTTGCCCGGGCTGAAGATCAGGGCCATGATGAAGATGAGGCCGACGCGCGGGTTCAGTGCCAGGCAGACGGCCCTCCACATGAGCGTCTGGGAGAGGGCACAAGCAAAGGCGAGTAGGTAGCGGAGGAAGTAGAACTCGGCCACCTTGGTCGAGTGCGGCAGCAGGCGACGGATGTTGGCACCGAGGGCGTGGATGGCAATGTACAGCCAGCTGCGGATGGCATAATCGGGGGAGTACTCCCAAGTCTGCAAGCCATAGCCATGGCTGAGGTAGTGGGTGGGCTCCCAGTAGTTGAAGGTCTCGTCACAATCCTGGATCGGAGCGAAGAGGGCCGCTATGAGGTTGGCGCCCAGAAAGATGTAGAAAGCTGAGATGGGCTCGATTGCAAAGGTGTTCTTAATAGCCCTGCGAGATGATGGTCTGTTAGCTGCAGTCATCCCCAAGCGCTGTAAGTGAGTGAGTGCGCGCAGCAGCAGAGCGACATGAAGATGGATGATGCAACCCTACTTTTTACGAGCATGTTTAGCGGATGGATGCACGAATGCCTTCTTCTCTTCGTTTGGTGCCGCTGCCTTGGGGTCAGCCTTAGGCGTGGCTTTGGGAGCCATGGTTGTGCTTGGTGGTGTGGTCCCTTCTTTGGCTTTGGCCCTGGGGGATTGACAGTTCTAGGTTGCACCGGCACTGGCACTGGCAATGGCAATGACCTCAACACCACCAGAAAAATGTTGGAGCTGGATCGGGAGTTGTTGAGAGCTGCACCCACTGAGCGAAGCTTGAGAACGCCCAGAGACGCTAGGCCATGCCAGGAATAGCGCTCCCGTCATGGCCCGTGCATGTGCAGTCCATCCCACCCTGAGGCGTGAACTTTTTCAGATTCCAGATCCAGAATTTATTTGGAATCCAAATCTTCAGACTCCGGTCCCTAGAGTTCGTTGTTACTTGTTGGCCATGCTTTGACAGGTCTTTTTTGATATTTTGTGGTATTCTCTTTGCCACTGCACCTCTTATTTCACCCTTTTTTTATTACCATTGGGATTGCAAGATTTAATCGCCATTGGAATTTGAAGGACTGCGGCTTATCGATTCTCTCGATCTTTTCAGGTTACCCGCTCCTGCGAGACGGTTCACGCGTCACTGCTGGTGTATTTGAGCCCTGTGGGTTCCATTAAAGAAGACTTATTCTCAAGACCTGCCATTGGTCGTCAGTTCCGGCAGAGACCTGCTCGCTGTCCGGTCGACAAGATGGCGGGGGTACCTTTTCAGATTCCTGGCCTGGGCGAGGCGAAACCGAACGAGCAACTTCCTGTCGAAAACTTCGCGCCGGATCTTATCGCCGCCGCCGCAAGTATAATGGAGGAGGATACGATCACTGAGGGCGCTACTAACGGGGATGCGCAGTGGGAGAAAAGGGAGAAAGAAAAGAAGCAAGAAAAGGTGGCGACAGAAAATAGCACAGCGGCAGACAAGATGGTTGATGGCATGGAACTCGACATAGGCAATACCAACACTTCGTCTACAAACCAAGACCCGAAGCAAGATACCAAGATGCACGACCAAGAACCGAAGGTCGTGGAAGGTCAGGCGCCCGATGTCGACATGAAGACGGACGACGACGCGCCAAGCCCGGATGTTACGCATGCCCTGGAGGCTGCGCTTGACGGCATGATGTCGCACATTGCAGAGCCCGACAAGCCGGCTCAGAATGAGGATGGGGGCAATACAGCGCAGCAGCAGAACGCGCCAGATGCGCCGCAAGAGGGGGGGCAGCCGGAATGGGAGGCTGATTCATCGCCGTATGAATCGTCGTCGGAGTCTTCTAGCTCGGATAGCGACTCGGACGACGATTCGGAAGACGGCGGTAGCTACCCGCTCCTTGGCATTGAAGAGACAGCCCGTCTCCTGATGGCCGCGGATGGTGATGGCGATGGAGATGGCGACGGGAACGGCAAATCCAAGGGTACCGGTGCAGCACTCCGGACCAAGAACGAGGTAGTCGAGGCAGTGATCCCCAAGCCCGATGTCAACATTACACCGGAGATGAGGATCGAGCGCCTGGGCAATATCGAGTTCATCGTCGAGACCACCGTCGTTATCAAGTCGCAAACGCCCGGCGAGGTTCAGGTGTTGGATTCGGGATCCGTGCTCTGCCGGGAAGACCGAACCGTCATTGGCGCACTCGCCGAAGTCTTGGGGAATGTCCGGAGTCCCATGTACACGGTCGGGTTTTCCACCGAGGATGACATCAAAAGCCTCGAGTTGGTCGCCGGGATGCCTATTTACTACTCGGTCCAGCACGCAAACTACGTCTTTACACAGCCGCTGAAGGAAGCCAGGGGCACCGACGCCAGCAATCTCCACGACGAGGAGTTGCCTGCCGAGGAAATGGAGTTCTCTGACGACGAGAAGGAAGCCGAGTACAAGAGAGCGCAAAAGCAGAAGAGGCGGGGAGGCAAGGCGGGCCGCGGCGGGCGGGAGCAGAGCAATGCGCCTAATCATACCCTGTCTCCCCACCCGGCAGCTGGCTCCGGCCTCAACTACGACGAGGACGAGGACGGGCCGTACAAGCCCCTGGCTCGGCCCGCTGGGTATGGCCAAGGTGGCCCACCGTCTCTTCCCCCGTTGCCCCCGAAACCCGAGGCCGGGTTCAGCCCGCCTCGTGGCGGCCGTGGCCATGGTCACCGCGGAGCCCATCGTGGAGGACGGGGTGATTTCCGTGGGCGCAATCAACGTGGCGGTGGCCATCGGGGTGGCGACCGGAGACACGGCTCACGTGGGAACGGAAGCAATTCGTATCAACAGTTCGGCCGGGACGGCGCGGCCTCGCCCCAGACGACCTTCCCCAATGTCCCGCCGCCTCCCCCCCAAAACCCTCATTTACCCCCCTCCCCCTTTCGGCGCAAAGCCCCCAACGCCCGCAGGGCAATGGCCGGCGCCTCATGTTCCCTATGTGCCCCCTCCCGTCGCGTACTCGCCGCCTGCCCAACCACAGGTCCCCGTCCCGCACCATCAACCCCCTGCAGCCAACTTCAACTTTAACTATCAGGCCTGGAACCAAAACCAGGGCCAACAGTACCAGTACCCTCAGACGACTACTCACCATCAGTCACCCCCTCCCCAACAGCCCGCACATGCAACTGGTTATACGCAGCCGTTTGTCCCCCCTCAGACTCCGGCATGGCCGGTACCTGGGGCTACGCCGCAGGCACCTCCCGCGGCGGGTGCATACAACGCAGCCTTCTTTGGCGGGTATCAGCAGCCGCAACAACAAGGGCAGCAAGGGCAGCAGTACTGGCCTCAGCAGCCACACGGTGCTTATGGCCAGGGCCCAAGCCAATAATGCCCAGGAGAGACTTCACCCCCAACTCGGTGTGCTTCTCGGGGATTGGTTCGCGCCGCGAACTTGAAAGTTCCTTTCGGTCGCTGGGCCATCTTAACCACCCCAAAGCGGCTCAGCAGGCGGCTCAGCGCGCGACGTCACCCCAATGTACCACACCAACAGAAATTACAGGGCCGGCGCAACCGGGTTTTCTTGGGCGTTGGGAGGGGTGACGTCGAGCGATGACGCCAGAACCGTCCTCTGAGATACACCATGTACATTGATGTAGAGATGTATATGACCTCAATCCGGCAGATACAAATACCGCCCTTATGGAAAAGAGTTTGGTCTCGGAAGCAGACGGATATCCATGTATCATTCACGGAAACATCACAAAATCGGCGTCGAAGTCAGGGCTGGGATGGACAGCGAGTCAGTGATAGATTGGGAACGGAGCAATCGTCAGCATCATTGTTCCGATTCCCTTGAGCTGTCTGTAGTTTATTCATCAGATGTTCGGAATAGAGGCAAAGGCCATCAACTGTCATTTGTCCTGATGAAGAGAGCTGCAACAACGGCCACAAAACCTCGGTCCCCGGTGTGATCGGCGGTAAAAATTACCATAGATGGAAGTGATTGTCGAGCTGTCGCTGTGCCTCCTTCCGTTTGCCGGTTTCTCAAGTTTGGGGCGAATTTGTCTCAAACCTCGACACCCTCTGGCCAAAAAAAGCCGAACTCGAAAAGAAAGCAAGAAATCAAGCAAAAAGAACAAATGAAAAGAAATCGAGAAAACTAAGTCAAATGAAAGAAAGAGTGTAAAAGTAAAGGAAATGGAGCAAATAGAGTTTCTTTGGGCTTCAGGATGACTTTCGTTATATTCCTCCAGCTGAGGACTCGAAGTTTCCATTGCCGACATCTGCACTTGGAGTTCGGCTTTTTTTGTCCATGAGGTGCTCGAGCAAAGAGAAAGAGAGCTGGACAGGATCGACACAAAAACACCGGCACTTGATGGCTCGTGGCGGCTCGTGTTGCCGAATTGCGTTTGAGCTCTCTTCTCCATCAAAATCCAGGGTCATTCGAAGGGCTGAGCGAAATGTCATCTCTCCACTCACGCGACCGTGGCGGGGTAAAAACGAATCCACAGTGTCTCTCTTTCCCGCGCGCCGTTGCAAGCCACGGTTGTTTCAAATCCGCCGTAGTGCCCTTGTGTCACCGATGCTGGCTGTTTGTATCCCACCGGTGATCGCTCATCTGGTGTTGAACAGATCTGCTTGGGGATCGGTACCACAGCATTGTCTGAGTGGTTTGCCGTCTTGTTGCGAAAATCCTTTTGGCCCCGCAAGCTTGGATCAGTTGCGGATTGACTGTACCACAGTATGTGTCTCTCAGGAGGCACCAACCAACGGCGGCGCTGAGAATAGCAACTGTCGGCGCTGCAGCTGAGCTGCATTTGACCCTCCCTCAGCTTGGCTCAGCCACCGGTTTCCTCCAGCACATCAGGGTCAAGATGAAAGTGATGTTCAACCATTCAAAACCGCCATTTGATCTTACTCGGGTGACGCCGACAAGGTCTCCCCACAGACCCTGCCTACCTAGGCGTTGAAGAAGACTTTGCACTAGAGCCGGTTCTGGAAGGCATGTCGCAATTCGCATCGTCCATGCGTTCCTCGACCTGGACCCCCGGCCTGACCGAGTTGCGAAGACGAACGGACTGCCAAATTTACACTGGCGGGGGTTTGCAGATCCACTTCCTACCCGTCCAATGGCGTTCTTGCCGGCAATCTCGCTTCTGACGGGTCGGCCAATCAAGACAAACAGGTCCCTGAAATGACGCTCAAAACGGGTCCCGTTCAAGCAACACGGGCGGGATTCAGTTCGGACGAGCAGCGGTGCCTTTGGTTTCGAAACATCGAACCATGGACGCAGGCTGTTGTTGCCATGCGGAAACCTGCTCCCGACTGTACACAAAAATCAATAACGTTGTGGTTCCGATGTTGCGGTTGTTGGCGCAAAGGGAAGCGAACGGAGCTTACGAGCAGTCAGGAGCCAACGGATCCTGGTTTTTCTCTCCTGTAAACGGCAGCTTCGCCAGCGGCGCAGCAGTCATTCGTTGAGCCAGCTGCCTGCAAGAGCAGGGCCACGGTTTCCCATCTTGATGGGACCCTGTCAGCGAAGGATGAGCGGCGCCCAACTCGCACGCTGATCCCTGGGACCCCGGTTTGCTGGGTGCAACCAAACCTCCACCTCTTCTGCAGCCCACTCCCACACTCCCACGCTCTTGCCCGTCACCTACAGGGAGCAGGGCACCCAGGTTCTTCCTTAGCGCCAACAACCCCATCTCCCCAGCAGCTCGCAGCACTCCTCTCCCACATCGCGCGGACGTCTCCTCTTGCCATCGGCGACCATCTTCCCCAGCCCTTCGGTGGTTTTTTGTTGTGTGATATGATGCTTGGCTGAGACTCGATATCTTCTCGTCGCCTTCTTTTTTTGCGATAACCAACTATACGTTCCTTCTTTTTCTCGAAACTCCGATCGAATCGCTTTATCCGCGCGCAACACACGCAGCCGCCATCCATTCTTTGTCCTCCTTCCCCTTTTTCATACCCATCCCCGCAATAACTTGACACCCGAGTCATTTTCCTTGGGCTGGATGCTTTGTGGACGCAAGCGATTATCGTTCTCAAGAGTGGGGATTTGGCGGGCAGTTTCGAACCGATCAGCAGCAACACCAGGACGATAAAGGGACAGACAGTGCGCTTCGACGCACCGCACAACGAGGATGATGGTAGCGCGAGAATTGTGGGACGTGGTGAAGGAGGAGGTTAGGGACATGCTCGTTTCGGGTCAGGAGAAAAGGAGTGAGGCTGCATCTCCAGACAGCCCACCGAGGATAACTCGAAGGGCTGATGGCACCACAACGCTTCCCTCGGCGGTGTTGCCAAGTGCCATCCCCAGTGCACCACCCGGCGAAGTCGAGTCGACCGCTCTTGCGATTGACACGGCAGCGACGACGACCGCGGCCACTACCAGCCGAGTTGTAGCACAGACGTCAGCGAGCACATCGAGCCCGTCAACGACAGCGGAGCCAAGCGAAAGCGACTCCGGCGACATCAGCGGAGCGGCCACAGCTGGTATCGTCATCGGCGCGCTGGCGGGTGTTCTTGCCATCTTTATCCTCCTGTGGCTGATCTTCAACTCGCGGAGGAAGAAGCTCGCGAGGCGGAGGCAGCAGATCGAAGACGACGAGAAGATCAACGGGCCTTTCGCCGATAGCGCCGAAATCCGGCCGCCACCCCCGAACAAGGCCCCACGCCTTAGCCTACGCCCGGTTACGCAGTTCCTTCCGAACTTCGGCGCCCAACAAGCCGAGAGGCGCCAGAGCCGAGGCATCGCCCTGACCCTCAACCCGGTCTCCAACTCGGCATTGAGCCGCCCGACAGGCGGCAGCGCTTGGGAACGCCCAACCACGCGCTCGGCCATGGCCAGCCCGCACGGCGACCACAGCCGGCCCGACACAGGCGCGAGCCTGCATCCGAACCCCTTCCATGACAACCACCGGCTCCCCGACGAGCCCGTCAGCCCCATCAGCTCGATGGGCTCCTTCGACCACCGCGTCGGCGTCGCAACAACGCCCGACTCGATCGCGGAACCTGTCTCGCCCATCATCGGCGACGACGATGACAACAGCCACCGCCAGCAGCTCGGCGTCTCCTCGAACCTCACGCGCAAGACCTCGATCCGCAAGGATCTGCCCAAGCCCCTGGACCTGACCAAACCGCCTTCGCCGCTCTACGCCGTGCCTCCGAGCCCGTCAGGGACAGAGTTCTCGGTGCACTCGGTGGCGCCGGGCCAGTCCCCCGGTCCCTCGGCGAGCGCAGCAGAGATCGCGGCGGCCGGCGGGCCCTCGCAGTCGACCGTGCACCGCGTGCAGCTTGACTTCAAGCCGACGCTGCAAGACGAGATGGGGCTGTACGCGGGGCAACTAGTCCGCCTGCTCCACGAGTATGACGACGGCTGGGTATGTCCCCCCCCCCCCCGCCTTTCCCTCCCCTTCTATAACGTATATACTAACACCCCCAACCAGGCCCTCTGCATCCGCCTCGACCGCTCCCAGCAGGGCGTCGTCCCGCGCACCTGCCTCTCCACCCGCCCCGTCAAGCCCCGCCCCCAACAACCCAACCTCCCGCACCCGGGCGGCAACCAGCGCGGCGGGCCCCCCGTCAACCCCTCCTACCACTACGGCCACGGCAACGGCAACAACCACAACGGCCCAAGGCCAAGGTCGCCAGCCGCCGGCGGGTTCCCCCCCGTGCCCCTCGCCAAGGACGATCGCTATGGCCATGGCCGTGGCCATCATGGTTATGGGCGGCCCAGGAGTCCTGCTAACGGTAGTGGTGGTGGTGCTGGTGCGCGGCGGGCGCCGAGTCCGCGCTTGCAGCAGCAGCAGCAGCAGCATCAACAGGGGTGGAGGTCGGATGGGTATGATGATGGCGAGGGTGATGTGAGCCCCGCGCCGGGGCAGGCTTACTGAGTGTGTGTCTGTCTGTTTGTTGGTGTCCCGGTGGTGGGACATGAGGTGGTGGTTTGTTTTGATGACTAGGGGGGGTGGTGAGGGAAAATAGTGTCGGCGTCTTGCCGTGTCTTTGGATTGCGTTGTGTTGTTGGTTGGCGTTACGGGGATGGGGTTGCCCGGTGTCATGCATGGGTTTGAGGCGGGCGTGTGATACCGCTGGGTGTTGGGTACGATGGTTTGGGCTTTTGGGGACTCTTTCTTGTTTTTTTGGTTGGTTTACATCCGGGATGGGATGGCTGGATGGATGGGTGGGCATATTTTGTTTGGAAAACCTTCTTGTCACTCGCTTGGTCGACCGGCTGTACATCCTTTTTCTTTCTGCTTCCTCCTTTTCTTATACATACACCTCTGGCGTGGTGGGACTGTTTTTTTTGGGAGGGCATGATGAGGCGCTGGAACCGGCCTGTCTGTCCGGGATTTTGGTTTTGCCTTGGGCCTTTTTGGTGGAACAATTTACTTGGTTGTTTGCAATTTGCAGATGGCTGATGGATCGCACTGGTTTGTTGGTGGTGAACATCGCGAAAACATCGTGTGTTTTGGGCTCCGTTCCGCTGGTGGAAGTTGTACGCATGCAGTGGTTTGAGTAGATACGTCTGAAGATATTCGCATTTTACAGTTCACTCTCTCTATGATCTACATGATAACACGCCCACCCCTACTGCCCACCACCGTTCCCCGCCAACGCCGCCTGCGCTGCGCCCGGGTGCGGGCCGATGCTGACGATGTTGCGGAGGTGCACGCCCCAGTTGTTCGGGCGCGGGCTCCTCTCCACGGTGAACGGCGCGCCGTCGAGGTTGGCGCCCTCCAGGTACTGGTCGCGCAGGTCGTGCACGTCGGGCCCGCGGCGCTCGGGCAGCTCCGGCAGGGCCAGCACGAAGCGCTCCGGCCCCGGCCCGCGCACGTCGAAGAGCCGCGCGAAGAAGCGCGTCTCGCTCACCCGCTTGTGCCAGGGCCGCAGGTCGCTCGAGTCCAGCCACACGCGCAGCTCCTGCAGCTGGGCCAGCGCCGCCAGCCCGTCGCACAGGTGCCGCCACGGGTTGTTGGTCATGGACAGCGTGGGGCGCGCCCGCCCCGCGAAGATGGCGGGGGGCCCTTCGTCGCGGCCGCCCCCGGATGGTGGGTAGTAGATCTCGGTGATCAGGTTGGTCACGCGGATGCACACCTCGACGGACCGGATCGGGTACCGCTCTGGGTCGTCGCCGTAGCTGGTCAGGAAGTCGACTGCCGTCGGCGTGTTGGTGAGCACGAAGGTGGTGTTGGCGTAGAGGGACGGTAGTGCTTCGAGATAGCTGTGACGGGGTTAACATCTGGTCGTTATGGGGAATGACGCTAAGGTCGGTAGTTGTTGTTGGCTACTCACATCCGCTTACACGTGGTGAGGAGGCTCATGAGTCCCGTCTTGGTTGGAGCCGGGTCCTCAGTCTTATCCTCGCCGGTGTCAACCTGAGCAGGCTCGGCCTCCTCGGACAACTCCTCGGCCGTCGTGTTGCTCTCCTTGGGCAGTTTCGACCCGTTCCTCACGGGGGGCCCAACGACATCTCCAGCGTGCTCCTCGCAGGCCCAATGCAGACACCACGAGCTCTTGAGCCGCTTGGCCCAGACCTGCCGTTCATCGGACGTGGGCTTGCTCTCGGCGTACTCGGGCCACCGGGCGTCCGGGGCGCATGGGTCCGTGATACAGGGCACATGCGACCAGCGCTCGGTGACGCCTTGTGGGTGCTCCTCGTTGGGGACTTCGTATTTCACGATGTGCTGCCGGGTTGAGTTGAGTTTCCAGAATTCGAGGTAGATCAGGTTGCGGATCTCAGCAGGAAGAGTAAAAAAGCGCGACGAGAGCTGGGAGTCTGCAGAGCGGCTGAAGGAGGCCGTGTTGATGGTGGGGTTGGCCATGGTGATGGTGGGTTGGGGTGTGTAAGGGGAAATGTGTTTTTTTTCTTTTTCTTATTGTGTTTTGTTGTGTGTTGCAAGTCGCGACGAGTGAAATTATACGCATCTCATGCCCCTCTCATCTCATTCACTTCCTCTCAACTCTCTCCTGTATCTGGCATGGTGTTGGTTTTCTTCCCCGCTCAGCCAGAACCCTGGTGCCTGGCGCCTGTCGCTGTCAAAGAGTGCCTTGCCTGCAAAGCCACGCAATTGGTTGCGCGACCTGCACGCGAAGCCAACTGCCTACCCAGTTTGAGTTGAGAGGAAAACACCCTGCGCAAGGCATCATCATTCAGAGAATTGGACTGGGTAGGTACGTCAGCTGTTAAACTGAGCCTGGCTGCCAAGGCGAGATTGATGTGCTGAAAGTGAAGAGTGAGAGACGACCGTTGGGTAACTCACCCGAGCTTGTCTGAAATCATTGGATCCATGTTGTGTTGACAAGGAGCGGAATCCGACCTGAATGGCGGGACTCTCCGATTGAATGAATGCCCGACATTACACAGGAGATACGGAACCTACAGATGTTGGCTTTTGCTCACTTGTTATCCGCTCAAAGGCTAGGTGAAACACGGATAATTTAAAAATCGAGCGAGACCTGTCACTTCTCTTCCCCTAGGCTGTTCAAAAAGATGGCAGAGCATTCCAGCTTTCTCAGATGAGTTTCGACCGGAGAGTTCGGCTTCTAGAATCTTCCCGGCCTTGACAAATCGGAGCGGCAGTGGGCCCCCACTCTTCGGCCGGAGTGCTTCTCGCGGGGTGATTCCAGCCGCGATGCCCCACCAGAGCTGTGCCAGCTTGCCCGAACACCGGTAGCCAACCCTTATCAGGGGGTGCGACCTGAGCCATAGTTAACTTAAACGCCTTCCGTTTGCTGCGGAATATCTCTGGTGCTTGACACAGAGTTACCCTCAAACTATTCCGATTCCCACCTGTTACAACCCCGAGCGACACCCGACTCAACGAACACGCGACCACTATTCGTAGCGGCGCATTCATCCTCGAAGCCCAAAACTACCTACGAAGTACCTCGACAGCATTTGATTGAGCAACCCCGGGCCGGGCCGAGCATCCCGACACAGAGCAGAGTAGAGCAGTCAACACTCTCTGCGCCCTCACCTCACCCAGAAACGTATTCCACCAGGCCATGCCGTGACGACCCAACATGGCGAAACCAACCCAACTCAAAGAAGAGGGCAACCGCCGCTTCCAAGCGGGCGACTACGTGATGGCCGAGGCCCTTTATTCCCAGGCGTATGCCTCCCCCCCTTTCCACACCCCAAACCTCCCCCTTTCCAAACCACCCCCCTCTAACACTCCCACCACACACCACAGCCTCATCTCCGACCCGCACAACCCCGCGCTCTACACCAACCGCGCGATGGCGCGCCTGCGCCTCTCCCAATGGGACAGCGCCGTGGCCGACGGCGCCGCCTGCCTGGCCCTCGCGCCCGACAGCATGAAGGCGCACTACTCGCTGTCGCAGGCGCACCTGGCGCTGCGGGCGCACGACGACGCCCTGCGCCACGCGCTGCGCGCCCACGCATTGTGTGTGGCGTCGTCGGCGGACCACAAGAGCCTGGGGCCGATCACCACGCACGTGCTGCGGTGTAAGAAGGAGCGGTGGGAGGAGTTGGAGAGGCGGAGGGTCAGGGAAAGGAGTGGGTTGGAGGGGGAGGTGCTGGGGTTGTTGGAGGAGAGGAGGGGGGTCGCGCTGAGGGAGGCCGAGGCCGCGGGGTTGGATGAGGGTGGGAGACGGGAGGTGGAGGAGGAGTGGCGGGAGAAGATGGAGGCGATGCGCGATGTGTTTGAGAAGGCGCGTCCGAGTGCTGAGAAGAGGAGGGAGGTGCCGGACTGGGCTGTGGACGATATCAGCTTCTGCGTGATGGTTGATCCGGTTATTGTGAGTCGCTCCTCGCTCCCCTCCCCGCTGTTGGCATAGGTGCTAACTCAGTCGGCTGGCAGACCAAAACCGGCAAGTCCTACGAGCGCGCCTCCATCGTCGAGCATCTGCGTCGCCAGCCGCAAGATCCCCTGACCCGGGAGCCGCTGTACGCTTCCGAGCTGAGGCCGAACCTCGATCTCAAGCAGGCCTGCGACGAGTTCCTACAGGAGAACGGCTGGGCGGCAGACTGGTAGGGGCTGTCCTGCCAGGTGCGGTTTACACTGCCGTCGTTCTGGTTTAGGTTGCATAGCATGGCGTTTTTTAGTTTGGCATTGTGGTCTCGTTTCGGCATTGCATGGGCATGTTGTGTGGCGGCTGTACGGAGACTGGTATTACGAAGAGGCCACACCATTCCGGCTCTCTCCCCCGGCGAGAGCGACGCAACCCTTATGGCAATCAACCACGCCAACGAGTGGGGGAGCGGCGGGCGAACTGGTTATCTGTCACCGACATACCGTCTGGAACTGCACGTTGGCGGTTCGAGTGGGTGGTGGCGCGATAGGACTGGGAGGGTAATCACCCCGTGCCGTTGGCTCGGGAAGGGAACCCGTCCCGGATTCGTGAAGGGTTGGTCGGTGGGGTGTATCTCAATCCGGAGGGGACAGCAGTGCGCTTGTACTGTGCGACTGTGGCGGGCGAGATATTCAAGGCTTGTCAGGGGCAGAATACTCATTCTTCGGGGAAGGCGAGGCCGCTATGGTGCACGGCCATGGTTTTGAGTTCAGTTTAAGCTAGGTTGCTTTCCCGATCAGGTGCGAGCGAGCGAGCGAGCGTTTGTTTGACTGAGTATCGGCCAGGCACGGTGAAGGTACCTCATCTGAGATCCATGGCCACTGTGTCGCGGAGTTTGTCTTGAGCAAGGCTTCTGGCCCAGTAAAGGAAGTTGTTTCGGGATCGGGAAGCCTGTTGTTGGGTCGGCTGGGTGAAGGTTGTTGCATCGGTGAAGCAGGAATGGCACATTTAACCAGCCACGGTCCCCTTGTGTAGGATGGTTTGAAGTTTGTAGGGAGACCATCGGAAATCTTTCCAATCCAAACCCCCATGATAGCATCCGCGTGTATGCCACTATTATACAATGCAACAGGTATCATGCAAAATGTATGTATATACAAGTCATGCATATGCCGCCATCTATCCCGAAACCCAACCCCCACACCACCCATCCGCTTGCCCCAGGAATGCTGATACAACAACCACAACCACGCAAGAACACCCAAAAACAAAATCCTGAATGGATAACCCAAAAAAGGAAAGAGAACATCATACCTCATACCATCATAACTCATCCCACACCTCTTCACAAAACACGTATCCAACAAACCAAACAACCCCCGCTCTAAATAAACCCTCCCGACCTCCCGCGATACGTCCCCCCATGCGGCGGAGGCGGCGGTGGCTCATCCGGCCCCTCATCCCCATATCCGTCCTGATGGTCACCACTCCCGCGCCTCTGTTCCGCAAACCGCCTCCTCATCTCCTCATACTCCCCCACCCCGGCATCATAATCCCTATCCCGCTCCGCCTCCCCACTCCCCAGCCCGCCACCCGTCTTCTCCCCATCATCAAGAACCCCATCATCCTCCCTCCGCCACGATCGCGGCGGGCTCCCCCTCGGCGGACTCGACCCCGGCGCGGCGGCATACCCGCGCGTGATGCTGTGGCCGTACAGCTCCGGGCTCCTCCTGTTATCCCTGCCGTCGGCGTCGTCGCGATACGCTTCCTCCTTCGTCAACCCCTTGGCCTCCCAGCTGTCATCGTCGTCCTCGTCGTCGCTATCCTCCTCGGGAGGGGGCAGCGCGGGCGCCGAGCGCGCGCTAGGGTCCGCCTGGGTCGAGTTCGAGTCGCCTTTTACCAAACCGAGCGTCTCCTCCTCGGTGGCGCCGCGCCTTTGCCGCGACGGGGGGCCCTGACGGGAGGAGGTGGGGCGGGTAGAGCTTGGGCGGCGTGAGTGGTGGTGGTGGCCGGAAGTGTCGGTGCTACCGGTTCTGCTGTGGGACTGCTGGCTGCGTTTGAACATGCTTTGGAACGAGAACTGGCGGCGGGCGGTCGCATGGGGTGGTGGTGTTGGGGGGAGTGCGGAGATGAACGAATCGCCGCTGGCGTCGGAGGTTTGGCGGGTGGGATGACCGAACTGCACGTGGCGGGCCGAGGCTGAGAAGTCGTCGGTGGAGGCGGGCTTTGAGCCGGCGACGGCGATAGAGGTGAGTTGGACGGGGTGCATCGGGGATTGCACCTTGGGGGCGTCAGGGGTTTTGTCGTGGAAATCGGGGTGGCCTGGCAGGAGGGCACTGCGGGCTCTGGAGCGTATAGTGCCGACGATGCTGGAGAGGCCGGGCGAGACGGGCCTGTTTGCTTCGGCGAGCTCGTCCTCGGTGGGGAAATGCGACCACCCTAGCGGCGGGTGTGGCATTGGGGGCGCAAGGTGGGTGGTCGCCGGGGTCCCGGACCTGTGGGTGCTAACTGTTGTGGTCCTCCGTCGCCTGATGCCATCCCACTCGTATTGCGGAGTCCCGTCTTCACTGACTGGTGCGAGGCTCTCCTGAAGCTTCTCTTCGCGCATCCGCTTCAGTTCGTCAAGCTCCATTTTCTGTCGGGCAGAAGACAGTCTCCGCACAATAGCGGCCGTTCCTCTGATGGCGTCCGCCTTGGGCTCCGTCTCGGGCTGAGCCTGCTCGGCGATTGTGTGTATTTGGTCCAGATCCCCGGTAAAAACGGCAGCATCCGGGACGTCTTTAGCAGACTTGGACAGTTGGAGAAGGACGACGCCAGCGCAGATGGTCAAAAACCCGTTGACCACGGTGATGATCGACGTAGGTGTCCCCTTGAAGCCACGGAACAGGATCGCCGAACTAACGATGGTCGTGCTGGTGAAGTAAACGTAATACGTAGGCGTGACCAGCGCAGCATTGAACAGGTTAAGCGCTTTCTGTGATTCGGTTAGCAAGTCGAACACATAGACGGCGGTGGCACGGGACTCCTTACATTCAGGTAGATGATCTCGGTCAACAATGTCCCAATGACAAAAACCAGCAGTACGTAGAGGAACCACTGGTTAAACTGCGGCGTCCCCCCGGCCTGCGCGATGATGGCGGCGCCTAACCCCTGGGTCGCAACGACGCTCAAACCGCCAACCCAGCTGCAGATGGAAATGTAAACCAACATATTCTTGTTTCCGTACTTTGGCCCTAGCCAAATTGCCACGGCAGCCGAGCCCACAATGACAACGCCGGCGTATGTCAGAAAGGCCGGGTGGATGACGAACCCCTGCATCTCCTGGATATTGTTGACCGAGGAGGTATGGGGCGCATTCATAACGATGACCACAGAGCCGACGATACACAGAAAACATGCGACTTTTCCAACCATGCTGAGGCGTTCCTTGAGGAATATCGCTGATAGAACCGTGGTGATGACGACAGAGAGGGCCCCCAGCGGGGTAACCAGGATGGCGTCTGTGAAGGCATAGGCGGCAAAGTTGAGGCCCTCCCCCACGATCATGAGTATCATACCGGCCCACCAGTAGAAGTTCTTGAGGTATCCGTAACCTTCGCCGGCCACCTCGTTGTATTTCTCGTTCGCCCTCAGTAGCCCGACTTTCTTGAGCACGAACGATGTCCCGATGAAGGCACCCGACCCGACGGCCAGCCCTATACCGATCGCCTTGTACACAGGCGGTCTTTCTGGAGCGGGTTCAGCGGCGCCGGCGCGGTTAAGCAAGTCGTTTCCATGGTGGATCATGGCTAGCGCGGCGTTCTCCATGGCGGCGCCAGGAAGCCGAAGGACGACTGGGTCGTCACTCAGCCGACGTTATCGAGTGGTGCCCTAGGGGAGGGAGGGGTAATCGATTCCGGGGATATATCCTAAGATACGTGCCGTGGAGGAGAGGGAGAAGCTTCGTTGTTCTGCGAGTGGTGGTGGAAAGGGCATGGACTGCGATGGTCTGTCGGTCCAAGTGCGGCTGAGGAAGCGATTGCGATGTCCTGCAGGAAAGAGGAGTCGAGGCAGCTTGGAGTGTGGCAGTCTAGATTGGTTTGGCTTATCCACGGGGCAGGGGCAGAAGATCGGAGGAAGGAGCCAAGACGGCGCCGGAGACAATTGACTGAGAAATCGAGAAAAGGGGGGGGGTGCGAGTATGGGTGTTGGTTCGCAACCCTCAGTTGGTGTGGTCCGTATTCGAATCGAGGTGTCAGTCTTCTGAAAGGATGCCAAGTTGTGTCTGTCGCAAAAGAGACGAACGAGTCCCTGCGTCCTGCTGCTGCTCCTCTGCCCTGGTGGTTGCTGCGCAATGACGAGCCAAGGCAAGGAACGACCCCACCAAAACAAATGATGAGATGAGGGCAAGTATTCGTATGAGTGGGAGGAAAGTCGCTGCGCTCAATATGCAAGAATTCAAGAGGATGATCATGCGGAACTCATGCCAACAGCAGAAGCCAACAACATTAGATCAGACATGATGAAAGAAACGCTTCCAAAAAAGAAAAAGAAAAAAAGTCGGCTGGGAGCGAGCTGCACGCACTGTCTCCTCGTATGCAGATGGGAGGCCATCGAACAGGGGCTGGACTTCCAGGTTGTGGGGCTATTGGCGCACAAGCCTTGAGCAAGCTTCTGGCCCAGTAACGGAACAGGGATTTCCGGACCCTTGCTGCTCGAGGGTGGACCCATCCATCGCTGCTGGCGCCGCCCTGAAACATGAACCGGGACAGCTCCTGTCCCACAAACATCACCTCCAACCATGAGCGCTCCTGTGACGAATACCTCGGGCGGGATGCCGCCGGGATCCATGAGCAGAAACAACGAGATAAGTCGATCTATCATCGGAGCCTTTGCGCTCCCAGGGTCCTCCCGCCGAGTCCCCGGTCTGCGTGTTTCGAGCAGAACCCATCTTCCAACATCGAATCCGTACCACGAATAGTTCTGTATGTACATGAATCTCCCCAAGCCACCTGTCGTGCCCAGATTTGAGAAGCCACTCAAGCCTGCAAACGACTCGCAGGATGTACGGAAGATGTGCGCAACATGAGCGCGAAATATTGCTAAAAGCGGGAGATGATGTCAGCTCGAATCTTGAACCGCGCAGATCGCTTCCCTTGATAGGTTGGCTCAACTTATTCTCGGGACGGAGCCAAGAGAAACGAAAGCCAACTCTTGCGGACAGGAATTCGGGCCCAAATCCGCGCTTTGTTCAGACCGACGCCAACAGACATGTCATGGATTAAAGGCAAAATGCCATCTGCCCTAAAAACAGTAAAGGCGCAGTCGAATGGAATGTTTGTGTGTGCAGGTAGTTACGAGGCACAAGCCGAGAAAGCTTCAAAGGCCACTTGGGCCCCCACATATCCCTCGATGCAGCTCCCTGACGCCGCGTGTGGCAGCTTCAAACCCCGGTTTTAGCATCGGCGCTAGTCCCACCACCCACAAGACGCCTTGATCGGTCGCACGCGCCCGGTTAAACTTAGGCCACGCGTCATGGCAAGTTGCCTGCGAGCGATGAGGGTGCCTCGATCTGAGCATGTCGCAAGTGGCGCCAGGGGTACGATCTTTGCTATCTTTGACAGCTGTGTGGCAAGTCAAAAGCAGATCTGTGTGTGAGCAGACCACCCAAAGGCATCCATATGCCAGCCACTCATCTTGAGCTCTGCTGCGTTTCGTTGCTCTTGTGCCGCGCCATATGCTTTCGGGCTCCTTCAGAAGTGGTAGATCTTACTATGGTGTTTTAGGGGGAGGATCTTGACTCGCCATTCTAAGAGCCAACAGGCGCTTGCTCCAAGCCGTTTGTGGCTTTTGTCACTGGTTTCTCAGAGCGTCCAATCCCGACCTAATAAATCGCCCAAGTGTGGCCCAAGATGAGTGGCAACATACTCACGCCGTCGATGTGATGGTCTTGGTGACGGGATTGGCCACCAAATGGGTTATATGGAAAAGGCGTTCTTTGGCAGATGCCCCCACTAGATACACTAACTAGTACGAGTCACCCCTCGCCGTCATCTAGTTCTGAGCTATTCCTGCGCAACATATCAAGCAACCTACCTTCAGTAACTACCCCCAGGGTGTTCTCGTCCGTCTTGTGAGATGACGGGTTGCCTTCGGTAGACAGCCCCTCGCCTACCAAGGCAGAAGCCGGCCGTCGTAGGAGAGAAACTGGCCCGACTTCTCAGGAGTCCAGTTGTCAATCTAGCGGGAGAGAACACAGTCAGCCCTCAGAAACAAATCGGTGGAAAAAGGAAAGGCATCATACCTGTTCAACAACACCCTTAGCGCTCGCCTCCACCGTCAGCGGCGGCTCCTTGAACCCGATCGCATCAGCCAGCGACTGGCCCAAGTCCGTCTGCACCCATCTGCCACACCACCCACGTCAGTCAACCCCATTCCCACACCCCGAGCAGAAAAGCAAAGTAGGTAGGTAGGTACTCACCCGGGATGCACAACCCCCGCCACCACCTGCCCCTTGAGCTCCACACTGACCTTCTTCGTAAACCAGTTCGCCGCCGCCTTACTCATGCCATACGCCACGCCCGGCATACTCTCCTGGTGCAAGATCCCGATGCTCCCCAGGGTACTCGACACGTACACAAACTTCCCCAAGCCCCGCTCCGACCCGTCGCTGCGCTTCAGCAACGGCCAGACCGCCTGGAACAGCCTGGCCGACCCCGCGGCATTGACCACGAAATCGCGCGCCATCTCGTCCGGATCGGTATCAAGCACGCCCGTCATGGCCGTCGACCCGCCCGCGTTGGCCAGCACGACGTCGAGGGCCGCCACGCCGTGGTCGTCGCGCAGCCGCGCCGCCAGCGTGCTGCTGGACAAGGATACGGACACGTCGGAGTCGGTGGCCCCGTCGTCCAGCAGCACGGGGATCAGCCGGCTGGTGGGGTGGATCGCGTCCGCCGGGAAGGAGGCCGCGTCGAGGGAGGGCGCGGGGCGGCGGGAGGTGGCGACCACGGTGGTGTTGGGCCGCGTGAGGAGGAGTGTGGTTACGGCGAGGCCGATTCCTGTTGGGGGGAAGAGAGGGGAGGGGGTTAGTGACGGTTGGTGATGGTGGTGTTGAGGTGGGGAGAGAGAGCGGGAAGAAGGGGTGGTGAGATTGGGAGAGGGAGGAAAAGGGGGGTGACGAGAGGGGATGGGGAAAAGGACAAAAGGGGAAGAGAGGCGGGGAAAATAAGAGAAAGAGGGAAAAGGGGAAGAGAGGCGGCGGGGAAATGGGAGAAAGAGGGGAAAGGAGCGCGAGGGAGAAAAGAGGGAGTGAAGGAGGAAGGAAAAATTGAACGAAAGAGGTAGAGATGTTCAAGACGACGAACGGCGGTGAACTGCGAGGGAATGTGTGCTTACCCCTATTCGCGCCCGTGATGAGGTAAACCGTGTTATCCGACATGGTAGAGGTGAGATATGACGACAATGGGATGGGAGTGTAATTGGAAAGGGGGAGGCCAAGAGCGGAGACTGTCAGATTCGACCGTGGGTGATTGTCAGAAAGACACAGGTCTTGGAACTTCAAACCGAAGCTACCGGAAAAAGAAGTAGGAGTAAAAAACAGGAGAGGAAGAGAAAACAGGGCACCCTTAAATACCCCCGAGAGGGAGAGGGCACACCATTCACACGCATATGACCAATAAGCATCGACCATCGGCAGGGTGGCCGAGCTTGAGTTGGCAGGAAACGAGGGGCTCATCCTTCCGTTGCCCGGGTCGTATGTTGACTTAGCCCCTGAATCACACAAACAGAGCAAAAGCCGAAGCACTCGCCACAGCAATGATCCAGAGAACGTGCAAAACTGCCATTCCAGCTATATAATCATAAATCATAATGATGCCGCTCCCGCCCTACCATGGTATTCCGTTCCGCGAACCCAAACGCCAGGTTGTCAAGTGGCCGTCGTCGGCGCGAGTAATCAAGCCTTGACCACCCAGCCGGCATTGACCATAAAGTCGAAAATCCTCCCGCCCTTTTGCGTGTCCAAGCGGCATATCTCCTTGGCTTGTTTTTTCTTCAGACTGCCATTCCCCTTCAGCGCCTCTTTGAGAATCTGCTCCTTGATCATCAAGTACGGTTTCGGCTGGAGACGGATGGTTTCGCACAGCTTCGCCTCCTCTGTAGTGAGAAGATGAAGATCGGGCGCGTTGTCCTGACTGAGCGAAGTCGGCTGGACCCCAGGTATCGGCTGCGGGATGTATTTTTGCTTCGCAGCTGAAGTGCCGTTGGCGACAACCACGCTGCCACCGTTGACGTGATGACCGGTTGCCTCCGTTGTTTTAGCATCGTTTGCCCCCTCGCTACCCGATACTCCCGCCGTTGCCGCTGAGCGGATCGGTAGTTCGGGCGCGATTAGGAGGGCCGCGCCACTTGGTGGCTCTGGTGGCGGTTGCTGCTTGTTGCGCTGGTTCGTTGCTAGTCTCTCGCGGTCCATGGATCCCAAGGGTATTGACTTTTGAATGCGCAACGCCTTTTCCTGCTCATACTTCTCGCCGCTTCGGAGGTCGCCGATCCTGAGGCTACGCCATTCCTGCAACTGCGTGATGGCTTGTCGGAGGTTCAGTTCGTCAATCAGCCCCTGGCAAAAGTTTTCAAAGTCGACCTGGTTCATCATTCGCGCAAACGGTTTTGCTTTGTTGAGCAAATCCTTCTCTTCCTTCGTCCGCTTCTTTTCCAGCTTGCTGTTTTCTCTATAGTCGAGCAAGTTGTGCTCGAAAATGACCTTCTTGCGCTCAGCACGCTGCGTCAGCCTGCAGTTGTAGATATCCATCACCGTAAGCTTGAGCTCCATCTCAGGCTCCAGCTCGCCCGTACGTGGGTTGATGCCGTCTCCAGGATCGAACTGCATGTGCTGGACTGCCTCCTCCGCTTCGTTGGCGTACTCGGTCTCGAACTCTAAGCGGCCAGGCATGTAACCCTGAATCTCGTGACAGGCTGGTACACTGGCGGTCGGTTTCGTCTTGGGTTGCAATGCGGGCGCGTTCTTGGCCGCTTCCCTCCGTTCCTCGATCCTGCGCTTCTTCCGAGCCTGGAACTCTTCTCTTGATATCTCGTTCGCTAGTTCCATATCATGTGGACTGCATCGTTTCGGGAGAGGAAATTTGGGCGACTCGACGTAGGCCTTGTAGTAATGGTCCCGGACCTCGTCTTTGTGTCGGTATCCGCCGATGTGGTCAGCGATGTCCGACCACGATCCCAGGCCGTAGATCTCGGCGCCCTCGAGGAGCAGGAGTTCCTCGTCGGCACCCCATTCTCGGTCGAATATGGGGAATGAGTTCTGTTCGATTACCCGGTATGGGTGTGTTGCTGGTTGATGTGCGTTGCTCGCGGAGGCGCTGGCGAAACATTTTACACAGAGGTCGTATTCGTTGCAGGCACTATGGGCGCATCTGATGCGTACCTTTGAGGCAACATATTAGTTTCACATCGGACGGGACAGAATGTTGTTGCTCCACCATCACGAACCGTGTCGTGCATGCACGGGGAGGTGCCCCTAATGGCTCGGAAGAGGCCAAACACCAAGACAGAAAGATGCACTTACCGTTGATGTGATATCTGAGGAGCAGACATCGCAAACGTACTTCACACCGCCCTCACCACCCCGAGCAGCAATCTTCTTTCTAATGACGCCCATTGTCGAGGATGCGTCTGGTGTGGGTGGGTGGAGAGGTCGTCAAGTAGGATAACAGGGGTTGGCTTCAGGAGGCCTGACGGGCTTGCGGACGCGCTTAGGCGGTGCGAAAGACGGCTCGGAAAATGCCCATCGAGGGCAGTTTAATATTGAACTCGGGATGCTAGAGATGATGCGACGCGTATTTTGATGATTTTGTTGATGGATGTCACGGATCTCGATGGAATCTCGGTGGTTGATGAGTCTGCGTTATGGTTGACGTGCGTGCTCATCCCCGGCAGCCGCGATGGCGCTGGGTGGGGGATTGAAACAACCTGGAAGCCAAGGGCGAGTGGGCCATGTCGCTCTGCAGGTACTGACCCTAACCCTGTCATGTTCCATCTTTGGACAAGGTCTCGAAGCACCCGGGACAAACCAAAGACATCAAAAATAGATTTAGGATGAGGGAACTTCCATGTTCTACGTTTGGAGCAAATTTTTATCTAAGCAGCTATTACCAAGGAATTTAATTTAAATGAACGGTAAGGCGGCAGCTGTTCGCTTGCACGAAGCCTGTGTGTGCGGCTGCGTGTCCGCTGGTTGTTCCTCCCCATCTCTATATACCATACTAGAGAATGGTCTTAAAAGTCCGGGTAGTACGTTGTCGTTTTGCGGTACGTTCCAGGGGTCCGCACTAACAATTTGGTAGCGTGCAAGCGGACCTTTGCGGGGGTTCTTAACAGTTACCGGGTACATTACTGTTACTATTTTTCTTATTGGACCAAAAAGTCTTGGCTAGAAGGCCGCAAATTTCCTCCTGATCTAATTTTAATTTACAGTTTTTTTCCATTCTTTTCTTCCTTCTCATCCAGTCGATAACTACCTACCAAACCTTACCACTATTTACATTGCAAGCCGGGAAGCCGGTTGCGATCCAGGGCACAGGGTAGAATTCGAACCTAGAAGCCAGGGCACAAAGCACAGTTTCAACCCAGGGCACAGGTTGGAAGCCAGGCCACAGGTCAAATCCAGGGCACAGGTTAGAAGCCAGGGCACAGGTTGGAAGCCAGGGCACAGGGCACCGTTCGAAGCCAGGCCACAGGTTGGAAGCCAGGGTACAGGGCACAGTTGGAAGCCAGGCCACAGGTTGGAAGCCAGGGCACAGGGCACCGTTCGAAGCCAGGGCACAGGTTGGAACCCAGGGCACCCAGTGGAAGCCAGGGCACAGAGCACCGTTCGAAGCCAGGGCACAGGTCAAACCCAGGGCACAGGTTGGAAGCCAGGCCACAGGTCAAATCCAGGGCACAGGTTAGAAGCCAGGCCACAGGTTGGAAGCCAGGGCACAGGTTGGAACCCAGGGCACCCAGTGGAAGCCAGGACACAGGGCACCGTTCGAAGCCAGGCCACAGGTTGGAAGCCAGGGCACAGGGCACAGTTGGAAGCCAGGCCACAGGTTGGAAGCCAGGGCACAGGGCATAGTTCGAAGCCAGGCCACAGGTTGGAAGCCAGGGCACAGGGCATAGTTCGAAGCCAGGCCACAGGTCAAATCCAGGGCACAGGTTGGAAGCCAGGCCACAGGTCAAATCCAGGGCACAGGTTAGAAGCCAGGCCACAGGTTGGAAGCCAGGGCACAGGGCACAGTTCAAAGCCAGGCCACAGGGCACAGTTCGAAGCCAGGGCATAGGTTAGAAGCCAGGGCACAGGTTGGAGGCTATAGGTCAAACCCAGGGCACAGGTTGGAAGCCAGGGCACAGGTCAAATCCAGGGCACAGTTCGAAGCCAGGCCACAGGTTGGAAGCCAGGGTACAGGTTGGGAGCTAGGGCACCCAGTAGGAGCCACAGGTCGAGCCTAGCATACCAAATAGAAACTAGCATATCTATATAGTATAAATACCGGTTGCAACCTCGGAATTTCGTTGCAAACTCGGAAGTTAAGTCGGGAGTTGTGAGCTCGGAAATCCAGGAGGTATTTCGAGGGTTAGGGGTATATAAAATATAGGTGAATTGTGACGAACCTGTCTCTGGACCCGTCCTGTTAGGGTTCAGTATCGGTCGAAGGTATTCTCTCAAGGGTGCTTAGGTTCGGTGCAGCCAAAGGGTGCACAACAAAGACTTGTCTCAACAGTAGGCTCTCGAGCTTGTAGCGAACTGTAGTTGTGATTGCTAACTGGAGAACTCCCAGAGCTCTCCAGAACGAGTGACTATATACCTATCTAATTCTTGGGTGCTCAGTGTGCTCAGTGTGCTCAGTGTGCTCAGTGTGCTCTCCGGACACTGAGCCTACTGAGCGGACTGAGCTCCCTGAGTACCTTCCTCGTGTCCTGATTGGTGGCGCGGTCCAAGTGCTCAGTGTGCTCAGTACACTTGGCAAGTGCTTGGCGACTGAGCTCACTGATCACCCCCTTTCTTCTTTAATTGGTCCGTCTACCGTAACCAGCTCGGGGCGTCCCGCGCCCCGAGGTCGGCATACTCGTGACACGATGCCCCTCCTCCAGGGTCGACGTCCCGTCGGCCGCACTTCCCAGCCAACTTCCTGAAATAGTGCCAATAGTCCCCAATCCCATTGGGTTAGTAGGTTCCCTTGTTCTCCCCACTCATTCTTCCACCATGACTGACGGTATAAGGAAACGGAAACAAAAGCGGAAACAGAAATCCAGCACTGAACGACGTCACACTGGGGCTCTCCTTGCCGACTTGATTGGAAGCGCAATGGTGACGTGTACTCGTTGCAAAACGCTAAAGCTTCCGGACTGCAAAGCCGCCGAAAACTCCGACGTCTGTGGTAGCTGTCTTCGCGCCGGCAACTATTCGTGCGACGCCTTTGGCAACGACGATTCTGCTGTTCGCCGACTGGTGGATCAAGAACGCAATCTGGACGAGAAAGAGCGTGCCGCGACGGAGGCCATCCGCGCTGCTAACCGCGCTCTCGGGGAGCTGGACGAGAAAGAGCGCGCGGCGTTGGATGAGATTCGAAGTGCTCGTTCTGACGCGAGCCGTGCCCTTATGACGGCTCTGGAAAAGGCGGACCGCCTGCGGACTCAGCGCCTGGCCCTGAAACAGAAGGCTCTGGCGATGTTTGAGCAGGAGCGGGAGGTGTTCGTGGAGCAGGAGCGCCGGGAGGTTGCTACCGGGCAACCGTCTTCCTCGGGTGTCGCCGGCGTTCCTTCTTTTGACTTTCCTTGGGTTCAAAAGTTTGTCTTCTTTACTCCCCTCCTTGCTTCCTTGCTGACAGTGCTTAGTTTTTCTTCGGACGACCCCTTCCTCGCCGGGGCCGACTTGTCTGTGGGGCTTCCTTTGGTCGGTCCGGATTCCTCTGGTGGAACTCCTGAAGTTTCTCGGGGCAGTTGAGGTTGGTAGCTGGTTGCCATGAATTGTCTTCTGGGCCAAAGTCCAGCCATTTGACCAAATACTCCAACTGTCCTTTCATGATGCGTGAATCTAGGACTTCCTCAACGTCCCATTCCTCCTCTTCGTCTTCTGCTTCGGCGTCCTTGTCGAGTCGCGCGTTCTCGGGCGTTGGTTCCAGAAGCGAGATGTGGAAAACGTTGGTCCGTAGTCGCATTGTCGAGGGTAACGCGAGTGCGTAGTTGTTCTCCGAAATCCTTTTGTCGATCTTGAACGGTCCGATTTTGCGAAAATCGAGTTTCCTGCTTGGTCGCTTCGTGCGAAGATTTCGAGAAACGAGGTAAACTTTGCCCCCCTCCTCTAGGCGAGGTCCCTCGAGCCTGTTTCTGTCGTAGAACTTCTTCATCCTGGTTCGTACGAACTCGAGTTCTTCCTTGAGCATCGCATGCAGCGAGCTCATCTTGTCGGCTTTGACTGCCGCTCGGGGTACCGAGACATCGGGCCCCTGTCGCAAATCTGCTTCGTAGCCGTAATTCGCGAAGAATGGCGTGACCTTCGTGGTCTCCGTGACGGTGGTGTTGTAGGCGAGTTGTGCTGCTGGCAACAGCTCGACCCAATCGTCCTGCTGGAAGTTGACGTACAACCGTAGATATTGCTCGACGACCTGGTTGAGTCGTTCCGTCTGTCCGTCCGTCTGTGGGTGGTAAGCAGTCGAGAGCTTACTCTTCGTACCCAGCTTCGTCATCAGAGCTTGCCAAAACTTTGATGCGAACTTCGTGTCTCTGTCCGTGATCCATTCCTCCGGCCATCCGTGGACCGAGGTGACGTTGCGATAGATCACGTCTGCAAGTTGTTCTGCCGACCATGTTTCCTTGTAAGGGAGGAAGTAGCTCCACTTGGTGAGTCTGTCCACCATTGTGAGGATGCTGTCGTATTCCACTCCCGTTACCGAGTCCTTGGACAGTGGTAGTTTGGTGATGAAGTCCATCGTCACCGAACTCCATGGTCGTTCCGCGACTGGCAATGGTTGCAACAGCCCGTATGGCTTGTGTCGTGGCGGTTTGCTTCGTCCGCAGAGGTCGCACTCTGCCAGGACTTCTTCCGTCGCTTGCTTGATTCCTGGGAAGTCGTAGTTCTGCTTGACTTTTGCAATTGTCTTGCTGATTCCCATGTGTCCTCCGAGTCTTGACTCGTGGATCTTTCGAATGAGCTCCTTTTGGTCACTAAGCCTGACGTAGGCCTTGTCGTGGTACCAGAGTCTCGTCCCTTCAAGTCGCAAACCTGCGATCTTGGATTCCAGCTCTTCTTGCCATGCATCGCGCTTGTCGTCCGCGATGATTCCCTGGAAGTCTCGTTCCAGTCGTTGTTCCCTGAAAGTCGCACAACATTCTACAAACGGTTGCAGAGGCCTGCCTTCGGGATCTTCCGACTGCTGCTGAAGTGCTGCGATCTCGTAGTCTTCAGTCGGTTGGGAAGCGTGCCGTAGCGATCCGTCTGTCTGTTGATGTAGCAATGGTGGTGAGACTTCAGATGTGTTGTCGTGATGATCCGCTCTCCTACTCAAGGCATCTGCTCGTGCGTTCTCTGAGCCTTTCTTGTAGTGGATCGTGAAGTTGAATTCGGACAGAAATTCTGCCCACCGAGTCTGTCGTCCGTTCAGCACCTTGGTGGTGGTGAAGTATCGTAAGTTCTTGTGGTCCGTGTACACCTGGACTTCGTGTGTCGTGCCGCTGAGGTATGGCCTCCATTCCTGAAATGCTTCAATGATTGCGAGAAGCTCCTTGTCATGGATCGGGTAGTTAAGCCTTGGTCCTTCGAGTTTCTTGGAGAAGAACGCAACTGGGTGAAGCTTGCCGTCCTTGTCCCTCTGACCAAGTTGCCCTCCGATCGCGAAGTCCGAAGCATCAGCCTCGACTTCGAAAGGTGTGCTTGGATCAGGCAGCATGAGCACCGGGTCGGCGATGATCGCATCGCGGATCCGCTGGAAAGCCTGCTCGTGCTCCCGCTTCCACTGGAATGTGGCATCCTTTTTGGTAAGTTCGTGCAGAGGTCTCGCGAAGTCGCCAAAATTCTTGATGAACATTCTGACGAAGTTGGCGAATCCGATAAATCCTCTGACCTCTGTGGCGTT